ATTACGAGGATCAAAAACCTCATCAGGTACATCTGTTCGTGTATTGGTTTTCTTAACAGCAAAATAAGTATAAGATCTTTTGGAGGAGAAATTAAGCTGCAGTTTCTTGGAATTCAGTTGCTTCATACTGCTTTAATTATGCACTTAAAAATATTCTAAAATTTCCAAAATACCCATGCTAATTTATTTTTTCTGAGACTTTAACTTGAGGTTTCTTACATCTTTTGCTTGCTCTTTGATCTGTTTGATGAAAGTTAAATTATCTTTCTTCTAGCCAATAAATTGCTTATTTCTTTTTGTATTTCTTTGTATCTACTCTGTATGAAGAAGGAACTCAAAGGTTACTTTGAGATAAATTTTGACTCAAGGAATTTAATCACTTGGAACCAACATCTAATTTGAGATGCGCTTCAGTAAACTTTTGAGGAGCTTTAATATAATCTTGACGAGATGACAATAAAATATTGTTCAAAGCTAACCATTTTGGTGCTATATTTATTTGTAACATATGTTTGAATGTATTTGGAGAATGTTGCTTTTTCTTTTCTGGTGATGCAATAAATTTCCACTCCTTTTCCCCTTATACTTAATGTACTCCTGTTGTGATGGCAAGCTTTTTCTGTATGGTTCCAGACTGTATCTATTAATGTTGGTAGCTCATTTTTATACTGTATTTTTTTCTTGATAAAGTTGCAGTTTAGTTCCTTTTCTTAACTCCTTCAATTAACAGAGTCAAAACAAACTTGATTTGTTGCTCAGCTGAAGGGTTAGATAGGGCAGATAGGGAGACTGAGCAGACCTACGAGGATTATTATGGGTTGGGAGAAGCAGCCTGGAAGGCTAGTAGCCTTTGCACAGGTTGAAGAGTGGGTGTGGACAGCACTATGCTTCAATGGGTAATGGGTGCAAGGAAGAAGAAATGATCAAGTGGGAAGGCAAAGGGGAACCATTAACCATACCCAATACTTCAGAGCAGCGGTTCTCAACCTGTGGGTCGGGACCCCATTTGGGGTCGAACGACCATTTCACGGGGGTTGCCAAACAACGCAGTCCACCATTTTTTTCCCTTTTCCTTAGCTGTGCTACTCCCTTTTATTCTATTGGCTTTTAAAAGCCAATAAAATAGACTCTCTTGAATAGAGTCTAATTCTATTGGCTTTCAAAAGCCAATAGGAATTGTCCAGGCTATCTCTGCCCTGCTGAGCCCGCCAAAAGTCCCATTCTGCAAACGGTGCTGCACCAGTTGAGTAGTCCTTGACTTACTACCGGTTGAGTAGTCCTCGACTTATGACCAGTTGAGGGTCGCAGCATTAAAAAGGTTGAGAACCACTGCTTTAGAGGACCAAGCACACTCATATGAATAGGATGTTTAATTGCAAACTTTGATTTGTATTTGCCAGAAGTGTCTTCAGAGCCAGGTGAAGATGAGGATCCCACAGAAGGGATATTTGAGGGGCATTCGGCTTCAGTGAATGCCATTCAGATTTTTGGGAATTTGTTGTATACCTGCTCAGCAGACAAAACTGTCCATGCGTATAACTTAGTGGTAAGTAGACCTGCTGAAAAGGAAATAGTTGGATTGCGACCTCTTTGACTCAAAGTAAATCTTGGGGCAATTAAAATGAGTGAATAATTAGCAAAAGTGGAAAAGTAGGGTGGGTCCTCAATATTTTTTAGACTGCAACTTTTAACAGCCTTGGGATAAATGCATCTCTCCAGATGAAACTGAAGCCTATTCAGTTTTGTGGGGAGAGATGAAGGAAACTTTATTATTAGAACCCCATTAATCAAATCTAGTGAATGCCATATGATACTTAACGTCTCTCTTAGAAAAAGAAACCAGTGATAGAAATACAAAACAATTCAAAATAATAAAAGATGTAACTTCTTGTTCCTAGGTTTCTGCAGACATATGCATGCTGCTTCATGAAAAAGTGGTATCAAAATTTTTCTTACAGAGCTTAAGTTCATATGAAATTGCAGCTCTTGCAGGAATGGTGGAACTTGCTAGAAGACAATATTAGGCAGGTAGTTTGGGACTATATATAGGTAGTCCTCAGCTAACAATTGTAGTTGAGCCTGACATTGATTTAAATCATTGTTAGTGACTAAGTGACCGGGGCCAATTTTACAACCTTTTTTTTTCTTGGAGCAGACATTAAGTAAACACCATATTCGTTATGTGAATCCACTTTTATTCTATGGGTGCTTTTTGTTGGAAAAATAAATAAATGCCAGAAACTTGCAAAAAGCATTAAAAAAATCACGGTTGAATGATTATGAGATGCTGCAAAAGTGAGCCTATTGCCAAGTACCCAAAATGTGATCATATGACTATGGGAAGTTGTTGCAGCCATCCTAACTTTGAAATTGAGCCATACATAGCTTTTGGAAGGGTCTGTTGTAACTTTGAACAGTCACTAAGTGGTTGTAAGTCAATAACTATTATATCTGTAGCTCCATATGCGCTTTAAATTTCTTATATCTCTAAGAGCTGCCTCTCTATTGTAAGTGACAAGAACTGCTAACATGGCTTCCTACTTTGGAGGTGGGAAATACACAGAAGCTGAGGTACAAGCCCCAAAGTAATTTTAATAAAGCTAGAAATAAACCAGAAACCCCATGATCCCATGCATGGTCCTTGATTTCTCTCCAAAAGGGTGATCTTTACCTCTTAAAAGTTGCCCATCCTAATTTAAGTATAATCTGACCACATTTTGTTCTTCTTTTCGTAGAACAGGAAATGTGTGGGTGTCTTTGAAGGGCACGCTTCCAAAGTCAACTGCCTCCTGGTAACTCAGACAGCAGGGAAAAATGTAGCACTCTATTCTGGCTCCAGTGATCACAATATAAATTGCTATAACATCAAAGTAAGTGTAGAGATTATGTTGACGCAACTAATTAACCAGGAGAAAAATGCATTGCCTTTTGTAATTCTGAATTTGTTCATTTGCTCCCTATGCCAAGCATGAGTGTTAGGATTGGCATTGGTAGACCTTCCCAGACATTTTGGAGTCTTGATATTTCTTCAGCTTTGTGGATCTTAAAGCATCTTCTAAGCATCTAAAAATGTGAGGTGGCTTCCGGAACTAAAAATATTTTCACCGATGCAAAGTGACAATACTATACTTGGGTTACAATTTAAATAATTATTTAAGCCAAATGATTTGTATAATTTTATTATTTGTACATATTCCTTGGTCTCAGATTGATAAAATTCATGGCAGTGATTTAGTTACAGACATCAAGGCAATACTATGTGTACATTGCTTTTTTTTTCTTAATAGACAAGAGAACTTATTGATCAGTTTAAACTGGATGACCGGGTGCTTTGCCTGCACAGTAGATGGAGGATCCTTTATGCCGGCCTTGCAAATGGAAATGTGGTCACTTTTAATATAAAGGTCAGTATAAGAGATGTAAACATGGCTAATCTCCAAGAAGAAAGGCTGCTGTATCGTGTGATAACTGAAAAGGACAAATAACGTTGGAAGTTCAACTTGTATCCAACTTCCGTAGTTAAAGAAACAAGGGGAAGATCTACCTGGGCACAGTCAGAGGTTGGTTGATGCATAAGCACAATTAGACATAGGACTAAAAATTTGCCTGGGGGGATAGTTACTGTGGAAGGAGTCCATGCACACTTTTCTGTTTCTTTGAATTATTTTTCTTTTCAAAATTAAAATTATGTAAGTATTTGCTATGGAGCAGAGTATATCTTAAAAGAAATTCACTCCATACAAAGTAAAGAACACTGTTTCTTAATGAAAAAAAATATTGTTTACAAGTCCAGTTATACAGGGATTTGGAGTTTGGGGGAAGGCATTCAAATAATCAGAAGGAGAAGGATTTAGTGCTGTTGGATCTGGAGGGAAATAATTGTGTCCCTACCTTATGTTTGGGTTGTATTTTCTTTTTCCCCAGAACAACCGACAACTTGAGACTTTTGAGTGTCACGGTCCTAGGGCAATTAGCTGTCTGGCTACAGCTCAGGAAGGGGCACGACGACTCCTGATTGTGGGATCCTACGATTGTACAATTAGTGTGCGAGATGCCCGAAATGGACTACTGCTCCGAACCCTTGAAGGTCACAGCAAAACAGTTCTGTGTATGAAGGCAAGTGCCTTAAAAAGAAGATGTTTTATTGAAATGCAGCCATTTGAAACAATTCGTAACTTGCAAATGAAACTCCATTCTTTTTGCTTGATGCTATTTCATCAGTTCTGAGGAGAAATAAGATGAGAGACAGCTGCTTTACACATAATCAGAGTTTTGGGTCATCCAACCCAATTGTTGTTTGGATATTGTTTCAAAGACTTCAGACGAGCCTTTCTTAGCCCAATCAAAATAATGAGAATTGAACCTGGGATCTTCTCTAATATAAGTATATTTTAAAATTTTTCCTGAATGTTTTTATTAATTGAGCTACGCCAGAGATAAATATTGCCAGAAGTGATTTCTTCCTTCCCTTTTGAGATCCTTCAGTGATATGTTCACCACTCATGTTTCTTTTGCAACACAGTCCTTTAGATTTCCAGAAATCCCATTGCTTTCAGTATCACTTCTGATTACACCAGTGCTTCACCTCTAAGATAGCTTCTTCAGTTGCCTACTGGATACTTTCTCCTTGGATATCCCATTATCATCTTATTCTGACAGTTGTTATCTTCTCATATTTTTTCAGAGTCTTCCTTGTATTGTTCCATTCACTAAAAATCAATGGAATTGTTGAGATAGAAGAAGCAATTTAGATTGAGTTCAACTCTAATCTTGATGTTCTCTAACCTTAACACCCTCCCCCCCCCAGAAATATCTATTTAAGGTCTTCTTGAATACATCCAGTAAACGGAACTCATAGTCTTCTTAGATAACTTGTTCGCCCCATCTTTATTCAAAGGACATAGTATTCAGTCCCTTATCATCCTTCTTATTTTTTTGGGAGTTCTTAATGTACTGGACAGAATTGGGCATAATACTATATTTGAGGTTAGGTTTGACCAGTATAGATTGGAATAGAACTATTAGTTCTGTAATTTGGAAATTATATTTTTATGAATGAAGTTAAATATTGTATTGCCCTATTTAGATAGCAGCACTTAGCTAGTTTTGAAAAAAAAAAATTGTTAGAATCAGACCTGGTTAGTACTTGGATGTGAAACAACCAGGAAATCCCATTAGAATTGAAATTTAAAAAAAAATCTGAAAGAAGGCAGTAGCAAATTACTTCCCTATTATTTCCTAAAAACATAACCGTGAAATCACCAGGAATCTTAATTTTGTAACTGTAGTTTTTATACTGGTTAAATTTTCCCATTTAAATATCTATTATTTTAATATACACTGTTACTAGGCCATTTATTCTGTATACCTATGTATGTGGTTGTTAAAAAAAAATGCAAACTTTTAACCAGATACCATACCTTGACCTGAACTTTATTTTAATTTGCTACTCAATTTTTTATATTTAATTCCATGTGTGTAGCTCTTGTATACAGCATTACAAAATTATGGTTCTTCATTTCTGTTCTTTTTGTATAGCTTTAACTGCTGCATTCTTTTATGTCCTTTCTTGTATTTGTATTGCACAATACAGAGAAGAGGAACTGTTATAAATAATAACGATTTGATTAGAGTGTGAAGATTGACTATCACATTCTTATTTTTGGCAAGCAAATCCTTTTATATATCAAGCGTAGGCCAAATAATTCAATCAAAAATCCAGAACTGTGCCAAAGTCTCTCCTGCAGGTCCAATAAAGACTTGCGTTCATGTTCAGATCAACCTTCCTCAGTGAAAGGCACTTTGAAGCAGCTCTTCCCAGGGAGATTGTATTTCAAAGGCATTTCCAACAGGAGAGACTAAATACTATCCTCTGGGTGGATGCACTCTAGACCAGTGGTGGCGAACCTATGGCACGCGTGCCAGAGGCGGCACTCAGAGCCCTCTCTGTGGGCATGCGCACTGCTGCTGCCGCCAGCAGCTTGAGCACGTCCATTAGGCTGCTGCCACCACCCGGAGCGGCAGCCCCACCCAGCACAAAGGAGGCGAAGCGACCAGCTAGCCAAAGGCCACCCCGAGCAGGGAAAGCCGGATCCCCATCAGCACCATGGCCCCCCAGTCCCAGCTAGGATTGCGTGCCTCCCCCCCATCTATCCTGGGCTTCCTGCCCACCGCCCCATCCCCAGAGACCCCCTGGATTTCCCCCAACCCTGCCTGGCTCTCACAGGCATCCCATGAGCAATATCGAGGTGGCCATGCCCACCCCAGCCATGCCCACACAGTCTGCCGTGACAACTGGAGCCATGCCCCCCCTGAGGGTACCACAATGCCGATGCAGCCCTCACACTTTGTGATAAATAAGTGGGTTTGGGGTTGTGGTTTGGGCACTCGGTCTCTAAAAGGTTCGCCATCACTGCTCTAGACTTTGCTTATAGATGCTTCAGATAGAATGTCTCCTATTATGTTTCACTAACTTTCCCTTTTCTCTTTGGAAAAGAAGGTTCTAGAGCAGAAAGCTGCTTGCCAGCATGCCAGCTGGGAGAGGATGTGGGATTTTTGGAGGGAGGCTTTGTCTGATGCTTTGCAGATCAATCAGTTGGAGATGTAAAAAAAACCTTCCCTGTAATAGATAATAGTTATTTTAAAACACCACTAAACTTGGTATTGACTAGGTCTGCGAGTAACTGGGTTGAGTTTAATGCAGTTCTGTTCCAGCCGGTGCTCAGACTGGCTTTGTAATTCGTTCCCTAGACATGATTCATTCATTGTAATTATATTATGGCAATTAAATGTGAAAGCTGGTGAGGAATGAAGTATTTCTGGTTAAATATTGTATGTAATCTGGCTGTTGGCTTGATCTTCCAAGGTTGTAAATGATCTGGTCTTCAGTGGTTCCAGTGACCAATCTGTCCATGCCCACAACATACATGTAAGTTGTTCGAAAGTCATTTCATTTTAATCCATGAAATTCTTCATACCATTTTTACTTCTAACAAAATAATTTACTGTTAAATTAGTGTCGATATTCTATTTACACTAATTTTAAACAAGTGTTCATAGAGAGAAACACCTAATACTGAAACTTGAATCTTGACTGTAGAGGTTCTGAGAAATAGAAAAATTAATTGCCTTAGGAGAATTTCATGCACTATATTTTTTATTTGACTAGAGAACTCTGCCTGTTAAAAAATATGCTACTAGCCCTGTTTCATCTAGCTATGTGGAAACAATGGCTTGATACAGTATTTTAAGAAGAAATCCATCAGATAGCTATTATTATATTATGATCCACGAAAAACAACAGTAATTGAGACTCGTATTTTCATCACTAAACAATGCGGTCATTAAGTACAACATCACCTGACCACATCTCATAATGACGACAACCCCGGCAGCCCTCCCTATTGCCATCATTAAGTGAGGATCACAGGCGACTGACAAGCAAGCCGGGAGGCAGAAGGGGCATGCTCTGGATCACGTCAGCCAAGGAATTGATTGGCGGGTAAAGGAAAGGAGCCTTTCTGCTGCAGAAGATCGTGCACCTTGAGCTGAAATCTGCCCCCACCCTCTTGGCTTTCCAAAAGAGCCTCAAAACCTGGCATTGCCAACCTGGGACTCTGGTAGGGGCATCCCATTTTGGAGAAGGCTAGTAGATGAATACAAGATCTCACCCATACTCTGCCTCTGCATTGGTTCTTTTTATCCATTTTAATATTAATTTTAATGTATTAATTTTTACTATCTGATGTTTTAAAGTTTTAATCCTGTAATTGTTTTTATTCTATTAATTATGATATTGTAAGCAACTCAGAGGTGCTTGGTAGAGTGAGGGGCGCATACAAATTCAATAAATAAATAAATGGGGATGGGAATGGGAATGGAATAAGAATACAGTAAAGATCAGAACAGAATAGAATAGATAAATACAAATTCTCAGATGCATCTCTTTTTATTTCTAATGAATGATGGTTGTAAGGACACACTTTTACACAAAATACATAAAGATTGATCCCCAGTGGCTATATGAAAGTGTTGTTCACACTAGACAGTTAACAATCTTTCTTACAATGCTCACTTCATTAACGATATAAACTAAAGGAGAAAAATCTCTTTTAAGATTTTGTTCTTAACAGGAGGGTGTCTATAAGAATTTAGTAGAAACAATCAATTTACTTGCTCTGCACATACCCATTTATCCTGCTCATCTTGTTGCAGACGGGGGAGCTGGTACGGATATACAAGGGGCATAGCCATGCAGTAACTGTTGTGAACATCCTGGGAAAAGTAATGGTAACAGCCTGTTTAGACAAGTGTGTTCGAGTATATGAGTTGCAGGTAAAAACCTAACTGATTTTATTTAAAGGGGAATGTGGTAATTATCTTTGTAAACGATATCCTTTGTTTTTCTTTGATCCCAAGTGATGTATTCATCTTCAAATATTTCATGAGTTCTAATTTAAAGCAACCCTTTTAGGTCTAAATTGGGTTTTAAGGAATCCTGTAGGAGTTGCACAAACTTCAGGATCTAATCTCTAGGAAGAATAGCTGCTGGGTTGTTTGTTTTGCATGCTGAACTTACTTGCCATGAGATAACAGTGTTGCTGTGAAGTCCTGGGTCAGTGATGGCGAACCTTTTAGAGACCGAGTGCCCAAAAACTGCCCCTGCCCCACCCCCTGCCCCACCCCCTGCCCCACCCATGCTCCACCCCCTGCCCCACCCACGCTCCACCCCACCCTGCCTGCCCGCAGGGCCACTCACCACTTCCAGGGCCCGCTGCAGATTGCCCAGGCAGCCCAGCAGCGCCACAGTGGCCACGCCCTCTGCCCACGCCCTGCAGCATCAACTATGCGCGTTGGGGCGTGAGAGCAGAGTCTTGTCTACGCTGCCTGGCTGCCATGTCCTTGGCTGCGCTGCTCCGCGTGGGCCACGTTCAGGGGCGACTCTCCTTCAAGGGGGCTGCTGGAGAGGAGGAGGTCGTAGGGGGAGGCGAGGCTGGGGCAACAGCATGTGTGCCCACAGAGAGGGCTCCGAGTGCCGCCTCTGGCACCCGTGCCATAGGTTTGCCACCACTGTCCTAGGTTATGTACATTGCCTGCCACACATTCTGAAAGTGTGAGGTTATTTAGAGAAAGAAATGACTTGTTTGATAACTTTTCTTCTGGGAGAGTCTGTGGCTGGAAATGAGTATTTAAAATAAGCGAACTAGAATTGTGGGGCAAAGAAGCAGGTTGTTTTGTTTTTCTTACATTGTTTACATGCAGTTTACTAAATTCTTTAGGTATATGCTTATTGGCTTATTTTCTTTGTTTCCCCCCCCCCTCTTTTCCACCAAGTCTCACGATCGTTTACAAGTCTATGGAGGACATTCGGATATGATTATGTGCATGACCATTCATAAGAGCATGGTAACACTTTGTTTTCCCTTTCTGTAATAGTAGGGATTTTCCTCTTATGATTATGGCTATCTGGAAATAGATTATTATTTTTGCTTGCTTTGTAGATAGTGTTTTGCAAGTAACTTCGTGCTGGGTTCCCTCTGGTTGGGAAATAGGACTGTAAAGCAATTATGAATTTGTTAGAAGTTGTATCTAAAGAGCTAAATATCCTCAAACCCACTAGAGGGTTTAAGACTTGTGGACTTCAATTCCCAGAATTCCTCAGCCAGCTTTGCTTGAAGTCCACAAGTCTTAAAGTTGCCAAGGTTGAGGACCCCTGCACTAGAGTACCCAATGAGGAGTATCTGTCACCTGGGGGAAGATAAGCAGGCATTTGTATCTTATATTTAGGAACATCAAACTGACATTACCACTTCTCTATGTGCATAAGGAGATTCTGGATTCTAGCCAGGCTCTAACAAAAGATATACCGTATTTTCCGGCGTATAAGACGACTTTCTAAAGCAGTAGTTCTCAGCCTGTGGGTCGGGACCCCATTTGGGGTCGAACGACCATTTCATGAGGGTCGCCAAACAACACAGTCCGCCATTTTTTCCCCTTTTCCTTAGCTGTGCTACTCCCTTTTATTCTATTGGCTTTTGAAAGCCAATAGAATAGACTCTCTTGAATAGAGTCTAATTCTATTGGCTTTCAAAAGCCAATAGGAATTGTCCAGGCTGTCTCTGCCCTGCTGAGCCCGCCAAAAGTCCCATTCTGCAAACGGTGCTGCACCAGTTGAGTAGTCCTCGACTTACGACCAGTTGGAGGGTTGCAGCATTAAAAAGGTTGAGAACCACTGTCCTAAAGCATGCAAATCGTCTCCGAAGTCGGGGGTCATCTAATACGCCGAGTCGTCGTATACGCCGGAAAATACGGTAAGTAAATTCACAGATCAGAAGAAGCCAATCTAATGTCCTGCAGTTGGATTGGACCCCAAACTTTTATCTGCCCTTGTGGGATGGCCAGGGGTAAGGGACTGTATTTAGTATTATTTATGTAAATTTGGCACTCCTTTTTCTCCCCTCCTCCCATATTAAAAAGTATCCCAGTTGGATACTTTAAAACAACTGAACTGTGATAAAATAATACAATTTTATCCAACTCTTTTCAACCTGTGAAAAGCATCAGATAACTTTTGAATAAACTTTTAACATTTGAGATGACTAAACCAGCAGAAATCTGAAAAGCACAGCAACTCTAGTTTAACCAACAGCCTAAGTAACTAGGTTATACAGTATGTTTTTCACTTCTGTAGTAACCCAGGTGTGTGTCTGTTTTTTTTTTTTTTAAATTGGGCACTTACCATAGAATGCCTCCATAGCCTGAATGGCATCATTATAAGTTGTTATCCCATTGACTGCATGCAAAAGTTATTTCTCAGGAAATAGCACCATTCAAACACTTAATGATATTTGTACTGTTAAACCACTTGTTTAGTTACAGAACTTAGTTTAATAACTCCATAGAATAACTGAGGGACTTTATTCAATTGACGATCCTGCATTAATTGGTTGCATATTCATGTATATTTTCTAAACATTACTACTGATTTCTTGGTAAAATAGTTTTTACAGTTCATACTTAGGTTTTATTTTCATAGATATACTAGCTGTTTTACTGTTATTGATATCTTTTTTTTAAAGTTCATACTAAAGGGTTTTTCACATCTTCAGTAGTATGCTGATTGAATTGCTTCCCTTAATCCAACCCATTATGAACTGAGTGATAAAGGCGTGTATAGAAATTAATTCAACATTTTGTTTTTTTATCACTAAAATATATAAGCTACTGTACAAAAAAATAAATAGTCTAATCATAGTGGAATTCTAAATATAGTACCAGTGACTACTGCATTTGGTATATCCATGTCGTTTTATTCTTTTAATTCTAGAATTCTTTTTTTCCTCTTTCAGATCTACACAGGTTGCTATGATGGTAGTATCCAAGCCGTGCGGCTTAACCTGATGCAGAATTATCGTTGTTGGGTAAAGACAAAAGCATTTTTGCTCTTTAGACTCTGAAGTTCATGCAGTTGTTTGAAATACTTGAAACCTGTTGAATCCACAAAAATGTAACATAAATAGGATTAAAATGTCAACAAAACCATATAGTTGAAACAGTTAAAATTGGAGTTGGGCAGTTATAAGAAATTCCACTATAAAAGGCAGGCTAGGCACAAGGTATCAAATATTCTAAATAAATTCTCTAAGCCAAATTTGAATCAGATTCTTTACCTACTAATGGAAAACAATTAGTTCATTCCAGGTTCCAGGTAAATCTCAAGTAGCCTTTAAACTCCTTAGTTTAGTCTTCATTTAAGAATGGCCAAAAATCTTGACTCCACCCACTCTATTCTTTGGAGGGTGGGCTCAGAAAGATGCTGGAGGGTCTATCTGCCCATCCCTAGATGACTTTCATTTACATCCTAAGGAAGCTGTTGAAAACAGGACTCTTTTCACTAGTTCATCATCCCCCCATCAGGGCAAGGGAAGCATACTTTTCAGATAATGGAACTGTTTATGTTGTGAAGGCACTATGATGACAGTGAGATGTAAACCTCACTCTTCCTGGTGGAATCCCCTGGGCAAATGTAGGGCTTCTGGTACTTTTAAGTAATCAAAGTATTCTCAAGAGAGAAAAACCAAGTGTGGTGTGGAAAGTTGAAAAAGCAGGAGCTGGTGCCCCTCCCCTTCAAGCAATCCTTATGTTAAAATGGGTGCTTTGAGAAGACCAGTACTTGATCCCTCAGTTCTCTCCCATCTTCAGCATGGAAGAACATCATAGTTCCTTTATATAACGTTGTATTCTGGAGCGGAAAGTGTCCGTCTCTGATAACTGCATGAAGTGTTTTTTCTTTTTGGATGAAAGGTGTAAAGATCTTACCTGTAGTATCTTAGAGGGATGAAACAAACTTGGTACAATTACTGCCAGGTTTCTGTTCAGAAAACTCAAGACTATAAATGTGATGTAAGACTATATATGTGATGTCTTTCAGAACGACCAAAAACTTCACGTTTATCATTTGACTCTCTTCTTTTTCCTATATGTGGATTGAAGTGGTCTTACAGTTTTGGTTACTTCAGTCCTATTCCTACTTGCTGTTAACGCTGCTAACATCGGATGTTTTTGCTTTGACAACAGTTGGAGATGCAACCATTTTCTTCTTATGTTTTACTTTTAGAGCTAGAGCTAGAGTTAGATGATGCTGGGAGGAGGAATGTGTCTGAGAGTTCAGCTAGACATAACAATACTGGACCTAGTGTGTGACCTAAGGTTATTAAAATAAGAGATGATAAGAATTGGCCGGTCTGGAGGGAAAGCCTGCATTTCAAACTAATTGGTGAATGTGATTTATGACCATTAATTGGAGGAGGGAATTGTGCTTTGATACTATGTGCTCAGGGGAGGGGAATCCAGTTTTTGGCTTCGACTGTGTTAGTGCTGATGCTGTGCTTCTCAAATAAAGATTCTTTAAGGTAAACAATGCCTCAAAGTTCTCTGAAGAGTTTCATCTATTGGAACCATGACACTTGCAGTGTCAATGGAGGATTGAAAACCTTTGTGCTACACAAAGCTGTGCAGTATAGGGGTTAAGATGTTATAAGACCTTGGGAGCTCCTTGGATGATTTGGGGTCAGCCATTTTCTCTCAACCCAACTTATTTCAGAGTTGGTGTTGGGAAAAATGTCAGAATGGAGTGCTGTGGACAAAAATGAATGAATGAATGTACCATTTATGGTTTTACAGAGCTAGCTTTTACTAAATCATGCTAATTAAGGTTCCTCTAGTTCAGTATTTTCTTATTTTTCTCTTTTTTAGATTTATGAACTGTAGAAAAATGGTTCCATTCTTAATGTCTCCACTAGCTTTTAGCCTATCTTCTGTTACTGGTTTTATGTCATTGCCATTCCCTCTTTCTAACAGTTTTATTTATTTTCTTTATCAGTGGCATGGATGTTCACTTATATTTGGAGTTGTGGACCACTTGAAACAGCATTTGTTAAATGACCACACAAATCCGAATTTTCAAACTCTGAAATGTCGCTGGAAAAATTGTGATGCCTTCTTCACCTCCAGGAAAAGCTCCAAACAGGTATGTAGCAAAGAAATTGGATAAAAGGTGAAAGATGAAGTAATTATTTGGAGTGTAGTTCTTGTAGCTTGGGAAGAGAGTGATCTACAAAAACTTTAATATGTGGTTTTGGGGGTTTTTTTGAGAAAAAAAAGGTGCACAATTAACTGGCAGTCCTGTTGCCGCTGTGTTATAAGGAAACACAGAAGAGAGGAGAGGAAAATCTATTCCTGATGTAGTGTCAGAAATGTCTGGTGCCCTTGTTACTCTGCTGTTGGTTCTTCGATAGTGGTAACTGGAAAAGAGACCAATTTAAGGGTCTTGATCTACAATTCTCCTATTCTCCGCAGACAACAGAAGTACTAAAAAATGTGCTAGCTGTTGACATATTTATATTCCCTTTAGATTCCCCCTCTTTCCCCACTTGTTCTGTTCTTTCTTTGTGAGCTCAGCAGCATTCTTTCTGTCATCAATTATTCTTCTCAGGCCTTCATTGGATTGCCTTATAAGATATTTTTCTATCACAGTGTTTCTCAACCTTGACAATTTTAAGACATGTGGACTTCAACTCCAGAATTCCACAGCCAGCATTGCTGGCTGTGGAATTCTGGGAGTTGAAGTCCACATGCCTTAAAATTGTCAAGGTTGAGAAACACTGTTCTATCATATATGTTACTTACACATTGGTCATGCACATACATTACTGCAGTAAACAGTTCATTAAACAACTAGTGAACATATCATAGAATATTTCACAAAGACCAATCAAATAAAAGCTAAAACTGCTCAGTGAAAGCACGGGGATGCTTTTAACTTGCTGGTCAGAACTTAAAGATGTAAGAAATTTAATGAGAAAATTTCAACTTTTGACTAGTGTTGTCCCAAATCTTGGATGTACACTGGCTTGGTCATTGATGTGTTTAATTTTTTTATAGGTCGTTGGAGTGTAAAAATCTGAGCTGATTGAAACCAACCCTCTTTTGTTTCTGCTTCTAGGATGCAGTGGGACACATCGAGAAGCATGCAGAGGATGATAGCAAGATCGACTCGTGACATTTTTCAGCCTCCCATATTGGGAAGTATTTTTTTATACACAAGAAATTTTACATGCCTTGTCCACCTCATTCTTTTCTTTTTCCTCCGGTTCATCCTTGGAGCGCAAAAAGAACACAAGCCTTTTTCTGTTTTGTCTACAGAGACAGGATCTATTCACAGCTCTGCAGAGAAAGGAATGACAGAGTCATGCCAAAAAGCTGTTTATACCATTCACTTGTTAGGAAAAAAAATCTACTCTTCCTCTTACTTGCACTGTGCAAATAAGTGCATTGTGCTTATCTCTTACTAGGTATTCAGAGTAAAGTTGAATAAACTTGGGGCCCTACCTATATATGTTTTAACCATCAGTTTTCATGTTATATGTAGGATCCCCTGTTAATATGTGTTTCTGGCTTTGGAGTATTTTAATTACTGAACACAGGCTAGAAATACCACCTGATTGTTGACTTCCTTATTTTTTTTCTTACTGAAGTCTTTGAGATACTTTGCTGTGGGAGTAAACAGTTGGCTCATTGTTTGAGTTACTTTATATTGTGGCTTCAGTTTGAAATGTGAAATCTACACAATTAATCACAATTGTACTTGATTTGGGGGGCGGGGAATGCTTTGGCTCCAAAGGCTCTTAGGGTGGCACAGAACATACTGTTAAGACAGCAGAATACCTGTTTTCTAATACTGTAATTTCCCAGTTATTTTAAGAGTACTAGGCACCATAATACAATCACCAGTGAATATAACTTATATTAGACATTTTTGGTTAGATTTATACCCAGTGCTCTCTTGCCACAATATTGAAACTGTTTTTTTTTTGGTTCTGAGAATTTCAAGTTATGACCATTCTGGCATTTGAAGTAAGTGAAGTTTTACTACATTTTTACTTGCTTCAGCCAGCTAAGCCCATGAGAATCCTGTTCTTTGCAGTCAGCTTTTTGATAAGCATCTTGTCTCACAGCAACTGACTAAATAACTTCAGTTCCTATAATTGCAAGTTATTCAGCTGTTGGGTGCAAACTGGGAAGATTTAAAACCCAAGTAGAAGCTGAGAATTTTGCAAGTATTTTGTGCTGTCATTTAAAGGAACAAAACCAAGCAGCGTGACAAATGCAAGGATTTTTTTTTAAAATGGCATATGTGTTTGTGAAGGAAATGTGTATATGGTCAGTGCTGTCTGGGAAAGTTGGTGCTGCAATTTGCGGTTTTCAGAAAGTGGTTCCCTATTTAGATTTCATCTACTGCTTGTGGCATCAGTTCTGGTTTTTCCTCCACAGAAAAGCTAAAAACCTCATTATTAGTCTAGCACAGTGGTTCTCAACCTTTCTAATGCCGCGACCCCATAATACAGTTCCCCATGTTGTGGTGACCCCCAACCACTTATACATCACCGGGTGCCAGGGGTGTGACCAAAGAAAAGGGGAAAAAAATGGTGGACAGCCTTGTTTGGCGACCCCCGTGAAATGGTCGTTCGACCCCAAATGGGGTCCCGACCCACAGGTTGAGAACCACTGGTCTAGCAGTATCTGACTGTGAGCTTAACTACACCAGACAATGTATACATATCAGAAGAATAAATGATATTGTAATTAACCTTTAAACATAAAGCTAATTCATGTCTAACTTAGTGACTTGAACAGCTGGAAGAACAAACCAGTTGGAAGTTGCTGTACATGATTTGTTGACAACTCAGATAACCTTAAAGCAGTTTTGATTCTGGTCCTTTCTTTTGACCTTTTGCCATGTTCAAAAATAATGAACAATTCACTGGTTCTCTTCTATTGTTAGGACATCTTGTTCTGTAGCTTGTGTGTGATTTCTGGCCAATAGTGCCTCCTCTTTTCATGACATTGTTGGCAGCTGAAATCAAACAGGCTGAAGGAAACCCTTAAATGCTTACTTGAAAGGCTGCAAAAACTTTCATTTTGTAGATAGCCAAATATCAAATGACATTTTAAAATATAGCTCATTCTTATTTGAATGTGTTTGAAGTTAAATTACAGAAGTAGGAAGTATTTTTGCGAGGAAAAATATATGGAGTGTGTTATTAGTTATGTGAATGAGTGAATCTTAATTTTGCATCCTCTTCAAGTTCCTTTTTCAGTATTTTAACTGGAAGAGGATGGTGACTTGATACGCAATAATTTAAATGTTCTTTTGGCATCAGTAGTTGCAAGTGATTGATAACTTGGACTACTTTGTGTTTTTTACTGTTTAATACTATATGTATATTTAGGTGTGTATGTGCGTGCACACATTTAAAATGAGTGCATTTTGGGATGCTTTCATAATTTGTAGTAAAACTTGTTCAGCAATAAAAGTGTGGCCAGGTTTTATTAGTTGGTTCTATGATATATGTTTTTCTTAATGAGAAGAATTGTTGCAAATGAGGTCATGTCGACATAATTCTTAGAAAGTTAAACTCCTCCTCCTTTCAGTGTGTTACACTGAAGCTCCACCATTTTTTCACATGGAATGTAAAATGTTCTCTTGCAATTCAGGTTATTTGTTTGATTTGAGGTTGTTTTCTGTACTTATACCTCTTTAGTTGGAAATATAAGCATGCTCCTTTAGGTTGCTCTAGAAATCTGGATGCAAAGAGAGCAAAATGGAATTTGCTGATTATTGATAGAATGGTAAGGTAGATGCATCAAGATTATGTACTTCGAAGAATGTCCCATTCTGGAAGGTTTTTCTCTTATTTCCTCAAATATATTAACTTTATCTTTAGAAGATATTTATTTTGAAAGGAAGGAGATAGAAATGAAGTGCCCAGAGTGAATTGCAGAGTGCATTATTAAAATGTGTGGGAAGTGTTTGGTTTTGTGTGCTGGCTGATGTCTGAGCAAGTTGTTGTAGGTTGTATATGCAATGTATTTGGATTGCATGCTAACATATTTCTTCAGTACAAGAGGTGTGTGTTTTTAAAATACCGTTAAGTTTTTGTGTTTGTGTGGTGAATGTGTTTCTTTACATTAATGGTTCTGCTGTGGAGGACTGTTGTGTGTATCAGCTGCTGTAGAATTCAGGTATTTGGCTGGTTGCATTTTTGTCCCACTAAATAGCAGAAAACCTGCAAGTATTCCAGCTTCTGTTTGCTCTTTGAGACACTACTGGGCTACGTGGACTGAAACATAAAAGCTACAACATCTTAATAAAGTGGCAAAGCACCCATCTTAAAAAGTCTGGACTGCATCCTAAATATCTAATGACGTTTTATCTTCTTTCTAAATGCAAGTTGGGGGTATATGTTTCATAGTGCACATGTTCAAAGACAGATACATTAAAAATTAGTATTCAGGCAGCCAGCAGCTAACTTGCTCTAAACACTTGAGTTTCCTAGATAATCTATAGTTGTGAGGAATGGTTTGCACAGAACATATAAGCAGGTACTCCATATAGTACTGTGCATTAATGCAGCTAGAAGGTCTCAAACAACACAACATTTAAGGCAAGAACAGATTCCTGTAATAGCAGAAATATCAGCTGGGAAAATAGCATATTAACTCTGTTGTAACTGTTTAATTAGCATCTTTTCTCAGTTTGTTTCAGTGAAGGGTTTAGTCTTTCCTTTTTGCTACAAAGCTGTGAATTAGATAAGATAAACAGCAAAAAGAAATAAAATAAATTTACTTTATCCCAAGAGAGTTGTGGTGTAGTCTATTTTTTTTTTCAGATTTCACTTAATCATTTAAATATGTCATTTACTTTTGAGGAAAAAAATGGGAAAATGATTGTTCAGCATCAAATTCAGTGCTTCTCAGCCTTGGCAACTTTAAAAAGGTTCCCCAATCAGCCAGGAGGAATTCTGGGAGTTGAACTCGACATGTCTTAAAATTGCTGAGGGTCAGGTTCTGTACAGTCTCTGAAGAATAGCAAAAAGGCCTTTTGAAAGAATATTTCTTTAGTATGGAGCCTGTTTCACTATTTTTTACCTAGCTATGTCACATACCTCAAAGGTCAGCTTCCCAAAACCACAGTTCCAAACATAAGCAAAAATATTGGATAGCAATCCTCCTTCATACAATTCATACAAGCATCTGTTAAAAAAAAAACTGGACCCCTACAAGTAGCATTTTTTTCCTAGGGTTTTTTTAAAATCACATTTCATAATGTTAACACAGCAGAACCAGTGAAAGAGTTCTCATTTATTATGCAACTTTTGCCATATTATCCAAAACAATGGAACCATTGTTTGCATAGTATTTGCTAAAATGGGATGGGGGAGTACAGTTTCCAAACAAATGTAGTCATAGCACTAGGTCACAGTTAATCCTGTGTGCAAAATGTCTTATAAAAGAAGTCTTGTTTATATGTCAATACAGACTTCTATAAAAGTTCTACTGTAAGAAAACCCAGACTTGCTGAATCTGTCCGTCTGTCAAAGTTGCCAGAATAAACTTATAATTTAGCTAAAATATTTTTCCTGCAGCTTAGGAACCAAATTAATTGCCAGAAGTCCTTGACTTGCGACCATAATTGGGACTAGAATATCTATTGTTAAGTGAGATGGTGTAAAGTGACTCACACCTGATTATATGACCTTTGTGCAACAGTGGTTGAGCTAATCCAGACATGTCAAACCTGCGACGTCATGTGACGTCGTGCGACATATCGGGACTGTTTTGCCATTGCCGGCAATGGGGTGGACGTGGCTTCTGCGTGATGCATCCGGCCTGCGAGCCGGCAGTTTGACACTCCTGAGCTAGTCACTGTAGCTAAGTGAATCACACTGTCGTTAAGCAAACCCAGCTCCCCTATTGACTTAGCTTCTTACAAGCTGGCTGGGAAGGCCGCAAACAGCTATCACATGACTTCAGGACACTGCAACCATTGTAAATACATGCCAATTGCCAAGCACCCAAATTGTGAAAACATGACTTTGGGGATGGTGCACCAGGCTTAAGTGGTTGAGAGTCACTTTTTTCCCCAGTGCCATTGTAACTTCAAATGGCCGCTAAATGAATGGTCAAGGACCACCTATAGTTCACCACAATATTTAGCCATCTGTCTAGTCATTTGACAAATCCTGTTTTAATATTTAATCTGTGTATATTGATATATTCTGTTGCTGGACATACCGTAATTGTAGGAAGCTTTGGCTACAGGAATAATAACTGATGTAACGTATAAGAAAATCAGATGAACATAATTTAGATAGTTAAATGTTTGAGTCAAGTTATTTTCAAATAAGTTGAATTACTTAAATCAGATGAACTGCATTTTGGCAAGTTGTAGTGTTTAATAATGATAAATTGCTCTGCTGTCCCCTAAATATCTCAGGTGATAAGAGGTGCTATTTCAACATAAGAACAATAATTTTGATTTGCCACGAAGCTCATGCATCTAGAATTGATTCCATCAGGAGAGCAGATACCACTTCTTGTGCACCAGATGCTTCACTGCTTTTGTTACTTCTCCATAAGCAGTTTCCTTGGACATAAATCTGCTGGTTTATACTTTCTTTCCATGTAATTTTGAAGAGGGAGATGTGCTAGACATCAGTATCTTGTAACTGAATGTTGGCTGATTAAGTCAATAATCGAAGAGAAGGTGAAATAAGTGGTAATCAGGCGTACATGGTGAGCTGTAGCCACTGGAAGTAGAAAACAAGTATTTTAAGATAATAGGCATTTCTTCAATATGCAGAACAAAACTACAGTATGTGGATCTGTGCAAATCCCCTTAACCCAGTAAAGAAATTGACTTAAAATACAAAATGAGTATTTTCAACATCAGACTATGAATTTGTTTGTTGACTCCCATTCCCATACTCATAGATACTTGCATCCAAATAAGGATTTCCAGTGTATTAAACCTTGCAATGACACTGCATTTGCAAGGCCTTATTTCGTTTCTAACTTCTAGCTCAGTTAGAAATGAACTCATTCTTTAAGCTTGTACTCTCTATCACAAAGTTGGATTAGAAATCTTATAAACATTGAAAGCAAAATATATTTTTTACTATCTTAAAAATAAATTATAATACAATACACACTATTAAAGCTAAATTAAGTTGCCACTATCAGCAGAAAAATCTTTGAAATTATTTCAGACACGTATATAACCTAATGCTAAATATGCTAAATAAGTGTCGCTAAGTTCAGGAGAATTTCCTCAAAGACTAGCCTACAGGTAAATGTGGATAGTTCTGGAATATTTAAACTTCTATATTGAGCCCTGTTTTATCTACCAGGTTTCCATTTATCTCTCTAATTCATCTAAAGCATTTGAGTTAGTAATAGATAATGGACCTTCACTATAGAATAAACCTAATACCGAAGTCCCCAATCTTTTGAGCACCAGGGACTGGTTCCATGGAGAGGTTTTTCTGCAGACCGGAGAGTGCATGGTTTTGTGTGCTGTCTGCATCCCACAGATGGGGCTTGCTTGTTTGTGTGGACCGGTTGCTGGTATGCCGTGGCCTGGTACCGTCCACAGACTGGGGGTTGAGGACCCCTGACCTAATACATCTGCTTTTTAAAACAGATATTCTTGAACTTGCACTCAAATCTGCATGAGTACCCTACGTAAACTATTTTGCCTTTCATGCAGTCTACAACAGCAATGTAAAACTAAACAACTTTTATAATCGGTTCCTTTATTAAGAAACAATGACCCTACAATTTCAATAAGGGCTTTTGAATCCTACCTACAATAGTAATTCATATTCTCATTCCCACCCATTTGGACTACTGCTCTACATAAGACTGTTTTCAAAGGCACCTCAGAACCTGCAATGAATAAGAATACAGTGACTTGTTTGCTATCACTACATACCATGAATGTTTTTCATCTGTTTTGTGATCCCTGCATTTTTGAGTGCAATTTAAGTGCTAATTTTGATTTGTAAAGTCTTATGTGGCTTGTCACCCATGAACCAGCAAACCTAGCTCCTTCAATCATTGACCCATTAAATGTGAATAACTTGAGAAAAACTGTTCCTCACCTCTCGGGGTTGAGAAAGACTAAGAGAAGGGGGAGAAAATGCTTCTCTGATAACCGTCTTTTTTATTATAGAATAGTTTACCAGTAGATATTAGACTTGACCTAATTGTGTTGGCCTTTGGGAAAAAAGTTAAGATGGAACCCTTTCAGAGATTTAGTTTTGTTTTCCTAAGACAGGGCTGTAAATTGTTTTCTAGTATTAAGAAAAATTAGATATTATGAATTTTTAATTAATGTACTATGGACATTCTTTTTTGTAAACTGCTCAAAGAGGCATGATTATCAGAGTTTCAGCAAATACATCAATAGTTACCTCTAAGACGTTCAGTTTAATAATGCCATCTCCATCTTTATCAAAGGCTTGGAATGCACCTAAAATGAGACAAACATAAGGAAGATCACTCTATAGAAGTCAAGAAATTAGAACAATAAATACAATACTTTAGAACTATTTGTTCCCAATATTTTTAACTTTATCATTCAAATATTAATAGGAAATCCTAGCTACTGTGTACCATTCAGTCAGATAGTTTAACTTATGTGACAGAATTACATAACTATCAATCATCAGCTGTAATTATTTGTATTAGTCACTTTGGAGACCTTGTGATTTGAGAGAGAAATCAGTTGAGACAAGTAAATTCCTCCTGTGGATAACAGTTTAAATGAGGCCATGCGGGGCTCGAATGTTTCAGTTTGACCAAAGAATCAGCCTTTCCATGAAACAGGCAATACCAGTTTGGTTGCATGCCACTCAGTCACTTGCTTGTGAGATGGGTGCCTATCTAAATAATATAAACAAACAGTGTAATGAAATGCTATTTGTTTCTGCAAATACTGTCGGGTAATATTCATGTAGCAAGAGCCAAGGTAGCTAAAGAGACTAGCATTTTTTTGCTTTGGGACACTCCTGCCAAACTAGATGCATTGCTGACTCCTAGGCACCTTTTCCTACACAATGTATAAGAGGAAGCACTATCTGCAAGGCTTAATGTACAAGCAAAGAAAGGTTTAAAAAGAAAAGTGGCTGAAGCCCAGTTACAAGACTCTTATGTCCCGGTGCCAAATGCTATTCATGAAACAGCTTCCCTGGGATTTTGCTAGCTGCTAGTCAGCTAGTGCAAAGTTAGTTTGCCCCCTGTGATGTACCTTGGATAGTGTGCATGCATGAACAAAATGAACTAGCAGTCTTAGGTTGCCAGAACTATTTTGTGGTAAAAAGCATTGTAGACTTCCCTGGTTATGTAGCCCATATGCTAAAAAACCCCCAAAACCCTGGATCTTGGAATGGAATTGGGAGATAGAGACATTTTAAAGAAATATACTCACGGAACATTCCTTCCAGTCGCACAAAGCAACAGATAAAACTGTCAAATTCAATATTCATATTCCTGTCAGCATAGCGCATTGTAATGATATCATACAATTGGTTATTCAGTTGAAACCCTGAGGAGAGAAAGAGATGAGAAGGTCCCGGTGGAGAGAAGTGACTTCTTTTCTTCTCGATCACTTTTCTGTGAAAAGCTACATGTTACTGATGCAAAGACCCAGATAGATAAAATAAGAGAAGACTCCACCCCAAATTCTGCCCAAGAACCCAGCCAGACTATACTGGGAGTTCCCAACCTGGGGGTGTGAGATGATATTTCAGGGGGTGCGAAAACTTGGGTTTTCAAAATTATAGTGTATATGCATAATTCGTTGCCGTTATTTCGAACTTTTGTAAGGGGTGCGAGAATATATCAGAAGCGTTCTAGGGGTATACAAAAGGTTGGGAACCACTGCCCTGTACAAACCTGCATCTTTAACTGCATTACGCATCTCATAGCTGTTAATGATTCCTGAATGATCGGTGTCATAACGCTTGAAAATTTTCTGGAAAAGCAAAAAGTGAAATAATCCTCAAGAATTTGATGCATACAAACTATTTTCCAGCATAAAAAAATGCACACCTCCAGAAATGCTGCTAAACTAAATCAGTCTATTCCAGAGTTGGCCTTGAAATGATGAAGCAAAAATTATGAAGAGAGGCTGAATAACACATGTGGGCTAAATTATTTCCCAGATCCCTCCCCCACTCAATACCCTTTCCTGTACTTAGTTGTATATTTACAATATTTATAGCCCTCTCTAATCATTCCAACTATCAGAGCTGGATAACAAAGTTGCAATACATAATAGATTTATCTTAGTGCTTGTAAGGGAAGCACCATATAATTTCTTTCACATTCTTTAAAATAATACGTGAACAGAGTGTTAACAATGGTAATCTGCAGCTGTTCCGTTTTGTATCCTTATTATGTTGTCATGTTATGTCTAGACCACAATTAATTCACAAGACAAGACTACCTGCCAGCTTTTAATTTTAGTCCAAAGGTGGCGAAATTCATCAAGATTTATTTTCCCAGAACCATCTGTCTGTGATAGCAGTTCAGTTCAAATTTCTCAAAGATTTTGAAATGAGATTTTTTTTTAATTTCCAGAAACCTGAACACCTTAGATAAAACTTCTTAATTACTTAGATAGTGAGCTATTAGAGAAAAAACTCTTTAGATGAAGAATACATCAGATCTGGGGGGGCTGAGAGCCACAATGAAATAGCATGCAAGAACCCATGCTGTGACAACTGGAAAAGGCTAGATCAAAGCAATTAAAATCTATATTAAATAAAAATCAAATTAAATGATTCACAGTATTATTAGTTCTCATATATTTCATGATCCCACCCTTCCACTGCATTAGCATTTAACTATTTATTAACAATTTCATAGAGTCATTCAGGGTTTTGTGCAGCCAAATTCAACCAAGGACTTCTGGTTGTAGATCAGTGGTTCTCAACCTTTCTAATGCCGCGACCCCATAATACAGTTCCCCATGTTGTGGTGACCCCCAGCCACTTATACATAACCAGGTGCCAGGGGTGTGGCCAAAGAAAAGGGGGAAAAATGGCGGACAGCCTTGTTGGGCGAGCCCCGTGAAATGGTCATTTGACCCCAAATGGGGTCCCGACCCACAGGTTGAGAACCACTGTTGTAGATGATCCTTTACCATGAAATAGAAGTTATGCTCCATCTTACAGAGTGTTTCTGTAAGAATGAAAAAATTAAGTGCTCTAAAACAATTATGAAGTGATTTTAAAAAAATAATTATAAATAAAACTCATTGCACTACTTGGCACTATAATAAGCTGACATTTATTTTATGCTGTGTATCCCATCCTGCTAAATCATGTTTTCTCACATTGCACAATGATATGACTATAATCTGGATCAACTGTTGTGATTTTGCTAAAACAAACAAACAAAAAGCTAAACTTTATAATAGCAAACCAATCTTAAGAAGAGTGGAATAACAGCTTCTTAGAGCAAGGAATTATTATTCTGTCTTCTAATTTTATATTAATTAAAAAGGATACATCCATTAAGGCAATCATGCTGCGGCAGGATTCCAGGGCAAAACCTTCTGTTTTCAAGTCTTTATCTAAAATGCAATGAAATACTCTATTACGATATAACATTAAAGCTAATTATTGTATTGGTATTAGCCATTTAAAATGTAAATCAGTTATTAAATTCTGAGCATTAAGAGACTTTATTAGTGTTGTAATATATGCACATTCCTAGGGCCACCCAACACTGCTTATGCTGTTGTATTCTGCACCAACTGCAGCTTCCAGATGCTTTTCAAGGGTAGCTCCCTGTAGACCACATTGTAGTAATCCATAGGGAGATGGACCAGGGCATGAATAACAGATAATTTAGGAAAATTGTAGCCTTTCTAGCCACAACTGCCGCCTGCTTCTTTAGAGTCAACCCGGAGGTTATGCCCTGGATTTGTCTGGGGCAGTGCAATCCCATTCAAGACCAGAGATGATGTACCTGATGCAGCAATACAATGGATTTGCAGATGGCTTCATAATGAACGTGGCTACTTTTGTGCCTCATACTCTTGAGTTATTCTTTGGTACCATAATGTGAAAAGTTCAGATCTAGCCTTTTGGATTTCATCACCTAATAACCCCAACGAATCACATTATAAAATGAGACTTGCACAAAAATCCAGTTTCTGCATCTTTATATTCTCAGAGGTTAACTTAAGAAAAGAGAAGCAGCACTTACGTTTTTTCAGAACATTGTTGAGGACGTTCCTTAGTTCATCAGCACTGATCTCCATGTCCTGTAAGTGATTAAAACAGGAGTGACGCTAATAGCCATGGAAATGAGACAGTGCAAGAATGAGCACATTATGCTGAGATGGGTCAAACTGTTGGGGTAATCCACATCATTTCTTTTCCATATCATTCAGTTTATCCAAGCATTTCCTTGACTTATTTTCTGCTTTGAACATTGTAAAGTATTATTTGTTGCAGACTTTAAGGTTGTTAGCAATATGCTCTTCAACTTCTTGAATGGAATGTTGGAAAGAAATGATGTAAAGCAGTGGTTCTCAACCTATGGGTCGGGACCCCATTTGGGGTCGAACGACCATTTCACGGGGATCGCCAAACAACGCAGTCCACCATTTTTTCCCCTTTTCCTTAGCTGTGCTACTCCCTTTTATTCTATTGGCTTTTGAAAGCCAATAGAATAGACTCTCTTGAATAGAGTCTAATTCTATTGGCTTTCAAAAGCCAATAGGAATTGTCCAGGCTGTCTCTGCACTGCTGAGCCCACCAAAAGTCCCATTCTGCAAATGGTGCTGCACCAGTTGAGTAGTCCTCGACTTACGACCGGTTGAGTAGTCCTTGACTTATGACAGGTTGGGGGTCGCGGCATTAAAAAGGTTGAGAACCACTGATTTAAAGGGATTCTGGACTCTGTTGCTGCTCTTATCAGCAGGATAATTCTCTAAAACCAGAAATGAATTAGAGAGAAGCCAACAATAGAAAAATGGAATTTGGAAATGGGCCGAATGAGCAAAAGTTCTTGGCTTCTTCCATCCCCAGCTGAATAATGAAGCCATCTTCATCCTCATCCTTGGGTAGAATTATTTCTGAACTGGATATTCATAAACATCTGACAGATTTCTCCAAGAATTATGCTCAAAAACTCCTCTGCCATCTTTTTTTTTTAAAAAAGAAAAGCTGATCAGCAATTGCAAGACAACACAAGGTCTCTGGTGGCAACGAGAGCAAATCAGATTAAGAGCTTGATTTTGATCATCAACAGCTCAATGCTCAATCTCTAATCTTGTCTCACTTGCAGGAATCTGACATCTTTTACTACAACGGCCTAGAAATATATTTTCCTTCAGCCCTGCAAGATAAATTTATCTCAGAATCTTATTTGGTTTTTCCAATTTTGCCCATCCCTCTCATCTAACGACTTGTCTTGTTCAACTTGCAGGTAGAACATCTGGGGAGGGCCCTTTTACCTCGGCCTATTTTTACTTATAGATTACAGAAATCTATAAGTGCTTTGCTTTGCTACAAGCATTGCATAAGGTATTTATTTGGATGCTACAATGCTGGTCTGCTTTAAGAAACAGCTATATACTTACGTCCCCAGCAATTTGTCGGAAAATATTTTGGAACTGTTTATCTTCTTCATTCTCTGTATCCCTTTCTGCAGGCTATAAAGACATGGAATGAAAAAAAGGCAGTGAACGGAAAGCTTTTGGAAAGTAGAAATGCTGTTTGATCCTTATAGGATGTTGCAATTCATTGTTGAAATTATTTCTTCTTTCTGGGTTGCTTCTTCCTGAGCTAAATTATTCATTAATTATTAATTTTAAATTATTTACAATTCTTCTTTTTCTGCACAACACTACAGGAACAATACAGCTAGTCCTTCTTTAGTGACTGTAAATGGGACTGGCATCTGGTTTGTTAAGGGTGGAAGTGATAACTAAGTGAAAAATTATAAGACAACGACTGTGGTTAGATTTTATTTCAGCTTTCCTTTGCTTTACAGCAGCGGTTCTCAACCTATGGGTCGCGACCCCATTTGGGGTCGATCGACCATTTTTCGGGGGTCGCCAAAGGCGATCCGTCATTTTCTCCCCTCGGGGGCGGCGCCGCGCATGCGCGCTGCGCATGGGGGCCGGCGCAGCGCATGCACGCCGCACATGGGGGCCGCGCAGCGCATGCGCAGAACGTTTGTGTGACGGGGTCGCCGTCACACAAACGTTGAGAACCGCTGCTTTACAGCATCATAAGGAAGAGACCTCAAACAGACAGGTGAGGCCAACAGTGGGGAAGGTTTCTGGAACTCGCCTTCAGTGTGCCAGAGATGGATTTCCAGGGAAAAAATGGCAAGTTGAAAAGACAGCAGGCAAAAAAGCTAATACAATTCTTGGTTGTATAAACAGAAGCATGGAATCAAAATCACGTGAAGCATTAGTACCACTTTATAAATGTTTAATAAGACCACACCTGGAATAATGCATCCAGTTTTAGTCACCACATTATAAAAAAGATGTGGAGACTTTGGAAAAAGTGCAAAGAAGAACAACTAAGAAGATTAAGGGCCTGGAGACAAAAAAATTAAAAACGGTTGCAGGAATTGGGTATGGCCAGTCTAGAGAAAGGAAGGACCAGGGGGAACATGATAGCAGTATTCCAGTATTTGAGGGGCTGCCACAAAGAAGAGGGATCAACTTATTTTCCAAAGCACCAGAAGGCAAGTCAAGAAACAATGGATGGAAATTAATCAAAGACAGAAGCAACTTGGAATTAAGGAGAAACAGAGAACAGTGAGGACAAGTAACCAGTGGAACTGCTTGCCTTCAGAAGTTGTGGGTGTTTCACCACTGGAGGTTTTTAAGAAAAGACTGGACAACCATCTATCTGAAATGGTATAGGGTCTCCTACTTGAACAGGGGGTTGGACTACAAGACCTCCAAGGTCCGTTTCAGCTCTATTCTGATTTATTCCGTCTGGACAAGAGAGGCCTTGAGATTGCCTACAAGCACTCCACAAGTGCTGTGACAGTTGAAGTCCACAAATCATAAAAGGCCAAGTTTGAAGACCTCTGCTTTAAGGCCTATTGGCCATTGTAAAATGTCACAGCACTCCATATTTCAACTGCTTGGCAAATGGCTCGCATTTATGACTGATTCCAGGTCATTATGCAATCTGATAATTTCTAAAAAGAAATTATTGAGCTTGATTGACTTGAAACTAGATGGGCATTGGTTATCAACCCTTCTGCAAATATCTTCAAAAGAACTAGGTTTTCCATCCCTCCTCAAATACAGATTCTATAAATATTTCTTCCCGTTCTTTGTACTGACACATTTATCCCCATGACTCTCATTGATACTGTAGTACTGTAGTTGTAACCTATGGGGGAGAGGATTAAGGAGCTTCTTCTCATGGCAACGGTAGGTCTACCACAGCAGTGCAGCCAGTTCATGAGAAGACAAGTTTATTGGATAAGAATGGAAGATATTCCAGTTAATAAAGGGAAAGACAGTCATGAGGTGGAATGACCTAACACTATGCAATGAACTAAAAGAATTTTTACATTTTCTCTCCCTCCCTGCCTCTCTCCCTTCCTTTCCCCCACCCCCCTCCTTACAGCTAGTGCGGTGGTGGCGAACCTATGGCACGCGTGCCAGAGGTGGCACTCAGAGCCCTCTCTGTTGGCATGCATGCCACTGCCACCAGCAGCAGGTCCATCAGGCCGCCACCGCTGCCCGGAGCAGGACTCCCGCCCAGCCCAAAGGAGGTGAAGCGGCTGACTAGCAAGCTCAAGTAGAGATGGTAAAGCAGAGGTCACCAACCATTGTCGATTGGTGGATTCAAAAAAAGGGAGGGGGAAGCACTGCAAATAGGGCGGGCCTAGTGCCTGCGTGATACTCACTAGCCCTGCCCCGTTCTTGCGTGGTGCAGCACCTTGTATCTGCACCCCGTGGCATGGCAGCAGCCGTTTTTGCGTCTTGCAGCATGTTGGTCCATTTTTGTGCCCCTGGTTTTGCACTCAGAGGTGCCTCCCTGCCCCCCCCAAGGACACCACAATGCTGATGCGGCCCTGGCACTTTGTGATAAATAAGTGGGTTTTGGGTTGCAGTTTGGGCACTCGGTCTCTGAAAGGTTCGCCATCACTGAGCTAGTGAATTACTACGCAGGTAGGATGATCCTACTCAAGTGGTGCACAATGATATCAAAACGTTTTTGCACCAACTCTGAACAGTAACTCTGATAGAGTTTTTGGACATGTCTTACTCATTCAGTACGGAGAGCAAATATTTAATATTATATAATGATATAAATATTAAAGAATAAAAAGGTAAAGGTTTCCTTTGTTCAGTCAACTTTGACTCTAGAGAGTGGTGCTCATCTCCATTTCTTAGCTGAGGGAGCCAGACTTTTCTGTGGTCATGTAGCCAGCATGACTATATGAGGTGAATGGAATGCTGTTACTGAAGTTGTATATATTTATCTACTCTCATCTTCATGCTTCCAAACTGCTTAGGTGGGCAAGTGCTGGAGCAAGTACTGGAAGCTCACTCCATTGCACAGCACTCAAGTCTCAAACCTGGGCTGTCAGCTTTCCAGGTGACAAGCACAGCAACTTCAACCCTCAGCCATTGCACCCCCAATAAAGAATAAACATTCTCTAATTCGCTAAGGAAGGTAAATATTATATCCACAAAGACTTGCTTGCCATGTTGATTTAGCCATTTTGAATGATATGTGGGAATGTTCTTGGGAGACAGTGGGAAGACCTACAGCCAGGGGAGCAGTCAGATAAAAGGCAGCTTAATTCACAGAAGGAATGTGGGCATGCCAGCATCCCAGAGGCGACCCTTCCTGGTTCCCTGGGCTGTGAAAGGGACAAGGGAGAAATGCACTTTAAAATTTGTAAGATTCTGTTAATGTAACCTTACAATAAAATATAGTTAGTTCATCTAGGCATGCTTCCTATCTGGACTATCTCACAGGGCTGACACCAACATGCTGATTGGTTAGAGTGCATGCAAGTTCCTCATGCTGATAAATATAAAACCTCCGTGTTCTTCTTTTGCTTATCTGGACTTGTTTTTCCCTTGTCCTTTCTTGGCCCTTCACCACCTTTCAGATCTTTGATCTTGTTTGCTCTATCTGAGACAAAGATGATTGGCTACCGGAAAGAAGAAAAGCAGGAACTAATCAATTTGTGACAGATTAGAGCAGTGGTTCTCAACCTGTGGGTCGGGACCCCATTTGGGGTCGAACGACCATTTCATGGGGGTCGCCAAACAACGCAGTCCGCCATTTTTTTTCCCTTTTCCTTAGCTGTGCTACTCCCTTTTCTTCTATTGGCTTTTGAAAGCCAATAGAATAGACTCTCTTGAATAGAGTCTAATTCTATTGGCTTTCAAAAGCCAATAGGAATTGTCCAGGCTGTCTCTGCCCTGCTGAGCCCGCCAAAAGTCCCATTCTGCAAACGGTGCTGCACCAGTTGAGTAGTCCTCGGCTTACGACCGGTTGAGTAGTCCTTGACTTACGACCAGTTGGGGGTCGCGGCATTAAAATGGTTGAGAACCACTGGATTAGAGGATAGCATTTTCACAAAGGAGATTCCTCCCTCTCTCTTTCTCTCTCTCTCTCTCTCTCTCCCTCTCCCTCTCATACACACACACACACACACACACACACACACACACACACACACATTAATACACTGTCATGTATTCAACCAGTAAACAAACAGTGTCATGTGCAGAGTGCAGAAAGATCAAGAATCATGTTTTCCTCATTCTAAATTCTATCCAGTGGTGCTCAACCTTTTCTTCACCACAGACCCCTTTTAAATACCTTTTGTGGCCATGGACCAAGGCCACAGCCCCTCCCCCCAAGACTTAATTCAAGATTTAAATCATAACATTTCTTCAAGTCTTCATGGATCCCTGTGACGACATTGCGGCCCCCATAGGTCAGTGGACCACAGATTGAGAACCATTGCTTTGTGCCATACACAGGGGTGTTGGGGGGGGGATAAAAAAAAGTCAAGATGGTGGTCGGGATCACACAATTGAAGACTTGTTTATTTGCATCCCAGCTGCCATATTGATTTTTAAAAAATCCTTTTCATGAACATCACTGGCTATGCATTTAGTTAATGTTTGATGAAGTATAAATGCTGCAGTATCAGTTTTAAAATACCCAGACAGTCTATATGATTCTTTATTTCAATTATTCCTAAGCACAAATACCAGCAGTATATAAGTGAACCAAATACAAAAATAAATAATATTCCAAATAGTAGCAGTGAGGATGATTCTACTCAAGTGGTGCAAAGGGATATCAAAAAGTTCCTGCACCAGCTATAAATATGTAATGAAGCCTGAGAGAATAACAAACATACCACTTTTCTGGAGCTTCATATTGAAAAGAAACAATTCTAATATAAGACTCCATATAGAATGTACTCACAGAGATATTTCCTGCTTCAATCTTGCTTTCAACTTCCCTATAAGAAAATTGAAGAAATGGACAAAAGAAGTAAATGTTGAAGTTTCCTGTTCTCTACTTTGATTTGGAAAAAATGAAATTAAGTGGCTTCTACTCATATCTTTAGAGATTATCACCTCAACACTGATGTGTATGATAAACAGGAGGGCTGAGAACATTAAACCCTGAGGGACCCACAAATTAGGGGTTTTTTGCTCAGCTTCTCCTCACCTGGCAACACTGTCTACAACTGGCCACAAAGAAAGGAGAATAAGCATCACAACACTGCACCTCCCACTTTCAAGTCCTGTAGCCAGTGCAAAGGTGCTGAAGGCAATTAAAAATTCAAGAACAAGGATGGCTGCCCCACCACATCCTGACTCCACGTAAAATTAAATCTCATATGATAAGGCAATTCTTGCAAGATTTTTCCACCCCATGAGATTCTGAAGATTTTAAGATTTTGCAATGTTTGAAAATTTATTTTTATTTTGAAGGTTCATGATCAACATCTAGTGATGTCATGGAAGTAAGTGGGCCCAAGGATGCTGTCTTGCTGACTCCTACATTCTCACTTATATTGAACAGGTTTGGCATAAAAGATGCTGGAAGAAACATAAAGCAATATTATGGGTGGATGTCTGTGGATGTGAGTATGTTGAAATCCAGAATGGGGATCTTTTACTCACTCTGAAAGACTTCTTTTTTCTGAGAAAACTCTCAGGATAAATTCTCCTTCTTGGTGGGGTTCGTAGGTGGATGGGATGATGACGTACTCATTCGGTGGTAGCCGGAAACGTTCTGCGATTTCTCGCATGTTTATGTAAGATTTGCACTTTACTTTGGAGGCATTGTAAAGGAAAAAATCCTTCTGTAAGTGTTTCTTGTCACCCTGCATCTGTAAACATGAACCGAGTGAAATATACATATGGCCTGCACATACAAGATAGAGGACATCCTCATATTGGTATAGAATAGAATAGAGCTGGAAAGGATCTTGGAGGTCTTCTAGTCCTGCTCAAGCAGGAGAACCTATACCATCTCAGACAAGTGACCGTCCAGTCTCTTAAAAACCTCCAGTGATGGAGCACCCATGATTTCTGAAGGCAAGTTGTTCCACTGGTTAATTGTCCTCACTATTAGTAACTTTTAGATACTTTAGCTACTTTTTTAAGTAACTTTTAGGTACTTTAAAATAAGCTGAAACTAAAACTGTGGATCACAGGAAAGCCACAATTTACAGGTAGTCCTCGACTTATAACTTACAACCATTCGTTCAGCAACTGTTCAAAGTTACAACACTGAAGAATGTGGCTTAGGACCGGTCCTTACACTTTACAACCCCATGGTCTTATGATCTAAATTCAGGCACTTGGAAATTATTTATGGTGGTTACAGCATCCCAAGGAGTCCAATTGGCATTTTTGACCTTCCCAGCTGGTTTCTGACAAGCAAAATCAGTGGAGCAAGCTGGATTTGCTTAACAACCATGTGATTTTCTTAAGAACCCTGCCAGATAAGGTCATAAAATCAGGTGCCACTCACTTAACATTTCCCTTTGTTTAGCAACAGAAATTCTGGTCCAAATTGTAGTCATAAGTCAAGGACTAGCTGTACCTTCTCCCTAGATCTTTGTTGCTTTTCTTGAAATGAGCTTGTGAATCTGGTTTTAGGAGAGTAATACTGTAGCTGAAATACCCAATGTATGGGATCTTTTGGAAAAAATATTTGAGATCTCCTACTACATGTCTAGCATCATGTCCAGTTACGCCAAACTTTTTTGATTTGTTAATTATAGTAGGGGCATTGTGAATAAAACTTTTGACCAGAATATGAACATTTAGATAATTTCCCATAGGCTTGTGCTAAGGAAAGACTCATTTGGGTGAAGTTCAATGTCTGTTGAACTCATAAAAATTTATTGTCAACAGAATATGTTCTCTATGACCTTTTTTTTAGAGTCCTTGGAGTCTTGGGAGTCCCTCATATCTGCCAGTCAAGAACTAACTGAACCTGATGTGACTTAGGGCTTTCTGTTGGGTAGGAAAATTACCCTAAGATACCATATTTGATTTGCCGTCACTTAACAATAGTGATATTACCAGTTGTTGGATAAATTATGTAAAATAATGCCATAAATTATAAGGATGTTCTGTGGTAGGTTGTGTAGGCTTGTGGCACTTTAACAGATGTAAAAAAGTCATACATTAAGATGATCAACATTATTGTATTTTCTATATATAGTGAGCCATGTGTAAAGTGCTATTTCTATTAATACACTTTTCAAATGCCCTGTGGGATGTGAATTATTTGAGTATATTCCTGAATGCATAATTTGGGATACTGATGCACGCTTTTAAGACAGAGTGGATTTTCACCTAAGGGTCACTAAGAAATCTAACCTGGAAATTTCTGAAGAGTGAAGTAGAAAAGGAGTTGTAATCAAGATGTTACTCAAGCAATTAACAGGTCTTTCACAGTCTGCTCTTACCTCTTTCGGCACCTGTAAAGCAAGCAAGGTAAAAATACCATTAGGAAAAGGAGGGAAGATGTCTTATAATTAAAAATTTATGTTTACAGTTTTGGCAAATGTACGTTCAGCTTAGGATCTTTCCAACACTTATTGAATATGTAGTTACACACAGTAATGGTGTAAGCCAGGTTATATACAGGTAGTCCTCGACTATAACAGTTTGTTTAGTGACCGTTTAAAGTTACAGCAGTACTGAAGTGACTTATGACCATTTTTCACACTTACGACCGTTGCAGCATCCCCATGATAACGAGATCAAAATTCAGATGCTTGGCAACTGACTCATATTTATGACGGTTGCAGGATCCCAGGGTCGTGTGACTACCTTCTGTGACCTTCTGACAAGCAAAATGGATAGGGAAGCTAGATTTCCTGAAATAACCGTGTTACTAATTTAATAATTGCAGTGACTCACTAATAACTGTGGCAAGGAAAGTGGCAAAATGGGGCAAAACTCACTTAACAAATACCTTGCTTAGTAACAGAAATGTTGGGCCTAATTGTGGTGATAAGTCGAGGACTACCTGTATAAATATAGCTACATAGTTGAAAGCTGCATTTCCCCCCCCCCATTATTATTTTTTGAGTGAGAATCACAGAAGGCATAATGCTGAACATCATTAGAGATGCTGGTGCTGGAATCCTGGGCTATTTTTTTTTTTTTAACTTGGGGTGATTAGGAATTTGTTTTGTCTTTAGCCAGTATATTGAAGGCATAGATTAAAACTGGGGTATCAAAATGGGTAATCCATGAAAACACTTTCATTTATGGTTTAATGTGTTAAGGGAGCAAAGGCTGAAGGACTTTTTGTGGTTATTGAGACGGTTTTATGGTTCTAGTGCGCAAATCCAAACAAGTTTTAAAATAGCAGATCATTGTTAAAAAGCCATAAATTAAAAAATAGAAATGTCAAACTACAGTATATATTCTCTGTCAGTTAATTATCAATAGTCCACATTTTCTTTATTCCTCAATAATACCTTCATCTGTACTCGTTGAGTAAGGATAATTGCTACTGGATTTGACTGAAATTAGAGTCAGCAAATTAGTTTACTGACTCAGCCAGCAAGCAAACAAATGGGAAACATTTTATTGCTACCATTGTACCCTCTTGCATTCATATTTTGATTCAACCATGAAACAAGGGCAGAGTTTGATTTCTTTTAAATTCCAAACAGGACATTTCTAATTTAAATAGAGCAGAGTAACAGTAATACTTAATTTATGGCATCTAGTATTTAAAAAGAAATCTAACACTTGTGTTTTATACTTTTGTCCAAGTAGAGGTAGAATTTGACTTAAAACCTTACATTTAGCAACTGTTCAAAGATAGATGTCACTGCGAAAAGTGTCTTATGATTGATCCTCACGCTTATGACTCTTGCAGTGGTCACATAATCACAATTTGGGCGCTTGACAACTGGCATGTATTCACAATCATTGCAGTGCCACAGGATCATATTGTCTCCATTTGAGACCTTCTCAACTGACTTCTGAGAAGCAAAGTTAATGGGAAAAGCCAGATTTGCTAAACAACCATGTGTTTTGCTTAAGACCACAGCAGAAAAGATTGTCAAACTGGGTAAAGTCATAGGTTGGCTCATTTAATGACTGAATTGTCTAGTGACAGTGGTTCTGGTCCCAATTGTGGTTGTAAGTCAAGGACTTACCTGTACAATTAGCTGGCCTATTGTATATATAACTGGGCTGTAATCTAACCAGCTCAATTGTGAAGTAGTAGGATATGATTAATCAGTAGCCTGGTGATTAACATACCTCGTAGATGGCAAAACCAATTGTGAGGAGATTGGCTCCTAGTCTGCGCTCTTTTCTCCTGTTTTTCTGCATCAGTGCCACCAAGAAACTGCATATCACCTCTGTATCTTCTGGATCATCATCTTCTTCCAGGAGTCTCAAACGATATTGGGGATTGGTCCAAAAAGTGTCTACAAATGGTTCCCCCCCAATTTAAATTACATTTTAGTTTCCTACACAATGTTTTGACAGTTCAATTCTCAGTTCAATTCAAGCAATTAAATTAACCAAAGTATTCCTAACACTTGATTTACCTGGATAGTTACGGCAGCCACCTGCAGTGCTGCCTCGTACCCATTGTCCTTCCGTGACGGAAACTGTCCATGTATGAAGCTTATCAGCCTCAAGTGTATCAGGCGTGAGATTACAAATCTCCAACTTTGTGAAATATCTCAGAAAATCTTTGAATGATATCCTAAGAGTGGACAACAAGGATACAAATGTCACAAAGATGCAATCAGCACAGTGCATTTCATGTGATTGCTGCTATATATTATAGTCAAGTTAGAAAGGGGCATGATGGTTCAGTGGTTGAAGATACAGAACTTGTCAGCTGGACAAGTGACAGCCTGGGTTCAAGACCCCCCCACCACACAATGGGGTGAACTCTCATTACTTGCCCAACTCCTGCCCACCTAACAATTTGAAAGCATGCAAATGTGAGTAGATAAATAGGTACTACTTAGGTGGTGCCTTGGTGTATAGTCAAACTGGCCACATGACCAAAGAAATATCTTTGGACAATGCTGGCTCCTTTGGCTAAAAAAATGGAGATGAGCATGGCCCCTTAGAGTTGGACACAACTGGACAAGGGAAACCTTTACCTTTAATCAAGTTAGGATGTTAAAAGCAAAGATAAAAGGATTCCTCAGAAAGAAATGCATCCTTTTTTAAAACACAAAGGAATTTGAATGTTTACCAAAACTCGCCATCCTCTGCAATTTTATGTTGCAATCGGACCTTCTCAGCATTGTCAATATCATTCCATTCATCTGAGCTGCAAAAAAAAAGAGAAAACCTTTATTAGCTCATGAAAATGGGATTACTTCTTCAATCATAAAGTTTTCGATTCATAATCTATTAACAAAGTTTATCATGTATTCATTTAGTAAATACCAAATTTAGTTAAACTGCTTCTTTTTACTTCATCAACTGAAAACTCAAATTGTTGTTCCTTCCCTACATATGTACCACTGAGTATAATATTACAAAGGATCATGCTCTTAAATATAATAAAGAGTAGTCTCAATTCTTTCAACTTCTCTAGGATTCTTCCGTGAAAAAAACCAAACCCATAGTTTCCATGTTTGTCTTCAGGACACTTGTGATTTTTTTTCTGTGTGTCTGTGGGTGCATGTGTGTATGTTTTAAAGTTTTAAGCTGCTCAGAATTGCTGGGAGTCAGGTTGACTATAAACTGTATCTCTCTATGTATATGTAAATAAACAAACACTTGAACTATGCAAACTTGTTTCAGCTTTAATTCTTAGATTTACATGAATCCAGTTTTCAATCCATATACGCAGGGGTTCCCTTCATGAAGTTTACTTACATACAGTAAGTCTCAGTTGATTACTCAAAAAATTATGCTTCCCATGGAATCTGTGGTCTCTCACATAAGAAAAAACTGAAAAGGTATATGTGTGTATACACACGAACACATGACATACAATTCTGCTTTATTTTTAAAAAATGTTATTAAATCACTGAATGAAGAATATGCAATATGCATATGCTTGATTTTGCCCTCCTTATCATATTTAAAATAATTGATCTTTATATTTCAAATAGTTGTCAAATTTTGTTAAAGAACAGCCTTAAAAAATAAGATGGACAAAGAAAAAAGATTTAATTTCTGACCTTCACATCAGACCAGGAGCAAGATGCTAATGTTTCTGAGCAAACTAAAGAATACAAGTTTTTAAAGTGAAATTAAGTTTTCTTATTCAGTGTACATCACTGGCTTCCAAGAAGATCAGTTTTTGCTTACTTGTCACTCCAAGCTCCATTCCATTCTACTTGTCCCCAGGGATTTCTGAGCCGCACCAGTTTTATCTTCTCCCCTTTAAGTGTTGTCTTGGTCATAAGAAGGGGAAGAAACACATAATTAGCGATGCCCTGAAATTACACAGCATATAACTCCTTACAGATTCTGGCCTGTTAAATCAGCCAGTTCAACATGGGAATCAGTGAGGTACTAGATATCATAGCCCAACCAAATGTGGATATTAATGAAATTTCCTTACTATTTCCAAGGTTATTTATGTTTCACTAATAGTTTAAAACAATTATTTCTTTTTTCAATAATGAAGTTGCTTGACACAAATCTTGTACAGAAAGGCAAGAATTTGTTAATGAATGTCAGGCTTGTTGATTAACAGACTTCCATACTTACATCTTCTACTCCTGTAACTGAATATGCATGACCTGTGACCAGTCCATTAGTCATGCGCCTTTCATACAACAATGGAATGATGGTCTGTTAAAAGCAGAGAAAACTTTTTGGAATCATTACAGAACTTAGAAAAGTTTACTTCTTGGTCAGATGGGCTCATAACATCTAACTCTAGGTCAAGTGCAAGGTGCTAATTATCACCTACAAAACTATATATTTTAGAATCAAGAACTGCAGAAGTGGAAGGACAAGCAGCCTTCCACTTCTGGTTGGACTAGAAGACCTCCAAGATATTCTATTCTATTCTATTCTATTCTATTCTATTCTATTCTATTCTATTCTATTCTATTCTATTCTGTTCTGTTCTGTTCTGTTCTGTTCTGTTCCAATTCTATTCTCCTTATGTTCAATGCTTTGCTCTTGTTGGAGACCAAGCATCACAGTTGGGAGGAGGGGTTAAATGGGGAATTAGTCTGGAGTCATTATGTAACGGCAAGAGGTCAAGGTCTGAACACCTCCCCCTCTTAAATGCCATTAGACTTTAGTATTTAATAATATCTGTACACTCTAGTTTCATTGGAAAAAAAGGGAAAAATGCCTCAAGAGATTATAATTTAAAAGCAAATGCTTGCCTGCTAATTATTATTGGGTTGATAATTCCAACATCATTAATCATAATATTCTAAAATTCCAGTGCTACAAACTGAACACAATGAAAATCTTTCAGGAGATGCAGTTACGGAAGACATCATAAAAACCACATGGTTCTTACTGGCTACACATTTGAGTAATACAGACCCTGGTTGTTCGATCTTCTGTTTCTTCATTTGACTCGTTTAAAAATTCAGAATTCACCTTCTGCAACTTTTGGATAATGAATTCTTCAATATTAGTTGTTGGGGCACTTCCATAGATAAATCCTGAACTGTCCTAGGACAGAAAAATAGAAAGGAAAAGTAGGAAGATATTATGAAAAATGAGTCAGAGATGTAGCAAAATATTAATAATTGAATAATATTATAAATGGACAAAGATGCCTAACAACATAAAATCTGTTTAGAATTTAATTTTTATGTGTTGTGGTATCTTTAAGCAGAATATTCTGAAGCCAGTCCTTCCCGAAAGACTAGACATGAAACCAGCAGGATGACCTGGAATAGGTTCTTCCATTCAATTCAATCTGCATCATAGTGAAACCGTGCCCACCCCATTGCCGGCAATGGCAAAAAAGTCACAATATGTCATGACACATGTGACATTGCAAGTTTGACACCTATAGTATCTAGTTACCTTAGGCCAGCGGTTCTCAACCTATGGTTCGCGACCCCATTTGGGGTCGATCGACCATTTTACGGGGGTCGCGAAACAACGCAGTCTGCCATTTCCCCCCCCAGGGGGCGCCGCTGCGCATGCGTGCCGCGCATGGGGGCGCCGCCGCGCACGCGCGCCGTGCCACGCATGCGCGGTGCATCCGTGTGACGGGGGTCGCCGTCACACGAAGATTGAGAACCACTGCCTTAGGCCTTAGAAGCATAATTTCCTAGGTCCCTGAAGAAGCCCTGCTGAGTTAGGTACCACAACTGGAAGAGTCAGCCAGCATCACTTGATGTGCTGCATCCAGAGTCAGAAAACGGAGTGGTAGAGCAAAGCCCATTCTGAATCAAGGAATGTGCTGAGCTAGGCTGGCTAAAAAGCACTACTACCTATTTTTGCATACAGGTTGGATTTTCAGTTCCTCCTGTTTTTTTTCTCTTTCTCTTTCTCTGTTGTCCTTTCTTTCCCCACCTATTTATCAATTAGTTACTCTACTAACAGTAATTCTACTCCTTTCTTTATGCAAAATATTCTCTTTCCAAGGCAAATAAAAAAAACTGCACAGAAGATACACTGGATTGGTCCTCTTCCCTAGAAACTGAACTGTATCCATTGTTTCATTACTATCCTTCAAGGATTTGTTTGAATGCTGTTTTATCACTGAATGCTAGTTCCACATCAATTACACATTTCCTTTTTATGTCTGTTTCTCAATGTCATGCTTTCATTGTGTTATCTCCCTCGACACCCGAAGTGGTAAAAGAGGAAGTAAAGAAGAAGATTCTTCATTATACTCCAACCTATTTCTCTGAGGCATGTGAGGACATCATTTTTGAGATCCAGATTTGCTATGGGATCCGTAGCTTTTAAGTATTCTTCGGTGCAAAGATTTTATTTTCATACTGATCCCTTGCTGTGATACAGTCTCAAGACTCATTCAGTGTCAAATTATCACCTTGATCTTTTCCAGAATTTGCACACAAGATGCGCCAAGACCTATTACAAATACATTACTCAAAATATACCTCAATGGAGCAAGCCATAAGTGACCCTCTCTCAATGGCATGCTTCATGATTTTGTATGTATCTTTAGGAGCATCCTTTATTTCATAAAATTCTGTTACTCCTCCTGTGAAATCTTCCATGGCCTCTGTGGTGTTGCCTCCTTTTAATGCTTCATAGGACCCATGAAGCCTGAAAAGGATCACATAAAAAGTTAAATGACTCTCATTGTTAGTCTCCATCCATTTCTACGTAGATCAGCTTTCTCTCCAAATGGCAAAAGCTTACGCTACAAGAAGAACTAGCTTTCTTCATAGTTGTCTTCACTTATTAATTTTCTTCACTTATTAGTTGTCTTCATAATTAGGTTTATTTGGATTTTACAAATGTGACTAATTTGACTAATGTGACTAAGTCAGTCATTGCAGATTATAAACCATAGTTTATTACTTATTGTCAGACACCTTATGCAAAGACATAGTTCTCTGGGAAAGGTGCAAGGAAAGGAGACGATGACCAGCAGCATGGTGGATGAACTTAGTTAAAGTAGCAATGAGTACATCATTAGAAGGACCAGGTGAGGAACAGATCATCCAGGAGAAAATCTGTCTATGTGGTCACTAGGAATCAACTTGATGATAATGATGATTATGTGTCATTCACTTGATGGCACATAATCATCATTATCAATATCTGACTCCAACCATTGTGCAGAAACCATGACTCAAACTACTTAATATGATGGAAGCAGTATGTGTTTTGGCCAAGAAGTAGAGCTCCCATTTTATGTAAAGCTATAGAGTGTAAGAAAATGCAGCATTTGCACAAACAATGGAACTGATGAATTATCTTTATTGCCATCATTAGGTGACCATGTTATTTGTGAAAACTGCTACTGTTTTATATCTACATGTTTCAATCTCAACATGAACAATAAACAATAGGTCGTAGAAAAGGACGGAATGGACAAAACCTCTTTACTTTGCATAAGCTTTTTCCAGTAATGCACTCCAGAATTCATTCTGCTGGGAGGATTTAGTGAAGACCAGACGTTTTCCATATGTTGGTAAACGATCATCGATGATAACTTCCACCCAACTTCCATAACGCCAGAACTAGAAGATTTGAAGAAAACAAATTAGAATTCACCAAGGTATACAGTACAAGAAATAGGTGTCACTTATGATCAAAAGCTGATTTATACACTATAAAAGGGATTAGATTATATTGTTTCACGATTAAATCCTAATAGGAAAATACACTTGCCACCAGAAGGCGCTGCATGACTGGTTTTGTCTTATTTGGAACTCATCAGACATACATTACATTGTATGATTCAAACTCTCTATCAGAAATTGAACTCTTGGACCTTTGCACTTTAGATCAGAGGTCCCCAACCTTTTGGGCACCAGGGACTGGTTCCGTGGAGAGAGGTTTTTCCACAGACCGAAGGGTACGTGGTTTTATGTGCTGCCTGTGGATGGGGCTTTGCTTGTTTGTACGGACCAGTTGCTGGCATGCCACGGACCAGTACTGATCCATGGACCAGGGATTGGGGATCCTTGCTTTAGATGACAATTTACATTTTTTTTGACTTTAGCAGCTATCCAGGTCTGGGTGCTTAGTGGTTGCGGGGAGGGATCTACCCTATACAATCTATTGGAATGGTATATGCAATCCATTTTCCTTTAAGGAAACAATCCATTTTCCTTTAAAGTACCCAGAAGTCCATATGGGGAACAGCGAGAACTTACATATACTGCATTATTCTGACATTAGCAAAATGGTGATTAATATAGGCTTTTTATTTCTGGGTGTATTCTGAGTTACTGTCTAATAATTAGTAGATCATAGGGGAAATGCAGAAAGGAACGTCCACTTGGGTCTATTTTACAATGTATACCTGGAAGTGAAAAATCCCAGCATAATCTTTTGTGAAGGTCTGACCTTCTGGAATGACCCGGAACAATAGTTTTTCATTCAGGGTCAGACAAGCAATGGCAGCCAGAAACCAACAGTCCCCTGAAACAAAACAAACAGAGTTGGGTACATTCAATGTCAGAATGAAAAAAAAATGCATGCAACTGAATAATTAGTAATGGTATTTTTGTTCTTCAGAAAAATGTTTTACTCCATACATTAATTAGAAAGTGGTAAATTAATTTGATAAATAAAATATTTTAAACCCCCAAAAACTGCGAAGAAAGGATTTCATACCTAGTTCCCCTTGACAAATGTCAGACCTATTAGCTCCACCAAGGATAAAGCGTGGATTCTCGCAGATTTCCTAGATAAAGAAATACACTATTGAGAAACACACAGACACACACTTCGATAATTAAAGATTGCAAATAAAATTGTCTGCCACTGGTGTGAACGTTTTGATGCTTTGCGATCAAAATAGTGCATCTTCAATTCATATATCTTGAGAGGGTTAGATAAGCAATAACCCTGAAGTTATCTAAGTGATAACTCCAAAATGTAGCATTGAGTTGTATAATCAATTCACAACAGGACTGAAAAATTTTCTTGATCAGATGCTTCAGTTTCTGTATAACAGGGGTCTTCAAACTTGGCCCTTTTATGACTTGTGGACTTCAACTCCCAGAATTCCTCAGCCAGGCACACTGGCTGAGGAGTTCTGGGAGTTGAAGTCCATAAGTCATAAAAGGGCCAAGTTTGAAGACCCCTGCTGTATAAGAACATCAGACTTTTTTTTATTTTATTATAGAGCAGTATTTCTCAACCTTAGTTGAGACATATGTCAAGACATGTGGATTTCAGAATTTCCCAGCCAGTACAGCCCAGCCAGCATAACAATGCATCTTAAAGTTGCTAAGGTTGGGACACACTGCTATATAGAACACTCTTGTTACTGTAAATGTGTCCATGCATCACATTACTGGAATAAATCTTCTGGGTAGATATGTCCCCATAACTATGCCAATGTTTCTATGCCAATGTTTCTCAACCTTGACAAGTTTAAGATGTGTGGACTTTAACTCCCAGTATTCCACAGCAAGCATGGCTGGCTATGGAATTCTGGGCGTTGAAGTCCACACATCTTAAAGTTGTCAAGGTTGAGAAACACTGGCCTATACCATGGATATCTACTGGATTTTGCTTCACCCTGCCACCACATTACCAGCTCCACTATTTTCTTGCATCTGGATGATGACACAAGACATGTACAAAAGGAGTGGACCTTGCTGCACAACAACATAGTGCTAAATTTGAGGGAACAAGCAAATGCACTACCTCAAATTCTTGCTTTCCAGATATTCCTTTAAAATTATACATGCTTTCTCACAGTGTCATACTCTACAGGGCTGCTTATGGTCCACCAAAACTTTGTATGCCACAAAAATAGTGGCTACTAAAAGGTAATTTTTTAAATTGGAAGTGAGAATTATGAAACATGTGTTAAGTAATCGTATTTGTGATATTCAGCTGTTAATTCTTTTTTTTTTCTGACCCCGTCTTCTTGACCATGCCTAGGTTATTGACTGTAACATCCCACATCACACAATTCCAAGATTTCTCAAAGATTTCATTCGGAGATATTGTGCATTCTGCTTTTCCATTTGAAATAATATTACATAGATGACTTGCAAATATTAAGCATATGCTAATTTTTAGATTAGACAAGAGGCCTACTCACTGAGGGTCTTTTCCACTCAAATTTGACTGGGAGCCTTTGACTGAAGAAAAGGGAGCTGTCATTAGCTGGAAAATCTGGATCCTCATAAAGGGTCTTCTTCTGAAGGCACTTCTTATGAAGCTCCTGAAAGGTTTTCTCCTTGACTTCAGTGATGGGCTGGTTGCGGCTGAGGATGGCAGAATAGATCCCTCCCGTTCCAGCACCTGTTTCTGTAGTTGTGGTAACATGCTGACAGGGAATTGGTTCAGACCCAGTCTTTTGAACAACAGTGCTACTGACAGAGGATAGCATCTAGATGAAATTGAAGCAAAACTATCAATTAAATTATAACAATTGAAAAATAGACTAGGACCTGGAAGGAAGTGGAAAAAAAGAAGAAACGACGTTGCACAATCTCTTCTGCAGACTGAGTTTTTTCTCTTCCCTTTTTTTTTTTTGTGCAAAACTTCAAACAATTTTAGGAAGATCCACTGAGTTGCATAGATATCATCTTGAGGTTCTTACAGTAATTACTCTGTCCTTTCATGTCCAAATCCTCATTTTAGCAGGAAGCAAATTTGTAGAGTAACTTCCATCTACGGATTCATATGTGTGAGGTGGGCTGTGGCGTGCTTTGTAAAGGTTGCAGTTCTGACAACTAAAAATAAACTCTTAGGAAGCATTTGGGCATGGAGGAGGGGATGAGGAAAGTTCCCTTCTCAGGGTTGGTTCTTTTAGTAAGACTGAGAGTGCAAATGAAAGTGCAAGTGAAAGTGCAAATGCAAGGGAACTTTACACAACTTTTTAACCAGCATTTAGAAATAAGTAACTCCACATACAAAAATTAGGGGTGATGATACAATTCATTTTACAATGATGCATCCAACATAGAGATGTGCTAAAGCAAAACCAACTTTTCCAAAGAAGGAATATTCCTTCCTGATAATTTTTCATAATGAAATGATTACCAGAATAAAAACTATACAAATTTTGAAAGAAAAAAGTAAGGAAGGAAAAGAAAAGTAATAAAGTGCAAAGTGCAAAATGCAATGAAAGAAATATGGAGAGGAGAGGAAGGGAGAGGAGGGGAAGGGAGAGGAGAAGAGAGGAGGGGAGGGGAGAGGAGAAGAGAAGAGAGGAGAGGAGGAGAGTGGAGAGGAGAGGAGAGGAGGGGAGGGAAGGGGAGGGGAGGGGAGGGGAGAGAGGAGGAGAGGGGAGGGGAGGGGAAGGGAGAGACAAGGCAGTTACAAGTACATTTATATTTTACCCTCTATATATACTCTCTCTATATAACATAATTTTCTTTTTTCCATAATGTACTGTGTCTAAACATCGAACCCATAAATTCATTTTTTCCAGCAAAGAGTCCATAAGGGCTATGAACATAATCTGCTCCCACTTTATCTAGAACTTTATGTTCAGACTATTATAAAGCATTTTTGGTTCAGAGAATTAATTTCCCCAAAACTATGGGACTCTGCAGAACAACTGAGTGGGGTCTGGAAGAAAAATGAGACATTCTGGGGAACATATGTAACAAAAGCAGTCCTAGGAAAGAGAGAAGGCAGGACATCAATTTGCAAGGATTTGTTTATTCTTATGGGAATTTGGAGGAGATTATGTTATAGAAGGTTTGTGAAGAGGTGCGTTTTGCTTGGAGATTTCTGGGAGAAGGAATTTTCCTGTCTGGGAAGTGTTCAGCCTCTGAATCTGGGTTGGTATGATCAGTTTGTGCATGCAGTTTGTAATTTGGGGAAAAGAAAGAGATGTGTGAACAGTGTGTGTTATGCTGATAATGTGTACCTGCCTGATCTTTTTATTTTGATTCTTTGGATGCTGCTGCTCTGCTATAAGTTTTGGGTTTTAGGGGGAAAGATGAGCGTGGGTGTGTGTCTCGATTTTTTGTGTCTCCAAGTTTTCAAAGATACAAATGTTATAACTTTATAGGGTGAGGTTTTGCTGCAACCACTAATCAAATGGTTAATTGTTTCATTCTTTTCATTACAAAGGTGACATTTGCTGTTGTTTGGTACTTGTTTATTTCACTTTCATGAAATTAGTTGGCAAAGCTTGTTCTTGATCCTCTTAATGAATTCTATATTAGTTTTTTTATTGGCTTTCCCCTCTCTATATAGATTATGCATGAGGATATGGGATGTTCTGGGATTCCCATTTTTCTAAGCACATTCCACAACTGGACATGGTAGACACAACTGAAGGCTTTTCTATAACCAACGAAGTACATAAATGACTTCTCTGTAGTTTTCCCAATTATCCAATGTGCATCAGCAATAATACCTCTTATTCCTCAGCCTTTTCTAAAGCCAGGTTGAACCATCTTCATGTAGCGCTGTAAAGTGCTCTGAATGATGCTAAACATTATTTTAAAATTAAGAATACTATAGAACGGTTTGCATACACTGTCAATTTTCCTTTCTTTTTTACTGATATGTAGAGTGACCTCTTCAATCGGTTGTTCGCTTTTTCTGGGCAGCTGTGATGACTTCGCATCTTGGATAACTCTGCTGGGAGTATATTCTCTTGATGTACCCTCCCAGCATTCTCATCTCATTCCTCTTGATAATATTTTTAATTGTAAACTGCCCAGAATTGCTTTGCAGCCTGGGATGGGTGCAGGAATTTGAGGGTGGAGGCTGCTGTATTCAGTGTCCGTAATATCACTATTTGATTAGAAATGCTTTCCCAACCAATGTTTTACATCCACATTCTACTTTCCTGTTGGTATCTACTAATTTAGTTATTACAAGACCCACATATGTTACATTTGGCTCTCTTGTAGCAGGAAATAGTAGAAGCAATTTAAGCTCATTGGTATGGGAGGACACAAGTGATTCAGATTACTGCGCAGTTAGAACAGCACTACTGGTATATTTCTGCAACTTGTGGAAGACTTTGGATACTTTCCTTCCCTGATTTATTCTAGTAAAAATTTAAATCATTTTGGCAATGGCACAAATGAATGGCTAGCAGTCATTCTGCATTCTCACCTCCCTCACATTATTTGAACACTTTATGGCAGAGTAGCAGCTATTTTTAAATATGGTAAATACTGTGAAAACCCTGTCAGCATTTTTATTTTTTGGTTAAAAACGCTGTCATGCCCTTATGAACCTGATATGATACCAATTGGATCAAACTGAATTTTAGATCATAACTAAATCCATACTCACATCTATTTGTACGTATATCTTACTGGAATTATGAATAAGGTCTTAAATTCTAAAATTTATAATATCCTTCCTTCCCCTTACTCTTTAATAGGAATCTACAAAGAATTTTTTTAAATTTAAAATTCAGTTTTATTGGCTACAGCTTTGTTCAAATTTGTCCAAAACGTACCTTGAAACAATATTTACCTCAAGATTTTAGTTATACAAATGCTGTTTAGATCTATATCATTTGACAGAGCAATGCGTATACATATCCAGGCTTCCATCCAGCTTTGATGAGATGGAAGGCTATATATATATATTATTAATAAATATAAATAAAAATGAAAATAAAAACTTATCTCTTAGGTTTTGAAAAGAAAATGCTCAACCATTAGGGTACCTTTTCAAAACAACAAAGAAAGGCAGGAAAAGGAACTTTACAATGAGTTAAATGTAGAAAGGACAGGATTTACTTAAGAGAGAGAGGGAGAGAGAGAGAGAGAGAGGGAGGGAGGGAGAAAGAGAGAGAGAGAGAGGGAGGGAGGGAGGGAGAGAGAGAGAGAGGGAGGGAGGGAGAAAGAGAGAGAGAGAGAGGGAGGGAGGGAGGGAGGGAGGGAGAGAGAGAGAGAGAGAGAGAGAGAGAGCGAGAGAGAGAGAGAGAGAGAGAGAGAGAGCTACACTATATATTACAGGCTATATAGAGCAGTACAGATATTTGTCTGAAATGGTATAATTTGTCTGAAATGGTATAGGGTTTCTTGCCTGAGCAGGGGGACTAAATAACCTCTAAGGTCCCTTCCAACTTTATTATTATTATTATCATTATTATTATCATTATTATTAGTAGTAGTATTCTAATTTAATAAATGTTGCTAAGTCACATGTCACTAAGTGAGCCATGGGACTGAGAAAGAGAGAGGGATGCTGGGAAGATTGTTGATTGTTGCCTCATTAGATAAAGTTCTCTGGTATAGTGTCCTCTGTCTCACCTATTCCTTCCCCCTCCCCCTGGCTTTTGCTCCCTTTCAGGGTGCAGAGATTGCTTAAACAAGCTATCTATTCCTGAGTTGCTTCCCCCCCCCAAAAGGGTTAATGGCAAGTTAACAATACACTGTGACCTTAATTACTTGATTTGAACTCTCCCCCCCCAACTTCCAGAAGTTGCCTGAAACTGACCAGATCTTAATCAGTTTCGCACTAAAGGCTGTGCATTAAATGCACTAATTGGTCTGAAAATGAATTAGTTACAGGTAGTTCTCAACTTATGATCGCAATTGGGACCAGAACCTTTTGTCCTTAAGTGATGCAGTTGTTAAATGAATCATCACAGTCATGTGATTACAATATTTTTTTTGCTGTACCTGTTAAGCAAATCTGGCTTCTCCCACTGACTTTGCCAGCTGGGAATGTTGTAAATGGTGATTGGGTTTCCCTTCATAACTACATGCCAGTTGCCAAGCTCCCAAATTGGGATCACACAACTATGAGGATATTGCAACAGTTGTAACTGCAAGGACTGGCTGTAGGTCATTCTTTTCAGCGCCTTTGCCATTTTTAATGGTCACTAAATGAAAAGTCATAAGCCAAGGACTACCTGAATCACCTTTATTATTATTACCATTGTATTTGTGAATGGTTGCTATCTAAGGCTCTTGCTTAGAATTTTCTGTATTTAATTAATCAATCTAATTTAGTGACTAAATTAGTGGACCAGCAAAGCGTTGTGGACACAGTATACTTAATATGCCACAGTATACCACAAGGATTCGTCTTAGGCTGAGTACTCTTTAATATCTTCATTAATGACTTAAATGAGGGAATTGAAGGGGAACTCATCAAATTTGCAGATGACACTAAACTGGCAGGAATAGCCAACACCCCAGAAGACAAGCTCAGGATCCACTCGATGGCTCTGATGGGGGTGGCTTCTGCTGCTGCTCCAACCGATCAACCATGCAGGGAAGCAGGAGGGGCAGCTGGTGCGCAAGATTCGCTGCCTTGTTGGGCTGCTAGCGAGCAGCCGAGGCGGCTCCAGACCCCCGGCTGCCCCTCTACCTCCTATTGCTTCCCTGCATGGTTGACCGGTTGGAGCAGCAGTAGAAGCCACCCCCATCAGAGCCATTGAGTGGATGGGCTGGGCTCCCTTACGGCCATCCCGGGGGCCGTCTCCGCCTGCACTGATGGGGCTCCTGTTGTAGGTATTTCTTCTGGAAATTTCAATAAATTAGTTCTGAGACCGTGTGAAGATTTTCAATCCAACTTGTTCTTCAGTCCAGCAACTTCTCTGTTTTCTCCCATTCTGCTTTAGTTCTAAAAAAAATAATACAAATTTTCCTTCCTGGGCAAGGGCTTCCTTCTGGCTGTCCCGGGGCCATCTCTGCTCGCGCTAATGGGGCTCCATGGCCAGTTCACCATTATGCAGGACAGCCAGCATGTTGTGGCTGCTGAAGACACCGTCGGCCCCCATGCGCTCGCTGGCCTCTATGTGTGGGGGCCGATAGCTACAGGCAGTAGATCCGGAAGTGAAGCTGTGCTGCCCATCTTAGCACTGGTTGGAGTGGTGGCGGCAGGGGAATGCGGGATCTGGCATGTGTCCACCCTTTGCTGCTGCTGCCCCACATCATCCCGCGTGCGCCTCCGGGACATGTGTGTAGGACGATGTGGGGTGACAGCGGGGAGGGGTGGCGTGCGCCACAACTCACCTTCCCCCACCACTGCCTCCACCAGCGCAAGTATGGACAGCACAGCTTCACTTTCAGATCTGCTGCTGGCCGGGCTTGGCAATGCAGGGATCACCACTGCTGCCTCCTGCTTCCCTGTGTGGTTGGCTAGTGAAGACGCTCGGAGCAGCAGGAGGAGCAGCTGTTGCTGCCCCCATCAGAGCCACTGAATAGACAGGGCCCGCACCAGGTGAGGACTCCTTTCCGGCTGTCCCGGGGCCATCTCTGCCCATGCCGATGGGGCTGCCATGATGCAGGACAGCCAGCAGGCTGTGGCTGCTGACAGACACCTTCGGCCCCCATGCGCTCGCTGGCCTCTGTGTGTGGGGGCTGATGGTGTCAGGCAGCAGCTGCTCTGGCCCCTGTCTCGCCTTTCCTTGCCCCGTGGCAATTGGCACACCTGCCCTGCCCTGCCTCACCTTGCCTCACCTTGCAGGATGAGCCTCCGGCCCACTGCCCCACCCCCAGAGACCCCCTGTATCTTCCCCAACTCTGCCCGGTCCCCACAGGTGTTCCTCCACACAAGCATCTTCGAGGTGGCTACACCCACCGTGGCCACGCCCACTCAGCACCAGGCGATAAATAAATAGGTTTTGGGTTGCAGTTTGGGCACTCAGTCTCTAGATGGTAAGTTCTTCAGCCCAATGCTTGCTGGACTTTGAAAAAAAAAAGTAGCAGCTCCATAGATGTGTGTCAAAAATGGCATACAGCACAACGAAGCAATTTCATCCAACCACTCTGTTCACAGACTTGATTTATAATAGCAGAGAAGGTAACTACCACTGAACTCAATAAAGATGCACTGTTAGCATTAGTTTTCAGCAGACATCATTAAACATATACTTGGAACCGCAAATATTTTAAAAGCGAAACAGATGCCAGATCATATGCAGATCTGAATGCTATATGACATGTCCACAAAAATGCAAACAACATTTTTACATCTTGCCTATTCTTCACCCTGGATTATAAATACATGAGGCTCCTATGCAACCTCCCATCCAAAACTGAAAGGGGTGGCACCAGCTGCTCTCAAACCAGTTCCCAAAATAGTTCAATGGAATGAAGTGGGAGAGTTCTTTAAGATTCTGTGTAAAGCAGCCTAGCAAAGATCAATTTATATTTAGCAGCTTAAAGTGCAGTACTAGCCATTTCTTTGGACAAGCCGGGTTGTCAGATGTACCCTCTATAGAAGAACAGGCCTCATCTGCTGATGGACTTCAATTCTATGAAAGCATAGAGGTTGCGCATATTTTTGCATGTGGAAGAAGCTAGTTATTTCCTCTCTATACAGTACTTGGGATTTGGTTGCTGTGAATGGAATCTAGAAGCTGCGTTTCTAGGCAGAAACTCCTTGTCCTAGGAAGATCCACATACTTACTAAGTCATATTAAGCTTTAAATAAAGGTGAATGTGGAAGAGTGAACTTACCATGTGGAGTAAGCAAGGCATTTTTATCCTTCTTGGGATCCAGAGTTTTGGTGCTTCCTGAGAAGGAGGGTTCAAACAGCTCCACCCTTTCCTTAATTGGAGACTTTTGTTATATTAAAAAAAGAACTGAAAGCAAGCATGTGTGTGTGACACTATTGCAGTATTGGGTTTTTACCCCCAGATACAGATTTTTCAATCCCGTTTGGGTTTTAGGTTTTTTATTTTAAAATTTAATGAAATCTACATTTTTCTATATGTAATATAGTATCTATATTGGCACCGATTAACACTGCTGCAGACTGCAAACAAATTCAGTATGTGCATGATACACATAACAGTACTAAATTTGTTTTGCTGTCCACAGAGTGCCAAATTTTAGTTGCAAGGTCAGTATTACAATAGTGGCCACCTTATTGGCTAAGAGCAGCATTTCTGCAGCTGACCCATCTTCCTTCTCCTCAGTGTCACTCGCACTTGACTCTTCCACTGTTTGTCACCTGATTGACTGGCAGATGCACCTTCTTTCCTCTAAAACTAGTGACATCAACATGCAGCCCAGGCAGTTCTCTTGAGATTTATTTTTGAGATTTTTTTTTATATTTTAATAAATAACTCAAGATGGTAAACACATCTAATACAGGTAGTCCTCGGCTTATGATCACAGTTGAGCCCCAAATTTCTATTGTTAAGTGAGACATTGAGTTTTGCCCCATTTTACGACCTTACTTGCCACAGTTAAGTGAATCACTGCGGTTGTTAAGTTAGTAACATGGTTGTTAAGTGAACCAGTCTTCCCCACTGAGTTTGCTTATCAGAAGGTCACAAAAGGTGATCCCATGACTTTGGGACTCAGCAATGGTTATAAGTATGGGTCAGTTGCCAAGCATCTGAATTTTGGTCACATGATCATGGGGATGCTGCAAAGGCCGTAAGTGTGAACAACGGTCATGTCACTTTTTTCAGTGCCGTTGTAACTTTGAACGATCACGAAATGAATTGTTGAGTGTCAAGGACTACCTGTACTCTTTTCTCTCCTATTTTCCCTGTAACAATAATCCAGTGAGGTGAGCTGGGCTGAGAGTGTGTGAGACTGGCTCAAAGTCACCCAGCTGGCTTTCTTACCTAACTTGAGACTAGAACTCACAGTCTCCCGGGTTTCTAGTTGCTGCAGAGTCCGAGGGGGATGGTTCGGCTAGAAGACCCTGCCCCTTCCCATCCCCCATTCTTCGCTCAATCCACTGAAGACGAGTGTGCCTACTCGCTCCATTCACCAGCTGGGAAGGCAGATCTGTGATGGCAACAGGGTAACCCTCAGCTTTACAAATAGTCCTTAACTTATGATCGGTTGCTTAACAATCATTTGAAGTTATGACAGACTCGAAAAAAAAAAGTTATTTGGGACCCATAATCATAATGGTGGTAGGTCAGTCATAATAAAGTTATGACTGACATACCCCCCCCCATGGTCACAAGAGCACATTTCAGGTACTTGAAAACTGGCTTTCATTAATGAACAGTTCCTGAGTTATTTTTGATCTCGTGTTTCGTCATGAGATTGCATTTCGTGACTTCTTTTGCTGTTTTGGATAAGCCGGGTTCAGAGTTACTACCATATGATTCACATAGTGCCTCACTTAACATCCACTGTAAAAACAATCGTAAAATCAAGGCTGGCCACGTGGTGATTCAACTTACAACTGCAAAAATTTGCAACCAACATTCCAAGCCCAGTTGTGGTTGTAAGTTAAGGTCTATCTGTAGATTGTCTTTGATTGCAATGTATGTGCTTGCATGCTTTCAAGTTCCAATTTAGTAATATATACATATATAGTAATACAGCCCCTAACAATGATGATTGAAGTGAACAGTTGCTGAAGGAAAATAAAAAATAAAAACATGACATGTGCCATTATTTAAAAATGAATGGCTGCAGGAACCTGAATTTAAAGGTTGGCTAGAAAAAAAAAAGGCAATGCTAATGAAAAGAACAGCTTCTGCATGTGTTGTAAAATTTCACTTAAGAAGGCAAAAAAGTCAATGTTGTTAACTCACAGAAGTACTGAAAAAAATTAAGAAAAGTTTTGAAGCTGCAAATTCTGTAGGATCTTCCACATCTTTCTTAATGAGGAAGACAACTTCAGAAAGTGAAACAGTTGCTGAAGTTGCCAATTATTTTTCAGAACATCGCGTGAGTTGCACAAGTGAATCATCTTCTTCAAGTGGCACTCCCAGATATTGCCAAAACTTAAATATGGAAAGATCAAAGCTTTTACATACCACACAGCTTGGCATCAGGTGTGTCAAGTTAACTAGGAAGACAGCAGAGACCTGGGAAAAGAGATTTTAACACAAAGGGACGTACCTTAGCAGCAGAAGAAAACAGTCAATTCTTGGAGCTGTATGACCACTGGGAGGCAGGACTGAAAAATGGGGTGGGGGGGTGGGAAGGAAAAGAGCCTGATCCCAAGTCAAGCAAGTCTGCAAACCATGGCCATTGCAGGCAGCAGCCCAGGCACAGACCTCTACAAACCTGTTCCAGGAAGCTCAATTGTGGTTGTACATTGGTGGGGCTTGGAGTGGGGGAGGGAAGGAAGGAGGAAGGAAGGAAGGAAGGAAGGAAGGAAGGAAGGAAGGAAGGAAGGAAGGAAGGAAGAAAAAGTCCATTCACAAATCTATAAAGGAGTGAAAAAATAGGATTTCTTGTTCAAATGGACTGAGATTGGCTACAAGAGCTGTAGAACCTGAGGAACAAGGAAGATTTAGGAAACTAAGACTTAAGAAATAGTTAAGATTAAAAAAACCCACAAGATTCTACACAAAGGTATAAAAACATATAAGTAGAACAGAGAGATAGAAATTTAAGAAATATTGGTAAACTTATAGTAATAGGAAAATAATAGAGTAAGATAGGAATCTAATTTTGTGCAATAAAAGTTTTGTGTGGAGAAAAACAAATGCAGTCTTCATATCTGTGTTCGCTGCCATATTAAGAAAAACCCTAACAATGAACAAATGAAGAAGCAGTTAGCCTTTATTCCTATTTCTCAAAATAAAATCATACAAAAAACAATGCTTCAACCTATATATACTTTATGATACAGAATATATTTAGCAAAAAATGTTACACTACTTTTACATGATTCTAATAACTATATCTTTGCTATGTGGGACAAAACACAAAACACAATGGAAGAAAATATACATTTTTTAAGGAGTGAGGAGACATGTATATCTTTTCTTTATAATGAGAGTGCTGATTCTATGTCCTGAGACTCTTTCCTTAGGCATGTTCTGCAACAATAAGCAGGTATGATCTGAAAGAAGAGGCATTTGTTATGAAAACTTGAGATTCTGAATGTTCTGGCACTTCTAAAATATGGCCTTTTTAATACTGAAATGGCAATTAGGCTTCTGTGCTCTACAAACAGAAAAAGTTACTTTTGGTAAATTATTTCCATAGGAAATATTAATTGCTCAGCAAAATAAAGTCTGAATTGGTTTCCCTTCTGTGACACTGTTTTACCATTCCCTTACAGTTTATCATATCATTGTTTTCTTTTTGTATATAATGGGAGGATGATTCTCACAATTTTTATGGGGATTCATCTGAAGTGCACCAGCTAAAAGAAAGCTAAAGTTCATTAATTCAAGATGTCTTTATCCCATATAAAAATGCATTTATGTTTTGTGAAGCAGAATCTCTCTATGGCTGATGTATACCTATTATAACTATTCTCATTTGCATGTCTTCTTTCTAAGAACTTCTTGGAAGAATTAATGTGTGTCAAATTGCTAAATAGAATCCACCCAAAAACGGAACAGTGCACTAATTAAAAAGTAGCCAGATAGTTTACTTCAAAGGTGTTATAAAAGCAAGAGAACTATTGCATAGATATAACAAAAAAAAATTAATACGGAACTGCAAAATCTGGAAGAAGATCAATTATCCCCAGGAACAGTTTTTGCAAATAATATCAGAAAGTTTTCATCCATGAAAAACATTTTGAATATGAATCAATTAAATTATACAAACAGTACTTGGTGTGTCACATTTGAGGTTCTGTCTATTTTAAAAGCAATCAATTTTAAAAAAGCATGCTAATTGTTCAAAGTATTATTTTTCAGTTTTTCATCTTCATCTCTGAAGCTGTGCTTTCATTTGATACGAAGTTCCCAGTTATTGCCAATGTTTAAGGAAAGTTTTTGAAGGGTCAGCACAGAATTTCTGGTATCATAGGTGAAAGCCACTGTCTTGTCTTCTTTTCCATCTGAATTGCAATTAAAGAAATACACATAAACATTTATTTAAAGTAAGCCATGTAGATTAATGTTGTTGTATATCTGCTCAAAACAAAGTCCTAATCAAGTCTTCTGTTCTGAAGCAAACGCTTCCAGAGTGAGCACTTGTTAGGACTATCTTCTGTTCTCCACTTTAGGAGAATGTTCTTGTAGGCTTTTGAGATATGTTGGTGAGATATGAGCAAGTTCAGGACTTATTAATATCCAAGCCCCCCATCCAACCTGCTCTGCAAAGCAACTCAAATGTTCACTTCTAATGAATGAAGAAAAGTGGTTGAACTGCTCCAACAGCAAAAGTTGTAGCACAAGCAGTAGTGGCACTTCTTGTTATATTAATATGCCATCGCTGCTATATGAACTGCATTTGTTCCAGTTGATTTCTGGAAGCATTTCAAAGTGTTGGTCATTACCTATCAATTAAATGTTGTCATCTTGTCTTTAGGAAACAGTCTTGTTGAATGGAACTTATTAAAGAAAAAATTTGTTATAGAAAAGCAAATGTACATTATTCTGTGTAGAAGTTCCATTTAATTCAGGGATTGTCATCTAGTGACACCCAGGAAGTAGTTGCCCTTTGGAATATCAAACCACACAAGATTTAGTTGTCCTCAACTCTGCTCACCTTTAGAAAGCCTTGAAGGACTAGCTTCAGTGAGCCCATAATGTTGATGAATTGTGTCTTTGGCAGCCACTTTGTATTTTAGGTGGGGGTGAAATTTATATTTGTATTGTTTCTGTATTTTTTTTTTTAAAATTGTCAGCCACTCAGAGTCATATTTAAGAGAAGGGTGGGCATATAAAACAATTAAAATTAATAGATACAGTTTCTTCCAAGGAGAGAAATGCAATGCTTCAAATGCCCTGGAGAGTCTAGTGTGGAAGCAAAGAAATCAATAAGCTGGAAACTAGACTATTTCTGTCTCTTACCAAACATAGTTGCTGTCACAACAGAGGGCTCCTTTTTTATTCCCAAAATCAATATCTGTTGAACTATACATTTTGTCTGGAATAGTCCTTCTTCATCAGCACATCTGAGAAAACAAAAATGGTGTTTTAATTATTAAAATGCCTGCTTGTTCTGGCAATCAACCAAAGCTCCAGAGGGTAGGACAAGAAACGATGGTTGGAAACTGGTCAAAGAGAGAAGCAACCTGGAAATAAGGAGAAACTTCCTGACAGTGGGGACAATTAACCAATGGAACAGCTTGGCTCCAGAAATTGTAGGCGTTCCATCACTGGAGATTTTCAAAAAGAAACCAGACAGTCACTTGTCTGAGATGGTATAGGTTCTTCTGCTTGAGCAGGGGGCTGGACTAGAAGACCTCCAAGGTCCCTTACAGCTCTATTCTATCCTATATTCTATAGGGAATACAGTACCTTCTCTTCTAAAGATTGGCAAGAAAAAATTAAGAACGTTTGTTAGCTTATCAAATTTTTTTAGACATGGTGTTGAAGATGCTGCTTTGGGGTGCCCACAGAGAATCTCCAACATGGTGCATAAACTCATATTTTATATTCTTGGGAGGGAGAAGGAACAGATACAAGTATCTCCCTGAAAGAGAGCCTGGCTGGAGGACAAGATGAAGGAGGTCTTTCTGTTCTTCTACAGGCTGGATTCATACACCATAGTCAGAATGGTTTGTGTGATTTGCAGTGAGTGTGATGTGTATACCAGCCAATTACAGGTAGTCTTCAACTGACAACAGTTCATTTAATGACCAAAGTTACAACAGCACTGAAAAAAGTGACTTCTGTTTTTCACACTTACCACCATTGCAGCATCCCCATCGTCACATGATCAAATTTCAGATGCTCGGCAATGGACTCATATTTATGACGGTTGCAGTATCCTGGGATCATGTGATCACATTTTGCAACCTTCTGACAGGCACGGTCAATTTGGAAGCCAGATTCACTAAACAATTGTGTTACTAACTTAACAACTGCAATGATTCACTTAATAACTATGGCAAGAAAAGTTGTAAAATGGGGCAAAAGTCACTTAACAAATATCTCATTTAGTAACAAAGATTTTGGACTAAATTGTGATTGTAAGTCAAGGTCTACTTGTATGACATAGAAACCAATTATAGTAAAACAAATCATGATTCAAAATAGTGAAAGAGGTAAACCTAACCATACAGGGCATTGTTTGAGACTAAATTAGTTTTCCCCAGTCAGTCAGAAAGCAACTTGTCTGAAATGGTATAGGTTCTCCTGCTCGAGCAGGGGGCTGGACTAGAAGACCTCCAACGTCCCTTCCAGCTCTATTGTATTCTAAAGTTGTGTTTACTTTTTTCCTTGCTGCTGAGAAAGAGACAAAATGTTAGAGTGGTCTTGTAAAAAGAAGGTTTCTTTAGGCACTCTGTCTCTGCTTCCATTTTAATTCCATTCTCTCCTGGTTCCATAGAGGATAGAGGAATTTCCCCAGCTCCAGCTGTGGTGACACCAAACCTGACCAGCCCACAATGGTTGAATTTTGAAGCTTTGTTTTTATGAAATGGAAAAAAAATATGATATGGTAGCACCTCATCCCCCTTTGTGACAGCAAGAAGGGCTTTGACAATAATCATTCCTACTGAATGGCCTAGTCCAGGGGTAGGCAACCTTGGCTCTTTTATGACTCGTGGAATTTAACTGCCAGAATTCCTGAGACAGCTCAAGATAAATGACTGACTTTGTCACATATATCATGTGAACAGAAGTGAAACTCATGTTTATGATTCAAAGTTTCACTGAGTTTTAAAAAGTACCAATTGGTTCCAAACAAATATATACATTTAGTTACCTGCTCAGATTATAGCTGAACAAAGTCATTGGCACACATTTTTTGGGACAAGAAACTGAAAGTTGCAGTTTGTTGATCTTTATAAGTTGAAGTGTGAAACTGATGAGCAATGCAGACGTAAAAGCCTATGATAATCAATACTTTCTGATTCTTCATTCCATATTTAGGGTATATTTTACCTGGAGGAGAGGACATTCTCATGGAAGCTGAACTTTCTGAGCAGGAACTGTTTCTCATGGAGATAATGAAATGAGTGGCCATCATCCAGGTATAGTTTACCTGTTGCACATCCCTATACATCAGGCAAAAGACAGAATTATTTTATAATCAAATTCACTATCATTTGGATGTTTGCCCACCTGCAAATCTGGGTAAGACATGCAAGCAAACAAGCAAACTCATTTACAGACACAGATAGACATTTTATTGGGAACTTGCTTTGCTTTACTTTCCTATAGTGTTTGATGGAAAGCAAGTAATTGCTAATTAGAGAAATGAAAACCAAAATCATATTGGCATTAAAATGGAGAAAGAGAAATCAGTGAAAATGAAAAATGATATTATTCATTTTAAGTAACTTTATATACACTTAAAATTAGCTATAAATAAATAGTGTGTACAAAAATAGATTTAGAGGACCTTATAATCTAGTGCAGCATACAGTTCATATGGAACATCTACCATCCATTCTGTGGATTTTCCTACAGAAATCTTCAAAGGTATAATAGTCCCACCACGTTGAAATACAGGAATCTGCAAAAAGAAAATAAGTAGTGACTGGATTCGCACATTGCACTAAGATAATGTTTTTTTTTAACCATAGCTTATTAAATTAACCATAATTAGATGTGTTCTCACAAGACTCTAAGCCATAAATCAAATCACAATGTTTCAGTTCATAAAACGTACAAAGCCAAAGCAATTCAAACTATGGCTTAAAATATTGTAAGTACAATAAAATACTTTTGGACAAAAGAAAGAGACAATGAAATACTTTTTTGTAGCTAGCTCCTGCTTAGCATATACTATTTGATTCAGAACATCAAGCCCTATTTTTCTTAGGTACTTAATCAGGGCTAACAATACATTTGTATTAGCAAGAGCAAATGGGTTCATATAACATCAAACTGGTAGAAATAATATCTAGTGGGAGCCCAACTAATTCTATCAAATTTCATATATTCCAGAAAAGTCTGTGTTTATTTTATATTATTTATCACTATATTCAATTCAATGTTAACATAATTAAAGTGATTTTGAAAAATTAATTTTTGAAGAAAATATTATGCATTTGGTGAATAAACTATATTTCCACTGTGTAATTTGAAACATTAACAGTGTCAATATTTTTAGTGCTTGAAAGACAACACAATCTTAATTCTGTATTTTGCTTCCACTGCATGTCCTTTCTATTTGTGGAACACAAAATCCTGTATATTGTACACACACTGTATTATTAAGAAATAAGGTATTATTAGGAGATAACAGTTTTGGTGATTATAAATTTTAGATTTAAATCCTTACAAATTCTACATTTAAATCAACAGAGTTCACTAAGCTAGAACTATCCCATTCTCATAACAGAACTCCAGTTTTACTTAAATTAAAATGAAGATAAAGCTTTTTAAAAAATGTTAAAAGAAACACATACGTTGTTCAGTGTTACTGGGATCTTCAAGATGCCATGACCTTCAACATGTCTAAATTTTCGGAAGTCATACCAAATCTGCCAAATAATAAAAAGGAAAAACAAATGAATAGGAATTAGATTTTAGATATAGAAATCCCACATGAACCCTAACAGAAAATCAAATCAATAAATAATTTATAAATCCCAACCAACACAGTAATAGCAAACAACACACAAAATAGCAATAATTTGAGAGCAGTAAGTGTTCATTAAGACAACTATAATCAAGCCACCATTTTACATTTTTCTCAAAAACTAATACACATTTATTCAACTCAAAACTCTCACTCAACAATTTAACCAATTGGACAGAAACAGGAATCCAGAAAGCAAAAATGCTACTTTCCCCAACCCTTCCCTGAAGTAGCAGCAGATTATCTTAGTTTAGAGTTGGCTAGTAGGGTAAGAGGACTCTCTAGAAAAAGATTTACTTTTTGAAGAGCAAGAGAAAATTCATACTGTCTTATGAAAAACCTCGTTCCTTTTTGTTAGGGAAATGAGGCTCTAGTTTTATTGGCAAAGTATGATAAAAGCAGTTTTCAAATTAGTATATTTTCCATCCATTTCAAATAGAGGAGGAAAACATATTATTGCTGCTGTCTGGTTGAGCTCCTAGAGATTTTGGAAGTTGAAATCCAGCAATGTCTGGAGTGCAAAAAATTGCCTATCCTGAAAAGTAACCATGAAAAAAAATCTGAACTTTTCTGTTGCTGTCTCTTTTAATAGGTGAGAGCTATTTCCTGGAATGAGCAGGTTCAAGCTCTAAATAGCTTTAAAGAATCAAAGCCTTATCTTAAATTGGGCATTTGTCAAAAGCATTTCCAATTCAATACTGATGGTGGGTAGAAGGCATTATAATGATTGCTATCGTTAATACCTTATTCAAGTATCAAGTAAAGCATTGCCTGAGGAATCACAATTCTGTATCTAGATCTCCGAGAATATTCTAGAAAAAATATGGTTCCATAAATAATTCAGTTAATATGTTATCTAGAAATTTATTTATCAAATTCATACACTGCCCATCCCACTATCTATTGGTCAGTTTACAGATGAGAAATGTATAAAAATAATTAATAAGACAGAATTAAAAACAGAGTTAACAACAAAGTTAAAAAAGGCAGAGGGAGTGCCCTCAAGCCACCAACCATCCCAGGATTGGATATCATTCTTGGATCTCCAGGTTAGTTGGCAAAGAGATCTTAAGGCTATTCCAGAAGGCCAAAAGAATGGAAGCCCACTTCACCTCTGGGGACAAGATGTTCCATAGGGTGGGAGCAATTACTAATATATTCATTAGTACCTGGACCAAACTTGGTTAACTAGGCATTTCTGTAAAGAAAATTAAATTAGCAGTGTGCAAATAGCACCCTGCACTCTTATTTTAGTAATCTCATGCAAAGATTTGTGTATGTATGTATGTATGTATGCATGTATGTATGTTTTAATTAGTATCAGTATATGTGTATATGTAAAGTGTATGTCAGCATGTGATGTGTGTGTGTGTGTGTGTGTTTGTATATGTGTGTGTTTGTGGGGAGGGAAATTCATTTAATTTCTCTTACCTCTTGTGCGCCTGGCAGAAAGACACTGATTGTACTGATTTTTGGAGCAGTGACTGGATGCACCAACAAAGCACTTCCTAAATTAAAAACATAAAAATGCATTGTTTCATTTTTCTTCTCCTATAATTAGCAGAATTTTAAATAATTGTTTGTAAGTATGATCTATACCCCCCCTAGGAAGATTTTTATGCTCAGGTCTGTATCCATCATTGAACGTCTTGTGCTCCTTAATTAACCCTGCTACCCAAGGAGACTGATTGTAATTACCACAGGAAAAAAACAACAACCTGACATCTATAATATACAATACAAATGTGCTGAAGTAGCAATACTTCAGCCAACTCAGAGGAGCCTCAATCAATACAATGATATTCATCTCTACCAATTCTTATGGAATTGACTATACAAATTGGAATAACGAACAAATTAGAAAAAAATAGATGGGGTACATAATGCTGTAACTTCAGAATAAATAGTAGATATTATGGATAATTTAAATTTACCAAGCATGTACTCATCTTCAATGCCAAAAGTTTCTAATTCCTTTGGAAATTCCACCCAGAGAGGCCTATAAAAAACAAAGGCATTTCACTATTCATACAAATGCTAAGAAGCATAATTTTCTCTCCTATACTGCATCTATTTATAGTTTCTTAAGTTCATGCTTTGGATGTGGGCATTAAAGTTGCTATTTTAACTATTTAAAATATCTTGGGGTGTGTGTGTGTGTGTAATCACTGCTATACCATGTGAGCTTTATGATTATAATTACAAAATTATAATACAAAAGTGCTACAAAAAGAAACTTATTAAAAGCCTCAGAAAGAATTGTAAATGGTAGCTTATTAACTGAAATATTTAAACAAATCAGATTTAGCTGATTTGGTTCTATCCTCTCCCCTGACTGGCTCAACCAATTTTTTAGAATTTGGTCCCTGGTATGCCAATCAAAGACCAAGGAAAGCCAACAATCCCCACAAAGCTAATTTATAATAGTCCCAAAAGCACTAATGGAAAGTTGGTTTAAAAATCTTTTGCTACTATTTTCTATAACAAAATTCTGGAAAGCTGTATATAGAGAGAGTAAGGAAGATGATCTTGATGGATATATTCAAACTCTGTTGCCAAAGCAACAAGGGATAAAACATTAAGTCCAGAACATCCAGAACACACTCAAAAGCAACTCAGATACCTTCCTAACTATAAGTCAGAAGAAGTAGTACAACACAATCAGACTTGCAAGATTGATATCAACCCTACTAAATAGACCAGACCAAGAAATCACCATCACAGATAAGCACTAAAACTACCTTTATTGAGATTATCTATAATAAGATCTTGAAAGTCTGATTGGGAATTATATTTCATACCTCATTTAATTCTAGAGAATGCAAAGAGTTTCAAGGTAGTCCTTCCATTGGCCTGTTTTTTTTACCAGCTCATGATACACAGATGGTGTCCTAAGAGATCACAGCTAAAGTAGTGAACTAGTATCTGTGCTAGGCCTGCATTTCAATACATATTTCATTAACATTTCTATGTGGTGTCTAACCATACATTCTATATTTGTTACAAATAGTTTAGCATAAAGCAGAAATCGAACCTTTTCAATGACCAGCTTACCTCATAACTGGTTCAGCCATGCTGTGTGCCTGATAGAACAGCGTATAAAGGTAAGGAAGCAGGGAATAGCGTTCCTTAATAGCTTCCCTGATGATCTTTGTGTTCTTCTCCCCAAATAGCCAGGGTTCACGACGCTTGGTGTCCCTACTGGCATGGCCTCTGAAGAAAGGCTGCAAAGCCCCAGCCTGATACCATCGAACCAGTAGTTCTGGTTCTGGATTTCCAATAAATCCACCGACATCCGCTGGACATCAAAAAAATATTGTTTGCCAGAAATTGGTGAGAAATTCAAACTCCTTGGATTGTCCACCTTTATTAATAAAGGTTAAAGACCAAGACCAGCAGACTAAGACCAAGCAGACTAATTTTCAGAAAAACAATTTAGAGAAATTTTGATTCAGCCTCTAATAAATGCAAAAAAGGCCGGGATACACTTTTTCAGAGCTGCTGGTACTCGGCGTGAATAAAATTCAGGTAAATGAGTAGTCTGATTTGTTGTAACATGGTTCTTAGGCTCCTAATGAATGGATCCCTTCTTAAGAATAGTTTACAGCTCATGATATGAATAGCTTCCCTATAAAAGCCCACTTGATACTGAGCCGAGGTGGCGCAGCAGTTAGAGTGCAGTACTGCAGGCCTTTAGCTGACTGTGTTCAGCAGGTCAGCGGTTCAAACCTCACCGGCTCAAGGTTGACTCAGCCTTCCATCCTTCCAAGGTAGGTAAAATGAGGACCCAGATTGTTGGGGGCAATGTAAATATATATATACATTGCTTACTGGTGTATACCGCTTAGAGAGTGCTTGCACTTAAAACGGTATATAAGTCTCATAAATAAATAAATAAATAAATGTTGTAATCCTTTCTTACCTAAGCATTGCAGCAGGTTAAATATAATTTTGCATTATTAAAGTGAATTATTCTTGATTGTGCTCCGCATGGATAAATGTTTTAATTAAAAACAAACAACTTTTGAAGTGTTTGAGTCTGTTTAAGACTTCAGAAGCTTCTCTTACTATTTTTTATTTTGTCTTAATGGAACATAATATACTTTCTGCAAGAGGAAAGGAAGCCCAGTTAAATGGAAATGAGAAAGAAATATATCTATATCTTACCTCCACAGAAAGAAATTCCCGCAATGCTGATTGTCAGCAACATTGGAATGGAGATTTTCAAGTAACTCCAATCTGCTGTGTTATCTCCAGTCCACACTGCACCTGAAGATGCCATAGCAAAATCTTAACCCTGTCTGTATTTAGCTATAAGGCCAATTAAATTGAATATATCGTACTTTGTTGTTGTTGTTAATTGCGAAGTCGCATCCGACCCATCGCGACCCCATGGACAACACTCCTCCAGGTCCTCCTGTCCTCCACCATCTTCTGGAGTCCATTTAAATTCACACCTACTGCTTCAGTGACTCCATCCAGCCATCTCATTCTCTGTCATCCCCTTCTTCTATTGCCCTCAATCTTTCCCAGCATTAGGCTCTTCTCCAGTGAATCCTTCCTTCTCATTAGGTGGCCAAAGTACTTGAGTTTCAATTTCAGGATCTGGCCTTCTAAAGAGCAGTCGGGGTTGATCTCTTCTAGGACTGACCGGTTTGAACGCCTTGCAGTCCAAGGGACTCGCAGGAGTCTTCTCCAGCACCATAGTTCAAAGGCCTCAATTCTTTTGCGCTCAGCCTTTCTTATGGTCCAACTTTCACAGCCATACATTGCAACTGGGAAAACCATGGCCTGGACTATACGCACTTTTGTTGGCAGGGTGATGTCTCTGCTTTTTAGTATGCTGTCTAGATTTGCCATAGCTTTCCTCCCCAGGAGCAAGCGTCTTTTAATTTCTTGGCTGCAGTCCCCATCTGAGGTGATCTTTGAGCCCAGAAAAATAAAATCTGTCACTACCTCCATTTCTTCCCCATCTATTTGCCAGGAATTGAGAGGGCCGGATGCCATGATTTTGGTTTTCTTAATGTTGAGTTTCAAGCCATATTTTACGTCACTACAAATATGTTGCTGGCCTTACAAAGTTAATGACTCACTGGAAATTGTGTATTGCCAGGAAAATTGTAGTACTGCCATGAATGAACACAATTGCAAAAGCCTAAGTTATTTACAATACTGCTTCTGATTTAAGAAGAGCTGTATTCCACAGACCTTTATGGTTTGATTTTTAACACATATTCCATGTAATGTGCTATGAATTCACATATGTCTGTAACTATATTTTGGAATATAATTAAGCAGAGGCATCTTTGTGTGCCTAATGACAAAAGCAGTGCTGTGCCAATATGACACAAATTCCACCTCCTTTGTGTGACACAGCACAAATAAGATTAAATAATGGAACTTGCACTTCATAAGGTCCTGTAGATGCCTCTATAACTAAGTAATTTTCACTGTCTTAAAAACCTGGTCATCCTAAAAGTTTGGAATTTACTGCCCATTGGTTTTTTTTTTATAATTTTCATTATTTACTTCTTTATTTAATTCATGTATTTATTCAATTTATATATGCCCATTCTCACCTAGAGATGACTCTAGGCTGCTTATAATAATTAAGGTCCAGAATAGATAATATTTTATTTAAAAAATCATTTGCCATGTAAAAAGAGGCTAAAGCACAACAGCAAAGCTTTTGTTGTACTGTTCATATGTCAACATGTCAGGTGCTTTGCTTATCTTCACATTTCAAATTCAACATCTTACAAATGTCTCACATAGCATGACTGTCATGACTGGGGGAATAGAGAGCATGATTTATTTATCATTGCATTTTATTAAAAAAGGTGATTTTATAAAATGAAGATTACCAATATCCTTCAGAAATAAGCGAACAGAATGGTATGGATCTCGTTTGGACTCTAATTATCAAGCCAGCAGCTGAAATAAATCCATATTTCAGTTTAACAGCCTAAATTGTTCTAAATCTGATTAACTATAGTTCCTTGGAGATCATTCTGATTTAATTATGTATTACAGTAGAATTAAAGGGAATATGTGCACAATTAAACACATATGCTTGAGTCTCTTTTACTTTCAAGCACACAATTGTTCAAACCATTGAGTAACCTAGAAATGGTTAATTCTCAAAGCTCAGGCTGACTATATCCTTTAAGCAAGCTGTATCTGGTTCCCCGTAGGCTTTCCAAATTAAAACTGTGCTAAATCCTATCACCTATATTTCTGAGATTCTTTTATTCACAAATAATAAGTTTTTTTTCTATCTCTGCCTCAGGAAGTTGAAAAAAAATTGAAAAGTTTACTGAGCAGAAAAGTAGAATTTATTTCAGTTTTTTTCTTTAAAGAAGTCCAGCAGGATGGAGATCCTCATATTTTTATGTTTTCTTTCAAATCATCTGATCATCTGACACATTGGCAAATAACCAACCATGGTTTAAGAACCACTGGGTTAATGGTTGTATGGGAATCTGAATGACAGTGAGCACTGGCAAAGCATGCCTTTGTTTTTTGTGCAACTGGCTTTTAAAAGAGCAATACTAGATAAAAATCAGTCTTTCTCGACACTTACCATACTTCTGCGATCCAGCAAAGAAAGAGCGGGTAAGAACAAAGGGTCTTTCCAGCCCTCCACTTCGTTTCACCAGCCCTTCTGCAGTTGCCATTTGCTGAAAAAGTTATTATTACTACTATTATTGTTATCGTACTGTTATTATATTAGATATCCCATCTTTATTTTGAACAACCCAGGGTGGTTTATTTTCCTCACAACTGTCCCAAAGATGCTTTCTCAAATGGCAATTGGAGTTTCTTTGTTTATCCTTGAAATCCTTCTCATTTCTCATCCAAGGAGCTTCTTCAATTCAGAACTGAAGAAGTTTCTTGGGTGAGAAGCAAAATATCTCCAAGTAAAAACAAAGAAAGTACAGTTGCTTTTTGAAAAAAACACCTTTGGGACAACCATGACATAGATAACTAAGCATCTCCATAGACATTTTCCTCACAACTGTGAGGTGGATTGAGCTGGGGGAGGGTAACTGGCCCAAAGTCTCCTAGCTGGTTTTCAAACTCATACATAAGGGGGACTAGAACTCATGATATCCTGTTTCTTATCCGCTACTTTAATCATTATGCATCAAAGGAACGGTAAGCAAAACATTTTTAGCAAATGTAGCAATGGGATTGGTATTATACAGAAGTGAGGGCCAGGAATGATACATCTTAGGAACAAAAGTGATACATCTTAGGAACAAAAAGAAAGGAATGAATGATATTGTAAACAACAACAACAACAACAACAACAATAATGTTGGAAGGGACCTTGGAAGTCATCTAGTCCAACTCCCTGCTCAGGCAGGTAACCCTATACCATTTCAGACAAATGGCTGTCCAGTCTCTTCTTAAAAACTTCCAGTGTTGGAGCATTCACAGCTTCTGGAGGCAGGTTGTTCCACTGATTATTTGTTCTAACTGCCAGGAAATTTCTCCTTAGTTCTAGGTTGCTTCTCTCTTTGGTTAATTTCCATCTGTTGCTTCTTGTCTTGCCTTCAGGTGCTTTGGAGAATAGCTTGACTCCCTCTTCTTTGTGGCAACCCCTGAGATATTGGAACACTGTTATCATGTCACCCCTCATCCTTCTCTTCATTAAACTAGACATACCCAATTCCAGCAACCGTTCCTTATGTGTTTTAGCCTCCAGTCCCCTAATCATCCTTGTTGCTCTTCTCTGTACCCTTTCTAGAGTAATGTACTTTATTTGTAATGTTTTGGAACAAAAGATGATATTGGACAATATACTTTACTAAAGTTTTTTTTAAGTAACATTAACAGCTACAAAGATTTTAAAATAATGTATTATTGTACAAAGATTTTAAAACAAACTATTATCATGATTATAATGGCACTGCTTTTTTATTAATAAATTTATAAACCACTTTGATTAAGACAAGTACAGACAAAATGCAAGAACAGCAACCACAGGTAATGCAATAATAAGAACTACCAGTGTTCTAATTGTTAATTCAGCTGTAATTGTCCTACCTGGTAGAAGCCATAGAGATTATGAACATCTCGATGTTCCCATTTGCCATAATGAATGGCATCTTTTGATATGCTTTGTTCTATTCCTCTGAAGACTGAAGGCTCATTCATATCATTCCAGATAAAAACAATTTCAGAAGAACCCTGTAGGCCAACATTTAAGTTTCTTTAATGTATTAGTTAAGTACAAGAACTGTATCTAGGTACTTATACTAATTTATTTTGTTCACACTACTTTGAAAGGTGTATTTTTTCCTTTTTCCTTGGCCTCCTGGCCTGAGATTCAACTGAGCAGAGAATGAGCGTCAGATATGAAGGTTTTCTTCCTGGGGGTTATTCAGAATGGGGCTATCTCACATGCCTTCTCAATTCAAACAGATGGTAAACCGAATAAAGTATTTAAGATGGTACATTCCTCTTATTTCCAGCATTATCTGTAATGCAATTTGCATGAGCTAAAAGGTCTCTACGCAGAGATGACTATGCAGTAGATGTCCTGCTTTAGTCTCTCATTTTATCCTCTGGATGGATTTTATTTATAATTACCAAAGTTATTTAGATTTTGTCTTTTTCCACATTTCCAAAATTAAGCACCCAAGGTTGTATAGAAATCACATTAATAGACAGTAATATTCTATGGATCCTGACCATATCATTACAGAACACAAACCTTGTATGTTTTGAAGTCAAACTGATCTGCGTACCATTGTCGGACTTCAGGATTGGTAAAATCCAGGTATGATGAGAGACCTGCAGACGTTAGGATTGTATTATGTTTGCAGGAAGAAAAAACAAAACTGGCTTTTTCTTTGTGTCATATCCCATTACAATAATATAAAATATTAATGTTCAAGCCAATGTACTGATACATGAGACAGACAGCTATTATTGTCATTTCTGGTACTGGCAAATGTTAAGATACGAATAAGAAGAGAAGCAGAAATAGAGAGAAACCTGTCAATTGTGAAGATAAGGAATTTATCAATTTATTTCAAATAGGTCAATTACAATTAACGAGAAAATCCACTTTGATCTACCTCCTATGTGCTTCTTCAAAGTTATTTATAAAACAAAGAGAGTTTATTACCTGGCCAGCAGATGCCCTCAAAATCTTCACCAGTACGATTTTTTACAAATAATCCTTTCGCTTTTGCTTGTGAGTATATAGTATAAAGAGGATCAATCTTAATATGAGGGTCCACAATGACAACCAGCTGCCAACATGAGAGATAACAACATAGCCTTATTGTTGACTGAACAGTATGTTGCGGGAATGTTTAGATTAGCCCAGGGGTAGGCAACCCAAAACACTCAAAGAGCCACTTGGACCGGTTTCCCACCAAAAACAAAACACTGGGAGCCGCAAAACCCTTTTAATATCTAAAATGAAGATAACACTGCATATATCCTTTTTTACCTTTATTATAGGTGTGTGTGTGTGTGTGTGTGTGTGTGTGTGTGTATACACATATACACATTAAAAATAAAAATTAAAATATGACTCTTGGGAATATCCATAGTATTAAAACAATGATCACCAAGAGAATGCTTTAAGAGAATAAAATTACATACACACAGAGGTAAAAAAAAGGATATATGCAGTGTTATCTTCATTTTAGATGTCAAAAGGGTCTCTCTCTCTCTGTCTCTCTCCCTCCCTCCCTCTCTATTTGCCCTTGGTCTGCCACTCCTCTTCCCCCACTCTCTCTCTCTCTCCCTCCCTCCCTCTCTCTCTCTCTCTTTCTCTCTCCCTCTTTCTCCCCCCCTATCTGCTGCTCACCTGGCAAGCTTCAAGCTGTTGTCCAGCAACCTCAGGGGTAAGCAACCTCGTCTCTTTTATGACTCATGGACTTCAACTCCCAGAATTCCTGAGTCAGCCTAGCTGGGCTAGCTAGCTCTCTCCTGCCCTTCCTGCTTCCTGCAGAGACGCAGCAAAGGGAGGAGCTCCACCCAGTAAGCTTTTCAGCTCCTCAGAGAACACTGTGAGTGCACTCTCTTTTACACACACACACACACACACACACACACAACCACAAACACACACACAGAGAGAGAGAGAGAGAGAGAGAGAGAGAGAGAGAGAGAGAGAGAGAGAGAGAGAGAGAGAGAGAGAAGTGCAATTGCCTCTCTCTGTCTCTCTCTGCAAAGGCAGAGGAGGCTGGGAGCCACAGGGGAAGGCTCAAAGAGCCACATGCGGCTCCGGAGCTGCAGGTTGCCGACCTGTGGATTAGCCTTCCATAAGCTGATATTCTCTTCTAGATGCTTTGGATTCGCAATTGCCAGAATTCCCAATTAAAGCAAATTAAAGCAGATGGAAAAACATATGCAAGAAGCCAAAAATCTTCCCAAATTAGCTGGGGAAAAACAGAGAATGCTTTAAACTATTAAAGGGAATTTGCTAGCCTGATTGTTTTCTTCCATAGATGTATTTCTTTCCAAACAACAACATTTGTTTTAAAATTTTCAAGGAAATGGATGTTCTCAGTAGGCACCGATGAAAGCCGCATAGCTACACCACTTTCCCTCTGTGTTTCATGCATTACGTACCTTGCGTTTTTTCTTCATAAGTATCTGCTTCTGCATCCTCTCAGGATTGGGAAATCTCTTCCTGTCCCAAGTGAAGTACCGCTTGCCATCAGTATGCTCAATGTCTAGCCATATGACATCATAGGGAATGTCAAAGGTATCAAAACCTGCATCCACCTTTTGTACATCTTCTTCATCTTCATAATTCCAGCGGCACTGATGGTATCCAAGAGAGAAGAGGGGAGGCAAAGCCTGAGTGCCTATGAGGAAAAGGAAGGGAAAAAATTGTGCTGCCATTCAAAATATAACTAAGAACATATTAAATGATAAATATTTCATTTTTATTCTTCCACTTAGTATAAACAATCAGCACAGTTGGTAGATTAATTACTGGAAGGCTACAAGGGAGGGACTAAAAGAAATTTCTTCATAAGCCAATACCTGTTAGCTGTCCATATTGCTTAAAAATATCAAAGGGGCTGGGTCCCTTTAGGATGAACATGTCAATGATTCCGCTTTCTGACATCCAGCGCACATCAGTTTGAGGCACTACTCTCTGTTTGGACACGTCTGGAGTTTGAGAAGGTAAAACCTTTAAAACAAACATATACAAATACTTAGAAATAGTGTTAAATGTAATTTATAAAAAATAATAGCGGTAGGTTAAAAAAAAATCTAAAAAAAAGTTTTCCAGCATTAGTGATAACTTTCAGTGACCAAGATGGCTAGAGGTGTTGTCCAACTCAACATGAGGTTTTCAGGTTGGTGGAAAATACCTTTATAATCTTATGAATTCTTATACAATGCATATATAGTTCCATGCAGAACACATTCCATCTCACCTTCATTGAAGCTTTTGTAGAAATCTCCACCAATGTTTCTGAGGAATTTAGCCAAAAGACTCCAACTGTCTGATCAAGCTTATGTGCTAGAAGTAAGGGCACTGAACCGTAAATGCCCATTTTGCTATGGATGGCATATCCGAAGACATCCAGATTATAAAGCCGGTAGACATCATCATCACTGGAACACAAAGACAAATGAATTACTTGTAGAGAAATTATTTTATGTCATCCAGTGTGAGAACAGGACATTGTAGTGCAGCAACTGCCTTGTGGTACTATGGAATAAGTTGTCCACAGTAATAGTTTATACCAGTTTTCTTTATCCTGATGTGATCCAGTTTTGTTGCAGTTCAATTACCATAATGATTAATGCATAATGTGACAGCCAGTTTGCTGAGTAAGATGATCATCTATCCATTTACTCAACCCTTTGGATTTATATATCTCTGTTGAAGCAACTGTGCTGGCTTTCAGTATTCATCTATTGAGACCATTTTATGCAACATACCTATATTTCCTCCTCCTTCTCCTTGCTTGCTCACAGCATATCACCTGATTGTGAAGCTACTTGCAGCAGTGGGTACTCTTGTCCTTTGGAGCAACTCATTCAGCTAATCATGGCTGTGTAGCTCATATTGGCTTCTCCACTTCACTTGGAGCTTTCATGATCTTGGTGGAGGGGTTTTGCAATCCTCGATGTCACTGCCATGTACAGATTGTTCATGACTCACTCTAATTACCAAAGGCATCTGTGAAAACTAGCATCTAGTAGTGCAATCAAAAGGACCCTCCCTTAAGATCGTGAATGAATCTGAAAGGATGACCTTTTTTTATCACCAGCGGAGTGAGATTTTCCAAAAAAGAACAATACCGCTTGCTGTGAGAAAGCCACCTGATGCCTTGTGTGGGTGTGATCTTTTGCAGTAGAAATGATGAACAATACTGATACACTGTGCAGACAACCCTAACAATAAATGTATTTTTATTTTTTTGTTAATTATAGCCCACCTGTCATTTTAAGCATGCTTAAAATATAAAAAAATCCCTACATTTAATGTGTATAATGAAATCTGTTCTTTATTTTTCAACTGCAGATAAGCAAATCTGTGGATAATGACAGTTTTTTCAGTGCCCTTGTAACTTTGAAAGGTCACCAAATGAATAGTTTAGTCAAGGACTACCTGCATACATTTTGCTGAGCACTGACTCCTGCAGTGAATGTAAAGGGAAGGGCAGAACAGACTGAGTATGTCCTCAATTCTGTTTTTCTTGCAAGGGGTATTTGAAAGAAAATATTTATCTAGAATGTAACTCATGGGAAAACATTGTAACGGCAAAGAAAGCAAAGATCACCTTCAGTAACTGACTACTCTGAGGTTTTGTGTTGAAGAAAACAGAAGTGAGCAAGAAGCAGGAAAAACAGAAGCTATGGGCATGGGGATCCTGGGTGATTAGGCTGAGTCTAAACAGCTTCAGTAAATAAGGAAGGCGCTTAAAACCCAGAGAAGCGGGAGCTGATTGGAAACATTCATTTATTTTTAGGTTTGAATTCCACCCTTTCATAAGAAGCTCAAGATTGTATATACAGCACTCCCTTCTCCTCTTTTGCCATCTCCCCCAAACAACAAACTTAAGAGAGAGAGAGAGCAGATGACCTCCAAAGTCACAGATAAGGAGAATACGTCTTGGTCTTTCCTGTCCTAATCCAACACCTTCACCATTGCTCCATACTGGCTTTCAGGAAAAGATCAATTGAAGGGATTAACAACGCTGTCCAGGGAAGCTGTGTGATATTCTAGATGTTAGGAGAGAGGCTGCTGAGCTACTTCCTCCTGATAGTGAATGTGGAACACAATGTTGTGTTCCATTTCATGTTATACTATTAATTTGGCATAGTTATGATAGTTACTAGCCAAAAGTCCCCAGATCTTGGACCAAAAGTCCTGAGCTACAATGACATTCAGAACATTTCACTATCTTTTGATGCTTATTTCATTACCTGGTATTTTTCAAGAGGAGGGTTTCTGCATGCTGAGGTATTCCATAGAGATGTTCAAATCCATGCAAAGAAACATCTAAACCTACACTACTAGGACCTGTATTAAGACAGAGTAGCACTGTTAGGTAGCAAAAACACAGGGCAGCATGAAAGAGTAACCCATTCAATACTAACCTCCACTGAGGCTCCTTGTGACTTTCTATAATATAGAGAAAAATTGTGTCAATGTCTCATTGTGAGGACCCAGAACGAGGACTAAGGAAGAAACCCATTTTAAGGATTCAAGCAACCTAGTCCAAATCTACAAAGACAGATTGTGCAGCCCCAGCCAAACATTAAATATAAACCATCTAAACTGCAGTATAAACAGGCAATAGAACTATTACAATAATTGACTTCCGGTTTTGCACCCATAGCACATGGCCACATGAGAGTGGACCTCTGCTCCCCATGGTTAGTTTCATCCTGCCGGCGGGACCCTAGATGGGTCCGAAGTTACCCTGAAGAGGTGACCACGAAGGAGGGGTGCCCTGTTGATCACGAAGCGATAGCAATCGCTTCATTTGATCTGGGGGAAGCCCTCCGAACCTGACAGGAGAAAGGCTAGTATGAGATCAGCGTCTAGCCCAAGCTACTTGTAGCCGAAGTCCCAGAGCATGAACTTGAACATCGGTGAACAGTGTGCTTGGAACTGGTGAGAGTACTGATCTTTTTTCTTCTATCTACTAACTGAATCCTTGAAATGATCCCCAAAGCAAGAAAACCTCCAGAAGTGAAGGGAGGGGACTATATCCCCATTCCCTGACAGACAGAAGCGGCGAATTAATATTAAAGGAGGAAAGAGATATATTAAATTTGATTTAAAATACTACAGTCTGGACAAATCTAGGAACTAAAAAATTGTCAAGATTATACCTTAAAGAATTTCTGATGGAATTATAAAAATATATAACAAAAATAACTTTTTGATTGAAAAAAAAACTGAAAAAAGAAATAACTGCTGACATCTAGTGGAGAATCAGAGAATAGAACACTCACAATAAGGACTCAGAAATTGGCAGAATGCCTAGAAACAAAGAAAAAGCTGTTCCTTTGAATTGCAAATAACCTTGAAGACAGCTGGGAACAAAGGAAGAGCCAGCTATAAGATTAAAAAATGTCTGAAAGAAAAACAACACCTGGACTGTTGCTTAAATATAAGAACTGTTTATGGAAAAGAAAAACCTTGGCTTTTTGGCTAATCTTTTAGAGGAGAATCTATAGGAAGGATTTAAAGTGGCTTAACACACTGAAGTGTAATTTTGACTGACTGATAAATTGACTTTTGAATTAAAATATTGATGAAAGATTATTGGAAGGGGGGGAGACATCATAGATATCACATACGTATCAAAAAATGACAGGACACCACATTCAATATTTTTTCCTGAAGGACTTAGCTTGAAAAAATCAAGGGCCTCCAGAAGCAATACTTCAAGGCAAGATAAATATTTTCCAGGAGGAAATATATGTAATGTTAGGACAAATACAAATGACAATAGACTGAAATCACGAGGAAATTTGAAACAACTTTGATGATTTATATAAGCATATTTCTAATCTAAATCTACAATTAAAAAATACCCAGGAAATAACAACAAATGAACAAATAAATCAGACAGCAGACTACAAATTAGAACAGTATGATCAAATTGATGAAATAACAAAGGAAAAGAATTACAATTTGACACAAACAGGAAAAAACTACAAGGTTCTGATACAACAAGAAAATTGGAATGCACTATAGAATTATCAGGAGAACCATCTAAGTTTGGGAGACAGAAAATATTCATCTTACTTATTTCATCTTTTGCATTCCCAACAACATTTATAAAAATACAGGAACTGCCGGGTAAGTGGATTACATCAACTTGGAAAATTACTTGGCAAAAGAAGATTAGAGACAGATAGAAGAGATTTGACTCGGCCTACCAGATGGATTATTACGTGAATAAACATTTGTTTGAATATGGCTCAAAGAATAGAGAATTTTGCACACAAAGTGGCCTTATAACAAGAAGGATAAGAGATTTAAGTAATATAGTATGTTCTATAATATATGAAATGTTAAAATACCAGGTTGAAGTAACTTTTATTAATATAAGTGAAATATAAACTGATTAAAAAGGATGTTACATCTAGATACTATAAGATAGATAACAAGTATAATATTTTTATAGTGCATGATATAAAATATTGGGATGATGTACCTAAATGGAAAATTTTGGACAGTTATATGACTAATATGAAGAAATTGTGACTGATAAGAATTGGATTGAATATAAGGGAATTTAACATAAACAAAAATTATAAAAATAGGATGCGTGCTGAGCTAATGAGATAATGGTTATGAGATTAATATAAGCTGAAAAAATATTATATATAAAGATTATTATTATTTGTATAAATATAAAAATGCCTATATCTAATCATTTATATATTAAAAATATTAAGAATTATATTGTGGCTAAGATTGAAGAAGAAGAATACATATGGGAGAAGGGAAGATCAAGATCATTAATTAATATATTTATTATGGAATTATCAAATTTAATCATTACTGATTGTTAATTACTATTGTCATTTTTTCCCCTGTTAAAATATAAACCAAGACAACATGCTGTACACCAAGCACTGGAGATTGTTATAATTAAAAACCAATAAAATATTTATTAAAAAAAAAAGAACTGTTGCAATAACTGATTCCTATGAGTGAGCCAAGCCATGTGCATCTGGGAAAAAGCCCACCAAGAACAGCATTACTGGTGTGAATATGTGTTTGTGCATGTGTGTGTGTGCATGTGAGTATGAAGAAATGGCTGTACCATCTGGTGTGGGGATTTGCTAGTTTTGGAGCCTGAAAAATGACTGTACTGTCAATGAGATGGATTACACTCTCCTGTGAGTTAAGTTTCTTTATGTTTCATAATTTGTTTTTGCTTTAATAGTCATTTGCTATGGTTTTGGCTATTTCTGTATTGATTTTTTTTTGCTTTTAACTCTGGAAATTACCCAGAATTATGTACACTGTATGATATGTGTAGCTATATAATTGAGCAAATAAATAAATAAAGTTTAAGAGAAAAAAGCCCACAAAGCAATTAAATATACATTACTATAATTGAGAGAAAGGACATTTTCAATTATTAGATAATAACTAAACATTGGCAACATGGTATGCTATCCTCAATATGCCAAGTTAACAAGCAATGATTCCCAATATTTTTATAATCAATTTTACAAAAATGGAAATGACCCAAACTTGTGAGAGAGCCAAACCTTGCATAATATCCAAGTTTTCACATAAAAATTGATGAGATTTCAATCAAATTGATTAAATTCAGAGCTGAAAAAGAACACTGGTCTCTGAGCCACCTACCATTAGCTTTGATGTCTAAAAAGTTGCCATTTTTTTCTTCCCAGAGACCTAAATCTTCTTCAGTTTCCTTAGATAAAAGGAAAAGAGATGTACATCTATCATGGACTAGCCAACAAAACTTAGCATTTTCTAACAACACAATCGGTTTCCAATCTAGCTCAGAATTACAACTAGCAATATTCTACAATGAAATTACTGTACAATTCAGACATGCCCTAGTTAATAATTGTCAGTAACTGGCTTATTTCTGTTGTACCCAATGGTGCACTGATCCCTTCCAGATTCATAACATTATTGTTTAAAGCATTTTTACAATCAAAACTTATTATTTCTACCACAGGACTGTTTTGTCCCTTGGACAAACTGACCAGACAAAAATCCATACATCTACAGTAGATTAAATTTACCTTAAGAGAGTCTGCCAATCCACTTTTCTTTTCTTGTGAAGTAGATTTCCTTTAAAAATCAAATGTATTCAGTGTATAATTACAAGCAGATACTCACAAAATAATTTATTTTAGAATAAGAATGTTAATTATCTCAACCTACAATAACTGATCTGTATTTAGAGATCAGCAGATAACGATATTGCTTTCTGTATGTTTAATGATATATTTCTGTCTTTTTTCTGTTTGTTTCTTTTCCTTTTTTATTTTTCTCCTTTCCCCCTTTTGTATATCAAAGCAATATCATACCTGCTTTGAGGTGGTGACTGTAGGTGTTCCAAATACAACAGGCCATTGGAATTCATGCTCAGTAAAATTTCATCCTTAGAAATAAGCTGTATTTGAAAAGGTTTTGCCATTATATGAATCTGTTGGTCTTGCTCAGCACCTACCAGCACAAGTTTGTCTGCATCTTTCTCTGATATCTTCAGCCTTGGAAATGGAAAAAGACAGGCATAGAGAAAATCTTTGATAACATTTTTTGTCCAAATTACAAATAATAGCAAATCTGAAAACTGATCACTTCCACTAGTGTCAGTCAGTTATACATATCAAACTGATCCTTTTTGTTAACATACATTTCTGCAACAAATTTCTGTATCTTTGGATATATGTTCCAGATATTTTTGCCATTTTTTTAAAAAAAGAGGAAAAAAGCATATTGCAGCTGGGAAATTGCTAAAAATAAGTGATCAATTTTAGCAAAAGAAACATTAAGCATGGAGTGTACACAGAAAATTATGACAGAAAAACTGCTCATGAACTGTTTATCAGCTGAATGGGAAGACTGACCAAGATTATTCAGCATGGCCAGGGTTAAATGCTGTGTTTAATAACTGAGGAGTTTCCTATATGGTTAATAATGTGAATATTTTCAGTTAGTTTTCTAGCTGCTCCTCTTTTTCTTTCTGTATTTTTTTCTTTATATGTTAAAGCAAATAAAAATTAAAAAAGGTTATAGTTCAAGGAAAGGACAAAAGTTCCTCACTACTAGTGGATGAGAACATTTTTGCAATATTCCTTAAAATGATAACATGTAATCAAATAATACATTTTATAAATAAATAATCAAATAAAGTATGCCAGATTCTGCTTGGCTGTGAGTCCTTCCAATATCCTTCAGATATCCTGAACTATAGCACCCATTATGTAAAGTATAAGGTTTTGTACTTATATTAAGTATTAAGTATAAAACTATTAAAGTATAAAGTAAATTAAGTTTTTGCTTAATTTTATTTATTATATTAAATTAATCAACAGAAGACAAAATAGATATATAACATAATTCATACTGCTATGTTATCTGAAAATTAATAACCTTGCTAATGTTTAAAAAGAAAAGGAAAAAGAAAAGAGAAAAACAATATATATTGTAAATAGAATTGCAAAATTAAGTTGCTTTGCTCCCCCTTTTCTAAAAAATAAAAATAATTCAGATGTTTACTAACAATATTTACTTTATATCTCACCTCTACAAAAAAGGTATCAATTTCTCCTTTCACTAATTCACTATCAGCTTCATGCCTGAAACATTCACAATTTTGATTTTTTGAAAGACTCAGATAATAGGATTACACTCAAAAAGAATGTATCTTATATATAGTGTCTGACGCAAAGTTTTGTTAACAGCTACATTTATTTCAGCCCCAAATGTAGCAATAGAAAAGTTAATATTCTAACTCCAGAGCAAGATAACTATAACTAATCTTTATTATACATTCTCTGAGATGTCCAAATATCTACAAAATAATTTTTATTAATCTCATTTTAAGATCAGAGAAGCTAATTTCATTTTATTTAAAGTAATTGAAATGACAGTGGGGCTAAATAGGAAAGAAAATACTAAAATGTTAATGTGAAAAGACTCTCAAAATAATACATGTGAAGAACACAGATGTATCCTATAAAAAGCCTAGCTATGTGTACTGTTCAATAATAAACAATATTTATTTGAATGATGAAGATCCAGTATGAGGTCCATATTCACTACTCCATATGTAATAAAATATCTGACACACTATTCCCAATGGTTTTTTTCTAAACTGGAGAGCTAAATCTCACTTAATGTAAATGCCCCAGTGGCAAAAAGAGGATTTGTTCCCAATCTATACCTGATCTAAGATATCACTTCCTATAACTTACCTCAAGCTAGCTGGTTCCTTTATGAGAACATCAGGGACTTCGTATCTTGGCTTGAGTGGATTTACCTCATTTATTTTAAGTCTGAAAATATTGCCCTCTATTTCATACATTTCTACTGAAAGAGTTACCTAGTAATTGAATAAACACAGGAAAACTATTAGAGAATAGTAATATGTTATACTAGACAAAACATCAATTTCTCACAAAATACCAATTTCTCTTCTTACTCTTTTACTATTTATTCAAAATAATAAAAAGACAGTTTCAACATACTGTAGCTTCTCCATGGAAAAGAGTCTTATTTTTGAGTGTTTGCTACCAAACAGATTAGAAACAAATCAGTAAAAATGAAATAGAGTAGCTAATGGCATTCTGAACTGCTTTCAGCAAGAAAGTTCCAACTGAAAACTTTACTTTTCTGACCATCTTAAATTGAATGGGAATAGCTATGTAATTTGTTATTCTAGGACTAAGTATTTAATATTATGATCCTCTACCTATTCAAACAGGAGCATGATCAACTATTTGAATGGATATATATGAAATTACATTATTTATTTATTTATTCATTCATTCATTCATTCAATTACTTTTTATGTCACCCATCTCCCTTATAAACTGTTTATGGGTAGCTTACAAGTTTTAAAATAAGTAGAAAAATAATTAAAATATTGAAACATTAAAACTACATGTTAAGATTTTAAAAACTGTACTAAAACCAGAACTAAGAGACAGACGGGACAGGGATGAAGTCATCTTACCCTGTCAGCTACCTCTACAAGTGCGCACCTCTCTAGCAAAGCCAAATTTTAATACCCTTCAGGAAGATCAAAAGGGTGGGAGCGGTTCTCACTTCTGGTGATAGAAGGATGGGGACACAGTGGAAAAGGCTCTTCTCTTTGATCCCGCCTGCTGCAATTCCTTAGCAGATGAGATCTGTGGCAGGCCTCTTCTGCTCGCATGAGTGGGGTGATCTAGTCCCATTGGGGAGAAGTGACTTCTCTTGAATATGTATATGTATATGTTACATACAGGGCTTTTTTTGTCATAGAATGCCCAGAACGGAATTCTGGCATCTTTTTTGGATGGAGGTGGGTTGTATAATGTGTGTGAGTTCCGGCTTTTTTTTTTTTTTTTTTACAAAAAAAGCATTGGTTATATATATTTGTACATATACTTATACATGAGTTATATAGCTGCTCTCCTCACATTTGTGACTCTAGTTTCCCATATTAACCCATGGTAATATTCTCTTTGAAATTAATCAGGACAAAGGACGATTTGCTAAAGGCACCACTCATGATTTTAGTAGACTTAAGAAACATCTCTTGAAATCCCTGACTGTTTCTAACTTCAGAGCTAAATACTAATCTGATTTGTATGCTTTGTTCAACCATACTGAACAAATTAATATTTGGGTTTCCTAACATAATCCATAAATTTTGACTTACAGACATAATATATATAGGTTTCCACAACTTTCTAAACCCATAAATAAATTGTTGTCTGGCTTAATACAAACATGGATCCAACCATAGTGTTTGGTTTAGGCATGATGCAAAATCATGAGTTTCAAAACTATGGTGAGCACATCAGCATAGACAGAGCCTTCTTTCACATGCTGGACTTCTTTCATGAAAGAAGGACCAGGTTAGGGCATGAAGGAAGGCCCTGGCTAGAATGCGAATGGAGGCCTTGGATGGGGAGCGCGAGGAATCCCATCTACGTTGGCGTGAAAGAAAGCAACATGAAAAAAGACCCTGATCAGTACAGCATTAGGATGCAATGAAGTGGGCAAGGTGTGGTGGCAGCTAGCTGTAGTAGGTAAATAGGTGGCCAAAAAGACATTTGTAATTGCAGGTGGGCTTCAGATGGATCTGAATTTTGAGGGCGCTGCAATGACTGGAACTTATGAAAACCAGCTCCTTTGTTAAACACCACTGTAACTTAGAAAGGTTGCTGAATGATTGGTCTTTAAATGAGGACTATCTGTATGTTTACCTAGCTTCATGGCAGAAACATTTGAAAGATTGAAAATAATGTAGTATAACATTAATTATGGAAGGAAAAGCTCTTGAAATATTACATAATACCACTGGATATTTACATAATGTAAAGTCCTATCTAACATCTATCAGATCAAAAGGGTAGATTGATTTTTATATGCAAACTGGGCATCCATGTTTTTGATCAGTTACACTGAGAGGTATTCCTACCTTGCTCTCTTCATTGAAAATTTGGAATTTGACATTGCCGTTGGATAGTTCCACAGTTTGCAGTAAGGCTTGGTATGGAGACTTCCCAGGACTTAAACATTTCTGACGCCTGATGTACACACAAAAAAACATAAAAAATTATTATTACATGTATTGTAGATGAGAATGTGATCATTTTTCAAGGAATTGACTAAATCTCATTGAGTAACAGGTCTAAATTACATAATTTCAAATCAATATTAACAAGAGACATGTTTTGTTATAATATTTTTATCTTATTTTCATTCATTGTTAGCCATCCAGAGTCATGTATTTGTGCAGGTGGCCATACAAATTGAATAAATAAATCTGGAATACGGGGTTGATTATTATTCTGATTATTTGACAAATGATAAAACAGCACTGGATGAAGTGCAGGAGAGGACAACTAAAATCTGATTACTGATTAATAGCCAAACTCTCTCCCTGGGAGAAACAGTTATGATATCTGGCACTTTTATTGGAAAGAAAGCAACTGAGGAACATACCTGAGGCTTTAAAGTGATTCATGGCATGGAGAAAGTGGATAGGAGAAGTATTTTGTCCTTTCTCAAAATGCTAGGAAGAGGAACCATCCAATGTAGATAATTGGAAGGAGATTTTAAAAAGGACAAAAGGAAGAATTTCTTTCCACAGCATGTAATTTATTTGTGGAATACAGGTATACTACTACCAGCCTTTGCAATGCCGGTTGCGAGAAAACAAAGATGGGAAGAGATATGTCTGTATCTCCTGCTTAGGAATATTCAAAAGGCAGCTGGTTGGCTACTGTGAGAAACAAACTACTGGAGTAATATCAACCCTACGAGGTAACCACTTCAGGAACTGGAGTCTACAGGAAAGCTAGAACTACACTGTGTTGAGGTAATATAATATTTTTCACATGCTCAGACTTTTCTGTTCACCAAAGTGTGAAGGTTGGAAGATTTTTTTCTTCTTCTTCCCCCCTTTTAATCTATATGTTTGAAAAATACTTTTATATTGTTATTTTATTTTCGTTTGAGAATTGCTGTATTGTGTATTTCACAGTTGTTTTGATTGTAACCTGTCTTGGGAGGCTTTGGCATTTGAGGAAATACATTTTCGTTTGAGAATTGCTGTATTGTGTATTTCACAGTTGTTTTGATTGTAACCTGTCTTGGGAGGCTTTGGCATTTGAGGAAATACATAAAGGGATTAAATACATTAATTAAACAAATTTAAAATTAGAGCTAGCATCCTGGCTGAAAAAAACTGTACCACTAATAAATGGCAACAAAAATTAAGGGTTTTTAGTTTTTTGTTTTTAATTTGTGTTGTAAACCATCCAGAATCACGCTGCTGAGATGGGCAGTGTAGAAATTTAATAACTAAATACATACATCTCTTTGATGCCATGTAGAGGTCATATAGATTTTTTGCAGCAGAGATCTAGGAGCTCTTAAAGTTCCTCTCAATGCAAATTTTGCCCTATAAGATATATTGCTGCAATCATTCTTCAGTGAAAGTTGTGCCATACCTTGTGTTTTATATGAACACAATATTTGCAGATAACAAAATATTCATAATCTTTACCTGTAAAAGGCAATTTGCTTGCATGTCTTAAAATGGTTTTTATCCACAGCCTCATCTTGAACGCTAAATATGAGAAAATATAATATTTTTAATATATATAGTGAAGAAAAAAATATTATTTTCTTATACCGGAACCAGCTTATTCTAATGCATATAATGGAAAGTTCTGAAATAGCTGCCTGGGTTAATTGCATACTGGTCACATTAAGCAGCTACACTAGAAATGGATTCTGCATTACACATAATATTTGCAAGAATGAATCACATTCATTTATCAATATTATTTCAAACAAGTGAAACCTTTATTGTCAATCGTCTGAGAAAATACAAGTCAATTAAATCAAAACATTCTTATGGTTTCCTTTTAAAATTTTCAAACTGATTGTCTTCTTTAAGCAGATATTGGTTACTTATTCCAATTCTTAAGTATACAAACCTGCAAAAGTCAGCTCAACCAGTAAAGTGAACACATGTCCAAGTCTGCTTTAATGCTCCTTATTAAATTAAGCAATGAACTAATCCATTTCATAATGTTTTTAATATCATTATTCTTTATTTTTATTTTATGCTGCCTGGGATGGATGGTAGTCATATAAATATGGTTGATACATCCATACATATATACATAAATAAACAAATAAATATTTTTACAATCAGGTCAAACAATATAAACAGCCAAACAAAAACACTAAAGGTAAAACTGTTGTAGGGCAGTAAAATGTATGCTTTCTCACTGCAAGAAACACTAATCCTACTATAATTAAATCAAGGGGTGCTGATTTGATTATACACACATAGAAAATATTCTGTCACTGTTAGAATTCAACAGAATTCAACAAGCCAAGCTTGATTGAAATAGAGAACTATGAATAAATAATTAACTTCAACATGTGATTGCATTAATCAAGTTTGCAACAAGGCTATCATATTGAAAAAAGGTAAAACAATAATTAGGTTTACATTCACTTTCTTAATTAAGCTTCCTGTCCAAGAATCATGTGTTTCTGGAACTCCTTCACTTTATACTTGGTAGAATAATTACACTATTTATTACATAGCATATTAATGTCAATGCTGTAATTTTATTATTTGCATTCCATCTATATTTTTATTCCCAGCTCCGTAGCTGTGTAATCTTAATTTCTGCATGAATTCAAACTAACATTTTAGAACTAAAAATTATTTGGATTCTTTTAGAATCATGCATTGTGCTTAAGTAAGATTTGCATATCAGTTATTGCAAAATCATATATATTTAATCTACCTGATTTCTTCACAGCTTGGTTCCATGATCGGGAGTGAGCTATTTTTGAACCATTCGTTAGGAAATGAAGAGGAAATTCTCTAGCCAATAAGTTTCCATTTTACATTATCTTGTTGCATGCTGGGAAATGGAGTTTTTATTTCTGATAGTCCTGCCCACTTGACCAATAAGGTGGAAGAGACGAGAGCATGCAAATGCTTTGCTGGTAATGTTTCTGTAGCCCGCAGCAAGCTGCATTCAGGATAGATTTAAAGAAGTATTACTTCCTCTTACTGTTTTCTTCTTAAATCAGTTTAGTAGTACAGGAATAAAGTAAGTTTTGCTTGTGGAGTTATGCCAATTCCTAGTTCCAAAAATATGAATAAAAGTTAATATCAATTTTAATTTGTTCAAAAATATTAAGATCTTTTAGTTTTTATTCATCACTTTTACATTTTTGTTTAATTATATTGTGGCTCTCCCTTCCCCTTCTGAAGTTTCCAAGTGATTTCTCTGTCCCTTTTGGCACTTTTAAGAGACCATTTGCTTTCAATATTTAAGAAAGGCTATTTCTGCTTAACTCATACTTTGCATCAGTTTTCACATAAAAAGAAACTATAGCCGAACATACAAAAAAAAAAAAAACCACTGCAAAAGACAAATTAGAAACAAAATTTAAAATAAGCAAGCAAATGGTAAGAGAACATCTGACCTTGACAAATATAAATCATTGGGGCCTGACAGATTACACCTCAGAGTTCTGAAGGAGCTGGCAGATGTTATCTCAGAACCATTGCACCACATCTTCCAAAAACCCTGGAGCACCGGGAAAGTACCTGAGGATTGGAAAGGGCTGATGTGGTTCCCATCTTCAAGAAAGGAAAAAAAAAAAAAAAAAAAAAAACAGACCCAGGAAACTACAGACCAATCAGTTTAACATCAATACCTGGGAAGATCCTAGAAAAGATTATCAAAAAAACAGATCTGCGAACAACTAGAAGCAAACAAAGGTATAACTAGTAGCCAGCATGGGTTTGTTAAAAATAGATCATGCCAAACCAATCTTATTTCATTCTTTAACAAAGTGACTAAACTAATAGACCAGTGAAAAACTGTGGACGTAGTATACTTAGATTTCAGTAAGGCATTTGATAAAGTAGACCACAACCTACTCCTTGGTAAGTTAGAAAAAGATGGAAAAGACAACATCACCACCAGATGGATCTGTAGCTGGCTGGCAAACCCTAACCCGCTTTATAAGACCCTAGTAAGACCACACCTGAAATACTGCAGCCAATTTTGGTCAACATACCACAAAAAAGATGTTGAGAGTTTGGAAAAAATTCAGAGAAGAGCAACTAAGATGATCAAAGGCCTGGAGACTAAAACATACGAAGAACGGCTGCACGACTTGGGTTTGGCTAGTCTAAAGAAAAGAAGAAATAAGGGAGACATGATAGCAATATTCTAGTATTTGAGGGGCTGCCACAAAGAAGAGGGGGTCACGTTATTCACCAAAGCACCAGAGGGCAGAAGAAACAATGGTTGGAAACTGACCAAAGAGAGAAGCAACCTGGAATTAAGGGGAAACTTCCTGACAGTGAGGACAATTAACTAGTGGAATAGCTTGCCCCTGGAAATTGTGGGCGCTCCATCACTGGAGATTTTTAGAAAGAGGCTAGACAGTCACTTGTCTGAGATGGTATAAGTTCTCCTCCTTGAGCAGGGGGTTGGACTGGAAGACCTCAAAGGTCCCTTCCAGCTTTATTCTATTCTAATTAGGAAATGTATATTCAAAATTTCTCTATAGAATTAGCGCAGAGTGGGTATTTTTTAAGAGCTGATAGAACAGCTATTTTGCACTGATCAAACCTGTGTTCTAGAATAGCCTATGGTAAATAAACTTCCTTCAGATCCTGCCTGATTTCTTGGTGACATCATGGATACATCCAAGTAGTTTTCCTAACACAATGCTTCAGTGGTTGATATCCTCTTCTTCCAGGATATTTTTCACATACTGTTCTAAATCATAGCTCTAATATTTTGTAGTGCTCTCTTTTCCAAATACTAACTGTTGAGTCCGTGGCGGGAAAACAGACACGAGAAGCAGCTGGAGTTCTCAGTTTCATTTATTCAGCGTTCAGCTTACAGGAAGATGGCTTCAGCCTCGCCCAAACGCCTCGCAGCCTCTTATATAGGCAACTCCCGGGTAAAATGGGTTACTTTTCCCGCGCCAGCACCCGCGCATGCGCACGGCGCTGGCGACAGCCTGTCTGGTCCCGGGCAGCTTTGCACCTGCCCGGGACTGCCTGCAAACGCCCGAGCCGTTTGCAAGGCTCGGGACATAACACCCCTTTCCCCCGGGCTAAAACTACTACCAACATACAACATTTATTTTATACGACATTTTGCTCCCCAATGTTCCCATTGCTGGCTTTTGCTTTGCCAGCAATGTTATGTAGTCTTCTAGGTACTTGGGAGATTTCTTTGCTCTCTGTGACCTTCTTAGCTCTGGATTACTGGCATAATTCCCCTGACTGGAGGGAGGTGTGAGCCTGTTCTCTCTATTGTGCCCTGGTGTCTTCCAAGGACTGTGCCCCGATGCCTGGCCTGCTTGCTTGCCCACCGGGCTCGTCAGGCCAGGGCTTCTGTTACTTTGTGACCTGGTTGACCTACCTAGCTGTAGACCCTCAGGCCCCTTGAAGTGATAGCCGCTGCTGGGCGTCTCTGTAGAACCTCCTAGGTCAGTCCAAGACCTGTCAGGAGGCTGTCCATTCCCTGAACCCCATTCTGTGTTCGGGCTCGTGTGGGTTTCTGTACTTTCCCAAAACTCAGGTGTTCCCTGATTTGTGCTAGGGTTGTTGTAGTCGGGACTTGGTTCCTCGACTAGCTCTGTGTATGTTTGACCCCCTGTAGGATTTGGGGTAAGGTCAGGCCAACCTTGGGAATTGTGTGCCAGCTCTCTTGCGGGGAATGATTTGTTGGGATGCCCCCGGGTATCCTCCGTTGCTGGAGTGCTGTGTGATGTGTGTGGAAAGTGAGTATGCCCCCGGGGTGACTCCCTGGCTGGAGTAGGCGTGAGTGCCTGTTGTGTGGGTAAGCTCCATGACTTTCTTTTCGGAGCAATTGCAGAACCTTGGGACGAGCCGTTTGTGGCTCCCTCAGTGGAGATGGGCAGTAGCTCTTGCCCTTCCCTTTGCTCCAAAGGGTCCCCCTCCCCCCCTGGAAAAGACCCAGGAGTCTCAGCAGAAAAGTCTCGCCTAGAGCGAAGTTGGTCGATGTGCCGACGCAGGACACGACCGTTGTCCAGGGCAACCTCGTAGGAGAGAGGACCTGTGATCCTGGACACAGAAGCGGGGACCCATGTATGACCAGGCCCGTAATTGCGAGCCCAAACCGGGGCACCCACAAGTAGTTGTCTAGGTGCCCTAGGATGTGAGGTAGATGAAGGCAGTCTGTCCGGATGCAACCGGTCAAGTCTAGTAGTAAGTTGGCGCCCCCAACGAAGTTCAGCTGGACTTCTCCCTGTAGAAGTGGACGGTGTGGTGCGATAAGAAAGGAGAAAGTCAGCCAACCTGTGATGCCAGTCCCCGTAGGTGAGTCTCTTCAAGGCGTCCTTTGCGATGCGCACCATGCGTTCAGCCATACCGTTGGTGGACGGGTGAAAAGGTGCAGATGTGGCATGACGAATCAGGTTTGCCTGTAAGAAAGCTTGGAATTCGGAGGAGGTGAATTGAGGGCCGTTGTCGGACACAATGACATCTGGCAGCCCGTGTGCAGCAAAAATCCCCCTCAGTACCTGAATAGTCTTTGCAGTGGTGGTGGATGAGACAGGCACAACCTCAAGCCATTTTGAATGGCTGTCAACAAGGACCAAGAAGAACTGGCCCTGAAAGGGCCCAGCGTAGTCAATGTGCACCCTAGACCATGGGGACTGTGTTTCCTCCCATCTATGCACAGGAGCTTGGGGCATCTCTGGGCGAGATCGTTGGCACAGGTGGCATGCGTGTACCTTAGCCTCAATATCTTTATCTAAACCAGGCCACCACAAGTGGCTCGTGCAAGAGCCTTCATACGAACAATGCCAGGATGACCCTCGTGGAGGGATTCTAAGACCCTAGTCCTCATTGAGGTGGGAATGACAACTCTGTTTCCCCAAAGCAGACAACCCTGAGAAAGGGACAGTTCGTTCCTTTTGGACCAGAAACTCTGAAACTCAGGACTAGGGCAGTGCTCAGGCCACCCGGACAGGACCCAGGAGCGGACACGTGAAAGTGTGTGATCTGTACCTGTTTCAGCGGTAACATCCCTGGCACTAAGAGGGAGCTCGGGCAAGGCTTGGATTGATAGAATGTTGACAGCTGGCGCGGGGTCAGCTTCTACTACTGGCAGAGGCAATCTACTGAGGCCATCAGCATGGCCCATTTCTTTCCCAGGCTTGTGGAGTAATGAAAAATCATATGCAGACAAGAAAATAGACCACCTAAGCATTCTAGGGGAAATGATGTGGGGAGTCTGCTTACGTGTGGTAAACAGTCCCAGCAGAGGCTTATGGTCAGTGAAGACCGTGAAATGCCTGCCATATAGAAAATCGTGGAATTTTTTAATTCCAGCAACAACAGCCAGAGCCTCCCTGTCTATCTGAGCGTAGTTGCGCTCGGCAGAAGACAGTGTTCTGGAGTAGTATGCAATAGGAACCTGAGTTCCATCAGACCTGAGGTGACTCAGGACAGCTCCAACCCCGTAGGGGGACGCATCACAAGCGATGCACACAGGGAGAGACTCGTTGAAATGTGCAAGAACACTGTTAGAAGTGAGCAAGGCCTTGACTTCTTTAAAGCAAGCCTCATGCGCTTGTGACCACAGCCACACAGCCTGTTTGTCTAGTAGCCTGTGAAGAGGCTCAGCTACACTAGCTTTATGTGGAAGAAAAGAATTGTAGAAATTCAGGAGGCCTAGGAAGGCCTGAAGTTCGGCCTTAGACTTTGGCCTGGGTGCTTCTAAAATAGCAGTTAGTTTGGATTCAGCAGGATGAATCCCAGCAGCATCAATTTTGAATCCCAGAAATTCAGTAGAAGGCACCCCAATCTGGCATTTGTCTTTTCTGAGCTTGAGGCCTGATTTCCTGAATCTTAACAGGACAGCCCTAAGTCTTTCAGCTAGAATGTGTGTGGAGTCTCCTGCAATCAAGACATCGTCAAAGTAGGGGCAGACCCCTGGTATACCTCGTAGTGTGTTTTCCATTACGCTTTGGAAAATCCCAGGAGCGACATTTACTCCAAACTGTAGCCTTTTTACTTTAAAGGCTCCCCTGTGGGTCACAATGGTCTGAGCTATGGCAGCATCATCATCAACAGGCAGCTGTTGATATGCTTGAGCTAGGTCAAGCTTTGCAAAAACACGCCCCCCCTTGAGAGAGGCCAGGATGTGACTGACCACAGGAACAGGATAGGCATGTTGCTGCAATGCCTTATTGAGTGTGCATTTGTAATCAGCACAAATGCGAATGTCCCCATTTGCCTTTAGAGGCGTGACAATGGGGGTCTCCCACGGGCTGGAATCAACAGGTTCTAGGATTCCCTGTTGGATTAGTTTGTCTAGTTCAGTGTCAATCTTACTTTTTAAAGCAAAAGGGACCCTTCTTGCTTTAATCCTAATGGGAGTGACAGTGGGGTCTAGCTTTAAGGACACAGGTGGTCCTTTGAATGTGCCCAGCTGGGGGCTGAAAACATCTGCAAATTCTTTGCAGACTTCCTGTAGGTCGAGTGTTTGTAAGCTGTTGAGTCCTGTGACGTGTATCCCCAGGGCCTCAAACCAATCGAGTCCTATGAGACTCGTTCGTTCACCCCCTACTACTAATAAGTCTAGTGGACCTTCAAAACTCTTGTATTGCACGTTAAGGGTGGCCTCCCCCTTAACACACACTCTTGAGTTCTGAAAATCTGTTAATACAATATCAGAAGGCCTTAACTTGGCCTTAGACCCACTTCTGGAACAAATCTTCCTAAATGTATGCAATGAAATGATGGACAGGGCAGACCCTGTGTCTAGTTCCATAGATAATGGAACCCCTTGTAGCTTCACGTTGAGTGACAGCTTTTTCTTCATGGGCTTGTGTGTGCCTGTTCTACAGATGCTTCTTCGCGAAGCGCAAAAACCTACCCTATTCTGGCTGGGGAATCTGGTACCCTTCAGGCGTTCTTCTTGGGGTTGTGCCTTTCGTCGGCCCAGGCACACAGCTGCAATGTGCCCTTGTTTACCGCATGCCCGGCAGGTAGCGGAGCGGAACTTGCAGTCGGTTCTCCTGTGGCGACCTCCACAGCCGATGCACTTGAGCGGAGCCGAAGAGCTTCCCTTCTGGTTCTCTTCCTTCGCGGGGTGTAGACGGTCGACTTCCTCGTCCGGATCCTCCTCGGAGTTTCGTCGGACGTCTTCCTGGTGCACGGACGCACCCTCTGCACTGTTTCTGATCGGCCGCATGTTTTTGACGGCGCCGCCTGCTGCTTCTTCTGCGGTGACTTCCCTTAAGGCGTCTTGGAAGGATAATTCTTCCTTTGCGAAAAGTCTCTGTTGTAGCTCGCGATGCCTTAACCCGCACACGAATCGGTCCCTCAGTCGTTCCTCGAGGTCCTTGAACTCGCAGGGCTTGGCGGCCTTCCGTAACGCGGCGATGTATTCCTTGGCTGACTCACCGGACCGTTGATCCCTTTGTTCGAAGGTGTGGCGCCATGAGATAACGGACACCTTGGGGTGGAAGTGCTCCTTCAGCAGCTTCTTCAGGTCTGCATAGCTTACAGACTCTACTGGGACAGGTGCTGCAAGGTTTTCTGCGATTTCGAAGGCGTCTTGGCCGCAAACGCAAAGCAGGGTGGCCGCCTTCAAGCTATCTTCCCTCACTTGGTTTGCCTTGAAGTAGTTCTCCATTCTGGATACGTAGGACTCCCACCGCTCTGGATGTGAGACGTCGAATTCCGAAAGCCTTCCGATTTTCGCCATCTTCGGATCTTCAGGAGACGGGTCTATCAGCCAGCCTACCCCCGAATGCGCACCGGATTGGCGGGCAGCTGCCGAGTCGACGCCGTTCCTCTTTCGCCGCTCAGGACTCCTTGGGTAAGCTTACACTTCTTCCTTTCCAGGTAGTGCAAGGCATCCCACCTTCGTCGCCAGTGTTGAGTCCGTGGCGGGAAAACAGACACGAGAAGCAGCTGGAGTTCTCAGTTTCATTTATTCAGCGTTCAGCTTACAGGAAGATGGCTTCAGCCTCGCCCAAACGCCTCGCAGCCTCTTATATAGGCAACTCCCGGGTAAATGGGTTACTTTTCCCGCGCCAGCACCCGCGCATGCGCACGGCGCTGGCGACAGCCTGTCTGGTCCCGGGCAGCTTTGCACCTGCCCGGGACTGCCTGCAAACGCCCGAGCCGTTTGCAAGGCTCGGGACATAACACTAACCAGGTCCAATTCTGCCTAGCTTTTGGAAAACAAAAGCTGATTGCAAAAGGCCTCAGATTGGTTTTGTTCACAGTACAGGTGAATCTCATATGAAAAGAAAATATTTATAGGATCTGAATGTACTCTTAAATGATGTACAGGTAGTCCTCAACTTACAACAGTTTGTTTAGTGACTGTTCGAAGTTACAATGGCACTGAAAAAAGTGACTTTATGACTATTTTTCACACAACCATTGCAGCATCCCCACGGTCACGTGATCAAAATTCAGGTGCTTGGCAACTGGTTCATATTGATGTCCATTGCTGTGTCCCAAGGTCACGTGATCACTTTTTGCTACCTTCTGACAAGCAAAGTTTGAGGGGGGGGGAGCCAGATTCTCTTAACAACCGGGTTGCTAACTTATCAACTGCAGTGACTCGCTTAACAACCAAGGTCATAAAATGGGGCAAAACTCACTTAACAAACGTCTCCCTTAACAACAGAAATGTTGGGCTTCGTTGTGGTCGTAAATTCGAGGGCTACCTGTACTGAACAAAGATTCTGCCTGTTTATCAAACAGATAATAGAAAGGATGCGAAGTCAGTATTCCACTGCGAGCAAGCCTAATACGGAACAGAATACAGGAAATCCGCGCTCGCCCTCCTCACAACTGGTTCCTAACCCAATCGCACGGAGAGAACAAGCATCTCGCCCGCCACCGCCACTCTCGCGAAAGCCCCGCCGGCTTTGCGGAAGAGCCACGCTCCCCGCCCACCTCGCCTGGGCGCCAGAGCCAATCCGCCGGTGCCCCATCACCCGCCCTCGGTCCGGAGACTCGGCGGTGGAGCGGAAGAGGCGGCGAGCGCTCCGGAGCAGGTTCTTTCCTTGTTGATTTCGCTGAAAAGGGATGGCGGTGCCAGGCGCGTCGGGGAAGATGCTGCTGTTGCCGCCGCCGCGGGGCCGCCTTTCTGTAGGACTGACCCTGCTGCTCCTTCAGCTCCTCTTTGCGGAGCTGCCGAGCCCGGCTGGAGCCAGCCAGCTCTCCAAGTGGGAAGTGCCGCTGCCCGTGGTGAGCTCTCAGGGCAGCCCGCCACGCCACGCCGTCCTGTTGAGTGGGCAGGGCAAAGAGGAGGGAAGGTGGCCTGGATCTGAACGGGCTGGACGCCCCTGCCCAGGGCAGGGTTGCTGTGAAGGAGTGGGAGGGGGGTTGTCGATTGGAGGCTCCGCCACTTGGAGCGTTTCCATCTTCCCTATCTTCCTGGGAGGCTGCCTTCTGGGATGAGGCAGTTTGGGCAGCTTGTGCGGTTTGTTTTGGTGTCTGGTTTGGACAAGGTTTTGCCTCTGTTTTGCTTTTTAATAACTGACATGACTGGGAACAATCCATTTTTCAAACTCCTGCAATGTGTGTATTCAAAAAATAATCGGGAAGCAGGCCCTGAGCTTGCATACGTTATTTTTGTCTCAACACTGTTATATGCATGTGTGGAATAGGAGCTTTGGTTAAGGGTTGCCCATCTAATTAGAAGACTAGGCAGTGGCAACATTGTTCCAAAAATCTATTAATAAAGAGAGTGCTGAATATTTTATTGCCAAAAAGATTAATCTAGCAGCGATATGAGCTAATGCTGATGACATTTGCAGAAAGATTTTAGCACCCGCTTCTGTTTTATTAATGGGACCGCCTGCTATGACAATCTGGGAGCTTCCCCTATCTTAATTTCTTACACAAGAAATGGTATAAGAGTTGGATCTTGAAAGTAATTATTACTGGTATCCGATAACAAAATACTGGAACAAGTGCATTTCAGAACACAAGTATGGAGAAATAACATAAACCAAAAGGTTGTGACAGGCTGTCTGAGCCCTTATCTGTTTTGCATGTGTTTGTATCCTATCTTTCACAGACTTCAGACAGTATGTTTTCTTCTTCCTTGCTACAATCTTTGTGACATATTAGGCTCATTGTGAGCAATTGGCTCAACATAGCAGAGATAAGTGATCAGAGTGAGGATTTAAACTTGAATATCAGGATGTTTTCAAATAGACATTTGATGAAAGCAATATGCACCTTTTTCTCTTTAGTTGATGGTTGTTTGTGTGGGAAAAAAATCTATAGAAAATTTAGTATTTACTGACTTGACCTTCCAAATACTTTTGCAAATTAGGCAAGCAGTGCAGAAAAAATCATATTTAGGAGTATTCAAAATACCTATCACATCATGCACTTTTATATGTTTAGGTAAAGCAAATCTTCAGTTTTAATCAGGTGCCATTTTTAATACGTTGCACCTACAAAGATCTCTCCCCACTAAAAGATCAGATATACACTGCATTTTTCTCAGTTATCTTAATACAAAAAAAATCTTATTCAGAGTTTAACTGAATTATTCAGTGTATTTGGGGCTTGCTTCTAAGAAAGTATGAATAGAATTATAAATATGTGTAATAATGAGTATTATAAGAGAATTTCATGCACTTTATTTCAGTGATGCACTTATGGCATGGTTTCATATGAAAAAATCTTGTTTGTGAGTGATAGGTTTGTCTAAGCTACCCGTGCATTCTTAGTTGAGAGAAGATTTGAAACCAAATGTATGTTTAATTGAACTGTGCTCCCTTTTTCATTGAATATACCACCTTCCATATTTGAAGATATTTCATACAGGCATATTTCTTAGCTTTTGACTATAGCAACCATAATGTGCTTTGTTGCAAGTTTTAAATATGGCTCATCAAGCACTAAATAATCAGATGATATACATGAATGATTCTGTGTAGCCTTATACTCTGTTTCTTTCTTTACTAGCTTCTCATATGACCACCCATCTTACAGACAAGTGAATATAGGTGGTATACAGTAAAGCTTATATTGGCTTTACTGTATGCCACCCAGCCTGATGATGCAAGCAGGTCTTCAGGGATTTCTGGCAAGTTAAAAGGGATGAGGCTATCCTTGCTTCAAGGGGAAGAATGTTCCATAAAGAGGAGCCGCAGCAGAAAAGGCCCATCACCTAGGACAGGGCTTTTCAACCAGTGGTATGGGTACCACCTGTGGTACATTGGCACCTGGCAGGTGGTACGCGACCATTCTAGAAAAGTGGTAGCGGGGGGAGGGGAATGAGCTGAACCGGTGGCAGCACCGCACAAGCCTGAGCGAGAGATGGCTGGAGCTGCAAGGCTGTCAGGGCTCAGCAGAAGCGCCAGGATCAGTGCCGCTTTCCAGCTGATCGGCGCTTCTTCGGGAAGCAGGATCAGCGCCAGGCTCCAGCTGGAGTTCGGCACTGATCCTTGTGCTTCTGCTGAGCCGAGAAGAAGCACCAATCAGCTGGAATGTTGCAGCCTCTCCGGGGTCTTGTGATTTACATTCAGATGCTTGGCAACTGATTCATACTTATGACAGTCACAGTGTCCCAGGGTCATGTGAAGAGACAAAAACCTGCTGCAACCCCCCAGCAGACGGGGGGGGGGAATAAAAACCAAACACCCCACACCCCCGCTGCCAATCCTCAACAGAAATGCTCACAACAATGAAAACCTCAGACAGGAGGAAGAACGCAGCTAGGCGGGCAGGCAGGTGTCTTGCTCAGCTGTGGCTTGGGGGGGCACTTTTTTCAGTGCCATTGTAACTTCGAACAGTCACTAAGCGAACTGTTGTAAGTCGAGGATTATCTGTACTTTATCACTTTTTTCCTTTTTTTTGTCATCAAGTTTTTGACACCTTGCTAAGTGATTGGTGGTACTCGGATATTGCCATATCCTAAAAGTGGTGCAATGGGTGAAAAGGTTGAAAAGCCCTGACCTAGGACTCACCTAGTGAAGCTTAGCCAGTGGACCTGGTGCATGTTTTTTCTGCTGGATCTGATGGAAAAGGGAGATGTTATCTGGGAGAGGCGGTCTCTCATATAACCCAGTATCATGCTTTGCCTTTAAAAGTCAAAACCAGCATTGGACCCGGAAGCAAACTGGTCACCAATGCAACTCATGGCAAATATTATAACCCAGTATCATGCTTTGCCTTTAAAAGTCAAAACCAGCATTGGACCCGGAAGCAAACTGGTCACCAATGCAACTCATGGCAAATATTTATTTAGAAGTCCAACTAATAACAGGTTTATTTCCAGAAATTGTAGATAAGATAACATTAATATTTACCATTTATGTCAATGTAACAATAATGGAAGATGATTTATGAAGATATATTTTAGGCCAGGGAACTTGTGAGGAATAAACTATTCCCAACTTGTGAGAAATAAACTATTGATGGTTTGCAGAGGTACTGTCAGTGATCCCGGGTTGTTGTACAACTGTTCAGTCACTTCTGATTCTTTGTGATCTAATGAATGTTAGCAGGCTTGTCTATCAACAACTACTTTTTGAGTTCTTGTAGTTCATGTTTTTTTCTAACAATCATGTTTTCTGTTGACTTCCTTTCCAACTAGCTGGGCATTGGATTTTTTGGCTAATGACTGTTGCCTTCAAGATTAAGCATCTAAAATATTTAAGCTTTAGTTTAATTATTACTGCTTCCAGTGAGTAGCTTGACTTTACTTCATTTGTATTTTTCTTCTTGTGATCCAAAGTATTCTCAGCAATTCCAACCAACACAACAATTCTAAACCAGCACTTTTTTCCTTGTTCAGCCATTTTGATGGTCTAGCTTTCCTAGGCAGGTGTGTTACAACTGTAAAAACTACATTTTGTAATGTGTATATTTATTGTTAGCTATTTTCCTTTGCATTTAACATTTTGTCTGGAATCTTTCTCATAAGTAGACATCTATGGATATAATCACTATCCCTTTGGCTGTAGGAAGTTAAAGTCTGTTACTACTTCAGCCTCTTCCTATTTGCATTCAGTTGGCATTGCCTGTTGCCATAGCCTTTTAAAAAAAATAATAGTTTTTTTAATATCAACTATCAGGCTTTTACATATTTTTCTTTCACCTTCAAGAAGATATTCTTTAACTCTTTCGTGCTTGAACTCATCAAAGTGCTGTAGGTTTCCAGTTACTTATATTTCTTCCAGCAATTTTAACTCAAAATTCTGCTTCTTCTCATGATCAATAATGTTTTTCTCAATAATCAAAATCTCAAAAGATGCCCAAATGTTCTAAGATTTTGGCATTCATGCTTGAAATCTCAAGACATTTGGCATTCCTGCAGACTTTGGCCATTAAAAAGGGTGTTTATTTATTTTAGAGTTGTACAGATAAGAGCTGGAAAAGGTATGTATATAATGTCACTCACAAGTGCCAGATTGCTAATCTTTAGTTTATGTACTGGTTGGTTTTAAAAGCTGTGGATAATGCTAAAGTCTTCCATATAATAGAAAAGTCAGTGCTTCAAAAATTAAGTAGCTACTTGAATTCTTGGAGAAATACATATTTGTCTAGTAAATACTACTATACAAATATGTTTTCTCCAAGAATTTGGGGAAATACATACCGTATACAATTTTCCCCCAAATATTGATGAACTTTCATATCTAGATACTGATTCTCTTTGTTTCCTTTCTCTTATAGAAGACATATTTTCATTTTGGAAAAATTCTGTTTAGCAACACTACTATTTTCCTAAAGTGTAAGTACATTCATACTGCACCTTGAAGTGTAATATCCCATTCTTTTGTAATGACTACGTTAGAGATTATGTGTGATTTAGGATGACTTAACAACTTGGACCTATAAAATTGCAAAGCACATCTTTTTATAAATCTCTAACCATGATTGAGATTACAGTGTCAAAACAGTTTCACAAAGGAGTCATAATATAATGGTGGTGAGCTTCTGTATTTGGTACAGTATTCAAACATTTCACTAACAGCCATGGCTGGAATTTTCATAAGGTGAGAATGATCAGCTTTGTAATATATTTCTTTTTCCCTGTGAGCTTGTTTAAAAATGATAGTATAGTATGATGTGTAACTTTGTGAAAGTATACAAGTGATTTGTCATTAGCTGAGTGATATTATGTATGTTGGATCATATACTAGAGTTCTGTCCGATTGGATGGCAAAATTCCAAATGATCGCTAGACAACAATAGAGACACAGATCTTTGTTACTAAATAAAGCCTGTCTAACACTTATATGGAAGTAGGTTCCATCTATTCAATGGGACTTAGTTCTTAGTAGAACTATATAACGGGTATAGCTGGTTATAAAATAATGTGTCTGATCATCTTGAATGCAGAGGCTCACTAACACAGTGGAAAGGGACTAGAGTCACTAGACAATTAAACAGTATTACTGCGAAGTAATGATTTCTTTTCAAATAGTACCTTAGCACTAGAAATTACTGGAAATTACTTTTTGTTTTCTGGCCTTGCAATTCTGTTGACTAGCTTTATGCGGCTAGTTTTTAAAATTTAACTGAAATTAAAAAGTAGGCTACTTCCCAATCTAAACAATACTCTTACAGTTATAATTATTTGCTAGGCTGTATTATCTTATAAATCCTTTCCTCTGTAAAAAGGATTTAAAAAATCTTTTCTGTAAAAAATTGACAGGACTGCTTTTGTAGTTTCCCATTAAAATGTAATATTATAATAATATATATTGATAATAATGATAATAATAACCTTAGGCATTTTATTATTGATTGATTGGTATGAGATTCATGCAGTTGGTAACATGATACAGTCCATGAAATTTTCTGTCATGATAGAGGTGTGCAGTATTTGCATCTGACAGATACAGCAAGTTCATGCATGCTATATACAGGTAGTTCTCAACTTACAACAGTTCATTTAATGACTATTGAAAGTTACAACATCACTGAAAAAAGTTATGACCATTTTTCACACGAGTGTTGCAGCATCTCCATGATCATGTGATCAAAATTCAGCCAGTTGCCAACTGACTCACATTTATGATGGCTGCAGTATCCTGGAATCGTGATCACCTTCTGTAACCTTCTGACAAGCAAAATCAATGTGTAAACCAGATTCACTTAACAAACATGTAACTAACTTTTAACAATTGCTGAGATTCACTTAACAACTGTGCAAGAAAAGTTGTAAACTGGGGCAAAGCTCATTTAACAAATGTCTCAGTTACCAACATAAATTTTGGGCTTAATCGTGGTTGTAAGTTGAGGACTACCTGTACATGCTGTATACAAAGCACCTTTCCTGCTTTGCATCTGAATATTGCACATATCTAGCTGTAATAAATGCTTTAGTCTTTAAGGTGCCACAAAATTCACTGTTAGTTTGGTAATAGTATTTCCTCCATTTCTTACATATTTTTCTTATTTGTTTAGTTACTGGCAATGAAAGCGCCTGTGATCCTTCTCAAAGTTACATTATAAGGTGGTACTTAAGATACTCCTATTGCTACAATGAGGTCTTCAATTTTGGGGTAAGAAATTGGTATTAAAAAGTAATTTAGCCTTCTGCATTATGGTCCATGTCATACTACAGGAAAATGGTGCTGATCCTTTATGTAGAGTAAAGGGATTTCGTTATTTTTGTTTGCTTTTCTCCTCAACAACCATTTTGGCTAGCAGTTTTTAATCTATCATACATGAGCTGTATCAGAAAAGACTGCTCTGATACATTTGGAAAATGGTGATGTTTGATTTTGTCCATGGTTTACTATTATCTAAAATATAATTTAGCTCTTAGAATGACTATAGATATTGACATTTAAGAACATGGAATTTTTTTTTTTTTGCTTTCCAAAGTAGGTGTAAAAATCTTTACTCTTTTGCGTGTGTACATACCATGTTCTTTCACAGGGATATCAGCTTTTTGCATCCAAATCCCAAAAGAACGTCAGAATAGATATGGGAACTCATGCTACACTTGTCAGCACCTCTTCAGTTAAAATACACTGACTTAAGGAAGTCTTTCTTCCTTCACTCAAACGTATTTTCCTAGAATCGAGTAGCTACTGTAAGAACGGGCCAATATGTTTGATGTATGCACCCATGCCTGCTCTAAAGCATATTTTTGGTTTTAGATTTAACGTGTCTTTTCCTCAGCAATTTTAAGACAGGAGTATGGAAAATGGCCCCATACCATTAAATTACTTCTATGTTCTTTTCTAATATTGTCACCATTAACTGAGACTTTTTAAGGCTGTAAAGAGAAGTCTTGCATATAGTGTACTGTTTGTTCCCTTTAATTAGACTAGATATGCACTGAATAATTATTTTTAGTGAGAAATATTGTTATGTTTGTTTTCAGTTTTTTGTTTACCGACTTCTATTTCCCTTAATATATTAACTACTTCAAATCATGTCCTGTGTCTTGACAGGATGAACAGGCAAATATATATTTTCAGAGCATTTCGGAACAACATCCAAATTGGGCAGGATACTATGCTATGTCTGAACTCTCCTTCCCCAATTGTAGTGAGCTCTTCAAGCCACAGGTATGATATGGGGACAGTGCAGAGCCTATGGTGGGTTTATTGAGAAGTGCATTTGTTAGTTAAATCTCAATTCACATGAATTAAGGCTCCAGTACATATATTAGCTCTTCTGTTGGTAATTCTCTATTTGTCTGAAAATCCATGTCCTGCTTTTTTTTTTCAAGGACATATTTGAGAAACTGAAGCATAGGAGCTTTTCAGGAGGTGAAATAAAACATTTACATTTGTAGGGTTTGTTTAACTGATGTTTATGCTTGCAACATCATTTGGATCTGTTTGATTTGTATTTTAATACTTCTGAGCCCAAGAATTATTACTAAAACTACTATATGCATATCATTATAATGATATATTTATATAGTAAATATATCAAAGATGTTTCATTACGCATCAGCTAGCACTGATGATGTTACTGAGTTTAGGTAATGAAACATCTGCAAGAAAATAACCAAGCTCAGAGAGCACCAAGGACCTCTCATTTTTGACTCTGAGCTGCAAATGTTCTCCTCTGTCAAATATATCGTAAATTCTTTCTTGAACTGACCAAAGCTAATTTATGATCAACCCCTTTTAAAATCACTCCATCCTACATAAGGTGTTTAATATATTTAGGATCACATTGTTAGTAATCCAGAATTATGAAGCTCCATTGCATTTGCCAGCATTGTATTGTTTCAGAGTCAGCCTAATATATCAAACTTGCTTCTGTCACTTAGGCTATGGTTGTATTATTGTCCATTGATTGATTCATTAATTCATTATTGTGTTTGTTCTGGCTTATTACCTGTCATGTTTTTATAGCAGATTTTAAAATTGTGCAGTTGATCAAGTCAGTGTGGCCAACTTCTTATATCTATAAGGGTTTTAGAAGTCAGGAATCTAAAGGACCAGATTTCTTTTTTTTCTGATTATAAGATCTGCATTTTCCCATTCTCACTAGTTGTTCCTGATTGGAGAAATAGGTACTGTAGGTTTGTCCAGAGACTTGGTGGAAGCTTCTTTAATTAAGAAATTAGAAGAATGCCTGCCATATGTAAAAGTTGAAATTGGGAAGGATGTTCCTGGTCATCCTTGTTTTACAGTACATATTTGGCTGTATACACATGATATACTCTGTAGCAGGAAAAGATCAGGAGAAGTGGACAAAACATGACCTCAGCAACTGATCTATTCATGGATTCAGTCTGGGTTGGTCACCGGAACAAGATGGTTTAGTCTTCTGAGCTTCTGGACTTGTTCTGAAGCCCATCCTCAGGAACTTCTCTCTCACTGGAATATGACACACTTTCTGGTGAGAGAGAAGTTCCCTGAGAATGGGCTCCAGCACGAGTCCAAAAACTCGGAAGACTAAAACCTTTGGCCTGTGACTGATCCAGATTGGATTCTGCAGCATAATCCTGGGACACATATATTTGCCTTCATTCGTGATCTATTCATGGTTAAATTTCCAGAGACTTCAGTTGAAAAACCATAGCTTTTATAGAGTAAAAATCATTTTAAATATGAGGACATGCAGTAGAAGTATAAATGATTGATAGAGAGAATGACAGCTCTTATGTAGAGGTTCTTATTTATTAGCAATACATTCCCTGATTGATTGTGAGTGCATGCTAGGTGGTAGAATTGCTATCTCAGACCAGCATCTCATTTTGTATAATCAGATTTTAGAATATACATATGAACATAAATGCATTTTTTCCTGAATTTAATTCTTTGTAGTCCTTTATTGTTGTATTTTCATTAATATTATGTTCTACCTGTTTGCTATATGCTTGTATATATACAGTGTAACTAAAAACAATTGTTTATCTTTTATTAGAATTTCTACAGTGAATTTGTTCATCCAGTCCTCTTAAGCAGTAAAGAGGTATTTTGTAAAAAAATATTAATGCTTGCAAAATTTTGATTTACAAATATATCTTTGGGCTTTTTACCAAATCTACTTTTGCCTTAAATAGGATAGGAAAGAGAATGGAACAAACACTACTGTAGTAGAGAATTTTGTAAGTATGTGAAAAGTGATATATGTGGAATGTAGTGGGCATAGTTATATTGAGTAATTCTGCTATCTGCATGATTCATTGATTAACTAGGAGATGCATCCTGTAACTTCTGTACATCATGCTTCTCAAGTAAAATCAATAGTATGTAAATGTTTAATGTTGACAATAAAGCACACCCAATAGAATAACAAACAAACCTATATTGTTTTATGGTTCAGGTTACATCTGATTTCCTGAAATAATCTTGTTGACACAGGAGAAATATGTATTCTTTGAAATCTTGCATTGTGTAGTGACTTAAAGTTGTGTAATTTGTTTCAGGCAATGAATGCTGTAATGCAAACATGGCAAGATGGGCCATATATCTTTATTGTAAAGGCTGATACTTTACCTTCAAAGGATGGAGCAAACATTAAAGGAACACATGAAGAATTACCAAATGTTATGGCTCCTTCCGATCAACCCAAAGCACCAATTATCAGTGAGCCCTGTGTAGTTCATTTATTTTGGAATTTTGTTTAAATACTTAGACGTTACATGCTAATGTTTAAAAGTGTGTCTTGGAGTTACAGGGACACTTTTGCTTGGTTAGATATAGAAGCAGTGATGGGATTCAAATATGTGAACAACCAGTTCTTTGTGTGGATGCCACTTCCGGAAGTCCATTCTGGGCTTGGGCAACAAAAAATTAGCTACCGGTTCTGCCAAAGTGGTGCGAACCGGCTGAATCCCACCACTGTATAGAAGGGGGAAAAAGCAAGACCTTTTGTCTATTTCAAACCAGACTACAGGTATTTATATGTAGCAATATTTGCAAATTGCTTTTCCCTTGTTTTCGTGATGTGAGACTCCCTTTTATCTCTGAGTAAGAGAAAACATCCTAACTCAATAATGAGATAAAGAAGGCTCCCAGATTTTATTTTTTTTAAAATGTGATGTTTATAATGGAGTGTGTAGAAAAAACTCCTTACACTAATCTTGGCAGTCCATTGCACCATTTGAGTCTTAAGACTGGCAATAATAAGTAGAATTTTCACTACGCCTTCAGTGATTTTTAAAAGAAAATGCCATCACAAGTAAAAGGGCAGAAAAGGGAAATCAAAATTATTAAGTGCTTGGAGTAACTTTCCCATGACAAGCAAACTATTTGTGGGGCTTTTAGTTCAGCAAAAAAGATGAAGTGGTAAAATTTTATTCTATCAAGCGTAGTGAGAATAAAGGGAAGATGACAAATTCTTCTTAGCTGGTACTTCAGTATTGGAAAAAGTCATAGGGAGGTAACCTTAGCAGTCATTTGTACAAATATCCCCCCCTCCTCCTCCGCCCCCATCTTGGGAAGATTTAATTCAGCTGAATAGAGAGGAATTCCAAACCCCCAAAGCCATATATTTACTAATGAAAATACATTATTCAGCCTATGTGAACGTGGAATCACAATGCATGATGGTGATCCCATATTCAGATGGTTTTAAAATATTACCTGAGATAAGGCTCCTAGTGGATAGTGCACATAACAGTCATATAATGCCACCAGTGTCAGAGGTAGCATATGTTTGAAGTTGCTGACATTGGAAGGGTTCTGGTCCCTTGCATGTTTCTCACTGACATTTAAATATTTCCTGCTTTAAGAAACTGGATGCTGTATTTAAAAGGTGTTAGCACAAAAGGGCTACCATCAAGCAGAGCTATTGTTCTATAGTCCTAATTTCTTGTTCTTTTCCATGCTTGTTTTCTGACAGTGACTGTGGAAGTTATTGGACCATATGAATACCTTTCTCTAGCAGATTATCCTCTTATGATTGTAAGTTAATGCATGTTATGTGTCATTGGAGTCAAAGTATAAGTACATTTGAATATTAAGCTCACAGAGGGATAAATGACATTTTTACCAGATCTGGAAATAAGGTGTATATGTGTGTGTGCGCGCGTGTATGTGTGTGTGTGTGTGTAATTCTCCTGAATTTTGTGATCTATAAAACTTATAAATGAATTTTGCTGTTATTGAATGTAACAAATTTAAATAATAATTAATTTAAAAAAATTAAAAATATATTAGTATCAGAATTACTGAAATCTAGGAGGAATCTATCCATATAAATAAGCAGCTAGAAAAGAGCAGCTTTAAATTGCATCTCATTTTTTCTTTCTCTAATAGTTCTTCATGGTGATGTGTATTGTATATGTGTTGTTTGGCGTTCTGTGGTTTGCATGGTCAGCCTGCTACTGGCGGGATCTTCTAAGGATACAGTTTTGGATTGGTACAGTTATCTTACTTGGAATGTTGGAGAAAGCTGTATTCTATGCAGAATTCCAGAATATTCGCTATACAGGAAAATCCGGTATGTGTGAAGAACATATTTAAATATGTGCACAAGTGCAAGAATATGAATGATTCTTTGTGTGTACTAACTTTTTCTATCTAGTGATAGAAAATATTTCCCGTCATGCTTTCTAGGTCATATCTATCAAATGGAACATGTTTAATTGGTCAAAGTCTTTAGAGAAGGCATTAAAACAAAAACATTTCTGAAGTTAATTTTTCATCAGCTCAGTCTCAGTGCAAGAGATAATAATTGAGATAAATATTCTAAAAATTAATTCAAAATGAAAATCATTTAGTTCAGTTGAATGTTTCATTTTTAAAGAATTTAAATCATTGCACAAATATTGCATAGTTCTCATATTTATATTTATTTTTCTTTAATAGTCAGCCTTTCTTAAATTAATATTTGTTGTAGCACAGTGTAAGCTTTAAATGCTAAACAGTATGTTCAAGAAGTGTCCCTGTGTGTGTTTATTTGCAGTCCGAGAGGCACTAATCCTGGCTGAGCTACTTTCAGCATTGAAACGTTCCCTTGCTCGAATTCTTGTTATCATAGTGAGTCTGGGATATGGCATAGTAAAGTGAGTAATTCTTGTGCCCCAAATTCTTTAATTCCATCAAGGGCTTTTCCATATGCTTTATTTGCAATGATTAAACCACAAAATGTCTACCTTGCTAGCTTTTCAAGGGAATACATGCACACATGTATCACATCTTGCAAAGAGGGAGAGAATACCTGAAAGGGTGATCTAAGAGGATCAGTAGGCCTCTTCTCCAGTAGGAAATTATGTTTTTTTTTCCTGCTGGTTTTTTTTTTTTTTTGGTGGAGAAAATGCTTTTGGAGAGGGATATGCAAAATTTAGGATTTAGGATCAAAACACTTTAGAGAACTCTGAAATAATCTATTTCCCTCTGGACAATCTTGAATTTTCTTCTGGACCATGGTGACCTGAGGGCAAGTGTGCAAAGAAATTCAGACATTTCTAAAAACAACTAGAAGTAATTTACTTCTGGAAACTGCTAAACCATCACTGGATGGCAAAGTCTGGGTGGAGGTTCAGCATGGTCCAAAAAGTAATGGAATGTTGATAGATTTTGCACTTCCCACACTTTAACATTATCACTGGGCCCATAGATATATAATGTAGTAATTAGCAGGTTGAGTGTGGTTGACATAAGTTGGCCATATTTGTTGAATTTGAGATGTCTCATTAAATATCAGCAAAGTTAGAAAAATAACATAGATTTACAAATAATATTATAACAGGCTCACATTTCCTTGGTGGGGAAATGATAGATAATTAAATGAAATGTCATTTGACAAAGCCAGTCTGTGCTTTCACTTTCTTTTAAATTTCTTTTATTCCCAATTGCAGACCTCGTCTGGGAGTTACTCTTCATAAAGTAATTGCAGCTGGAGTCCTTTATTTATTATTTTCTGGTGTGGAAGGTGTCCTCAGAGTCACTGGGGTTAGTAATCACTTATTACAGAGTTTTGTATCTCTCATGTGCATGAAGCTGGTGGGCTTCACTTGCTGCAAACAAGTTTTGTATAGCATAAAATAACTGATTTGTTGAATATTTATGGTTGACATTCTTGACGGTGGCACCTTTTCTTGTGGTGCAGCAATACGTTTTTGTTGACTCTCAGAAATAGAATTTTTTTGATTGGCTTTTCTCAAGCACTGGTTCTTTTTTAATGGAATGTTTTTAATCATTTTAACTTTATCTGTAATCCTTTCTATCTTGTATTTATTAAAGAACATGTTTGTGCACTTTATAAGTTCCTTTTAAATTTTCATTAATGAAGTGGATTATACTTCCTACTAATAGGAGTTTAAAAAGAGTATTCCTTTTTGTAATTTTGTAAACTATCAAATGTTGGACAGGTTAATCTTGATTACTATATTGTTAGTTTGTATAGTTAAACTCTGCTTCTTGGATCTGTTAACATTCCCAACTCAGGATATCTAGGATATGAAATTTCCTAGGCCACATGGCAATTCCTGATCTGCTTGTTATTTCTCCATGTTTTCAGTGTAAACTATATTGTCCCATTTGAGTTTTATTTTGTATCTGGTAGGACTATTATTCCTATGCTGATCCATGTTTAAAAATCCTTTTTATTGTATTTGTAATATCAAACCAATTCTCTTTCTAATACCTTTTCAGTCTTTCCATGGTATTACAGCTGCTGTAGCTAACTTCGGACTGTCTATCATTGACTCCTGTATTATTTATTGGATATCCTTTCAAAAATTGCATCTTATATTTCTAATTTATATCATTGCAATATGTATCCTGGATTTTTAATGGACCAGAGAAAACTCTACTGTAGATATATTTGAAAAAATAGTGAACAAATAGTTAAATTATCTAAAGATCATCTCTCCTTCTTTTAGGATTCAGCTTTAGAAAAACCACCTTATAAAAACTGCCTTTTTACAACCCCGTAACCCCTTAATTCAGGGTATGACTTGCTAATACTGTGAACAATAAAAAGAGGAGCCATCTCACAAATCTGAATATCACCACAGTATCCCAAGGTGCTTTTTGTTTTTGCTTGAAGGCTTTTCACCTCTCATCCAAGAAGCTTCTTCAGTTCTGACTGATTGGTGGAGAATGGAAGGATTTATATTCCTTGCAGTCATCTGGTTGTTAGCCTCTTTTTGAGAGTCATTGAGGGCACTTGCACTATTCAGATGACCCAGAGGGTACAGATAAACCTCTAAGTAGCATCAATGACTCTCAAAAAAAGTGCTAACGACTAGATGACCGCAAGGAATATAGATCCTTCCATTCTCCCCCATTCAGTCAAAAATGAAGAAGCTTCTTGGATGAGAAGTAAAAAACCTTCAAGCAAAAACAAAGTCCAATTGCCTTTTGAAAAAGCACCTTTGGGACAACCATGACCTGGATGACTGAGAATCTCCATAGATATCACCAGAATATAAGTCCCATTCTCAACTATATACTGCAATTCAATTGATTTGAATACAATTTTGCTTTCCTCCAACCATGCCTGCTCTAACTGCTTAGTTTATAGTGGGCTGTATGCTCTATATAATTGATGTTGCCCCTGTAAAACAACTCAGTTTTATGCTTCTCTTCAGTAATATGTCCAAATAAGTTATTCATCCATCTATATTATATTATTATTATTCATATATTATTATTATTATATTATCCACCCATCTATAGCATTAAGTTATTATTCACATGTCTGTGGTATTAAAGCTGTTGTTTGCTTCCTTGCAGTGTTGGTAGGTTAGTAGGTTGGTAGAAGAAATTTGATAGTAGATTAATGGAAAGTGCAAATTGTGTATATAATGCTATTGTTTTAAAACACAAATCAGAGTGTTGGATTTGTGTTTTAAATGTGGATGATTTTATACAATGTATTTTTGACAGTTCCAATATTTAACTTCCAATACCTTGATAGTTTAGAACAAGATGCAATACAACTGATATTAGCAGTTTAATTTAATATTGGAAGCAACACATTTATGATGCTTCAGTAAAAATAAAACAAACCTAACACATCTAAAGCAAAACATCCATATAGTTTTAGTTACAATGAAATCATCCATAAATAATTCTATTCAGTGTTGAATAATTATTGCAATTTTCTGTTAGTAAATTTAGGTAGAAGTATCTTAAGCATAATAATATGGTTTACACTAGCCCCAAATGAAAATCCAGCAATATTTTGGCAGATTATTAGGACCAAGCTGGATTTGACAGTAAATGAACTGTGTTGCAATAATTTGCAAAGAGGATAGTTGCTGTAGAGTTTGATTTTTACTACCAACAACAAAATTTGGATAGGAAGTCTCTATGCTCTACTTGTATTTTTCTTCTTGACTGCTAAATCTGGAAGTGAGAATGGCTTGGAGGGAATACTTTGTGGAGTAGGACTCTACGAAAGTGTAGCCGACATGCAAAAACGTGCTTCAAAAATGTTAGTTTTGCCTAAAATGTAATCTGTTTAATCTTTTGAAGCACACATAAGGGTGACAAATCACAATACAATTGGAAATGAGGGATATTTTAATAACAAGATCATGTTGCCCTGGCAATAAACTGTCGGGGGCAGTTGTTATTGGCAGGAGAACCAAAACAGACAAGGCCACTCCACTCTCCTACTCTTTACTACTTCTTGGTGTCACCTTCTCTCTCTTCCCTCCCCTCCCTCCCATCTCTTTCTAGGAGCTGTCACTTGCAGAGTTTTATTATTAGGCTTTTAACTAGGCAGGCCTTCCAAAACATTGGTAACTGAGAGCATCTTTTGAGCAAAACAGTGAAATCCATTGTGTGGAAGAGACTGGAGATCTGAGAACTCCTTTACCAGATGCCCTCAGGGTCCTCACATTCTGGACCTACGTCCTGTTGCCATAATCTGTATTCCAAGGTCCTCATACCTGGCATCCTTTCCTTAGCTCTGGCAAGTGACATCAACAAAAAAGTAGGTTCTTTGTTGGTGTAGGAAGATGGGTGTATGTCTTAACACACTGGATTTCCCCTTTTTGTCCAAGGTTAATTCAACCTTTTGTAGATCACAGGAAATATTCTGTCCTGTTTCATCTCAGGCAAGGTGTACATTTGTCCTCTATGGTTTATGAAGCTTATAAAATAGATATATTTGGGTTTTTTTACAGGTGGCCCTTAGGCACAGTTTAATAGAAAGTTCTGTAATGTGCTTCTGGTCACTTTGTAGAGATACTGGTCTAGGACATTCTTTCCTATCCACTTTCCTTCATTGATAGAGAATGAAAGTTGTGCTTACTGAGAAGTGTAATTCCAGTTTGTGGAAAATGGGGCTAGCAATGTTGCCTTCTGGTTACAGCAGTGATGTTTTGGGGTTCTTAGCATTCTTGTTCATTCAGTAATAATTATTGCAGTTCCTTTTAGTTATGGGTCTTATGTACAGGTAGTCCTAGACTTATGACCACAATTGAACTCAACATTTATGTTGCTATGTGAGACAGTTGTTAAGTGAGCTTTGCCTCATTTTACGACCTTTCTTGCCATAGTTGTTAAGTGAATCACTGCAGCTGTTAAGTTAGTAACACAGCTGTTAAGTGAATCTGGCTTCCCCATTGACTGTTGCTTGTCAGAAAGCTGCAAAAGCTGTTCACATGACTTCAGGACACTGCAACCCTTATTAAAAAAAACCAGTTACCTAGCATCCAAATTTTGATCATGTGACCATGGAGATGCTGCAATGGTCGTAAGCGTAATAACTGGTCATGTGACTTTTTTCAGTGATGTTGTAACTTTGAACGGTCATTAAATGAACCATTGTAAGTTGAGGTCTACCTGTAGTTGAACTGAAATCCTAGAATTGACAAGTACCCTTCAGAGGAAAAAATAAAATCCAGTAAAATAAAAACATGTGAAAAATATGTTTATGAGTGCTCTATATATGTACATACACATTCACACACACATATACATATACATACATACATACATACATACATACATACATACATATATGTAGGTCTTTGATTATTCGGGTTTTCTCCCGCGTAAAATTGGAAGTGTCTTGGTGACGTTTCGACGAAGTCCCATTCATCATCTTCAGGCTCCTCGAAGCACGAAGTTGAAAGCACCAGCCTGAAGATGACGAATGGGACTTCGTCGAAACGTCGCCAAGACACTTCCAATTTTACGCGGGAGAAAACCCGAATAATCAAAGACCTACATACAAATACCCGCGAAAATCTCAGAAAACATACACACACACACACAAACACACACACGCACACACATTTATATACATACTGTACATACAGGGCTTTCATATTCATATAATAGAAACAAAATAGTCCGAGCACCAGGATAATATTAAAAGAAAAACTGTGTAGCTTTTGTATTAAACAGTTTTTGTTTTAATATTATCCTGGTGCTCGGACTATTTTATTTCTAATATATATATATATATATAGGATGCAATCTTTTCTCAAATCTTAATCTTTGTAGGCATGTTTCCTGATCCTTGATCTCAATGCCTTTTTCTCTTTGTCTCTTTAGGCACAGAATGATCTTGCCTCCTTGGCTTTTATTCCACTGGCTTTCCTAGATACTGCTCTCTGTTGGTGGATATCCTTCTTCATTGGTTTATTTGGTGGATTGCTAATTTATTTGGAGCTGGGTTTTCATGGTGGGTGGCATTCTCCTTTAGATATTCTGACTGATCTTTTTATTATTTGATTTATTCCCCAGATATAATACCCCCAAGATTTTGCTCCTACCTACCTTTACTAGTGCATTTCAATTAGTGAATTTGAAAGTGCATTCTGAATGTGTTTGATTTCAGCATTTTTATCCTTCATCAGCATGATAAGCATTGAATCTCAGTACATCTGGAAGGCAGAAGGTTGGGGAAACTTATAGTACGGAACAAGCCTCATTGAGCTTAATGGACTTTTGGGGTCAAAATGGACAACATTTGACTGCAAATCTGGTGACCAAAGAGGCTAGTGAAAACTAAATCTTTTGCAGAATGATTTACATAATTCCATGGGGTCAACGATACAGGTAGTCCTCGACTTATGACCATAATTGAGCCCAAAATTTATGTTGCTAAGAGAAATTTATTAAGCGAGCTTTGCCCCATTTTATGACTTTTCTTGCCACAGTTGTTAAGTGAATCTGGCTTTCCCATTGACTTTGCTTGCCAGAAGGTCACAAAAGGTGATCATATGACCCCGGGACACTGGTACTGTCATAAAGTTGAACTAGTTGTCAAGCATCCAAACATAAATCATGTGATCATGGGAATGCTGCAATGGTCATAAGTACGAAAAATGGTCATCAGTCACTTTTTTCAGTGCTGTTGTAACTTTGACTAGTCACTGAATAAACTGTTGTAAGTCGAGGACTACCTGTAGTTACCATTTTTGGAAGTGCTCTTGTTGCAGTAGAAGGGTATATAACTGTAATCTGAATTTCTACAGAGTGTATTCAAGCCTAATTTAGGTATCCACCAGAAGTGCGGATTTCAGTAGTAGTTGTAGTTGGGAATTCTGAAATCTGAAGTTGTACATCACTCAGTGGGAAAGACAACCTGAGGATTTTCAACTTGGATTGGAAAATCTCCTATCTAAAATACTGGAGAGCTGCTGTTATTCAACCCAAACAGTATTAGGTTAGATGGGACATGGTCTGATTCAATAATTTGATTCAACATTGCACTAATACAACTTATTTGATTTTGGGGCTTTGTATGTTATGCAAACCCATCTAATTCTACTGATTATATTTAAGCAAACCTTGGTTTAGAATGAAATATGAACCCATTCACTGTGAGGCAACTTACATTGTAGTGACAAAAAGGTTGCTATGCTCATTTTAGTAATCCTCCTCAGAGTTTGCATGTACTTGTCATTTATGCCAGAGATGGAACTCATCTTAGCATACTTTCTGTAAAATTGCTGAAAACTATGTTCATAAGGACAATACTTATGTACAGGCACTATGAAGTTTGGAGATAGGATGCCACATGACTAATCTCAGTACTATTAGTTCATATTTCATGCAGGCAGGATTATTCATTATTTGTAACAGCCTTTGGAGCAATACCAGATCTAAATATATTTAATAACATCTATGTCAGGGATTCAAGGTGGCAACTAAAAAGTGAGGCAGTCTGTAAAATAGGTAGAATATCATTCGGATTTCTGTGAGTTGTTTATTATATATACGTTATTTCCCCAGGATTAATGGGTAATAATATATCTGGTGATATCAAATAAGATCTGAAAAGAAACTAGAGTATGATTATGTCATAAATGTATATATACTGAATCTTCCCTTGACTTTCTATACATATTTATCAGTTTAACTCAAACGATGAAATTGCTGAAGCTTAGGAGGAATGTTGTGAAGCTATCTCTTTACCGGCACTTTACCAATACACTCATCTTGGCAATAGCAGGTAAATTGTAGAAATTATTCCTAATTTTAAAATAAACATTGTTCAACCAGATATCATAGGGTACTTAGCATTTGGTGCTCAAGGTCAAGAAACATGTCCACATTTATTTCATAAATAAATAATAATGGTACATAAATGAAGGAGATAAAAGGAAATAAAAATTTTGCCAGGAAGGAGATTAAATATTGTGTTCTTATGACTTACTGAAATTTGCCAATCTATTTCAGACAAAAATTTCTTATTTCTTATTATAATTCTAAGATGCAGAAGTAAATATTTATGTTATCTTTGTTATCTCCTTAGGTTTATTGAACTGAATTAGGAAGTTTAGGGTAAATATTTTTTTTTGTAAAACTGTTCATTCATCATGATTTTTATTTTCAGTGAATAAAGAGCAAGTTTCAAAGAAATCAGGCAGATGACCACAAGTATAATAGTATGAATTGGTTATAGACAATAATAATAATTACATAAAAAAATCACTGAGTTCTGCAGTTTAATCTGATTTGCTAATATTTTGCCATATGTGTATGTTCTTATTTTTTTAAAAAAACTTTTAGCATCTATTGTTTTTATCATCTGGACAACTTTGAAATTCAGACTGATGGATTGTAAGTCGGTGAGTCTGTCTCTTTTTTATCATTTTTGCTAGTTAAGTAGATAGCTAGGAATTTGATAACCTTGTCTTAACTTGGAAGCTAAGCTGGCTCAGACCTGGGTGGATGCGATAGAGCACGAGTGTCAAACTTGATCACGTCACGTGACGTATCGTGATGCATCACGATGTTTTTTGCCTTTATGGAACTGGAGTGGGTGTGACCTATGTGTGATGTATCTGGCTTTCGGGCTGCCAGTTTGATACCCCTGCGATAGAGAATATCAAGAATATAGTAGGCTGATCTGGGAAGGTAAGAATATATCATGAGAGAAGTCAATGGCAAACGAAAACACTTCTTTATTATTGCTAGGGAAACAACATGAGCATGAGCCTAAAATCATTATGTGCCAAACTTAACTTTAATTTTGCATTGCTGAAAATGTTGGGATTTCTTTTCAAAAATGGAACTTTTTATCATTTAATATCTTACGTCTATTAACAGGACTGGCAAGAGCTGTGGGTTGATGATGCCATCTGGCGGCTGTTGTTCTCAATGATTCTTTTTGTCATCATGATTCTTTGGAGGCCATCTGCAAATAACCAGCGGTACTATACTTTATACTATACTTTATAGTATACTTTACTTTATAGTATATATACTTTATACTATAAATATAGGTAGATACAGTCTAAGGCAGGTGTAGGCAACCTTGGCTCTTTTATGACTCGTGGACTTCAACTCCCAGAATTCCTGAGCCAGCCATGCTGAGGGGAAAGGGAGAGGTTTCTAAGCTGAGCCATGCTGGCTCAGGAATTCTGGGAGTTGAAGTCCACGAGTCATAAAAGAGCCAAGGTTGCCTACACCTGGTCTAAGGCATCTGTTTATTGTAGCTGTCCAGTACTTTCTCTTTCAGCTTTAGATACTACAAACAATCTTAAATATCACAAGTTTAAAGAAACGGTAAAAATATTTTACATTAATCTGATGAAGCCATTATTTGTTACTTTGCTTCCTAAAAGGTTTGCTTTTTCACCATTGTCTGAAGAAGATGAGGACGATGAACAGAAAGAGCCAATGTTGAAAGAGAGTTTTGGTAAGAAAAGCATATCTCTATTTTATGAATACAACTTTTATTCTGAAAGGGCATATCTGTAGCTTTATGTATTATCACTAACATCCCTTTGCCCCAATTTAAGTTTTAATTACATATCATTGTTGCAGCCTTTTGTGAAACAAGGCTATTACAAGCAATTGTTTTGCATTTTTGTCCCTAAAAGACATATTTTTTTTCCATGGGATGGTCTCTTTGCATTGGCACCGGAATTCAAGCAGCAGCTGAAAACATAGTTACATTTGAATCAGACATTTATGAAATAAACAAGGTGGACTTGATTCATACATTATAATGAATTATGGTTTAATGACTGTATAATACACCATTGGGTATTATATTAAGATCAAACTATCACATATATTACGTTAAGATCAAACTATCACATTATGATGTACCATGTCATATGAACCAGGGAACAATAAACTTCTAAAGTTGATCATACTGTTCAGTGTGCCAGAAATATATCCTTATATCTTCATGTGAGCATTTGGAATGTAACTAGAATACTGTAGATTAAAACAGATCTCTACTTTTTCTCACATCTCCACACAGACCTGTTTGCTCTGTGTTTGGCAGACATAGATACTGAACCTCTGTTCCTAAAGTAGCTCCAGTGGGCTATTCCAGTTTTGCGCAGTTTAGGCATGCTTTTGTCTTTTTGAAGATATCTCTCATATTGATTTATCATGGCATCAGAAATAATCAGAATTGGAAACCAAGCCTATAGGACCAAATAATTTTGCCTATATTATCTTTCCCAGGAGTTGCCTCCACAGAAGTCCATTCCACTTTTCCATAAAACAGTAGAGTTTTTAAGCCTGTTCTGAGTGGGGGAAATACTGTAGATTAAACACTGATAAATATGTACTATATATTATATTTTACATACTCAACTAAGTGTTGCACTCTTGAATAAGATTCCTCCCCTAATATTTTATGCAGAAGGCATGAAAATGAGAACTTCAAAACAAGAATCAAATGGAAATCCTAAAACCAACAAAGCAGTAAGTTCTTAGCTAGTATTTTTTTAGCTAATGCTGGGAAAATGGAAGATATAAGAATAATGTGCTAAGATGTTGATTAGTGAAATATTACTTCCAATAAACGGCAGCAATTATGAGTGATGTCAGTTGTTGGGATTAAACTAAAATAAGCTAAAAAAGGGAGATGCAATAGCAAAGACACACTGTTAATTTGCACCTAAACTTATGCATTTTATAAATGCATATTTTAGGTCTCTTATGGCAAAACTATGTTCTAACTGTTACAAAATATCTTTCTCCCACAGTGTGTGTGATGAAAAAATTACCATTATGTGAATAAACTGTAATTTCCAAATTATTAATTATTTTAGCATTAAATATATTATTTAATGGAATTTGTCCAATGAATAATAATAAATTAAAGCACTTTGGATACTACACGGATAGTCCTCACTTAACAATTGTACTTTTTACCAGCAATTCTGTTATTAAGTAATGCAGTCCTAAAGCACATCATGTGACCAAGTTAACTTAATAGCAGTTGTAGCAGTGTTAGGCGAATCCCATGTGATTGCAGTATCCTGCGGTTATGTAATGGCCATTTGCAACCTCTTGCAGACTTCTCTATTGACTTTGCTTGTTGGAAGCTGACAGTGAACATTGCAAATGATGATCAAGTGATCATCATTTGCAGTAATTTCAAGCTGGTTGCCAACTCCCCAGATCCCGATCACATGACTGCGGAGGTAGCTGCAACAGCGGCAACTATGAGGACCTTTTGAAAGTCCCTCTTGTTCAGTGCTGTTATAACTTTGAATGGTCATTGAATGAATGGGCGTTAAGCAAGGATTACATGTATATGAATAACCTGTAATTGAAATTTTTTAATGAATAATGGTAAGTTAAAGTACTTTGAATGCCATACATTCTTTAGCATGCTTTAAAATAAAACTGGTAATTCAATTAAGTGTATCTTTTTAAAATGATGGCCTATGTTATATATAAAGTAATGTAATAAAATGTTTATGGGCCGCTCTGAAATAGAAAGAGGTGAAAAAAATGACATAATAGTTAATGAGATATTCTATTGGAAAAATATGGGGAAGATACTTTTTACTTTATATTTTAGATTGAATGTAATCATCACAAAAATGTACTATAATTTTAAGCGCACAATAATCCATTAAACATCTTTTTAAAAACTATAGCAAGAAGATGATTTGAAATGGGTAGAAGAGAATGTTCCTTCTTCTGTGACTGATGCGTAAGTAACTATAGTAAGAGTTATACATAAAAATATATTTAAAAGCACTAAAATAGTTATTGTCATGGTTCTGAAAGATGAAACTCTTCAAAAGAACTTTGAGGCATTATTTACCTTAAAAAATCTTTTATTCGAGAAACAGTATCGGCACTACATAGTTAAAGCCAAAAACTGAATTCCCCTCCCCTGGGCACAAAGTAACAAAGCACAATTCCCTCCTCCAATTAACGCTCAATAACCTTGGATTCCCACAGCTGAGTTATTATTGTTATGACTAACTGGACTCTCATCCATATTCCCCCTCCCAGCATCAATTAACTCTAAAAGCAAAAGAGTAAAATGGCTGCATTTCCATCTGTTGTCAAAGCAAGAACATCCGATGTTAGCAGTGTTGACAGTTATTTTGAAAATAAAGGGGGTGTTGTCACTTGCAATATCCAGAATGGATTCTGCCTTTTATGCTGCCAGTTATCAGTTTTTAATATACATTATAAATGCATCCTTGTTCTTGTTCAAACTTGCTTTTACTTGATGAAACAATCTTTGGGAAGCTTTTTAGAATCAACGTTCTTTGTTAGATTAGACAATATCCACTGAATTGGTTGCGTAATAGCAATAGCACTTAAGACTTATCTACTGCTTCATAGTGCTTTACAGCCCCCTCTAAGCAGCATATTGCCTCCAGCAATCTGGGTCTTCATTTTACTGACCTTGGAAGAGGGAAGGATGAATCAACTTTGAGCCAGTCAGGATTGAACTCCTGACTATATGCAGAGTTAGCCTGCAATACTGCATTCTAACTATTGCACCACCAGGCTCTTCTGCCCAACTGTCAGACTGGCCCCAACTTGCTACATAGGTATTAGACAAAAGGTACTTTAACTAGAGATGTTGAGTGCAGCGTGAGCGAGGCAAGCGCTGAAGAAAAACCGCATAGAAATCATATATTGAAAGCAATTCCCAGTATCTAACACCCCCCACCCCCGGGAGAGCAGTCCAATCAGATCTTGTTCCGATGTTTGGGAACATGGTGCCTCCAGAGCCACAGCAAATTCCTTTCTGAGGGCTGGTGTCCTTGAAGGCAGAAGATGATTCGGTTTAGCACCTCTGGTTCCTGTCAGTGTCCATACTCCCCAATTTCCCACAAGATTCTTTCACACCTCCAGCACTCTTCCCCTCCCAAGTGGCCCCTCCCCCGATTATGGCAGTTACTAACACGCTTCAAAGAAAATGAAAATAGGCAGCTGACACACACATTTTATAGTGTTATAATGATGTCACCAAAAGAGATGGGTTGAAATGGGGCAGTCCTTTTTAATATTGTGAAGATTTGAGATAGGTTAAAGATGGAAGTGGGAATAGAAAGCTTATCATTTCTATTACTAAACTCCTGAACCTTAGGAGTGGGGAAGTAGGGTGGGAATGGAAGCATTTTTATTTCCCAGAATCCTCCTGCTTCCATCCAAACTTTTTTTTTTTTTGAAAAAAAAAATAGGCCACTTTGCAGCCTATTTTTGTAATGTTACTTCAGGGTATTCAGTGACCAGGAGGTGACAGGTACTTAGTCTGAGGTCTAAAGGCCCCATGTGTCTCCCCAACGTTTTGGGTGCAGTCCCAAGAGTTACCTACAAAATTGGTGAAGGAAGAGAAAGTGAATAAATACATGAAGTACCATCATATTTATTACAATTTAATTAATTTCATTTTAAATCATATTAAATACAATTATCTTTTTGGGCTTACCTATTTTTTGTTCCATCCATGTGTTATCAAGTAGTCAAATGTAGCCCTAGGCCTGAAAAAATATATATCCTTGCCTTACATGGCTGATGTAGACAAATGCTAATTTTGTTTAATGTTCAATGAAAGAAAAATGCAAGGTTTTGTCTATTTATGTGATTTTTCTTTTCCTGCACTCTGAATCACCAGCATATTTTGGTGAATATGCATACTTCATGCTAGCATGACAGCAATTATGAATTTATCTTTGTTTTACTATGTTTTTCTTTCCCTCACAATTGCAGGGCTTTGCCAGCATTACTGGATTCAGACGAGGTCAGTAACTAACCCTTAAGCAATAATTCAGGTCCTATGATATGACAAAAGAGTCATGAGCTAAGAATTAAAGAAATTATTTCAGCAATTAAAAACTGAATGCTTTAATTGTTTCTGTTAGTGTATTAGGGAACTACAAATGTCAAAAGGAAATTTTGTTTAATACTTTAGTCAAAGATTTCATAAGAGATATCTGATTTTTTTTAAACAATCTGCATTGAGATACTTATGCAGAAAGCCTGGTGAATGGCATCCTTTAATCCTTCCCTGCAATTATCCTTTTATTCCCTCCCACTAGCTATTTTCTATAACAAATTTTTCTGTGTATGTGGGAAGGGAGAGAATTAAATCTAAACTGGAATAAGTCTAAAATATCTTAAGACTTCATGTCAGTATTTGGTGAAAAATATCAATAGATGAGAACGATATTTCACTCAAAATACTTAATACCAGCTTTTAGAATGGTAAATATGAATTGTCCAATCTGGGATTTCTGGCAGGGAAGCCTTGCTTGCATTGTTAGCTCTCTAAATAAACCTAACATTTTATGGAGAGGATGCAGAATACAACATAGTATTGAGACTAATTTTAATGTGAATTTGATGTGAGAATTTTTTGAATGCTGTTTGGAAAACATGCTGAGGCTACCATACAGGAAATAAGCATTCTGAATGATAATCATATTACCCATGATCTTAAAATGTAGAGTTGTTGCTATTGGCTTTTTATTAGACAGTGCCGTCAGTGTCCCTGAAGCTTTAAAGGATCACAGTCCCTTCCAAGAGAAATCTAGATTTCCCATTTCTCTGCTTGTTAGGATAAATGGAAATACTTGGGAGCAAGAGCACATAGCAAAAAGGAAAGAAAGGCAAGGATAACAAGTTGCAGTGATGCTGAGGCAGGAATAATATATAAAGTGAATAACTGCAATTTAAATATACAAAATATCAGTTTTACCTGGAGAATAAGGAATAAGAAACAGTTAAGCTAAGTGACTTGTGGACTTTTTTTTGAGAAGGGATTTGAAAAGAATTAGGAGAGCTCTAGTTACCGTACAATTTTTCTTAGGATGTCCATTACATGTGTACTAAAGTAAAATTCCCATAATTCCCAGTCAGGATATATTTATCAAAATACTAACTGGGGACCATTGAGGGGTAAATTGAGAAAGGTTGGTACACTGAATGGATAAGGAAAATGTATTGAATGTTTTAGGAAGGATATGATGGTGGACGGTCATGGACAGGAATATTCTAACAATATTTGCCTAATTATAGTGGGGCAGTACTGTGGACATATTTCAGGATAATGATTAGGAAATTATGAGGGCTGGAAAATGGAAATACACTGCAGGAATTGAAGAATGCACATCAAACAATGAAATATAAATTATTTGTGGTTCACACATTTTCCATTAGACTAACACTAAGGGTAACATAAAAAAAACCCCATGCATTGTGCATTCTTACAAAGCAATTTTTTAATCTCATTCTCTGTTTCTGATATGAGGCAAATAGCAATAGAGTTGGTATTGGTATTATATGCTACAATCTTTAATATTATCTCACATTACAATGTGACTTTTACCTGTTTCATGTGATATTTCTTTTGAACAAGCTATTGGGTTTAGATCAACAGCTTTCTAGGCCTAAAAAGCTTTAATGCTTTTAACATGCTAACCTTAACTTGCACCTAGAAGAGCACACTCAAACAAAATGTATATTTTGAGTATGATAAAAGTTGCATTGTACTCACTTTATTATGCTAAAATTGAATTCATGCTATTTGACAACCTTGCCATAGAAGCAACAACAATCAGCTTAATAATGCCTTTTTCATGCTTCAATTTACAATAATGTAATTTTTTTCAGGAAAGTAAATTGTTATATTTATTAGATTCCATTTATTAATCTTGCAGGAAAGAATGATCACACACTTTGAAAGATCCAAAATGGAATGAAAGATAATACGACTTGCAGAAGCAGCTGTCTTACTGCTGTTTGAGAAAGGAAGACACCTTGTCTCTCTTGCAATGTTCCAGTTCTGCTTTCTCTGATATGTTCCATGAACTTTGGAACTACTGATTGGTATCAGAGGGATTTTTTTTTTGTGAGGTCAGCATGGAGGGAATTTCAGTCATGAAAAGATTTGCATTTGCACTGTTTGCTGCCAGTGTCCTATTTAAACTATGGAAATGTCTTTTATTGCAGCAAATTCTTGTAAAGTATTTAAGTTAAAACACTTAACAATTGGCAGAGCAACTTTTAATTCAACACTAGATCTAAATCCCATGATTTAACTATAAGGGGTGAGAGAAAACAAGAAGTTTCTTGTAAGGATGAATCATGTGCAGAAGTTTCTTCAAACAAGCCAAAAGTGACCTCTGCTTGTAGATAATTTCCAGCATGGTGTATTCAGTAAGATGCTGCACTTAATTCCAGTATCCTCTACTTGAGACTGTAAATGGGGGTTTGATTCCTATCTCTATCCACTTTTCTTGGAGGACTTATATTGTCAGAGCTGACAGAATCATCATGTCATCTGTAAAAATACTTTGCATACAAAAAACATGTATGCAACACCCTGTTGTGTGTGAGAAATCTTGAATCAGGATCAGTGCCTTTTCTCTTAGAAACAATAGCTATTGTCTGAAGATTCTGCTGTCTGGCTAGGAAAATAAGAGAGTTTTTGAAGGAAGACTTTGCTTATGGAAAACTCCAAAAGAAATATTTGGAAGAAATTATGATGCTTAATATTTTTAGCAAAATTAAGTGCACTTTTTTCATTCCATAACATAAAAAATACTTTCAATTTAATGTACTTAAAAGCAATTATTACTTAATCCCAAATTTGTTGCTATGAGGTCTGAACAAGAGCAGTTAATCATTTGAATTGGAACAGTAATTGAATGAAAACGCCATTGAACATCATAGTACGTACCAACTATCCCTATTTCCATGTTAAAATTATTTATGCTAGGTTTATTGAGCCCAAAAAGATTTGAGCCACTGATTCATAAGGTCAAACAGAACCTATCAGCTGTGAATTGTGATACTGTAATTTGTCAAAACTGAAACATTTTTGATTTGAAATTACTTATAAGTGGCAAGCTCCAGTTGGGCTATGTTTGACTTTAAATTGTTACTTTCAGTTGATTAACCTGTGCTAAATTTGCTTGGGTGAGATCTTTGTAAAAAGTAGTAGTCATAAATGGGAAGTATTCTGTTTTGCAGTCTTAAGTGGCATTCCTGATTGTTCCCAGTGGCCCTGGTGTAGTGGGGCTGATATTCCACCCCAATATATCAGCTTTTTAACACTCTTGAAGTACCAGTTTTCTGAGGCCAATGAGATATTTAAAATAGCTACTTATAGCCACCTGTCCACTGCTTCTAGGTAAAACCATAGCCAAGGCTTACAGAAGAAGAGATCTTTCTGAGCTGTTTCTTCAGATCTGGAGCTGGCTGTGATGCACAATAAAACTGCAGACTATGATGTGGCAGCTCAGTCTTCAAGTCATTTTAGCCCAGTGGTTCTCAACCTTTTTAATGCCGCGACCCCCAACTGGTCGTAAGTCAAGGACTAATCAACCGATTGTAAGTCGAGGACTACTTAACTGGTGCAGCACCGTTTGCAGACTGGGACTTTGGGCGGGCTCAGCAGGGCAGAGACAGCCTGGAGAATTTCTATTGGCTTTTGAAAGCCAATAGAATTAGACTCTATTCAAGAGAGTCTATTCTATTGGCTTTCAAAAGCCAATAGAATAAAAGGGAGTAGCAGAGTTAAGGAAAAGGGGGAAAAATGGCGGACTGCATTGTTTGGCGACCCCCGTGAAATGGTCATTCGACCCCAAATGGGGTCCCGACCCACAGGTTGAGAACCACTGTTTTAACCAAAGGCCAAAAGGATTTTGTTACAGTACAGTATCAGTAGCTTCATTACCTTCCACAGTTCTTCTACATCCTACCTCCCAACTATCATCTACATCAAGAGACATTTTTAACTACACACTTGTATAATTATATTTAGATACTGAATATTTGAGGTTTTTTTTTAAGAGGCTATCAAGAAACCTGACCCTTTTACTAGGTGGATAAATAGGTCTTGCAACAGAGCAGACTCAGGTTAACCTAATGACAAATACTCTTCTGGAATAATTTATGCAAGTATGTATGCCGGACCTTTCTTTTCAGTTGTCTAGAGAAGTGCAAAAGGTCTTTTTTTTAACCTTTAAATTGTGTTTTTCTAAGTTTAGTGCCAAAACACAAGTCCTACAGATATTTGATATAGTAATTTTTTTCTGGAATAACTGGAATTGGGTTTTCACATGGAATTTACTACTGGCTTAATCCTTCTTCCCAGATGTGTTTTGGTTGCACTTAAAATGTATAAGCGGTTTGGTAAATAGGGTGTCCTCTGTCTTACAGGAACTTTTTCATTTGATTCAGTCTGAATTAGCAGATTTATGTTCTGTATAATAAAATTATTTTTTTTCCTTTAAAGACTTAAATGAGCTAAGTATCTTTCTGATATATATTATTTGAAATGTCTTATTTTTGATGGCAAAATATCAGGAACAGACCATGGGTTCAGATACAGTGGCAGCTTCTGCATTTTAATATATCTGTCTTTGGATGAGTCAAAAGACTGAGGGCAAAAGAGCTTACACATTGCTCATCCTTAATAATTTTAGCTTTCTGTTATTCCTGAATGCTGCCACTAAACCTTAGAGTTTGAAATATACACTAAAACAAAGCCAAAGAAACATTGTTGTCTTAGGACTATGTTATAGTGCTAGGTAGTGCTTTTTTTGTTAAAAAAAAAAAAAAAAGGTGTCGGAACTCATGCACAGCTCTGGCTCCAGTTGAAAGCCTTTTACAGAGCCAGGGGGAGGGAGAAAAAACCGCTTTAGGGAGCTACTGAGACACAGATCACTCACCTAGAAAACGTCTGTCTCCTCTCTGCCGCTACTACTACTGCTCTGATCTGAGGCTAGGGGATGCGTCCACAGCTCCCTGCGGCCCAATCCAGGCTCCGAAGGCCTGGAAAAGACTTCTGCTGCCCGGATCTATGGCCGCTGAGTGATTTTGTGGCCTCCCCCATGGCCCGATCTGGATTCCGGTGGCCTTTTCTAAGCCTCTGGAGCCCAGATTCATGGCCGCAGAGTGATCAGGCCACGCGGGGCCCGCAAAATCACTCCACGGCCATAGATCTAGGCTCTGGAGGTTTGGAAAAGGTCTCTGGAGCCCAGATCGGGCCACCGGGGGGGGGGCACAAAATCGGTCCGCGGCCATAATTCTGGGCTCCAGTGGTCTTTTCCAGACCTCCAGAACATGGATCCATGGCTGCACAGTGGGCTGTGTGGGGCTTGCAAAATCGCTCCGCAGCCATGGATCCAGGCTCTGGAGGCTTGGAAAAGGCCTCTGGAGCCCGGATCGAGCCATGGGGGGGGGCACAAAATCACTCCATGGCCATAGTTCTGGGCTCCAGTGGTCTTTTCCAGGCCTCTGGAGCCCGGACCAGGCTGCAGGGGGACGCAAAATTGCTCTGCAGCCATGGATCTGGGCTCTGCAAGCTTGGAAAAGGCCTTTGGAGCCTGGATCAGGATGCAGGGGGGCTACAAAATCACTCCGCGGCCATAGATCCGGGCTCTGGAGGTCTTTTCCAGGCCTCTGGAACCTGGATCGGGCTGCAAAATCGCTCTGCAGCCATAGATCTGGGCTCTGGAGATTTTTTCTATGCTTCCAGAGCCCAGATTGGGCCATGCAGGGGGCGCAAAATTGCTCCGCAGTCATGGATCCAGGATCCAGGGACTTGAAAAAGGCCTCCGGGGCCCGGATTGGCTGTGGGGGGGCATGAAATTGCTCTTCAGCCACACCTGTACTTGCACTGGCAGCTTAAAAGGAACCCGTTCTTATGTTCAAAAAATGTATGTTCTATGAGAAAAAAAAACCCCTGGTGCTAGGCTACTTCAGACTTGATCTGCATTAGGAAAGTGTATCTGAATATGAGAGCCTTTAGTTCATTAGGAATTTAAATTATTATATTTAACAAAGTGTGAGAGATGTAAAGTTAAAAGAAGTTAACTAGCTAGACTGATAACTTTCAATTGTAATTACATAAATTTAATGACAAAATCCAAACACTGTTTTTTTAAGAGATCGGTCTATTAAAATTTTTACTTTTTCTTTTTAAACTCAGAACAAAAAGACCAGCAATCTAGGTGTATTAGGCAAGATGGGTGGCATATAAGTCCAATAAACAAGACTTTTAAAATATTCCATACCTGCAGCATGCACCTCCGACCCTGAGGGTAGTAAATTGATGCTAAACAAAATGCACTATTCCAGGTGAATTTAGCTAGAAAAGGTGAATACTGTATTTAGAAACTGCATATACCTAGAAGGAAAAAAGGCAGAGACTCTGGAGACAAGCCATTACAGCGTGAAGAAATAATTTCTTTTATGATCCACCCACATTCGCGGATGAGTTACAATGGATTCCTTGTAATACAGTCGCAGGAATGAATTGTAGGACACGACGCTACATCGTTAATAAACGCACAAACGATAATAATACAGCTTAACTGTTTAAAAGACTTATTGGTAGAAACCCATTTAGACCACGCAGGACTACTCGCTGTCCTACGGCATGCGCTTTTGCGCTTTGCAGTTGCCAAGTCGCTTTTTGCTGCAGATTCCTTCAGTCCCTTGACCTGCTCCCATTCTACTCTATGCCTGCTTTGTCCCCAAGATGAGCTCCACCAAAAAAAGATACTCAAAGGTAGGTGCTTAACGTAATCTCTGCGGCTGGAATTGGAGCGGCACACTTTGGTCCGCCAACGGGACGACTGCCACGACCGTCATTCGCCCGGGCAGCCGGGGTGAAAAAGGGCCCGTGCGGCCCGCTCAGAGGCGGAGCCTGGCTTACGGAAGTGAAGAGCAACCCGGAAACGTTGCCGCGGCCCAGGCTCAGTTGTTGTGGTTGGGGTTGTTCGCACCGTCGTCGCTCGGGCCCTCGGGCAAGTGCCCGTCGTTTCTGAGGAGAAGCTGCCGAGGCCAGGCTGTCGCCATCATGCACGACGCCTTCGAGCCGGTGCTGATCTTGGAAAAACTGCCGCTGCAGATCGACTGCTTGGCGGCTTGGGGTGAGTGCAGGGCGCCACTCCGGATTCGCCCCCCACTCCGCCCTTGTCTCCTCTCATATTTCAGTGACATTGGGGTCGGGTCACAACCACAAGCTCTTATAATACCGGGGTTCGTTTTCTACTGCCTCCCCCCCTTCCCTCCTACCGCCACGTTGAACGAAATAATTAAACATATGTCCCAGTAAGTGCTAAATCTTGTCAGTTTCCTCGCTCGTTGATAGATGGTGCTGGGAAAACTTGAGCGCTTTGCCTTTTGTGAATTTTTTTAAACGTGACTCTCACGTGAGTCATGAGAAGTTAAAACTGCGTGTCTGTCCCAGCCAGGCTAGGCCGATGTTGGTCTAGAAAGAAAGAAGTAAGCTCAAATGCAAACATCCCAGGGGCTGGGATGATTTTCGGTTTCTGTTTCGCAGGGTTGCTGTTATGGGGGTTCAATAGAGAAGTGTCCATGTTATCTCATTGGGGAGAAAAGCGGCATTCACATTTAATAAATCAATATGAATGCTGGAATGCTTGTGTGTTTTATGGTTTTTCTACACTTATTTTAATAAAGTGTAATGGGGTATGCAACTTGTAGTTTGTATTTTCTTCCTCTCTGGGAATAGTGAAATTCCCAGAAATTACACATTTCAAATATTGTACTGTATAACATTCTCAAATGCTTTCCAATACTCAAAAAAACCCTATAATGTTTGATTATAAAAAACCCACATTAAAGTTCATTTATAGAGCCATGAAGAGGTTTGTCATATTTAGTTCTAGAATAAGGTTCTGCACAGGCTTTCCTGGGAATAAAGGCAATTTGACTTGGTAATATGGGTAGGATTGCCTTGTAAATTTGGCTTTAGAAAATATATGTTTACTTGAAAATTATTTTTATTGAAATATTTGTAAAACTGAATTTCTTAGGAAAAAATAGAATATTACTGGTGCAAACTAAATGTTTTCTCATTTGTAGAAGAATGGCTCCTAGTTGGGACTAAACAAGGACATCTTCTACTTTACAGAATTCGAAAAGAAACTGGTAAGTTTGTAATGATTTACTATACTTTCGCATATTAACCAAATAATAACAGCTAAGGATAGTTGAGAGCCATCTGTTACTTCATTGTTTTTTAGGGCAGATTCATACAAGATAGGCCCTGTACGTAGCTAGACAGAATATATGCCAACAACCAGAAACTTGTTTTAGCATTACGCTGGCTGGTTTATGTATAGTGCTAATTTATGTTTTTTTGTTTAGATTTAGTGTGTTACATGAACTCCACCATTTTGCTTTGCAAGTTGTGTGAATCCTTCCAGTTAAAGCTTATTTGAGAAATAAATTTAATATTATTTATAATCCAATCGCTGTGGATAAAACTTAATAAAGAATTTGACTTGACTTGAAATATCCTATGGTAGAGGACAGGAAGACCTGGAAGAATGTTGTCCATGGGGTCGCGATGGGTCGGACACGACTTCGCAATTAACAACAACAACAACAAATGTTCCTTGTAGCATGTTTAATTCCATGCAAAATTTCATTATATTTTAGAATTAGGTGAAACATATTTTAAATAGCCAATCAGATTCATACTTGATTCCTTTGCCTTGAAACTAGTTTGTAAAATATGAAATTAGAATAGAAATATGTATGAGTTACAGTTGTTAAAAAATTCTCTCCCTTAAATCAACATTCGAACTAGTTGAAATCAACTCATTCGAACTAGTTGAATTAGATCTTCATTATATGATCATGGCTGATTTGGGTCATTATATGATCATGGCTGATTTGGGTCAGCCCTGTCCCATATAAATCTCACAAACGTGGGAATCCCCTCATCACAGTAACATTCTTATCACATAGACTATAAATGTTATCTTGTAAAAAGTAACTTTTAACGTCTGTCCATTAGTCTGAAAAGATTGCAGAATTATGTCTCAATTTCTGGGACTCCCTGAATTCACAGAAAAAAAGGTTGTCTTGAAATGAAAATTAATAGTGGAATCTTCCTAAAATTGGATAGTCAGTAGTGATTTTTTGATAACTGGATATGCTGTAATGTGCAGAACAATTTTTTTTTGCAATCTTCAAATGAAGTTGTGAGACTTGCACCTCCTCTAATCTCAGTTCAAAAGTTTATATGACATTATTCCTTAACTGATAAATGCAGATTGATTATTTAGTTATAATATATCTTATCTAAATCCATATATTGTTTGATAGGTTGCAATAGGTTTGAAGTCATATTAGAAAAATCAAACAAGAACTTCTCCAAGAAAATACAGCAGGTAGGTGTGGCAAATTCAGATTCAACTAAAATTGTTAATTTCTGTGAAACCTCGGCTTCATTTTAATAGGTTGGTGGGATTGGAAATGGGTGGACAATTGATTCTGGCTTCTAGAATATTTTAATTATTTTCATATTTGATTTACATTATTGTTATGGGTGATAAATGTGTTCATGATTGCTGTCCCATAATAAGAAATATGTTTATTCTCCATCCACATTGATAAATATTTTGGAAGATAAGATTAAGCTCTCATTTATTTGAGTTATTAAGTAAAAAGGAAAATGGTAAGTATTCATTTTGGAAGAAAAGGGAGTTAGCATTTCTTTATTTTTAAAATGTGTGGTGACTTGTCAAAACATGCCTGTCGTATCACTTTAAATTTCATTGGAATATACTATATTCAAGTTGCAACAAAACAGTAGAAATAAAAAAATGGCAAAAATGTCCAAAATGAGAACAGAATATCATCTTAAACACTTTGGAAAAAAGCACCAGCTCTTTATTTTGGAATATGACTTTTAAAAAAATTAAAAATAGTGCTATTAAAATGGAATGGAAGAAACTCATGTTATCTTTGTACCATGTGTAATTCAGGAAGTTAATGTATTACCTTTATTACCATTATTAGTTTTCATTAACCAACTGCGATTGGGACCAGCAATTCAATTCCTAAGTGATGTGGTTATAATACTGTTCCCAACTTATAATATCAGTTCATTCAGACATTTATAAATTGTATATGGTATGTATTATTATGGAATTTAAATATTTTTCTAGTTAGTGTAATTGTTAAATCATACAATTATGTTTGTTATGGGGCATAAAAAACCCTGTTAATAGAGGGTTACAAATTAGTTTATTTCATCAGATATTCTATAATTTTCACTGAAGCGTTACCTTACTGGAGATGAGGATCTGCTTATAAATCAATTGCATTTTATAGTCCTTTGGGGCAAATTAACTTTGAACAAACTTAAAGTTTATTTACAAGATTTTTATTTTTAACAGATCTATGTTGTTTCCCAGTTCAAAATTTTGGTCAGCCTATTAGGTAAGTGAAATAATTGTTCAGATTAAATTTTGTTTTGAAACAAGGCATGGCAGCCATTACAAGACTACGGGACTTCTTTGCTAAATCTTGAATTTATTTCTGAGTTGGCAATGCGTGAATTTGTTCTGTTAACCTGAATTTCAGTGTTTTGCTTTACTTCTGATCTTAATTCTTATTTTAATTTTTTTAAGGCCACATTAATTTTTAAAAAACACTTTATGTTTTGTTATCTTCTTTAACCATTATTTAAGTTTACAAATTTTACATTGTCTATTACTCTTACTATGGAGATTCTTTGAGACTCAGAATCATTGCAGAATCAACAAACTGGAGATATTTGTAAATTTCCCATTTTATTTGAAAATAAAATAATGCTTGCGGCATTATTCATTATGAGAAAGTTGTAGAGATTTCAGTAGCAGCATGTGTATAGCTTAATTTAAGCAGTAATTTATGTTTTTTGTCCCAAACAGAAAACAACATTTATGTTCACGATCTGTTGACTTTTCAACAGATTACAACAGTTTCTAAGGCAAAAGGTGCCACTCTCTTTACTTGTGATCTGAAGGTACGTAATGAAAAGAGGATCCAGGCTTGCGTTCTTTTTTTTAATACTTTATTAATTTTTAACAATTACAATCTTTAGTGCTTAGTAAACAACGTGTTGTCTAGGTTCACATATTTAACATTAACTACTTCAGTATCAATTAGTTCAATACTGCACAATCCAGTGTTTTTTCCTCCTTTTTTCCCGGTTTTCATTTTTCCAACACTATGCAAATATATTTCTTGTTACTATTAATACATACAAAATTGAATATAAACATCCTCATCATATTTTCTAGTATTATACAGATAACAATAATATCAGTTTATAACCTTTTTTCTAACCAATTTATATTTAAAATGTATTTGCAATTAAAATCTCTTTATTAAATTAATATCCTGTTTTTCATGTTCTTATTTAAGTTTAATTTTCCATCAGTATTTGGAGTATCTTTGTCAGTTATAGTTTTCTCAAGATTAGTTACAGTTATATAGCTAAGAGTTTCATTTATAGAAGCCATCTTCGTATTTTCATATTTCCCATATCAAAAAAGAGGTGCTATTTTAGTTATAAATCATATCTTATTATAAAAATCTAATTATATCTAAGGGTTATCCATTTTTAAAATCATATTCAAACAAATATTTAAACATATAATGTTCCCTCTGGTAAGACAAAGCTTCTGTTTTTTAAGTCTAATTCTAGCTTTCTTCCTTTGCCAAATAGCTTTCCAGGCCACGGCAATTAAATCGCCAAAGACTTTTTCTCTATTTTTGTGAAAGTTGCTTGGAATGAGAAAGGCAATTTATGTAAGGTATTTTTGAGGGGGAATTCCGCCCATTGCTTGCCTTGAACATTTGGTGTGTTAGATTAATGTTCATTATTACCTGATGAATATTCAGGGTGGGTGGGGGAGATGCGATCATTCACTACTTCTGAAAATCACATTTTAAAGATCGTACTTAAAATACAGTCACTTACTGACTGCAATTGGAACCAGCAGTTCTGTTGGGTCTACTGAGAAATGGGTTTTATTACAGCCTGTTTTTAGGGAGGGAAAAAGCCAATCAAGGAAAGAATGACAATAAGGCCTGCTCAGGTCCATTAGAAACAAGTCAAAAACATGAGATTGCATAGACAGTGGAGTTACATAATACACTAATGAGGCTTGTTTATTTGTAGCACAAATTGAGGGAATGCAACCATAGTAATTTGCAAACCACAGTTTACTGCTTAGCATACTGCAGGACAGCTATTATGGTTTACTCAATAAGCCATATTTAAGAAAACAATGGTGTAACATTGTGTGTGAGCAGAGTTTAATATTGTGTTTTCCAGCTTTGATACTTAAAGAGAAATTTCTTTTTACAGCACTCTGATACTGGAGAAGAGGTCCTAAGAATGTGTGTGGCAGTGAGAAAGAAGTTACAACTGTTTTATTGGAAGGACCGAAAATTCCATGAGCTGCAGGTCCAGTATTATTTATTATTTCTATTTATCAAATTTAGGTACTGTTCATCACACTCTCATTAGCATTCTGTCATTCATGTTAAAGTATAGGTTTTGGTTCAAAAGTGTCATTGATTTGAAAGTGTCATTGATTTTCTATTCAAAAAACATTTTCAAAAATAATTTGAGTGATTTAGTTCTTAAACCCAATTTAACAGTTACTTAGCTTCTCTTTCAGAGTTTATTTGGTGAAGTATAACATTGATTAAGAAAGAACTAAAAACAAAGATAGAATTCTACAAAACTCAGGGAGATGATGATAATAATAGTTGGAAGGGACCTTGGAGGTCATCTAGTCTAACCTCCTGCTCAAGCAGGAAACCCTATACCATTTCAGACAAATGGCTGTCCAGTCTCTTCTTAAAAACTTCCAGTGTTGGAGCATTCACATATATATTGATGATGTCAGGTTTTTTTAATAAAAGAAATAGCAGTGCTTAAAATAGCTTTTTAAAAAATTAAGATCTTATGATCTGTCTTTAATTTTAAACTATAGAATATAATGGAGCAAAAATTAATTTTAAAGGTACGTTGCTGGTGGTTGTCATCATAGTTTCTATGAATCATGGGCTATGGCCATGTTAAACATATACTTCTCAAGATATTTAAAAACACTGGATTTTCAGCAGAAGGAAACAGTTTTACAGAGAAATAGGATTTGGGTTTCAAGGACTTGGGAAATGTCCATTTATCTCTCCTTACTAACATTCCCCAAATTTAGGAAACTTTTTTTTTCTGGGCCAAGGCACAATGTTTAATATCTGGGCAATACTATTGAGAAGATATTTTAAAATCCCATTTGAGAAATGTATTTGCTTGGTTGGAACTGGAGATGTTGAAAAACCCCCAACTGTATTATTTTACCAACTGTAGGAAGGTTCATAACATCTATAATATGCCTCTTTTACATTGGTCCTTCGGTATCCTGACCATACTTATATATCCATCCTTGTTTGTAAATAATTTGTATTTCAGACCATAGCAAAATACTGCTCAGCAGCCATGAAAATCAAGCATCAATTACTGACAGTTCTAACATGCTTTTTATATCAATATGTCAATTGCCTGTATTACTTCGCTTTTTCTTGTTTTTAATTGTTTTCAAAGGTACCATTTATCCCTGATCTTTAGAGTAGTAAAGATTCATTCAGATGTCTTTAATTTTTTAATTTTTTCCTATGTTTTTTATTTTCTGGGAGTTCTTTTTCCTAGAATTAATTATGGAGATTGTGCTTAGGAACATCCTTTATATATATAGAGAGAAAATATCCAGCTTCCTTAATTGTACCTAATTAGATATTTTTTCTTCTTGATCTCCAGGGAGATTTCAGTGTGCCAGATGTACCTAAGTCGATGGCATGGTGCAAAGATTCAATCTGTGTTGGTTTCAAAAGGGATTATTATCTAATAAAGGTAAAAAGAAATAATTTAGACTAAGATGGAAAATACTGATTTTTCTGGATACTGTATGCAGGAGAAATGAATGATTGGAGCATGAATTATGAATTCACAGTTCCTGTACTAAATGTGACTACATAGAGTGAGCTTTCTTAGAAAATAGGCACTTTATTATGCTATACATTTACTATGACATCAGTGGTAGAAGTTGACTGTTGTTTGGGAAATCTTTAAACAATTTGGCTGTGCTTTGATGAAATAAGCTTTGATGAATACCAGACAGTGGAACAGCTCTTTAATAATAATGAGGAGTAATTTGGTAATGTCTTTTTTAATGATATGACCAGTTTTTTTTTATTAATTCACAGGTAGATGGGAAGGGATCAATTAAGGAACTATTCCCTACAGGAAAGCAGCTTGAGCCATTAGTAGTCCCATTAGCAGATGGAAAAGTTGTTGTAGGCCAAGATGATCTAACTGTTGTGTTGAATGAAGAAGGAGTCTGTACACAGAAATGTGCCTTCAACTGGACAGATATCCCAATAGCCATGGGTAAGAATAAGTAAAATTAAAAATTCTTAGCTCTAAAGAGAAAATGTGTTACACACAGAAAATATAATACACCTTGATTTTTAAATGAATAATGACATTTGACTACATGAGATGATAGTTATCTTTCTGTTGTATTGATAAAATGCCAGTTTATAGATAGATAGTGTTTATCTGTAATCCAGGTTTGTGAGTCCAGAGCAGCTTTGTTTTCCCTACTGTTTGAATAATAATTTTCTTTGCTCAAATTTTAATTTATTACTATATAAAAACCAACAATTTGTAGATAGTAATAAATTTTGGCATGTATTCTCATTCTTTAAACAACAGTCATCATATTACAATTTTGTGAATATCTACCCAAAGTGAAATATTAAAGGAACCCATGGATAAGGGATCCATCAGCATTGATATCAGCTTTTTTTTTTTGTATATTTGAGGAATCTGGTAAATATAGAAAATAAACACTTGTTGAATTATTTTTTTCTTAAATTCATAGAAATTATATTTAATATTTTAAATATACTTTATAATTCTACTAACTAAAATGCATTCTGGTAATGGTAATTCAGGAGGTTTATTTGAAGCCAATGCATCCAGGCCAAACAAGTATAGGAGATGTTTAATTGAGTATACTGTCATCCCATATTTTACACATCTTAAATGCATCCTGTAATAAATCAGTTGGCTTTGTGATAAGCCGATTTGACGTATTAATGACATTAATGATTCATGCCTTTCAAGAAAAAGAAAGGTTTACCAGCTCTTTTAAAATCTGTATTTTCCCAGAGTAAATGTTAGTTTTGTGAATAATAAAGGTGGAATTTTATCAACATCTTCTAAAGTTTCCTTGTGGACTTTAATGCTGCATAGAATTGTGTTTAAAAGTAGAGCCAAGCTACTTCAGCAAGGTTGCATAATACATTTTTAGTTAGGATCATAATGGACTGTTGAGTATGAATTCTGTGGAACTACTTAATGGTTGATAAATGACATTCCACTTACAATAGCCCTTATGTAAAGAATGCTAAATCAGTACCACATATTAATCCAATTGAGAAAAAATTGAGAAAAGTCCATGCTTTGGCAAAATTTTCTTTCAAGAATTTCTAATGTAACATGTCCAAAGGTTTCTCTATATCAGGGGTCTTCAAAATTGGCCTTTTAATGACTTGTGGACGTCAACTCCCAGAATTCCTCAGCTAGGCACGCTGGCTGAGGAATTCTGGGAGTTGAAATCCATAAGTCATAAAAGGGCCAAGTTTGAAGACGCCTGCTCTATATCCTATTAATCTGCTGATTACAGGATTTCTGAATGTATAGCCAAAGATAACCAGTTAGTAAGCTAACAATATCAGGTATTTAACAACCTATAATAAATCAGACTGTGCAGCCTGAATAATTAAATAATTTTTCATTTGTTGTGTGGTTTGATGGTTAATAAATTAGGTGAGAATTGGAGACTCAGATTTTAGTTTAGCCTCGGCCATGGATATTCATGGGGTGACTATGGACCTGTCACTCCTTTTGTCCCATTCTATTCCACAGAGTTGTTGTGGGGAAAAAGAGGAGGAATGAGGGGAATGGCTAATCCCTTAAGTTCTAGGAGGAAAGACAACGTATAATTCTATTAAATAAATATTGTAATTGGTATACCAGAAACCCAGTGACATTAGCAGTCTCTTTTGAATCCAAGAACTACAATGGTTTGAGTTGAGGTTATGTTGTTTTCATAAAGAACAATAGTGTTAGAAAGAGAAATGATTACAAAGCCAAGGGGCATAAAGGAAGGAATAAAACATTTGCTACTCTTGCATAGAAAGTTGTTTAGGTCTGTAGGCTGTTGCCGACTATTTCGTTTCCATAATAGAACATCAGACTCCATACGTGATTGCAGTATTGCCAAGATATGTAGAGATTCGTACATTTGAGCCCCGTCTCCTGGTTCAGAGTATTGAACTGCAGCGGCCACGCTTCATTACTTCTGGAGGGTAGGAAAGTTTTAATTAATCCACTTCGTTCCTGTTTGCATATAAAATATTGTTGAACTATTTTAGAGTTGTTGAGCAAAGGGGTGAGCCCTTTAGTTTTATTAAGGTACATTGCTAACTGTATCTTTTTCCTTATTTTAGTCCTAATATTGTATATGTGGCCAGCAATCATTTTGTTTGGCGCCTCATTCCAGTTTCCATTGCAACCCAGATCCAGCAACTCCTCCAAGATAAACAGTTTGAATTGGCTTTGCAATTGGCGGTAAGTGAAAGGTTAAATATATTTTCAGCCTATAGTTGGGGTCCTGTGTCATACTAAACCATAGTGAGGTATCAGTTATATTTGGTTTAGTATGATGTGTGAACCTAGCTAACTGTGTTTTAAATAACTAACTGGGACCCACAAAGCCATAAATTAGTATGTTGACAGAAGTTGAGTGACTCTGTGACAAATAATTACATTTATAAGCTGCTATCTAGTAAAAGTGGTTTTTCAAGACTAAATTATTTGATAATTAGGCATATGATGAGTAAATGCAGACTATAATGCTTATCCTCTAAACCTGTAAAATTGGTTTAATTTTTATGAAGATGTTGTTCTTTAAAGTCATTGTGTCAACAGGTTGATTATAACAAGCTTTGGTTGTAACATACTGGAGATGAACAAATCAGGGATTACTTCATTAAATAAGAAAGTGTTACATTTTGGGAACAAATCACAATATGAAGCTTGCTTTGAAGTCTATAACCATAGTCTTTAAATTTGGAACAAAATTAAAATAAAATAATTTGGTGGAAGATTTAATTAGTTTGTCTTCTTATGCAAAGTAAGCAACTCGTGTGGGATAAAAAATGTTTATTAATCTGATTGTTCTTACCTATGAAGAGGGCTACAAAAACACTTAAATGATAGTTAATACCGGTATCTCTTGTTTGCGAGAATCAATCATGAGCTCTTCTTTATGCCAAAAGTACATAACTTTTTGGAAATAACAGTATCACTTGCCTTACATTGATTTAAATCATGTTAATATTATTGCTCCTCATGTATTTCATATTTTTTCTCCTGTCACATTAGTTTATAGCTTAGCAGTAATGTTGGGAAGGGTTTGGAGAGCTGTCTTCAAGGCTTTGGAATGTAGTTATATGCAATTCGGGGACTGGAGATTGCATACTAAGAACAGTAACTAAGTTATGTCACTGTTTCATCCATTTGCTGCAGTTTTATTTTTGAATGCACTGGTTTTCTGTACTTCTTATTTAAGTCTTCTATATATTACTCAGATATTTATTATGGTCTCTGTTCATGGACTACAAATGTGACAATGAAGTTAAAATACTCAAGAAATGTACTTGTGTTCTTGTTCTTGAATAGCATAACTGAGATAGAAATATATTTCCTGGCTTGCATGAACAATTTTTCCCACAAGTATATTCAATTATATTTTTTCATTATCAAGGATCAATTTCCTTAAGAGCCAGTATGCTATTTCTAAAGGTTTGCCTTTTTAATTCTTTATTCATTGTTTTTCTTTTTACTTCAGAGTTTATGGTGAATAAAGTATTTTTTTTTTTGCTTTTATTTAAACTTGTTAGGATATGAAAGATGATTCTGACAATGAAAAACAACAACAGATTCATCATATTAAGAATCTTTATGCCTTCAACCTGTTCTGCCAAAAGCGCTTTGATGAATCAATGCAAGTCTTTGCTAAACTTGGGACAGGTAGATTTTCATGTTTTAACTACTATGTTTATATTGCCTACAATTTTGATATGCATTCTCTCAACCCCCTCACTCAAGTTATTAATTAAAATGTTGAAGAACACAAAACTCATGATTAAACTTATTGAAATTCACTTGATATTTCTTTCCAGTTTAATGGACACTATGATTTTCAAGCCAGCTATGTATCTATTCATGTCGTTGAATCCATAATATTTTACTACTGATACATATCTTAGTCAATTTAGTTTCTTTATGGTAAAAGAAAGTTAAAGAGATAAGTACTGTGAATTTAAATTTAAATTTGTTACATTTTGCATTTATGTTGAAAATATTTTGACCTACCACACATGTGGTTTTTTTCCCCCAGATCCTACTCATGTGATAGGTCTCTACCCTGAACTGTTGCCCAGTGATTACAAAAAACAGCTCCAGTATCCAAATGCAGTGCCAAGTCTCTCTGCAGCAGAGCTGGAGAAAGCACACCTAGCACTTATAGACTACCTAACTCACGTAAGCATTTAACTTTTTATTGTGCTTTCCAAATGGCTCCTTATGTTGGAGACCACTTCTGGATTTGTTTAACAAGTATAGAATGTCATGTTCTTGTTTTAGTTAGTGGATTTAAGGGAGGGCAAGTTAATGATCTGCTGGTTAAGTTAGAGCTTTGATATGAGATGTCATCGTGTTAAGAAAATGAAATTGCAGCTTCTCTGAATGAGGAACTTTCACTGTCTTGTTCTATATCAGACATGTCAAACTCGCAACATCACGTGACATCGCACAACGTATTGGCACTGTTTTGCCATTGCCGGCAGTGGGGTGGGTGCGGCTTCCACGTGATGCGTCCAGCTTGCAGGCCAGCAGTTTGACACCCCTGCTCTATATAGTGCAGAAGTGAGTCCCTGTCTCGAGAAGCTTGCAGACAAGATTTTGGCCATATGTAGAGAGAAGAGAGTCAAGTGTAACAAAACAATGGAAAAAGAAGACAGAGAGATCTGAGTAATAAGAATTAAAGAGTACAGAAAAACTAGAAGAATGAGGCTTCATTGGTTTTTATCTGCAGTAATGTGGGCAGGGTGAAGCCTTACTTTATTTCCTCTTTACAGAAAAGAAGTCAATTAGTGAAGAAGTTGTATGATTCTGACCATCAGTCCACTACATCTCCCCTCATGGAGGGAACCCCTACCATAAAATCCAAAAAGAAATTGATACAGATAATTGACACTACCCTGTTGAAATGTTTCCTCCATGTGAGTACTCTTCATCTTTTGAACTGGAAATTCAGAGCAGAAGTGAAGTGTAAATTTATAGTGAAATACCAATTGGGTTTTAGAAAGATCTTACATACAGGCAAATATGGAGGAAGGAGACTGCTTTAGAAATGTCTTTCTTTTTTAGTTAATTCCAAACAAATATTTTGTCTTTAGGGGAAATTCTAAAACAAAACATGGTCAAATATTGTTTGCATTAAAGTGCTGATGGGGTTCCAGGTCTAATATTGAACTAAAAAAATCTTCTTCTTCTCCCTGATGGAATTGATACTAAAAATCATTTTAAAGTACAATCTGGAGGAGAGTGAAGAGTCTCATGAAATCTAATGGACAGTTCCCTTAAAATAATTAAAATCAGAAAATACATTTAATTGTGCTAAAACATTGTTCAGATCATTAATACATATATCTAGCTTTGCTTTTTAAATTAGTAATTTTATTAAAAATTAAAATGACAATGATAAAATTAATACAAACTAAAAACAAAAATAAAGAGATGCAAATAAAAACTATAGAAAAAAATATAAAAAGAAAGGAAAAAATAAGAATACAGTAAAGAAAAAGAAAAATATATAAAGAAATGACTTCCTCTTCATCACAATTATAACCCATTTTACTAATTTATCACTGTCTCTTAAAATACAAAGAATCTTTTTTCTCATATTCCATCTCTTATTTATAAACAACTTCTTAATAATCTTGTCATGTTACACCTGATCACAAAAGTCCATTGAGGGTTACCAGAGTTAACAACATAAATACTTTAACCTTGATCAAATAAACCAACTTCATATCACTCCTTTGTAGTTTTAATAGTTTTGATATTTAGTTTCTTCAAATTATGCCCTAAAAATTTCTTTTCATTTTTTTCTTTGTCCATTTTCATAAAATTCTTCAAAGCATAAACAAGCTTCTTGTAAATCTAATATAGAAAGACTATCCATGCTTGTCTCTTGATTTGTTATTTGTATATCATTTTAATTATTAAGAAATCAGCCAGGTTCTTTTGTATGTGCAATATAGCATCTTTTCCATAACAGTTTTGTAGCTTGTCATTTTAAAATTCATTTTCACATCAGTCTTGACCTTGTCTGGTAAAACTTGTTCCTCTTCCATAACGTCTTTTAAACACAGTCTGTCTATAGAGGCAGACACTCTTTAAAATTAAATTCTGAGTCTGTTATTCAAAAATATCATTCAATATGTCAAATATTGTACTATTTTGTATATTTGTATTCTGTATAGTAAGTCAAATTTAGGTGTTCTCCACCTTTAAATATAATCTTTATTTCCTTTAGTTCGCTCTAGTTTTCAACCTTTAAAGTCCCATCTTAACAATTTTTAAAATAATTCAAAACAAAAGTATTTTCCCACAGGAAAGTTTCTTATAATATTGCAGTCTCTTCAAAGGGAACACCTGTACGGAGCACTTGTGGATGATCTCATGTCTTATCGGGAGAGTAATTACAAAGAGCCAATCTATTTCTTTTAACAGAGGAGTCTTCAGTTTGACCCTTTTTCCCTGGAAGTCCTCATTAGCTTTAGTTGTGAAGTCAAGAGGATTTGCTACCTTCATTCCTAGTGAAAATAACTATTATATGCCTTGCAACTTTTAAGTTGCATAAGTTAATAGGCAAGAGGACATTGTAGGTTTGTGATAGTACCTTAATGTTATTGAAACTGCATATAGTAGAATTTTTAGAAGGGAGAAGGGTAAATTGCCATTCAATTTCTATTAATAGGCTAATCTCATTAATTGCAAAATAGTTTCATTATCTCATTTCCTTGATTCACATTTCATTTTGATTATGCGTATTTGTTTCTGATTCCGTTAAATTGCTTCTTATTACAGACAAATGTAGCCTTAGTGGCACCATTATTGAGACTGGAGAATAATCATTGCCATATTGAGGAAAGTGAGCACGTGCTCAAGAAAGCTCACAAATACAGTGAATTAATCATACTATATGAAAAGAAAGGTCTCCATGAAAAGGGTAAGTACTGAGAGAGGGAAGAAGGGGTTTCCATGTCACTTTAAGCTATTCATTTTTGGTAGTATAATGTACGATGGGCAATTTTTTCAAATGAGGGAGCTAGCAAGTGAGATCAGTATTTTTTGATGGGAAAGGGCTGTAGAGATTGCAGTGTGATATTCATGCTGGGCTACATAGTTTATAGTACAGCATTCTTAGATTTATCACCAGAGTGAAAATGACATCTGGCATGCATATTTATGTTCAGATGTTGTAAATGGCCCTCAAAGCAGCCATGTTGAACCTTGAAAAGGATTCCACACTATAATGCTTTGAACAGCAAGTTTGGAAGGATACGTCACAGAATAGTCCTCCAAGTAGTTTTGCACAATCCTACTGTTTAACTTTAAAGATAATGAAATAGAGTTCTGTTTTGCCGAAGCCTTGCAGGTGCTAGTGGATCAGTCCAAGAAAGCTAATTCTCCTTTGAAGGGCCATGAAAGAACTGTTCAGTATTTACAACATTTAGGTGAGTAAAGTCAATTTAATTTCTTTGTAGTTGGTGTTGTGGTATATTGTATTATATATCCAGAAAGATGGTTAATAGTTATCATAAAAACAAACAAAAATGTAAGGATTAGATTTATTCCCATCATAACAATGTTTACATTTACTTTCTAAAATAAGAAATTAGATTGAGAAGTTAATGTTTACATGAACATGAGTTTCAGTGTGGAAAAAAGCAAAATTTACAAGCAAAGGTACAAATACAGATTAGGTGAGATCTGGCATAAAAACAGTAACTGTGAGAGGGACCTTGGAGTCCTAGTGGACGATCACTTAACCATGAGCCAGCAATGTGCAGCAGCAGCCAAAAAAGCTAATACAATCCTGGGTTGTATAAACAGAGGCATTGAATCAAGATCACGCGAGGTATTAGTACCGCTTTATAAAACCCTAGTAAGACCACACCTGGAATACTGCAGCCAATTTTGGTGACCATATCACAAAAAAGATGTTGAGAGTTTGGAAAAAATCCAGAGAAGAGCAATTGAGATGATTAAAGGCCTGGAAACTAAAACATATGAACGGCTGCAGGACTTGGGTTTGGTTAGTCTAAAGAAAAGAAATAGGGGAGGCATGATAGCAGTATTTCAGTACTTGAGGGGCTGCCACAAAGGAGTCACGTTATTCACCAAAGCATCAGAGGGCAGGACGAGAAACAATGGTTGGAAACTGAACAAAGAGAGAAGCAACCTAGAATTAAGGAGAAACTTCCTGATGGTGAGGACAATTAATCAGTGGAACAGTTTGCCTTCAGAAATCATGGGTGCTCCATATAAATCGTGGGTGGCTATATAAAGCAATTAAAATAAATAGATCCAGTTTCTTCCAAAGAGAGAAATGCAGTGCTTCAAATGCCCTGGAGAGTCTAGTGTGGAAGCAAAGAAATCAATAAGCTGGAAACTGGACTATTTCTGTCTCTTACCAAACATAGTTGCTGTCACAACAGAGGGCTCCTTTTTAATTCCCAAAATCAGTATCTGTTGAACTATACATTTTGTCTGGAACAGCCCTTCTTCACCAGCACATCTGAGAAAACAAAGATGGTGTTTTAATTATTAAAATGCCTGCTTGTTCTGGCAGTCAACCAAAGCTCCAGAGGGTAGGACAAGAAACAATGGTTGGAAACTGGTCAAAGAGAGAAGCAACCTGGAAATAAGGAGAAACTTCCTGGCAGTGGGAACAGCTTGCCCCCAGAAATCATAGGCGTTCCACCACTGGAGATTTTCAAGAAGAAGCCAGACAGTCACTTGTCTGAGATGGTATAGGTTCTTCTGCTTGAGCGGGGGGCTGGACTAGAAGACCTCCAATGTCCCTTCCAGCTCTATTCTATTCAAAGAATAGCATTTCCCCCCCTCAAAAATGTAAGTGAACTTTTTCCTAAAAAATGTCCACCCAGCTCCAACGACCAACCATCAAACTCAGAGAGCTCCAAGGATGCCACAAAAGTATGTTTGGCAGGAGTTTTTATAGCATCTCCAGAAATGGTGGTGATAATCATGGTATGTGTAGCAGTAAGAAAGCTGTGACCTAAAAATCAGGAGTGGAGGGGAGAATATAAAACTCCCTTGGATCTGGCAGAGTTTGTATGCTCTGGGTCCTTTCAGTTAAGCAACGCCATCTTTCCAGGCCCTAGAAACGCACCTTCTCTGTCATGCAAATATACTGCCAAAAAAAGGCCTTGAGCTTCAAAGAGACCCTGCTTTGATGAACTTGCTAATATAGGAGGGCTGGATAGTTCCTTTCTCAATTCTGAAGATTCCATACTCTAACAGCTAAATTTTGATGCTAAAGTTAATGAAAGAAAGTATCTGTGAATCTTGCTTTCTTGATCGTCCTCTGCAGTTAAGAAGCTTGCTGGTGTGTGTATATGTTCCCCCCCCTCTTTAAAAAAAGATGCGTTAAAAAAGTGTGTCTAGTCACTTGCACCATATTCTATCATTGTGATATCTTTGTAGTTATTTAATTTGACTTCTTTGTTTTGTACTGTAGGAACAGAGAACTTGAATTTAATATTTTCCTATTCGGTTTGGGTACTTAGGGATTTCCCAGAAGATGGATTAAAAGTAAGTATACTTGGATACGTTTAAAAACAGAGAGGAGAAAGGGCTCTCTTCACTGACCATTGTGATAGTAAAGCAAATAGTCTTAGGCAGGTTGCAGCCAGTTTGACTAATATTCCTAAAGCTATTAAATAGGTTAAGGATTACTTGTAATTATTATGACTATATACTCCACATGGGGATTACTATGAATAACAATTTATCCTTGAAGATAAATTATAAATGATATTGTAAACTGTCTAATAAGAATGAAACATCTGTTCAGTAGGCGGTACAATTTCAACTCTGTAGCATCTAATTGTCTGAGCTCATTCAGAATATTTGCAGAATTAATCTCAGGTTTTAACAGAATGACTTACTTTTCTATATATACTAAATTTGGATTACATTATTGACAATAAAAAGAAACTAAAGAACTATATAAAAAGTCTCAAGACTTTTTCAAGTAGAAAGGTCACTTGTAATTTGGGGACAAGATGGATTTTGTTTAAAACAAATGCTTTGTGTTCCAATATGCTAATTTCCCATTCTTTTATATTAAAATTATTTATTAAAGCAATTTTGATAGAGATTTTAACAGAGCTAAAAATGTGATGGTGGATATACTGTTACCTCCAGGCTCTATATTAAGGCCCTAAGATTATAAATAATAGTCAACTCCATAATAGCAAATCAGGTTTTAATAAGAAACACAAAGCAAATGATGGATTGATTGGAAAAATATTGATTAGTCTTTGTGAGGGTTAAAGAAAACTTAATTGTATATATTTGATCAGAGGGTATTGTATATTTCTTTTATTTGTTACTACTTCTGGTTCTAGAAGCTCAAGGTGGCTTAAATAACATTCCCTCCTTCCTGTTTTTGCCTAGCTTAACAGTCCCGTGGGGCAGGTTGAGTTGAAAGATAGTGACTGCCCCAGAGTCACCCAGTGAACTTTCAGGGTTAGGGTAAGCTAACGTAGCATCCCAAGTCTTATCCCAGTATGGTAGCTCTTATAATGGTCTTATTATTTGAACTTTAATAAAATCAGAATAAGTATGCAAATATCAGCTTTGGCAATTCAACCATTTGTTTGGCAGATATTTACAGAAGATCTTCCTGAGGTAGAATCCCTCCCGCGAAAAAGGATTCTGAACTTCTTATTAGAGAATTTTAAAAACCTCGCTATTCCTTACTTGGTAAGAACTAAAGTAATAATCTACTTTTTAAAATCTCATACTTTATTTCTCATACTATCTAAATTATTTACAAAAGAAGTAATTTTAGTCATCTTTTTTAAATTGAAAAATAGTTTGTAATAGTTAATTAAGGAAATATATAGTCATTTTGAATTCTGATAATTAAATTTTGAAATATTACAAAATTCTAGAGATACATAGCATTTATTTATTTTATTTATTTATGAGACTTATATACCGCTTTAAGTGCAAGCACTCTCTAAGCGGGGTACACCAGTAAGCAATGTATTATATATATTTACATTGCCCCCAACAATCTGGGTCCTCATTTTACCTACCCCGGAAGGATGGAAGGCTGAGTCAACCTTGAAGCATTAACTTTTATATTTGGGATATGTACATATATTTCCAGGAGCATGTAATTGATATCTGGACAGAGTCTGGTGCAGAGTTTCACAATTGTCTGATTCAGCTCTACTGTGAGAAAGTCCAAGCCCTAATGAAGGAATATCTCACTTCTTTCCCTCCAGGTATTTTCACCCATTATTTATATTATTATGCATATCCAGAAGCAAGAGTAGAGTTGCAGGGATTGTTGCAGAGGGGAGCCCCAAGAATTATTCTGCAGTTTACGGGAAGCATTGTTTGGGTTGCTCACTTAAATAAGAGAACATTTTTGGGAGATCTACAGAAACATTAACTTTATATTGATCATTTTCAGTCAAGGAAGAAAAATGTTTATGTGCCTTTTAGTAGAATATTACAGAGAGCCAAACATAAAGAACAACAGTAAGACATCATTCTTTTCTGATAGATGAAACACCAGTGCCAGCTGGAGAGGAAGATGGGGAGCTTGGAGAGTATCGGAAAAAACTTCTTTGCTTTCTCGAGAGTTCCAGTTATTACAATGCTGAGCAACTCATCAGTGACTTCCCCTTTGATGGTAAGTAGTAATCGCCATGCTGTGCAACATTTACAGTATTTCAGGGAATTTTTTTTAGTGTTTAACTAAGAGAATTCCCATGTATGTCTTTATCAGCCTGTTATTTAAGAGCTGTTCTATAAAAAACCGTAGGCTTTGGTCTGCATTGACAACAGAAAAGTCCCTGCAATCTTTGATTAAAAACCATATATGAAAAATGGCTCTATGGGGGATCACATTGGTGTGCAATAGAATAAACCAATGAATTTGTGTGTTGGAAATACATAGAATTGTCTGTCTGTCTAGCTAGCTAGCTAGCTATCATTTATATTATATTTTTTAATCCATGTTAGCCATGTTAGTTAGATTTGTCAGGTGGGCAACACTTGACAAAATTGATTTCAGGCACTAAAATAATGTAACTAGACATGTCTGTAAAATAATACTTTTCTGATCTATGATTGTAATAAAATATTTTGATTTAGTCAGTAGTCACTCCTGAACTTATATAAGCCTAGAAAAAGACAGGGTGGTTTTTAAAGATTTGAAGAGTGGTGTTTTGCAGAGCACCTCTTGAATGATTTGCACAGTCCCATAATTTAAACGGCAATGCATATTTAATTCCAACCACACCCACTGGTTCTTTCCTTCTTTCTTCTTTACCACTATACATATTCTTATAGACTGCTTTATAAATTTTATTGCCACTGAGTGCTACTTTTCTCCTCCTGCCCTTAGGTCTCCTAGAAGAACGCGCACTGCTCTTGGGACGGATGGGAAATCACGAGCAAGCTCTATTTATATATGTTCACATCCTGAAGGACACCAAGATAGCTGAAACGTACAAGCGCACTTTGTAATCTTTGAAACCGATAACCATCAACCTCTTGGCAATTATTATTAGTCCATCTTATTTTCAACTACATAGCCTCTCCACTTTATTGTTGATGCAAAACTAAATTTAAAGTTTATGTAACCACAACATATAATAATAGTTTCAGTGTCACTGTAATGAACAAGAATGTTTTGGTAATTTGGCAGTTTACTCCAACATAGTCTAGATCAGGGCGTTTCAACCTTTTCACCGATTGTACCACTTTTAGGATATGGCAGTATTTGAGTACCACCAGTCACCTAGCAAGGTGTCAAAAACTCGATGACCAAAAAAAAAAGAGGAAAAAAGTGATAAAGTACAGGTAGTCCTCGACTTACAACAGTTTGCTTAGTGACTTTTGAAGTTAAACGGCACTGAAAAAAGTGACTTATGACCATTTTTCACACTTATGACCATTGCAGCATCCCCAGGGTCACGTGATTTACATTTGGATGCTTGGCAACGGATTCATATTTACGATGCTCATAGTGTCCCAGGGTTATGTGATCCCCTTTAGCTCTCCTTGGCCAGGTTGCTCATGGTGGGGGCAGGAGGGCAAAGTGTGGGCCAGAGGGAGGCCCACTCCCTCTCCACAAGAGGAGACACGGCTTTGTAACCAAGGCATCCTCAATGATAGGATGGGAGGCCACCAGAATAGGCCAGGAGGAGGGGGCAAGGGGATGGCGAAAGGGCAGAAGGGCTGCTGTTGGCCAAGTGCTAAGGGAGAACTTTCCTCAGACTCTCCTTCCCTCTCATTCCAATTTCCTTCCTTCCTTCCTTCCTTCCTTCCTTCCTTCCTTCCTTCCTTCCTTCCTTCCTTCCTTCCTTCCTTCCTTCCTTCCTTCCTCCCTCCCTCCCTCCCTCCCTCCCTCCCTCCCTCCCTCCCTCCCTTTCTCATTCCCATCTTCCTTCTCTTTTCCCTCTCTGCTTCTCTCACAAAAAGCCTCTTCTCTCTTTCTCATGCACATTGTTGTTGTTGTTAATTGCGAAGTCGTGTCCGACCCGTCGCGACCCCATGGACAATCTCATGCACATATATCTCTCCAAATCCTTCCCTTTCTCATGCACACAAACCTCCCCAAAATCCTTTCCTCTCTTTCTCACTGCTTCTCTGACAAAAGCCCTTTCTCTTCTGACTCTTTCTCCGGAGTCTTTTTTTCTCTCCTCCCTCCCCTGCCAAAATTGCCTCCTTTTATATCTTTTCCTGTCTCTGGCCCCTCCTCCTTTTCTCTTCCTGGTGAGCCAGAAGTGCGGATCTTGGGGGCCTTTGTCTCGCCCCAGCAGCCTTGCAGCTCCTGAGGACTCTGTCACGGCAAGTCCTGCGCTGCGCCGCTTTGGCGCTTTGGCTCGTTCCCTGCCCCACTAGACTTGGCTAGGCGGGGCAGTGTTGTGTACCACCTGCCAGGTGCCAATGAACCACCGGTTGAAAAGCCCTGGTCTAGAAAGATTACAATTTGCATACAGTTTCAAAGAAGTGTAGCCAACTTCTGTGGTTTTGCTATCAATTTTTGTTGACACAAATTTGAAAGGGATTCCATGCAAGAAAGAATTATAGATAGATTCAAGTTAAAGTCTGAAATCATTGTTCAAGATTTCTGAAGACTTTAAAGAGAGTCAGTTGTGAGGCATGTCCACAACCTTTAAGAGATTTTGAACTTGTTTCTTTTGAAATCATGTTGGAACTTATAAGTCTTTGGTAAAATACATTCAGCAGAACTTACCAAATTTCTAATTTTATAAAATTAAATATTCTCCAATAACTTTTGTTTCTTCCAGAATAATCAGACATGTCCAGTGTTTTTGCCAAATGAGAAATCTGTTTGAATATCTTTAGCATTTGCTATCAACTGATTTATTAAAATTCAAAATATATAGTTCATAATATGCTGGGCTTCTATTCAGGTTTTGCACTGACTTTCTTGTTGATGTTGTTTTCAGTTATTGTCACAAACACTATGACCGAAACAAGGATGGCAGTACAGATGTGAGTAACTTGTTTTTCAACATTTTAAAGTTAATGCCCTGTGTTTAGCAAACACACTCTGACATTTACTACATAATTAGATGCAGATAATAGAAATGTTCTATTAAAAATAATAAATAGCCAGTGTGGGAATGGGGAGGAAGTAAGATCAGTACAAAATGAGAATGAATCTTTAAACCATTGTCCTTCCTACAGTACTAATTATAATAGCGCTAACTACTTTCCCACTTGTTATTGGGGAAGGAAGTAAAGTATTTGATCTATTGACATGTGATTTTGTTGGAATAAATTTGCAGATTGAGACTGAACTCACATTTGAAAGGCCATTATGCAACAATTAGGTAAAAGTAGTGAAATAGTGGAATGCTTAATTTAATTTGGCAAATCAGAGAATATAATTTTTCATTGGATTAAAAAGTTGCTCAAATGCTATAAAGAACAAAATAATGGATTGTTATTATTTGGTTAGCTGCTTTTTTATATTGGTATTTAAGGTCAAATCTAGAAGCCAGTGTAGTTTATAAGATCAATGTTACATATCCCAGGCTATCTCTGTAAGTTCCTAGCAACTATGTTCTGCATTAACATTCTTCATAAACAGTTCCATGTAGAATGTTAGGCCATAGTTATTTTCCTCCTCAGTTCTGTTTTGGCAGAACTATCTCAGTCTACTGAATGAAACCACTGGTTTCACACACTTTAAGCTAGGAGTGCTTATGGCTATATGGAACCAATTAGCATCCATTTTACAGCCGACAGAGTGGTAGCTGAAATTGTCAAACTTTTTTTTCATTCTGGCAGTTTGGGACAGATATATTTCTTTTCAGTGTTCATATACCAGCAGCTCATGAGGATGGTTTATCTTGTGTTACCTAAAATCATATTTTCACCCTATACTCTAGCTCCAGTTTTTATGCAAATGTATAGAATTACAGCTAGAATAGGTTTCCCTCTGTTGGAGAAAAACATACAGCAAGTTGTTTTGGAGGTTTTTTAAAAAAACAACAACAACACAGTGGTTTGTTCTGTGTGAAACAGGTATACTTGTCTCTGCTCCGAATGTATCTTTCACCACCGAGCGTTCATTGCTTGGGACCAATCAAGATGGAACTCTTAGAGCCCCAAGCCAATCTTCAAGCTGCATTGCAGGTTTTGGAACTTCATCACAGCAAATTGGACACTACTAAAGTAAGGTTTTCTTAACTGCTTTTTTAGATGGAAAGCATTTAAATTGTAGTGCTGCATAAAAAGAACGCTGTTCTAGTTGAAATGCTTACTCTCCATCTACAAGCACTCTCAAAGAGTGAAGGAGATTATGAAACATTCATTCTATTATCTCCAATCTATGGACATATGTAAGTTGAGACTGGAGATTTGTCCTATATTCATGAGCCTGCTTAGTATTAGTGTAAAATAAAATGGCAAGTATATAGTTTAAAAATTGGAACCATATTTTATTTGTTTGTTTGCAGAGTCTTTAGTGCGCTCCGAGCTTGGTTGTTTGCTTGCAGATGTTTCATTACTCAACTAAATAACATAATCAATGTGATGATGTTGTTACCTAGTTATATATTCTTTTATTTATATGCATATTTCTATCTTATCTTTGATTCTGGAAGAACTTCAACTGATGTGATTTCTTCTTCCATTATCTTTTTATTGTATTTCTAGGCAATAAATCTCCTTCCGGCCAATACTCAAATTAGTGAGATCCGAATATTCTTGGAAAAAGTCCTTGAAGAAAATGCCCAAAAGAAACGATTCAATCAGATACTTAAAAAGCTTCTCCACGCTGAATTCCTGCGAGTATGTGTCAGATTTTTTAAATTGATAACTTCTTGTTTCAGAGATCCCATATTCCCATACTAGTTAAAGGACCATATCTGTTTCTTTTTTTCTCAAATACTTTTGAAGGAATTATTCTTTTCTAAAATTATTCTTATTTTGCCAAAGGTGCAGGAAGAACGGATTTTACATCAGCAGGTGAAATGCATAATCACAGAAGAAAAAGTTTGTGGTGTGTGTAAAAAGAAGATTGGAAATAGGTGTGTGAAATTACTATTAAGAATTTAGAAGAAATTGGTTTCCTTATATGTAGTTTCATAACTGATCTTGTAAAATGTTAGTCTTTCTCACTTGGACGCGATATAGGATATACAGTAAGCCTTTTAAATTTAGTCACATATGAAAAATGTCATTTAAGAGAATGACTTAATAGCCTTAGATTTTATATCCTCTTTAAATGATGTTGATCCTTTAATGTTGAAATATATTTTATTTAAATAATTCTTTTCAAGATCTTATGGTTGCAAATCTCTATTTCTTATTTTATATCAGGAACATGCTTCCAATATGTTCAGATTTACAACCAAGTCATAAACAGGTGCTTATTCCAAGAAGTTTTTTGTAGATTACGCTATTAAAATGTTGTTGTATGAATCAGTTCCTTAATAAGCAGTACAGCTAGATTACATTCTCTGTTTATTCCCACATCCTGTTCTCATGTTCTATGGTAAAAGCTAAAGGCTCCTTCAGATCAATCTCATCTTCTGGTAACTTCTGGACATGTTCAGATAGAAATTTTGAGGCAACACTACAGAGCTGGTTTGCTGTTGGTTTCTGGGATGTTTTTTCAACTGGTGGTCTTCCCTCAAAATATTAACAAAGCACAACTTCGATTGGTTTTGGAGACCAGGCAGATCAGTCACATGCTACAATCTGTTTAGGCCATTATTATATAACTTAACATTTTTACTTTCAAAAAGGGTGCTAGTTTCACCACCATATTCTTTATTATTGGGCCGTTTATACATGGTAGGGTTTGCCTTCCTTCTGTGCCTTATAGACTGCAATTTTCATCTTGTGTTCAGTTTTTTTAAATCTGATTGTCCAGTTAGAAATCACTCTTATATCTTTCCATATTACCTTGTAGAGAGTCCTTCACAACTTTATAGCTTCTCACTTTGTGCATAATTTTATGAAATTGGCTATATTTGTCTGGGATACAAACTTTCTTCCAAATAGCTTTATAATGAAAAAGTAAAGCTGTTATTTGCAACAAAAGAAGGAAAGCACTATTGTACATAGTGCTTTTCATAAACACAAAGGGACAAACAAAGACACTGGAGTAAGGCATTTAAAATTTCAACAAAAGAGATATTATTGCAGATATACCCTTTGAAAAAAATTGATTTATGTAAGAAGTATCCATCATACATATGTAAAAATACAAGTCAAATTAGTGCTGTTTTATAAGGAGCATCAGAAATAATTAGCATAAAATATTGTATTTAAACTGATACACTGTTTTCTTTTCTGCTTATAGTGCCTTTGCCCGGTTCCCAAATGCAGTTGTTGTGCATTATTTCTGCTCCAAAGATGTTGGCTCAATGGATACCTGAAAGCATTGCCACGCATTACATGAACTCAGTGGTTATGATGGTCATATGGAAAGAGAAAGAACGTTTGATAAACAGTTTGATTTCTCTAAAGAATTTTCAGAGGCATGTTGCTTGCAAACAGCTTGAGCCCTCCATTGCTTTACTGGATGATTTCTAATTTGCCCAGTGTGGACTGAACAACAACAACAACAAAAAAAACCAGGTTTAAACTATAGTTAGATACACTTAGCGGCAGATTAACCTCATAGTTCTTCAGCTTGAGGAAGAATGCAAACTAAAAATTTAATGGGTTGCTGTTACCCTCCAGATTTATTGGAATTCCTATTCAAGGAAAAGTAATGCTGAACATTAATGATAGGAGCAAATAGCTCCTCATTCAAATCCAAGATGAGAAAAAATCTTATAATTTATCAGTGTTGTATTAAAATCTACTTTCATCAGCCATGTGGAGGCAGGTACTACCAAAAAGGCTGTACTTAGATTTTCTTTCCTTCTAATATTGGAAATAAGTAGGTACTGATAAGCAAATTTTGTATCTGAAGAGATGATCAGCAGTAATAGTTCCAAAGGAACTAATCTCATACAATATGATCAGAATTGGTATTTTTTAGTTTAGTTTTTTGAAAATACAAATGAGCTTACTATTTGCACTGTGTTTTGTCACTGACCTTATGAGCATAATGAAAATGGCAACAGTTTTTGAAGGAAAACTAGCACTTGCACTTTTACAGAAAAGAGAAAATAAGTGATCTTTTGAGATTTTAAAGAGGGCATGTTTTCATATTTCTGGAACATCTGATCTCTGTTTAAAAACAACATTGTACTGAAATGTTTAAGCCTTTTGTGCACTTCCCCCTTCAGGTAGAGCAGATGCTTATTTAATGTCAGTATTTTGAGTTTTTTATACTTGTTCGGATTGGTGCTCTTTAGTTCAGGGGTTCTCAATCTTGGCAACTTTAAGACTTGTGGACTTCAACTCCCAGAATTCCTCAGCCAACAAAGCTGGCTGAGGAATTCTGGGAGTTGAAGTCCACAAGTCTTAAAGTTGCCAAGGTTGAGAACCTCTGCTTTAGTTGCTTGATGTACGTAAATCACTTTTTGTGTTGGAAGAAACTGCTTACTGTTAACATACTGGAATTTAAATCTTTGTTGTGAAGGGGATAAGGATGTGAGTATTCACATAAAAATAAACCCAGAAGCATTAGTTCATTAGCTAAATGAGAAATTACTTCAACTTAGTTTGGTGTTGTTATTTTACTTTATTGTATTTTGTAAATTTGACAATGCAATTGAGGCATATGATCTATTTACTGATCTGGCCTAAAATGTAAAGATGGCCCAAAAAAGGGTGGTTAAGATTTTCTTTTTATAATGTTTGTTATGCTTGTAGTGCTTGTTATGGTTAGAAATGAATGAGGATAAATTTAGTACATAATACACTGCAAAAACAGCTTGGTGTTTTGTAATATTTATTTTCCTGATAACCTTTATTATATTTCCAATGGAGTTTATTCCAGAGAGCATATCTCTTTCTGATTATGTGCAGTTAATTGCATATTGCTGCTGGTTTTATGATTCATTCCTTTGTAAATTTAAGTACCATTTTCAACTGGTGTGTGTATGGAACAAAGTAATTCTCTTCTTCACATGGAAGAAATACAGTGCTATTGGATTTTGCACATTTATTCTCCAAAATCTTTATAAAGTAGGGCAGATAACTCTTTTTGGAGATTAAATGAAATATAACAGACAAAGGACAATTATTGCAAAACAAATTATGAGTCTTGCTGACCATTCTGACACACTTTAAATTGTGTTTGCTGCCAAGAAAATAGTGAGCCACTGTGGCTTCTGGTAAGTATTTTGCTTTTCCTTCACATCAAAGTTTTTATGTGCCTTGGTTCAGATTCCTGTATCTTTTGGAGGAGATGTTGCTTGTGTTTTTATTGCCTGCCGGTAACCTTGTATAAGAATATGGGACTCACCCATTGTACAGTGGGCTTCTTTAAAGCAATAAAGTATAACATTTTGAGGAATTGGCACTGCAATCTGTTTTTCCCTGAATTTCCTTTTTGAAATCAGTGGTGTGTATAAGTACTGTCCAAGAGTTTAGTGTGAAATAAATATCGTACTGACAATGAAATTCTAAAAGGAGTCATCAGATCAGGACTACATCCCCTCCTAGTGGCTTCGTTCATTCAAACAACTTGGTTGTCAAGTAAATGGTTGCTAACTGAATGTGTGATTGTGTGTGTGTGTGTGTGTGTGTGTGAGAGAGAGAGAGAGAGAGAGAGAGAGAGAGAGAAACACTGTGAACATCATTGTGCTTTATTCTGTTAAAGTTCTCCTATATGCTGCCCTATTCCTGACATGTTTCTCTCATTCTCTTTTTTTGCCCTTTTGCAAGGCAGAGAGATTAGTTAAACAAACTGTCTCTTCCTGAGCTGCTTTTCTTTAAGTGCAGCACTTAGCTAAAAAGTGCTTTCTGCAAGTTAACAAGCTCAGCTCTGCTTCCTTAATTAGTTATTAGAACCCTGAAATTTACGGGCCTGGCTGTAACTAGTTTCACATTGAAGGTTTTTATTGTCAGGCACATGAAATTTGATCCAATGCATTGTTTGGAAAACTTTTGTTATTGACATATTTGCAAATGATTGATCACCAAGGTACTGTAATTGCTAAATGAGAATCTTTGTCACAGTTTTTCAAATCTTAAATTGCTTTATGGGTTTATGAAGTTCAGTTTAAGTTTATTTGCCTTCATTTATGAAGTTCAGTTTAACTTGTAGATAAAGTTTTGTTCAAGCTGATCTCAACTCCTGATAGTGTCATTGAAATGTCTGGCCTTTTTTTTTTTTTTCTCTGCAGGAATACAGAAGTGGTTTGCCGCTGTCCTTTTGGGATAGTTTTCTCCTTCTCAGTCTAATTTATAGCCCTATAGCCTATAGCAAACTGAATATTGCTATACAGATAGGCATAAATAAAAGCTCTCCTTTCCAATCATTAACTAGACTCGATTCTGAACCCAGATAAGGATAGCTACAGTATTTCGTTTGTATCATCTTTACAGCATGGTTTTATTATCTTTTTAAAAAGATGTTGATCTTTGAAAATAAATCCTTAAAGAAACATTCCCTTTACATTTTTAAACTAGTTTTATCATAACATAAAAGAGAAGGAGAAAATAACATTCTAGGCAGCCTATTGATCTAGTGGATCTGGTAATTCAGGGGGAAATGAGCTGAGTTCTTCAGGCAAAATACTGTGATTTCATGTTCAGAGCATTTGATGTGCATAAATATAGTAAATCATTTCTCCCTGTACTATATATAATATTAAAAATATTAAAAAAATGAAGATCAGGCTCTGTTTTTAGAGACTGAGCATATGTTGAAAGTAAAATCAGTGAGCCATTGTGAGACTGCCAGGAAATACAAATCGGATCCTGCCTATTCTTACCTTGAAGTGAGCAAATGGGAGCTTTTCTTCACTTGAAAAGTGAGATCTCATTTTATTAATTACTTCGGTTCAGAATCACTTTATTTTCTTTCAGAGTTTTTTTTCCTCCTTTGGAATATGAGAAGCAACTCCGTTTCTACTTACAAATATATATATATATATATATATATATATATATATATATATATATATATATATATATATATATATGTAGGTCTATGGTTGTTCGGGTTTTCTCCCGCGTAAAATTGGAAGTGTCTTGGCGACGTTTCGACGAAGTCCCATTCGTCATCTTCAGGCTGGTGTTACAGCTTCTTGCTTTGAGCAGCAATGTGTGGTCTTAGCTCAAAGCAAGAAGCTGTAAACACCAGCCTGAAGATGACGAATGTGACTTCGTCGAAACGTCGCCATGACACTTCCAATTTTACGCGGGAGAAAACCCGAACAACCAAAGACCTACATACAAATACCCGCGAAAACCTCAGAAAACACACACACACACACACACACACACACATATATATATTTGGACAATATATATATATATATATATATATATATATATATATATATATATATATATATATTTAAAAAACAGCTGATTTAAGTTTCTCAGTCACTTCCCTAAGCTTAGGATATGCTGACAAAGAGAGGTAGAAGTAGTCTTCAAGTAATGTATGGCTCATTTAGTGACCATTTAAAGTTATGACTGCATTGAAATAGATGAGTTAAGATGAGTCCTCTCAATGGGAATGCATGTGGGCAAAGGGTTTAAAATTGACATTAAATTTTAACTTAATTTTTTTTATAAAATGATGTACCGTTGGTATTTAACACCTGATAACTTTTCAGAGAGGTATAATGTATGCTGGAAATGTAAAAGGGCCATTCTACCATTTTTGGTGGACTTGTGTTAAAGCAAAGATATACTGGGGTGAGATTCATATTTTAATACAGAAGATTCTTAAAATGAATATACAAATAAAACCAGAGACTTTTCTTCTAGGCTTAATGGACAAAGAACTTGAAAAAAATGGAACCTTGTTTTGTTATACATGTGGATAGCACTAATAACGCTTTATGTTTAAAAATGGAAAGATACATTAATTTCTACAGTGGAAGAGTGGTTGGAAAAACTGATGGAACTAGTAAAGATGATCAAATTAATATTTTTAATAAAAGAAAAGAATAAATCTAATTTTGTTTCTATTTGGAAACCACTTCTAAATTTTGTGCTTGAGATAGAAAAAAATGAAACTTCGACTTTGGGATTTACATATTAGACAAGATATTTTGTTATAGAAATGGTTAATAGATACTGAATATGCAAAGTAAAAAGTTGAAGCCACAATGTTATTATGACCATAATAACATTGTAGTTACTGCTTCCCTCCGCCCTCATTTTACATTTCTCTTTCCCCTTTTCTCTCCCATTTTTTCGCTATTTTCATTTTCATTTGTATTTTATACTGGGATACAGTTAATAAAATATTTTTTAAAAAGACCGGTCCTCCCACTTATCACAGCATCCCTGCAGCCACGTGATCAAAATTTAAATCAATTCTTGATGTACGTCAGTATCCAAAATAGACACAATGTAATTGTTATGTGACCTTAACGTCTGTTAGTGGTTTAGCTGTTCCAGTTTTTTCTGTCTAGTTGAGAAATAGATGCTTAGAAAGTAGTGCAATAAATAGCAGAACAAACAATTTCTTTGCAATTAATGCTCTTGCTGAAATTATCTCACAGTTAAGACTAACTACTGAGTGGCTATATTTATACCAAAATAACAGTAACTTCAGAAGCTATAGACACCAGTGAAGAGTATCAAAACATTTTTTTTTTATTTCCTTGGTATGCTTTTAAATGACTTTTTTTCTCCCAATCTAACAGCTAATTGAAAACTGAAGTATGCTGTGCATTACATAGTAAATGTATTTTTGTGGTTTACAAAAACAATATTAATATGTTCACATTACATACTTTTAGATTAATACATCATGCTGAGCCATGGGTTTTTTTGTGTTTAGTTTTGATTATCTTGTGTGAACTCAGCCATTGTGGTTTAAATAAAGCTTTATAATTTACTGAATTATGGTAACCCAGCCAATTGTATTTTGTTCAATAACCTAATTAGCAAATTATGATTTAATATAGTATGGGAACCCAGGCACTATTGACTTATCTGATCTCTAAAATTAATTGTACCTATTATTTAAATATACATGTGAAATATAGAGTTCTACAAATATCTAGTCAGTTATAAGCAACATTTCATTATTTAAATGTAATTTAAATAATGAGGTAATGATTGCTTCAGTCAAATGTTAATTTTAAGCATAACAGAAGTAGGCCAATATAAGTGAACTTGTATAAATTCTTCAATGTAGTTGTTAAACTTTTCTTCTTCAGAATGTATTGACTAACTTGGAGGGTCCATCTTGTAATGCATTTGTTGTAACTTCATAGTTTTATCTAATGTTTAGCAATGCCATCCTGAAGTTATCCAATGATGTCATTGTTTCCTATAAGGTGGGGATTCATCATATTGCACTGACATGGTGCAAGAATTAATACGTACTTTTGTTCCTTTGTCACATGGGAAATTCTTGAGTGAGGTAACAGTATTGCCTTTTGAATTACTTTGTATCTGCATTACTTTGCATAGATTTTAGTTCTGAAATTATATGATGGTTGCAATGGGGCAAATATTTTTATGGATAAGGGACATAGTAATGTTCTTACTTGATTTAATGAGGAGGCAAAGTGTGAAAGTCAGGATTCAAAACAAATACATAGAACAGTTTGATAAGGAAAATAGAGAATGGCTTCTGTACAAAAACAAAGTCAGCTTTGTTTATCGGCTTCCCCATTGCATTTGTAAGGAAAAGATACACTTTTCATATTATTGTAATAGTGTAAAAATGAAATTGGATATACTTAAAAAATTAAAGTAACTTTTTGTAGTCTCTAGATGTTTACATAAAATCATTTTTATGTAAGCAGCAATTATTGCTGTTATTTAAAAAAATACAATTTGCTCCCCACCCTTGTTCTGGAACCAAGCCACCCAGAGTCACTTTGGGTGGTAAGATGGGCAGCATATAAATGAAATAAATAAATAAATAAGTTAAACCCTGATTAATCTTATTTCTGATGTTTGGATTTTGTTGACTAAATCACTAACATTTTATTTTGCACATTACGTATATTATGTTTTGTGTTGCTTTTGCTAGTTTAAAGTTTGTTTAACTACAGGTTTTTAAAATGTTTTGTAAACTACTCTGAAGAAAAAAACATAAGTAAAATAATATTTTTGAAGCAACAAAAATGAAGATAAAAAATGTTCCAGATCCAGAATAAAAACGCACTAAATATGTATAATTTATTAGAACGTTCTGGTTTTTTTTTCCTGTTTGATGATCATAAATCAGTGAAAACTTCTGGAGAAAATCTTCTCTAATTAGGTTTTGTTTGTTTTTTAATGGAAAAAGTATTTTATCTGATATTCAGAACATTTAAGGCTGTGAAGGCTTACATTGGCATTTGCAACTTAGTTTGCATGTTTATAAGATCACTGTTACATATTCCAAGCTATCCATGAAATCATAAACACTTCATAAGCAGTTCTGTTAGCATGATGATCATTTTTCTCAATTCCAAGTTGGCATGATTCCTTTATCTCATTTTATTGCATAAAACAATTAGGTTCTTGTATTTTAACCTAGTGACACCATTGGGTCACTTGTCTTTGATAATGGAAGATAGCAAATTTGATTTTAGAATAAAGAATAACATGACCCATTTCCAGAGAGCTTTGTTGAGACCTAGCACATAGATGATAACATTGTTTCTACTTAAGATAAAAATAAAAATTGAACTCTGATGTAAAGTACCTTAGAGAGCGTATTGAAATAGGCATGGGTGATTTACCAGGTTTAAGTGGCTGACGAAAGCTCTCTTAAACATTATTGTGCCAAATCACTTGTTGCCACAACCATGAGCTGAGAACCTTTCTTAACCTCAGCAACTTTTAAGAAGACGTGTGGATTTCAACTCTCAAGTTTTCCCCAGTCAGCCATGCTCTAGATATGTTCCTTTAGGAGGAATGCAATGACTTCAGAATAGGTTGAACTCCATTCCGGAGGTCCATTTACAGCACCTCCGTTTTTCTGGATTCAGCTGGCTCACCTTCATACAGCTCATTACTGAGTTGAAACACCAGCAGAAGGAATCGTCTTCTTCCAAGTTCTGTGGCTAGGAATAGTATATATGTGAGATAGGTGACCTGAATCCCTTGGTGTTTGAATTGTATCCAGTTATGAAATCAGGGAACTTCCCAAAAAATTGATTGCCAGTATCACTGAAGAAAGCACATTAAAAAAGTGCAGCAATAGAAAAATAGCTTTGAAAATGACTGACTCATGGTGTATAATATCCAGTTTCACCAGAATAATGTGAAACTGTATGCCCTTTTAAGGTTCACTGAAAAATCAGAGCAGTGAGTTCACTAAAGAGGTTATTACCAATCCCATCCCTTTAATGAATGGCTGACTGAATCCAATCGCTTTGGGTTTTAAACAGGAACCTGGGTTGGTCAGGATTCAGCCTGCTCATAGGACAGAAACAAATTGGTATGTAGCTGTGGAAAACCTCTGTTGGGGCCTAGATTGGGAAACTATGCCCCTCCTGGTCCTATTATACTATTTAATAGCTTTTGATACCATCAATCATGGTATCCTTTTGGACCGATTACAAGAGTTGAGAGTTTCAGCAGTAGTTCTTGCAGTAGCTCTATTTTTATCTGCATGGGATTCTAGCTGATACGGGGAAAGAGTGATTGAGTCCGTGATTGCTACACTGGAATAATTTAGAGCTTAAATATTTCCTTGTATTTAATATCTTTTTGAAAGCACTATGAAAGGTCTTATGTTGGCTTGGGGTGAGATAACATCAGTGTCTGATGATATTCAATTACACATCATCCCATGCTGGGCTGAAGATTCTTTGGGGACTGAACTGATAAGAGATTGGTTAGCAAGAAACAAACTCATCTGAAGTCTAAGCAAGATGGCTCATCCATAAATATTTTTGCACTCCAGAAATATCAGATCTGGTTTTTATTTAAGAAAAGGTCACACTCCCCCAGAAACAGCAGGTTTGTGTCACTATTTATTTCAGTTCTCAAATCCTTGCTACCGAATCTTCAAGTTTCAAAATTTGATAATAACAAATTGGATTATTAAAAACACAATAAAACGTATGTAATAAAAATCACACAACACAGTACCCACAAGAACAACCAATAATATAATAGCCAATGTTCCTTAAATAAGGTCTAAGTTAAGGTGGCCAATAAACACCTCCTTAAAGGAAACTAGTCCTTAAAAACCTCATTTTAGGTTTTAAGGACTAAGTTTTTAAGGACTAAGTGATCACAGAGAGGGATCAGTTTAATTTTTAGAAGGAAGTGAGTTTATAATATAAACACCATGACTGAGAAGCACCAGCCATCCCAATTGTCAGCCATTCCTCCCTTCAAAAAAGTGGGATACTATGAGCTGTTTTTCTTCGGAGAACTTTCTTGGATCAGATAAATCCCGTTGTTATAACCTGGACTTTACGAATAAAAATTATTTTGATTGCTTTTTGGAAACTTTAGTAAAAGCTAATGCAGGTCCTGCAATACAGGACCCATACAATATTATCATAAAGATTAGTATCAAATCAACAAGCAATTGCTATATTTTGAACCATTCCCAGATTCTGAGAGGTCTTTATCACATGATGATAAGATTATTAGTCACTACAGATAAATAACTTGGAGATTTTTTTGGACTCACTCCTGCTTGAATAGCAGATAGAAGCTGTGTTCAAGGGTACTTTGTCCAACTATGGCTGTAAGCAGGGCTTTTTTTTGTCATAGAATGCCCAGAACGGGGTTCCGGCACCTTTTTTAGATGGAACCTTGTAGGGTAGGCAAGGCGGGTTGTATGATGTGTGTGAGTTCCGGCATCCTTTTTTTTTTTAAACAATAAAAGCACTGACTGTAAGTAAATCAGGAAGGATCAGTGATGGCAGTTCATGCCTTGATCACCAAGATTGGGCTACTGCAACACGCTTTATAACGTGGTTGCCTTTAAGATGACTTGAATGTATCAACTGGTACAGAATTCATTAACCAGACCTCAAATCAGATTTCCAGGGGGCTACCAAGCCTAATTTAAAGGGCTACTTATCCCTTGTAACAGCCCATAGAATGTAGTGCCCAATATATCAAGGGCTGCCTCAAATTCCATTTTGTGAAAGGTAAAAGAATTTGGGCCAGAAGGCAGGTCTTCTCTAAGGTGGATCATTCTCAGATACACTTATCCAATTCAGTTCTGGTCTTCTGGAAGGCCCTGAAAACCATCCCAACAATGAATAATAACCAACCTTTTAATTACATTAATTCTATTTAGTTGTGTTTGTTTTAAATGAGGGTGTGAGAATGACGATTAATGCTGCGATTTATTGGTGGTGCATCGTACAACGTTCCATTCAGAATCTGTTGATCCAGGAAGTATGGAAAAATAAATAAATAAAGGCATTCTTATTTGTGTATGGGCATTCGTGCGTGTGCCTACCATAACATCGCGCAAACGCTGCAACGCTCCTGTCATCTTGAATTATTATCTCACGGCGCTCACGAACCCAAACTTCCGGGGAGGTGGCTGTTCTTCAGGAAAGGTGAAACACCGCCGCAACTAACTAAAGTTGCCCAAACTCTGGAAGAACAGGCTTTACCGAGAGGGAAAAAAGTGAAAGGGGCTTCCCGCCGCGCTCCTTTCTCCGTCTCTCCGCGCGCTTCCCCGCCGAAGTCGAGCGCACCAGCCCGAGCGGACCCGCACTTGCTCTGCTCGAAACCACGCTCCCCCTCCCTCCTGTCCGCGCCTGGAGTCCGGCCGCCAAGTGGAGCGAGTTAATCGCAGCTCCCGAAGACGGAGGCGACCCAAATCTCGTCATGTTCCGCCAAATGCTGTCGGGCCGGCTGCCGCCCCGAATGTTGCCCCTCGTGGCCGCAGCCCTCCTCGAAGGGAAGGAAAGGAAAGAAACTGGCTTCTATCACTGGCGGGTAATGTGGGCTGTGATGTGACGGGCAGCTTTTCCCAAGCAGAAGTCCGCACGGGCGTAAGAAGTTGGCGGCCCGTCAATCTTCTTCCTTGGTTCCCCCCCCCCTCACCGAAAGCCTTCATTTTTTTTTTTAATCGAAGGAAGCGCATAAAACTGAGGTAGACTGAGGGAAAGGCAATCAGCCTTTAGGTTTAGGTGCAAGCAAAGGTTTATGATGATGATGATGATGATGATGATGATGATGATGATGATGATGATGATGATGATGATGATGATCATTGCACAGTCAGCCAGATGTTCAGACTGGATTTGGCATTTTGTCTACCTATCGAGTCCTTACCCAGGACCTGGGATAGGCAGATGTGGATGTTTGATGGTATTACAGATATCGTCGCAGGATGGAAGCAGTTCCTAGTAAGGCCGCCTTTTGCAATTGACTAATAGCGAATTTGTCAATGCCAATGGTGTTCAAGTGGTGCTCCAGTTGTTTTGGGATTGCACCCAAGGAGCCTATGACTATTGGTACTACCCTTGCTTGCTTTTGCCACAGTCTTTCTATTTCTATTTGTAGGTCTTTGTATTTTGTTATCTTCTTTCTCTTCTATTCTGCTATCTCCAGGCACTGCCACGTCCACTATTCAGACTTTTTTGTCTTTCTTATCAACAATTGTTAAGTCTGGGGTGTTATGTTGCAGGTGCTTGTCTGTTTGAATTCTGAAGTCCCAGAGCAGTTTAATTTTATCATTTTCTATGACTTTCTCTATTTTATGATCCCACCAGTTTTTGCTTACAGGCAAATGATATTTTTTGCAGATCTTCCAATTTATTATTATTATTATTATTATTATTATTATTATTATTATTATTATTATTATCATTCATCGCACAGTCAGCCAGATGTTCAGCCTGGATTTGGCATTTTGTCTACCTATCGAGTCCTTACCCAGGACCTGGGATAGGCAGATGTGGATGTTTGATGGTATTACAGGTATCGTCGCAGGATGGAAGCAGTTCCTAATAAGGCCGCCTTTTGCAATTGACTAATAGCGAATTTGTCAATGCCAATGGTGTTCAAGTGGTGCTCCAGTTGTTTTGGGATTGCACCCAAGGAGCCTATGACTATTGGTACTACCCTTGCTTGCTTTTGCCACAGTCTTTCTATTTCTATTTGTAGGTCTTTGTATTTTGTTATCTTCTCCAGTTCTTTCTCTTCTATTCTGCTATCTCCAGGCACTGCCACGTCCACTATCCAGACTTTTTTGTCTTTCTTATCGACAATTGTTAAGTCTGGGGTGTTATGTTGCAGGTGCTTGTCTGTTTGAATTCTGAAGTCCCAGAGCAGTTTAATTTTATCATTTTCTATGACTTTCTCTATTTTATGATCCCACCAGTTTTTGCTTACAGGCAAATGATATTTTTTGCAGATCTTCCAATGCACCATTGTTGCTACTTTGTCATGCCGCTGCTTGTAATCAGTCTGTGCAATCTTCTTGCAACAGCTTACCAAGTGGTCCACTGTTTCTTCAGTACTATTATTATTATTATAAATAATAATATGGGAGAATGGATTATAATACAGTCGGCTTCAAACTCACCTTTATCTTAGCTGAGCTTTGAGCCTTGAAGAAATTGGGCTAATCCTACTCCCCATTTTAGGTGAGCGACTCTTCACCCCAAAGAGATTAGCTGCTTCTTTACTTGATCAGGTTTTGTTTGCTGTTAAAGATCACATCTTTAGAAGCAAACATTCTAAAGGTGTAACCTTTTACATCTAAAGATTGCATCTTTAGAATTTAGAAATACTTTGAAGAATTACATCTGATACATGTTGCATGATGACTGCTGTTGAAGTCAACGTGTCCAAACCTGGCTTGGTGTCTTCCTACAGCACCACTTGTTCATATTTATAACCGGTGTACTGTGAATACTTCATTATGTATCCAGCACAGGTTTTTTTTAGATAAATTGGGTAGCTTCATAATCCTTCATAATTCATAATGGTCAGTACAAATTTCTTTTTTTTATGCTGACTTCAATGAAAGCTACTACTAATCAATAGTTTTTAAGGCAGATTCCATCATAAATTGCTGCTGGCCTGCCAGTTTGGCCAGGGTCATCACTATTCTTCTCAGTGGATGGGCTGACACCAAAAGGGGGCCCTGGTGTATTTGGTATTCCCAGTAAAAGGAATGAAATTGAGACATCAAATTGGGGTAAGGAGGCTTACCTTTTTTCAGATCCTGCCCAGGATCATAAAAACTTTACAAAAACAATAGGAAGATTTCCATCTATCGTATCTGGTAAAATGGTTGACTAACCATAACTTTCATTATAAATGGCAAAGTGTTCCTTAGCTTGAGATTGACTTTCAACGAATGGAAGTATCCTTGAAGTTTTCTTAACAGCAATATAGGACTAGTTTGCCACTGACTTTTTCAATGTTCCTGTCTAGTTTCAAATTCTCCCATCCTGATATCAACGTGGTCCAACTATTCTTATCTTTATGGGGGTGGAGGGGAATTACTTAAATCTGGCAAGATATCGTTACCTGCTGCAGCAAATTCTTGAGAGAAGTAAAACAGTTGGGAAAATATAAATAGAATTAGCGACAGGAAAGTAAATGTTTGTGACTATTATATACCATATAGATTTCCTTGCCTGGGAATTTAAATAACTGGATTTTGGAAACCTTTGAAGGATATGTACACACTTGATCTATTTCTGCTCGGCATGAGTTTAAACTTCTGAGGGTATTAGGTAAAAATAGCAAGGGGTTGATATTGCCTGTACAGCCATGTGTGTTATTTTCTACGGAGAGGTCATTAAGATAATTAAGGTCACCAGATATAGCAGCCCTTGCATGTTAATATTTGGATGAATTATTTTTGCAGCGTGAAAAGCACCCTTATTACAATCTCACTGTAAAAGTCCTGAGAGCCAGGAACATTAAAGGAACAGATTTATGTAAGTATCTGGAGATGTTTGGTTTCTCATTTGGATGCACCTTTATAATACATGTAGTAGAAAACCAACTGATTGGTGATGAACAGTTCCTTAAACCAGTAGTCCTAGTCATAACTAATAGTAAAGGGTAAGTATTTTCCTTGGATTTCACAGCTGTTGTGTGACCTCAGGAAAAGGCAAAGCTTTTTTTAAGAAGGATTAAGAGATGTTCCATGTTTGCCCTGTGTGTGTGTGTGTGTGTGTGTGTGTGTGTGTGTGTGTGTGTTTGAATCAGTTTTTAAATTCCTGCTAATTGTCTGCAAAAGTGACTGGCCCAAATTCACCCAGCTGGCTTTGTGGCTAAGGCAGGATTAGAACTCACAGTCTCCCAGTTTCCTTAACCACTACAACCAAACTGGCTCTCTGCTTGTTTGTTTGATAGTCTATATTTGCTCTGGAAGCTTTCTTTTGGCATATGATCTGAAGTATAGTATAGGAATAGGAAAGCATTTGTAGTCTGAGAATTGGTTGAACATAAAGGACCTAGGATACCTTGTACTGGATTAAGCATGGTTATTCTCCCCTAAATTTAGTCTGGAACTTGAATATGGTGTAATCACCAAGAGTCAGCCTGGCTCAAAGCTATCTTTATCATTACCTTTCAGAAAGAAGTGGAAGTCCTGTCCCTTATACAGAGAATTCTTTTTCCTAATAACAATGAGGGGGCTGGCTATGGTGTTTCTCTTCTTTTAAGATGTTCACACATTGTATACTTTTTTTTAAAACATTTTTTTAAACTATGCCCTTTCCTGTAATAATCTGACATTTAAATATTCCAAACATGTATCTAATCAGAGGTAGGCAATCTTGGCTCTTTTATGGCTCGTGGACTTCAGCTCCCAGAATTCCTGAGCCACTATGCTGGCTTAGGAATTCTGGGAGTTGAAGTCCACGAGTCATAAAAGAGCCAAGGTTGCCTACCCCTGACCTAAATCTAGAATAAAGTGAATAGGTAAAAAAAACAGAAAAAAATGTAAATGTGCTTTATGTAAGTTTGATTACTTAAATATGCCTTTTTCTGATGCTCAGTATGTCATGGTGAATAAATGATAATTAGAAGTATTTTTTCTGTAACAGTAGAATCGCAGTATCAGAAGATATTTGTATTTGATTACTAACAATGAGAATTTCAAAGAATATATTTTAAATCTTTAAGAAAATACTTCATCTCACTGTGGCCTAGAATATACAGAAAGCATAAAAACAAGTTTAATACTAATGAAAAGCAGTAGCAAAAGCGGGGAACTAAAATTATGAGTGAGTAAAAAAAATTAATATAATTAATATAATCAATTTAAGGAGAATTATTTTCAAATGTCAGAATACAGCTGAAGAGGAAAATAAGATGCATTTAAAACTTTTGAAAGGTCCACTAGAAGCAGCAGATAAGTAGACTTCTCTCCTTTTCTAGCTCCAGAAAAACATAATCTTACTTGATTTGAAAACTAAACTTTCATCTAAATTGAACAAAATTCAGAAAGTGTGATATAGAAATTAATGAGAATTGAATCACCATCTACTTAAGCATCATTCACAAATAGAATGTGGCTGCAAGTTATTTAAAATGGGATTTGAAAAATTATCCATTTTCAACTATACTTTAGACTGTAGAAGTTAGGAAGGACCAAATGTAAAAGTGGATGACTTTCCTAATTTAACAATCCTGTCCATATCTGTTCTTTCCATTTAGTGTCCAAAGCTGATTGTTACGTGGAATTGCGTCTGCCAACTGCATCACCTGTTGTTTATCAAACTCGAGTTATTGACAACTCCAGCAATCCGGAATGGAATGAAACTTTTCAGTACAGGATACACGATGCAATCAAAGTAAAGGATTCCACTCTTGAAATGGAACAATAAGTAGAAGGAAAAAACTTATATTTTTGGAAACCCCAAAAGTCCTAATAGCAAATCATATGTCAGTAACCTCCAATACGCTCCTCTGATTATGGTCTCTTATGACTGTTTCTCACATTCATTTTCTTGCTACAAAGTTACTCTTGGTGCCTGTCATGAATTATTATAACTAAGTCAAACAGTCTTAACAGGTCAGAGCTGTTCTTAAAATCAGATGAAAGAGAATCAGAATCAGAATTTTGCCTGCTTATTCTGGCAAAATTAATCCTGTGTTATACACACTATTTTGCATTTTGCACTTCTCATCAGCCTCAATTCCCAAATTGGACTACGACTAAGCAAAACAAAGGGTAGAGGACATCAAGAGGCAAGCGGACTTAGGTATAGCTCCGCTACTTCTGGCTCCAGACTCTATTAGATATGTGGTTACACCTGCCAGATATCTTAGTCAGTTGGAGTCAGTAAACCACCGCAAAGCATTCTCGCTTGCGTTTCCATTGGCCGTCCTGTACGGCAAGTATAAAAAGACACCATTGGCTGAAAGAATCTGCTCCTGTGGCTCAGGTGGAGACCATTGGACACATACTCCTTCAATGTTCCTTCTATAGTGCTATTCAGAAAAAACATATCCTCCCCAAATTGATAGGTATCCTGGTCATTTGGAAAGTATTTATCTCCAGTGGCTGCTTAAGGATGAGCAGGCAGTGATCATGGCACAGGTGGCTAGATTCTGTGCAGCAGCATTGGGGATTCGCCAGAAACATAAATAAACATTTTAGATCTTTTTAATAATCTTTTATAATTAATTTTATTACATGTTTTTATCCGGCATTAGACTATACTCAATGTATTTTTATTGTTGGGTCAGTATGATTCAGTTTTTCTCAAGCTAGCTAGTTTTTATTATACTGTCTGTAAAACTAGGCAGACCTTGGTCACCCACTGATTAATCATTAATTGTAATATATTGCTGTGTCTTCTATTTGCCTAATGATTTCTTCTTTCATCTAAGTCCAAGTACAAAACCACCTTACATAAGTGCAAAGCCACTTTACATAAGTGCCAAACTACCTAGAATTAAACAAAGGAGAAGAATTGTGTGTCTTTTAGAAAAAAAAATTAACAGAAAAGTTATTTAACACACATTTAAGTTCACATTCTGATAGCATCATAGTCTATCATGATAAAATAAGCTAACAAAAACACTTCAATTTTTGCTACAAACAAGAAAAAACAAAAAGTTTTCCAAAGAATGACTTGCCTACTTCATCTCTTTAAACATATCTTACTGCAGATAATCAGCTTGCCATACAGTTAATATAGGAATGCTTGCCTACTTTTAGGTATGACCTGCAGTGCAGAAGTGCAACAATTATGATTTAATTATTTTCTTATTTTTATCCACTCCTACTTATCAAATTCTGTGTCTGAGGAGTGGAATGGCAGATTGAAATCTGTTCTATTAAAAAGCCCAAAGCTATAATGGAGTAAGTAAAACTGGCAGTTCGTATATTTTAAAAACAAAACATTTTACTTTTGTTTCCTGGAGCATCATACTATACTTAATTCTTTCTCTACTTGTTAGCTTTTGTCTTTTTCCTGTTTTTTTTTTTTAGAACACGCTTGAACTGACTCTGTTTGATGAAGATGTTCTTATAAGTGATGAGCTTACTTCTGTCGTGTTTGATGTTACAGGGATTCAGGCCGGCCATTCATTGAAAAACACTTTCAAGCTAAAAGAAGTTAGTTTTTTTCCTGTTGCTCCATGCATTAAGAAGTCAGGTTTAAACTTGATTTTGCTTCTGAATACTTACATTAGCCATAAATAAAGAATATTTTAACCATTACATTAACTGTCTTCCTCCTGCTGCAGGGAGCAATCTATAGCTGAATAATGTAATTTTTGATGAGTTTTGATGGTTGAAGAACCAAATGGGATCCCTCAATTTGGATGTTCATTTGCATTATTTGGAAATTATGCAGCCCTACAGATTTTTTTCTAATCTCTCTGTTGTTGGTAGCTCTTGGGTTGACTTAATTTTCAAGGAATATAAAACTGGAAACAACATCTTCTTTATTATGTCAAGTTTATTTGCACTTTTTTATTAACTTTGCAATTGATGATATGCAATATATTTGGCAGACAAATGAAACTTCTGCTGGAATGTTTTTTTACTGAAATCTTATTTTGTCAAATTTATTGTAATGTTTGGATCAGAGCAGCCTGTGAAAATTATACAAATGTGTTCTGAATTATGTCTAGTCTTTAATTTTAATGTAATAATAATAGTAATGCTCACAGATAATATATTAATTTAATACCTATTTATCTCCAGGATAAGGAAGAATTGGATGTAGAATTTTTTATTGAGAAAAGGTAAGGACTGTTGTATTTTCCAGTCACATAATCTAGAGTTCTAGATTGGGAAGTCCTCTAATAAATTCATTTAAGACTTGCATTTAAAAGATTAATAGGACTAATATATTTTGAGGTTTTTCAAGTCTCCCATGGTTTCCCTTCATCCCCAAAAGGTGTTTAAGCACACAACCTTTATAAAACAAAATTGTGAAGTGATGCCACACTTGTAAACAGAAAGACAGATGTGTTACTTTATTGGATAGGAATAATTTCTGTGCAGAAGAAGCTCCTGTTATCAAACTAAAGAGCCTTGTTGAAACAAATTGTGTTTGTTTTGATCTTTGCCAAAAAAAGATTGCTGAAGCAAATCCTGCCTGATCTATGCAGGCATAGTTAAAAATCAGTGTTTGCCAAAGTAAAATAATAGGACACAAATGCTTGTGAACAATACCTTGATGTTGCCTGTTCAGATAAAACTTTGTCTGTGGAAAGAATGGAAAAAAATAATATTACAGTTCCTTCCTCTTTGGAGGCAAAAATAAATATCTTAATTGCTTGCAAATGGCATATGATTGCTATTGAGACTTGTGGGTCTCCCCCCACCCCATGTTATTTTTTCTGGAGGAGAAGTAAATAGATGATTGGTCCATTCATTGAAAACAATCTTAAGGTTTCATTTGTGCTGGTCCTCAATATGCAGGATCTGTAATTTTTTTAAAAACTGTTAATGGCAAAACAACTGTAGGAAATGAATTTTGGACTACAATGTATCATGTATGCTGGCTGGGACTTAATGGAGTTATCATTCATGGGAAACAAGTATCGCAATCTTGAGATATAAATTAAAGAGCTCAAAAAGAAAGAGAATAATTAATGTAAAATATTTTGTTGCTGTTCATGGTAATACTTTTGTATTCATAGTTCTGATCCTCCCGGTGAAATTATCACAAATGGAATCCTGGTGGTGAGTATTTAATACATTGGAGTAATGCCTACTTTATAATTATCATTTATTGTGGCATTGTAAAGTTAGAGCTTGTAGTCTTGACAGTAGAATATTTCTCAAATTCAAAGCATTTTTCATCTGCTACTGCTATTAAAATCTGAAATGTATAAAATTCATAGTAAGAATATTTATTGTCATCAACAAAGCAAAACTTGTAATTTTAATAAAGCATCACAGAATATTAAATTGATCACAAAAATCTTCTCCAATTATTTTATATCTTCATATAACCTCTTCTAGATTGACTTGTCTGTTCTAGAAAACTTCTGTACTAATAAAAAACTCTGGGACACGATTTATTTGAATAGTCAGTTCACTTAGAATGGCAACCTGATTAAACTTCTCAACAAACTCAGTTGCCACAAGGTGAAAACTCTGTAAATGAGTTTTCCAGCAAATAGACTTATACTTCATACAGATACAGAGGTAAATATCCCTTTCTCTGAGGTGAATGTTATTTTAGTAGGCTTTTTCCAAATGCAAGGCATTGCATTGTGTTACCTATGCCTGATAGCTATATTTTTTTTTGGAGTGCAAAACACATGAGAACAGTATACACCATTTTAAATGATCTTTAAATATAATTAATTAGCTAGTCAGTGGAAAAACCACACATACCATACTTTACATTCCCAAGCATGACAATTCAAACAATTTTTTTTCTGCATTAACTATTCTAGAACTTAATCAAATGGAGATCCAATTTCCAAAACCAATATTTATTTCTGATTATTTCTCTCCATATAGGCTTATCCTTGCCTTTACTTGCAAGGGACAATTAACAATGATCAAAATACAAAGATGAGAGAACAAGGTAGGTCTATTTTGTTATGTTTTCTCTTTCCTTATCATTTTATGATGGATAATTCATTACTCCGCTTGTATCTAGGAACTCAGTGAATTAATAGAGATGCAGCACTTTAAATGGAGTGAAATTCAAGTGAGGTGATTCTAAAAAAGAACAGTGGAATCAGACCAAATGAAGGATAATTTTATTGGTTACATAGTTTTCGCAGACTAAAAGAAGGCAGGGGTGTGAATGAATGAAAATTAGAAGTATGTGTAAGAAAGAAAAAACAACTTGTGCTCAGTTAGTTTTGTGGACATGTGAAATTTTCTTTTGAATCAAAGTTATGTTTGTTTTGGTGGGCTTCTTCTCTTTATATGTATGATGTAACTGGGTGAGTCTGCATGAATTTTTTCTCTAAAATTTGCATCATGTCACTCTTTCTCCAATCTATAAGACAGAGATAATCTTATTTTGCTATTTTATTTTGCACGGGTGTGTGATCTTCTTCAGGAATTTTCTTCCCTTTCTGGTGATGTATTCCCCCTCCTCCACCATTTAGGAATTAATGAAATGCTATATAAACATGGAATAAAGATGATAATCTATTTATTTTAGAGAAAATCTCAAAATTTATGTGTGATGCTATTTTTTCTTGATTATAATACTCTTAGAAAGAAAAGTTAGTTAACAGAATTACCTTCCACATTTAATTAAATTTAAATGTTGTTTCTTTAATTCAAATACAATGAATATTTCAATTTAATAAATTGTCAGTTATATATTATATGAATTAATGTTCTGCATAATGTAACATGGTGCCTCAGGAAGCCTTTCTCAAACTTTTTACCCTGCAGGTACACTTGGAATAATATTCAGGTCACAGCAAAAATTACATAAAAATTGCCAAAAATATGAATACTTCGCAATACAATTCTTACCTACTGTAGAATGTAAAAAAAAAAAAAATTACAGTTACAAGAACTGCAAAGTGGCAGGCCAGCAGCTGAGTTGTGGCATGTAAAAATTCCCAGCATTTGAGTGCTAGCATTGTACATTGTGTGAAGTTCAAAATTTTTTCCCCCCAATTACAATCTCATAGATCTCCTAATCACCTCTTGTTGAATCCCAGTTGACAATGCTGCCTCAGGTGATCGCACTTTCAGTGGAAATGTTTAAACAGAGGCTGAATGATGTGTCAGGGATGTGTATTAATTAGTGTAGACATTGGACAGAATGTTAGACTAGGTGATCTCCAAGGTCTCTTTCCACTCATACATCTATGATTCTATGGTCAATTAAGCAGAGGTTAAAATCAGCTATACAATATACAGTAAAACTGTGCCATTTTTCTCTTCCTTCTTTGGATTCCCTCCTGTTTATAGTCTATCTTTGTGGTGGAATGTAGTCTGGATTCCCAGGAGAGAGGGACTGCATTCCAGAGGACCAATAGATGCAAAGTTGAGATAGTTTGGTTGATAGAAAGAAAGTCAAGATAGATCCTCCTTAGAAGTTCTTAGAATATATCTTTTAATAATGCAAGTAGTTGCCTTAGTTTGGCAAGATTTCTGTCTATAGGTGAGGGACAATAAAGAAAACTAATCAGAAGAAACTTTGCATGTCTTTCTTGGTTTTGGAGTCTGACAATCCTGTTTTTTCCCTCAATCATATATATATATATTCTAAATTCTTACTGTCCTTTTAGAAAGCAGTCAGTTCAGGCTTTCACTTCCTGGATCTTATGAGAAACAGTTAAGTGAGCCATGCAAGTCAAACCCCGATCAGGCCCGTGGGACCCCATTTGTCTTTCACATAGGCAAACAGATGTGCCCAGAAATGAGTGTGGAGCTGGAAAGAACTATTACAGTCTTTCAGGTGAGAAATGGATTGCACATTCAGCTTTTACAATGCTTACAAATATGCTGTCCATATGAAATATGCTGTGTCTGTTTTCAGGACGGAGTGAGTCCTGAATTGGAAGAACACAGTACTGTTCTTGGATCAGGGACTATTCCTTTGAATTTACTACCTCTGGGAAAGGAAGTTGATATAACTGTGCCACTTGGAAAGGTAACATTTTTTTTTCTACTATAATATATTTCATAGATTGCATCACCTAGTCAGCAATTCATTTATTTATTCATTTATCAAATTTATGTAACTTTCCCCCTTAACCAATGTATTCTGGATGGTGAACAGGAACAGGAAAAAAGATATAGTGAACAGTCAAAAATCAATAAAAAGGTTATTTTTTTTAAAAAAAATATCCAACAGCATAAAGCATACGCAAGCTGCGGTTTGTTGGCATTTTGGCCCAGCCTCTGGGGGAAAGCCAGGTCAACAAGATCTTTTGTAAAATTAATTACTGAATCAGTGGTTTTTTTTTTTTTTTCTTGTAACCTCTTTCAGAATATTTTGTTTTTCCTTTTAGGGACTAAGTGTGGATATAAAGGTGAAAGCTGAAGAAATGTGAGTGAATCCTTCTTTGCAGATGGGGACTGGCTTGAGCTTACAAACTTTCCTTGGACATTGCTCTGGGGCTTCATTTTCATTTTTTTCTATTTATAGCTGTAAATCAAAGAAAAGTCACTAGGAGTCAAGTGACATTCAAATACTACTACTACTACTACTACTACTACTACTACTACTACTACTTGCATTTGTGTTGAAACTGAACATTAAAGATTTTGCAACAAAATCTCCCAATGTCACTTCTTTGCTTGTCAGATAAATATATTTTCCTTAAGATCGATAAATAGTTCAATAGACAAATGGATATCCTTTCCCTCTTCCGTCTTTTTTCTCTCTCTCAGTCTAATGTCCTGTCTATGTGCTTTTCACTTTGTTCCCCCCCCCACTTTTTGAACATGGCCATGATTAATTTTAGGATTTTTAAACTAGGCCTTTGGGTTTTTGTCTTCTACTAATTAACAACAAAATTTATTTCCCTTTTATTACTTACACCTGCTGATTAAGAATCTTATCCAATATTGAGCAGTTGAAAGTTTTTATTGATTAAGGAAATTTATATTTAGATATATTAATGAATGAATTTATTTGAATTTAATTGATTATAATTTCTACATAGAGAGGGAAGTTTTAAGAAATATTGTGTGAATTGTATATATATAATGTTAAGCTTCTGTTGGTGTAAAATAGAAAAATAATCCAAAACTATCCAAAATTGAATCTTATTTCTTATAATTTTGTCCATGATTCAGTCTCAAATTTTTAAAGTTAGAATGATATATTGCAATATATTGGAAATATATTTGTGTTGCTGTTACTTGGAATATTTGTTACTGGTGTTCTTTTATTAGTAAACTAAAAATTTTCATATGACTTCATCTGATCTGGATTGGAGTGTATAAAAGCAGACTATTGCTTGATTCAGTTCACTATTGTATATCAGCTGGATTTAGGAACAGGAATCTTTATTTATAACTTTCCCATTTTCTGAATTGAGAAATAATTGACAGATTTTTCTCCAGTGGTACTGCATGGAATATGAAACTTTTCAAATATACATTCTCATTTCCTTGCCTCTTTTCAACACTATTCTCTAAACCAGCACACAAGATCTTGATGTACGTCTTGGTTTTGATCTCTGTAAAGAAGAGCGAGAATTTTTGGAAAAAAGAAAGAAAATTGTATCTAAGGCACTAAAGAGCATACTCAAATTGAGAGAGGACCTCAGTAATAATGAGGTATGTCACTTAATCAGAATTAGTGAAGTATGTATACTCATTTATAATTAGACATAGTTTAAGTGAGACATTGACTCTCAAAAATACTATGTTTTATAAAAGTTCTTCAAATATACTATCACATTATATTAATAAGGAGTGTCCTCATTGACTTTTTTTCATAACAATTTAAGCTTTCTCCCCTCTTGTTTTTATTTAAGGTGCCTGTTGTAGCAGTCCTAGGATCTGGGGGAGGGATAAGAGCACTGTCATCATTTTATGGAAGTTTGCTTGGTCTTCAGCAGCTAAATCTTCTGGATTCTATTACATATCTTTCTGGAATTTCTGGTTCTACATGGTATGTATCTATGGTAGGTATTTCTTATATTGAAACTATAGTAACAAGATATTGTTTTGATCTTTGGAGCATTTGCTAAAATCATGTTTCATTCTATTGCTTCAACAAGTACATAATTAGCCAAAAACATAGATTCTTACAATAATAATGTTCCTTTTCTTGTCTAACTATTGTTTGGATATGCTCTTTTGGATTGCACAGTTCTGGGCCTTTATATGCACTGTCTACCTCTCCTTGGGTCTAGAAAGGTTATTAATTTCTTTGTTTTTATGCCTTACCTATTTACAACTCTATGAGATCTTTTGAAAAAAACAGATTTTTCAAAATTTGGTTATTCTCCAATGATTCTGCTATTTTTATTTTCTCATTTTGGAGGCCAATGGTATGACAGATAATATGGTGCCCATACATATGCTGGATTGCATGACTGGAACAGCCCATAAATGGCCTCAATCAGGGATGGGCAATTAATTTTCCCAAAGGGCTACATGAGAATCTGTGGCTGATTTGGAGGGCTGCTACTGCTACTCTGCCCCCACTGTTGCCACTTCTGCCAAATCGCCCCCACCACCCCTATGCCCCACTGCCTCTGCTGACATATCCCGCCTCCTCTGCTGTCCTACCCCTGTCACTACTACCATTGCTCTCTCAGCGATCCATGGGCCAGACTGGGATTGCCTGCAAGCTGTAAAATGCCCAGGTCTGTCATTAATATATAATGCGGTCAACCTCATTTTAGCCTTTCCTAGCCTATTTTCTTCTTAATACAACTGTAGAATATGATTGTTTAGCATTTAATTAGAGGTTGATGAAAAGACCCATGAAATTGTTTAACTATCACCTTGCCTTGAAATGGTGCATTCCATGCACTGGTCTAAAACAAGGCTCATCTGTTGATCTTTGGTCTTGTAGCTCTATCAGTTTACCACTGAACAGGTAAACATGATTGTTGTCTATTATTCAGAAAACAGAAAACAAGAAAACTGCTTCTTGTATAAACAACTCAAATAAAACAAAAAATGTATAACCTTTGGATTAATACTCACCCCTCTAAAGAGTTTCATTGCTACAATAAGACATGGGGATTTTTCCCCTCTCTTATGAGAAGTTTTGGACTTGGGAAACAGGTTTTCAGCTATATTTAAATCATTTCCTGCAGTGTTTCAGAGTGTACCCATCTAATGCTAAAGATCTGAATCAAAATAAAAAAATCCCTTAACATCAAACGTACACAAGACCTGGCAAGGACATTGTTTTAAAGTATAGTAAAAAGTGAGGCTGAGATGTCACAGTTTTTCAGAAGCTCAATAGTAAACAAAGCAAGTATAGGTATACCAACAAAAAGTTAAAATAGTTGTCTGGGATTAATTTTATTTCCTCTTAAGAATCTTAGAGTAGTTTTTCAGCTTGGATGTTATTCTTCATGAGTTTTTTTTTTAAAGAAGACATTTGTATCTCTCCAGGATTTCTATTTTTATCTATTAAATAGTTAAGCTCAATGCTGTTGTATTGAATTAGTCATCAACATTTTTGTAGGTGTTTATCAGTATTGTATCAAGACCATGAATGGTCACAGAAGGACCTGAAGGATCCAATCAGCAATGCGCAGGATAAAATATCCAGCAGTAAAGTAGCAGCTTTCTCCTCAGAACATATGAAGTACTATTTCCAGGAACTGAATGCTATGGAAAATGCTGGGCGGAAAGTATCTTTCACCGATCTGTGGGGCCTTATTGTTGAGTACTTCCTGCAACAGAAGGTGAGATTTATAAATTTGGAATCTTTATTATTTACCTTCTTCGAGAACTTAGTGTTGTAAATTCCTTCATATTTGTTGCTGCTTGAACCATACTAATACTCTTTTCTGTTTGAAATTCTAAAACAAACAGAAATTCTAGTAACTGCTTATTTTAAAAGTACTAATCTCAAATATCAGTCCAATTCTGAATTGAATATTTAAATGATTGAAGGCAGGATATAGACCATGAATATGGGAAAAAAAAAAACAGCTTTTGCCTTGGAGAGTGTTTTTTCTTTTGAGGCAAGACATTGTCACTACATGCCCAAAGAGGATAAAACAAGACAGGTGGAACAAGCTTTCTTGTTGAGAACTGCCTGTTGAAAAAGTGCAGATTTTCATTAGACACATTTTGCTGCTTTACATATAAAAGCAGAAAATATTGCAAAGCCTAAATCTCCAGATATTTTTTTTCCATCTAAAGGAATATTCATAGAGAACTGTGGTTTTCTATCTAAATCCAAACAAGTGTTGATCATTAGTTGAAAAGAGTCCTGTTCATAGGCATGATTAGCAATAAATCACTTTAATTGGACCTTCATGTGTGGACCTGATCTTTTATGCTTGACATCTAATCAGGAGGAACATATTGGGTGTGTCTTGTTCTCTCACTGAGATTGTAGGTGTCTAATATATCCCAAAGGTGCTTTTTCAAGAGGCAACTGGACTTTCTTGTTTTTCTTTGAAGACATTTCACTTCTCATCCAAGGAACTTTTTCAGCTCTGATTGGGTGGTGGGGAATGGAAGGATTTATATTCCTTCCAGACGGCTGGTCATTTGCATTCTTTTAGAGAGTTATTGAGGCCACTTGGAGGTTTATCTGTGTCCTCAAGGTCACCAGTTGCCCGCTTGAAAATGCCTTTGGGATCATGACCTGGATGACTGAGAATCTCCATAGACATTTATCTATGCACTGAGCTGAAGAAGCTTCTTGGATAGGGAAGCCAAACATCTTCAAAGAAAAACAAGAAAGCCCAGTTGCCTCTTGAAAAACCACTTTGGGACAACCATGACCTGGATGACTGAGAATCTCCATAGACATGTGTCTAATATATATCCATAAGGTATGAGCTCTAACTTCACTGCAAAAATGATATATCCTGTGATTCATTTTTTTGTTTAGGAAGACCAGTCAAAATTGTCTGACCAACAGGAAGCTGTGAAATATGGACAGAATCCCTACCCAATCTACGCAGCTGTTAATGTGAGGCCCAATGTTCGTGGTGATGACTTTGCAGGTATAATAAGGCAGGTGTATTTCTTTCTTATAAAATTCAGGACAGATTTTATCTTCTAGGACAGTGGTTCTCAACCTGTGGGTCGGGACCCCATTTGGGGTCAAACGACCATTTCACGGGGGTCGCCAAACAAGGCTGTCCGCCATTTTTTCCCTTTTCCCTAGCTGTCCTACTCCCTCTTATTGGTGGCCACACCCACTTGGGGATCACCACAACATGGGGAACTGTATTATGGGGTCACGGCATTAGAAAGGTTGAGAACCACTGTTCTAGGATGTCTTTAGAATTAGCACTTTTGTAGCAGTTGCACAATATTGCAGAGTGACCTTGTTGTATAGTCTTTATTCTAATGATCATGTGAATGTAAAGACTGGACTTTTCACTTGAATTGGAACACAGTGATTTTGCTTAATGTTTTCACTATGCTGGGTGTTTTTCTTTTTAGAGTGGTGTGAGTTCACACCCTATGAAGTTGGATTCCGCAAATATGGTGCTTTTATTCGAACAGAAGATTTTGATAGTGAGTTTTTCATGGGACGATTGATTAAGAAGCATCCTGAGCCCAGGATCTGCTATTTGCAGGGTACGTATTTCAGAGCTTATTGTACTTAATCCAAAGGCAAATCCATAAATAAACCATGGGCTACTATAGTGTGTGGAAATAGCATGATATTAAAATCTGAAGGCTGAACTCATTCCATCTATAGCCTCTGAATACTTTTAGTACTTTAGCAGCTATTATAAATGAACCTTCCTCCACCCTGCTCAATTCAAACAAACCAGCGAGCATTTTTTACATTCCACATTGTTTTATAACAGCACAACAAAAGCCACATGTTTCTAATGGCCCGAATGGTAAATAGATGCTGTATTTGAGAATAAAAACAATTTATTTGAAGTAAAAGTTTCATCTCACGCACTAGTGAAACTTGCACAAAGTATTTCTTATTTGATTTTAAAGCTGTCCTTTATTAAACAAAACAAAATCCAATATGTGACGATGATGAGAGTTGTAATTCCAACATTTGGAGAATGAATTGAGGAAAGGTATTAAAATTATACAGCTGTCAGAGGTAAATCTCAGATTGAACCTAATTCTTTTTTTTATAATACAAGTTTTATTAGTTTTTCTTTTTACAACCAAATGCTTGAGAAACAACGTGGTGACAGGGTAATCAATTATGCCAAAACAAAATCATACATATGTAATTCAAATTAACTCATTAAAGACTCCCTCTCTGTTTCCTCAAATAATATATTGTATTCAAATTAATATGTTTTTCAATATAATTCAATCAATCCAAACAATCATCAATAGCATTTCATTTATATAAATCAAAATCCTGTATTGAGCTTTACTGTTTACAGTTACCATATTCCCATTTGGCTTAGATAACCATATTATTAACACTTCAGGCATCTTTCCTTTCCCTTTTCCTTAACATAATCAGTAACTCATTTATTAATATCATTTTTTCTTTTATCAAAAATCCCTCTTATTCCCCTTGCTTTACAAAATAGCTTTCCTTCCTAGAAAACAAAAATATTGCTCCAAACAATATATTTCTAATCTATTTTAAATCTATAATCTATCAATCAATCAAAATCTATATAATACTTTTAACCCATTCAATAACATTTAAATCCAATCCAAATTACTGTTATATCCTCCATGCACATATTAGTACAAAAAGCAAACATCTTTTCACTAACTTCATATTTAATTAGTCTTTCTGCAATCATAATCTCTGGTATCTTATTTGCCAAACTTAAACTTTAAGTCAATCCATGTCTAAAAAACTTTTAACCCATTATATACCATTTTAGATCACACTCTTAAATCTTATTCTAGCTTTCTTTTTTGCCAAGCCAGTTTCCATAACAAAGCTTCTATGTCAACGAATAAGTTTCTTTTTATTCCTTGTGGTAGCATTTGAATCAGGGAAGAGCATCCCCTCTTCTGTTTTAGAGGCCTGCGTCCTTTGTAGGTAGCCCCTTGTTGTTTTAAAGATTCAAGTCTCGACATTTGACTCTGCTGAATAGGAGACTCACTCCTGACCAATTTTGTAGTTAATAGTTGGTTAACAACATTGTCATAGTTCTTAATCAATTGTAATTGCAAGTCCATTTCTGTTAATTTTGAAGGTATAGATGGTTTAATTACAATCATTTTTTGATCATCAAAAATCTCAAAAGGTTGTATATAAGATGAAATAGAATCCTCTTTAATGATGAATGGTTCCTCTTCTATTGTTTTTCGTCTGTAGAATATTCAGATAAGATCTGAAAATCGGTTTGTAAGTTCAAGATAGAATTTCTGTTTATTATTTCTGTAGTACTCTCTCTTATTTGGCAACATATTTGCTCAGTAGCTTCATAGATTTTCTCCAGTATAAGTTTACAGTTGAAATGTAAATAAGATTTCTCCATTTTAATGGTAACTAGGACCAGACCTGTTATCTTTTAGTGGAGGCTATATTCAAAAACATTTAGCCAGTGTCCACCCCCATAAAACAGCTGTTGTTTCTTTGTCTTTTCCTTTATGATAACCTGAAAGTCAAAGCCAACTCATCACTAGACAGAAAACAAAGACAGTTATAGTTTTAAATTTCTCCACAAAGTGTCCTCAGTAGACTATAAAATACTCTTTCCAGACACCAAAGATAAGGTTGTCAAAGTCAGAAAAAGAAAGAAAAACAAAAATAAAGTAATATTTTTAGCATATATGCTGAATCCAGCAATAAAGTTCAATAGTAAGAATCTTTTCAAGACCCCAAAGTAGATGAAAGTCAAAAAATAGTCAATTAGATTCAATTTTCATTCCATTTCACAGCTTTCCTTCCCTCACTAGCACACGCCGCTCTCTTAAAACAGGGAAATAGTTCCCCCAAAAATGCTTTTTGCAGTAAACCAAAAGGAAAAAAAGGACTAAGAGAGGAAAGGAAAAATCTCACCTGGATCAACCACGGTGGTTCTTTGCGCTTAGATGTTCTTCTGACTTCTGGTTACAGCAGCATTTTACTGGCCGATCTTTCCTCCATCGGTCCTAAGGAGCAATCTCGGACCGTGGAAGAAGCTGCCGCTCTCCCACGGTTGACAAGGACCTCCTCAATGGTAGCTGCCCTTCCAGGGTGGCTTTTCGACCCGATTAAGGGTCTACCGGCAGAGGGAAATCAGCCGGCGAAGAGAGCAATCTCTTTGCACGGCTGCAAACGCCATGATCCGGAACCGGAAGTCCTGATTGAACCTAATTCTTTATATCACTTTTTTAAAAGCTTGAATGTTTCACTTTTAATAATAATAGCTACTGGCAGACTTTGCTATCTCTTAACTGATAAACAATACAGCATATTTCAGACAGAAAGTGTAATCTTCAATTTTTTGAAGTGTAAATATGGTACACTAGGATACACAATCTTTTAAATTAACCAAACAACTAGTTACATCCAGTGTCAGGCATTAACAGTATCTTTAAATGTGTTCTAATCTTTCTGTTAGTTTATCTCTGAAATAACCTTGCCTGTTAACTCTTAAGGCTACAGAAGGGCATGCATAAATTAAATTAAAGTCTAGTTCACAGTACCGCTTATAATATGCCTAGGTTCAAACCCTGTTTTGTGTACTCTATAGGGATGTGGGGAAGTGCCTTTGCTGCTAGTCTGGACGATGTCTGTCTGAAGGTAGTTGGCTCAGGATTCAGCTTTCTGGAATCATTGGGAGATGTAATCAAAGTAATTGGTAAGCAAGGCCAATTTGCATACTAATTAACACTGTAATGCTAGATTTTATTTTTAGGTATGTGAACTTTTTCATAACTATGACTTTGCCATGGACGTGGGCTGATGTGAATGATCCAAGCAGAGTGGAGGCATATATGCCTATGAAATATCTAACCCTTCCTTTCTAACAAGTCCAAAGGGAGCTTGTTCCTACCTAAGCAGTTCTGGGCTTATGATTTTGAAAGCAGAAATACTGGTCTAAATAATTACTCCCATGTTTGTTTTCTAACAGCTATTTGTTTTTTATCCTACCTTTATTATTTTTATAAATAATTCAACACAATAATATCTCAAGACCATACCTAATACTCCTTCCTTCCTCCTCCTATTTTCCTCACAACAACATCCCTGTGAGGTGAGATGGGCTGAGAAAGAGTGACTGGCCTAAAGGTACCCAGCTGGCTTTCATACCCAAGGCAGGACTCCCAGAGGACTCCTGGTTTCTAGCCTGCTGCCTTAACTGCTGGATGAAACCGTTAATTTTGTTTCTCCTTATTTAATATCATTCTTGAAAAACTGCTCCCTCTTCTACCCTTTTGCTTCTAAATCCCTCACCACCCCCATGCTCCCAAATACATAATTGAAACATGACATTTTCATTGTGTATTCTTCACTATTTTTGAGGAGAACTTTTTTTTTAATCTTGGTGTTATAATTTTGGGTCATGTTTTTACTCCTATTTTAACTGCCAGAGGACTTTTACTCCTGTTTTTTTTTTTTACAACTGGCCAAAGTGTGTGTGTGTGTGTGTGTGTGTGTGTGTGTGTGTGTATGTATGTATGTGTGTGTTTGGGGTGAAAGGTTGAAAATTTGATTCCAACTCTTAAGCTGGTTGGGGAAAGATGTTGCCTTCATAAACCCAGAAATTGCCGATCCCTGCTTATGTGGATGATGCAGCTGAAATCCAGTTGTTGCAGTCCCTCATAAAAATCTTCATATTAGCTCAGCGTAAATGTTTGTAAGATATCCAGGAATATGGATTTTATATCCCAGAGTAGCCTTTAGTCTTGCTTCTGTCTTGGAATCAGATCCAAGCTTAGTGGGTCTGCTAAGCTTCCATGTCCAGATGAGATCAGAAAATGATTTGCTCACCAAAATCATTATAAAGGACGAGAAAATGTAAATAGTGTTCATAATAGTTGAAATACCTGATTACTCCAAAGCTGTTAATATCTCACAGGGTAGATTCAATAAGTAGATTTGAACTGTTTAACCATATTTAGTATTGTCTGTGATTGCAGATGACAGTCGACGATTCCATTTCCGGGATCCTATGAGGTTGAAGACACGTCTGGTTATACCAGGTGGACCCTTACTACAGATTTTCCAGGACTTCTTCAAGTCTCGTGTAACTGCTGGTGAAACATTTAATTTCATGCAAGGCTTATATCTCCACAGAGATTATATCAGTTTCAAAAAGTTTGTCATCTCAAAAGGTAATTTTGGATTAGTGAGCCTCCGTCAGTTTGTGGATATGTGTGTATAAATGGGAGGAAGAGAGTAATCTGAATAACACAAGGTTTTCAAATTAAATATGAAATACATGCACATTAAGCAAATTAACCTATTAATGAGATAGTTAGATCTAAAATTTAGCCAGTTACCCCACCCCAATAACTTTCTTTCAGTTCTAAAATATTTTTGATTACATAGAGGGTTGTAGTTTTTGTGCCATTTCATTGGTAAGAATGAAGTATATTGCTTTTTTTCAGAAACACACTTAGATGCTTTTCCTAACATGTTGACTCCGATGGAAGAGAATCTTTACTTAGTAGATGGTGGCTTTTCTATAAATTCTCCCTTTCCATTGCTAATTCAGCCAGAAAGAGATGTTGATGTGATTTTATCATTTAATTATTCTTGGGAAGCACCATTTGAGGTAAGACTCATAAGTACAAAATGAATTGTTCTTTGCTTTAGTCTTTGTGTTTCCAATGTACATCCATCCCAAGGTACTTCATCTCAAAGACCATCTTCCTTCAAGATGTTAATTTTATTTTATGCATATATTAAGTTGGCTTAAAGTTAGTAAGTATATATATATTAAACATTTTGAATTGCACTTATTTGGGGGGAATAGGATGAGCATTTTTATTGTTTTAAAAACCTGAAAATCACTATTAAATTGTAATCATAATACAAGAATCAGGAACAACAGATAATAAATTATGCCTATACTACTAATTTTAATCTTTTTTATAATACATACTATTTATAATATACTTTTAGTTTAATTTTCTAATTTAAGGGGAAAACTCAACAGTGGCCACAGGATTGGAAAAGGTCAGTTTACATACCAATTCCAAAGAAAGGTAACGCCAAAGAATGTTCAAACTATCGCACCATTGCACTCATTTCACATGCAAGTAAAGTTATGCTTAAAATCCTACAAGCTAGACTCCAGCAGTATGTGGATCGAGAACTACCAGAAGTATAGGGAGGATTTCGAAGAGGCAGAGGAACTAGAGATCAAATTGCCAACATACGCTGGATCATGGAGAAAGCTAGGGAGTTCCAGAAAAACATCTACTTCTGCTTCATTGACTATGCCAAAGCCTTTGATTGTGTGGATCACAACAAATTGTGGCAAGTTCTTAAAGAGATGGGACCATCTTATTTGTCTCTTGAGAAACCTATATGCGGGTCAAGAAGCAACAGTGAGAACTGGACACGGAACCACTGATTGGTTCAAAATTGGGAAAGGAGTCCAGCAAGGCTGTATTCTGTCACCCTGCCTATTTAACTTATATGCAGAGCACATCATGAGAAAGGTAAGGCTAGATGAATCAAAAATTGGAATTAAGATTGCTGGGAGAAATATCAACAACCTAAGATATGCAGATGATACAACTCTAATGGCAGAAAGTGAAGAGGAACTAAAGAGCCTCTTGATGCGGGTGAAGAAGGAGAAGAGCCTAATGCTGGGAAAAATTGAGGGCAATAGAAGAAGGGGACGACAGAGAATGAGATGGCTGGATGGAGTCACTGAAGCAGTAGGAGTGAGCTTAAATGGACTCAAAAGATGGTAGAGGGTAGGAAGACCTGGAGGAACATTATCCATGGGGTCGCGATGGGTCGGACACAACTTCGCAACTAACAACAAGAATAAAACCAAAATATTAAGACTTTTCTGGAGATGAACTCAAATTTTGAATGTGGTACAAATTCATATATTAAATGGTAGTCTAAAAATGACTTCCAACTTAAATTAAATTCAGTGTTAGATTTCTTTTATGATATAGAGGTATTCTAGACATTGAAGTCTAATTCCACAATTTAGCCATTCTTTCTGCCCAGTCAGATGCATAAAATATCTTTGTAACACTACAAATGTATATAGCCAGTTCAGTATACTTTATAGGAATATATGGTTTAATGAAACTTATTAAGAATATTGAAGATTTGAAAAGTATGTTCAGTTTTTATGATTACTTTTATTCTAGTATAAATTATTCTTCAGAACTGTTAAGTTTTGTGTACCACTGTTTTGTGCTTCTTTCTAGCTTAGATTTATAGGAGCTATTCAGAAAATAATTTATATTCTAGTTATATTGTAGTTTAGGAGAATAATATTGGTTGAGTCCTCTTTATAGACAGTCATTACTGTTGAAATCATCACTTTGGAAGCTAGGTGATTGTGAAAAAGACACATAGTTATCAGTAGGTGAATTGAAGTCCTTTTTAAAAATTCTGTCCGATTATTTCTTTGGTGGATATTAGCTTGGTATTGTGGTCAGATATGGGAAAAAACTCTAATGATTGCTTAAAAATTCTGTGACTATAGATCTTGGAGTTAACTGAAAAATACTGTAGAGAACGAGACATTCCTTTCCCACAAATAATTTTTAATAAAGAAGATGAAGAAAGTCCTAAGGAATGTTATATGTTTATGGATGCTGAGAACCCAAAGGCTCCCATAGTCCTTCATTTCCCTCTGGTTAATGATACATTCCGTAAATATAAAATGCCAGGTATGAATTCTTTAAATTTTTAATGTATCTTGCTATCAATTACAGCAAAATGTTGGATTGGTTGAATATTTTGAACTCAGACCTTGATTTTGTAATAAATTGGTTGTACAAAACATCAAAAGCTGTCTATTTGGATGAGGAAATAAACTGGAATAGAAGATGATCATGGAAGCTTCTTTGGACAATGCTGTCTCCCTCAGTTAAGAAATGGAGATGAACACCACCCCCTAGAGTCGGACATGACATAATTTACCTTTTTAAATTAATTAATGAGATGTTCCAAAGTAACATTTTCCAAATTTTAGCGTTCAGTTGATATTGGACTATAGCCCCCCATGATCCCATCTTCCCTATGCTTGGAAATAAAACTCTAGTTCAGTATTTGGGGAACTGAGGTGATGAAAGGCTGTTCTAAAAGCAGCAGTATTTGCACATTATACAGAATCTATCCCATATGCCTTTTAACATTGTGAACAAATTTGTTTTATAAAGCAGAAACACGTATGGGACACAGGAAAATTGCTTCCTTACAAAGAATGATGTTAAGAGATATTTCACAGGGGTGTTTTATAAATGAAGTGTACTTGTAATTGTGGTTTTATCAGGCACATCATTTTCTTGTTCCACTTGGAGTAAACATGGTTGTACATTGAGCGATAGATCTAAGCACTGATAATAGCCACCTCTCAGAGAAAAGCTAATATTTAATGCTCACAGAATATATGTTCTTCCGTCCTCTATTTATAGGAATAGAACGTGAATCAGAAGAGGATAAGACTTTTGCTGATTTTCAAATTGAAGGAAAAGATTCACCATACAGGACATTTAACTTTACCTACACAGCTGATGAATTTGACAGACTAGTACAATTGAATTGCTATAATGTCCTTAATAACATGGATGCTATTTTGAAAGCATTACGACTGGGTTTAAGCAAACGAAAGGAAAAAGCAGGACCCAAGTGCTTCCTTGAAAACTTATTATGAAGGAATTTCAGTTTTTTATGGAAGATTTCAGAAGGCCTAACAAACTTATAAAATATCCTTTTAAGGAAATTACAGATTTATTTATTCCTTTGGAGTAAGAGGTCCTTTTATATATTTAAGAAAATCCAGAGACATATTATGTCAGTTGCAGCTAATTATTGGGTAGATGCACCCAATTATTCAGCCATAGTTTATTTTAAAGTCTCCTAGAATTAAGTTATTTCTTTACTGGTGTGATCTATAGAGTTTTATTTTCTAATGAATTGGTAGTTAAACACTAATGAAAAAGTTTCTAGTTTCCTGAACTTCCCATGATCAAAATGTGAAGAAAACTAGGTGCTGAATTAAATTTATTTTTGATTTTATAAATGAAACGGGTTCTTCCAAAAGATATCCTTCCCCTCCTCGCAAGATGGCAAAGACAGTCTCCTAGCTGAACTTTGCAACTTACATTTTTTAATTAAGAAAAGAGTAGAATTTTATTTTGATTTATTTATCTCAGAAATTATTACTTTCAAGGAATTATTTCGGTATTAAGCTTTATTTACAAAAAATTAGCTCTCAGTGCCCACTCTTACACAGGCAGACATCTCCTGAGACAATAATATGACATGGGGCACGGAGAGAAGAAAGGTTTGCAGTCTAATTCTCAACAAAGCAACCTAAGGAAAGCTTTGAAAAAGTCATAAATTGATTTGGTTCCAGAACAGGACTGGGTGCCAGTAAAGACAAAGAGAAAATGGATTGGCAAGACCCAATTTGGAAAACATAAAGGCTGTGCTGAAGATTGCATGCATTTCTGTTATTTTTCCTGTGGGGGGGAAAAGTAATTCTTTAGTAGGAAGAATTTGAATTATATGCTTTACTCTTTATTATATATTTTGTTTAAGGCAATTTTAATGGTTAGCAAATCCTGTGTAACCACGAACAATCAAATTATGGTTGTGATTTGTGGTGATGTTATTTATGTCAGATTAAGGAGTACAATTAGTACTTTTTGAAGATTGAAATCATTAAAGAAGCATTCATCCTATCAAGTGTAACTTTACAGATGGTTATTTTAAGCAATTCATTGATTCTTAAGCCATTGGGAGAGAAATCTTAACACTTTTCTTGAAATTACAGGAATTGACAATTTTGCTTTTCATAAGAAGCCTTATTTCATGTTTTCCACAAAGATTTACTCATTTTGTTACAAAAACAGTACTTTTTCTACATAATAAAATTATTTTTTTAATGTGCCAATTGTAATTGTGAACATTTGGTGAACTTGAATTTTCATTCAGTGGATTTATGTCAGAGTTGTACAGTTCTGAAGCCTTAATCCTGCAAGTGGTTTGAGGGCAATGTGTTAAATACTTCTGGAGTGTGATTATGTGAATTATATTTGATTTTAATTAAATGTAAATCAGATTTTGTTTTTGTTTGGATTCCACCCAACACATTTTGGAATATGGCTCCTAGCAAACCAATCAAACCCAAGTGAATATTTTTTTCACTCAGAAAAAACTGAGCATCCTTGAGGTATTCCAACTGCAGCTTTTAATGCCTGTATTCATCTTTGTCAATAACGGACATTACTGTTCAGATATGCTGGCCTGCGACCCTGTGAAATTTGGGCAGCTGAGGCTGGGAGCAAATACCTTTCTACAGTAGTCAGTCAGTGGTTTGACTTGGTGAATCTTAAATTGGAGCAAGCAGATGGTTAACACACACACAAAAAATAATAACAGAAATTATAAAATCAAGTTTAATTACTAATACTGGGAGAGTGTGGGAGGCCCTTTTTACACCACTGTGCTAAATATTTCTTCATCCATTCACAAGTTAGTGGAAAACTATACAGCATGAATTCACTGCTTGTGTTGCCAGCTCTGTCCTGCCTGTATTGTTTTTATTCTAATACAGCCCTGCCTCCTGCCTGCCACCTAAGTTTGTTCCATGCTCCAGGGACTTGTAATTTAAGATCCAGTTTCCCTTCAGTCAGGAAGAATATGGCCTGTATTGAATCTCATTGCTTAGTGACCTGTCAGGGAATTGAATAGGTGTGGCAACTCCTAACCACAACAAGAGAACAACAGCAAAATAATATGTTCTCAGATGCCATCATATGTTTTATTTGCTCCAGCCCACTGCTTTGCTTTCTTGGGTGTGAATTAATTCATTTTTATACGTTTAAATATTCATACCGTCTTTTGGTGTTTATGCAGTTTTATTTATACTGTTCTTTGTTGCTTACCCTTTTCAACAAAGGATACAAATTGATTTACTGTCAGAAGACTTCATCAAGTCCCAGCCCTTCCCACCTCTTGCAGAGTAGGGATACCTGTCTTCATTGGATGAAGTAGATAAAAAGCTGAGTGAGAAAGGTGTTCCCATAGAAACCCTGGCACCCATTCATTCAGGGCTTTAAAAGTGATTAGATTGCTTTATGTCACAGTGTTTCTCAACCTTGACAATTTTAAGGCATGTGGACTTCAACTCCCAGAATTCCACAGCCAGCATTGCTGGCTGTGGAATTCTGGGAGTTGAAGTCCACATGCCTTAAATTTGTCAAGGTTGAGAAACACTGCAATCATAATGACCCTGTCATAAAATGTTTTATAATATTTGCCAGATTTCAATTCTAAGCAAGTCATGAGTCACGGATTTTGGACACATTCTGTAAGGTAGCCCATTTGAGGTACCTTGGTTCAAAATGTTTTGCTGTATGGTAGATTGTTTCACCCAATTAAAGATGACAAGTATCAGTGTATTAATAATATATAGTTTATCAGCATCTTGAATTAGACTCAGAATCGGAGTCTGCTAATGCAGGATCTTCAGTAGGTAACACCGCTGAATCTGTTAATTCTAGTTAACAGACAACCTTGCATTTTGGGCTTATTTAAGTTCCAAGTCATCTTCAAGGGGAGTCCCCATGGAAAGTAATTACTGTCAGTTTTGTGAAGTAATTCAGACAAGCAGCTTGCCCAGATGACCTAATTCTATTTTATTGTAAAGTTATATCAACAAAATATGAAAGTACATTTCTCCCCCGTCATCTTTCTAGCCAAGACACTAGGGAGGATCCTGTCTGAAACATTTGCCAAGCCCACATTCCTGCCTTTTATCTGAGGTTCCCATGGTTCTGACTCTTTCGTCTGTCTCCCAAGTTCATTCCCACATATCATTACAATTATAGTGGTGTATACAGGAAGGGTCAAGAACAGGATTTCCTGTTGCCAGGGCATATCAGGTAAAAAAGGCTGCAATTATTGCATCAACTGGAGCTGGCATAAGCCTCTTGGCCACAGCTTCCACCTGCTGTTTTTGTAAGGGTTTAAGTGGGAGTGGGATCCCATCCAGAGACAAAGTTAGAACCAGGATCAGGTCAAACTGATTATTTTAATGACAAAGAATTAAAATGTCTTGTATTTAATGGGATTTAATGTGAGTTTTTTTTTCATCAACCCAGGTTATTCCAGTTCAATGAACTTGGCCAGGACTTTCACAGTGTCCCCAATCTAACCCTGTGGTAAAATTATATACCTGGCTATTATCAGCATAAGAACTTCTAACTGGAGTAACAAGATCAGCTAGAAGTGTCTCATATTCCAACTCTTGCTGGTAGTCCAGAAGGATACCATGGTGGATAGCGCTGAAAGCCACAAACAGGTCTAATTATATCATAAGGGCCTTCTTAAGGCATTTCATTAGGCTCCTTAAATCATTTAATAGTAAACATTTATTCTAAAATCACAAAGGAAAATACCATATTAAATACTAGTCTCAAAAAGCACTCCAATCATAAAATAGAAGTTGAGTGTGACAGCTATGGTGACAGTAGGAACCAAATAATTTCCAGTGGAATGTAGTTTTACAGAGAGCATCTATAATGCTGCACTTGCCTTCTAGGAACAGAGCAGTGTCAAGCTCCTTCACTGGCATTACAGTGCAGAAGAAAAGATGTTAAGCAGAGTAACTCAGTTAATTGGAATGGATAATGATGATAATGATGATGATGATAATGATAATAATAATAATTAATAATAAAGTTGGAAGGGACCTTGGAGGTCATCTAGTCCAATCCCTTGCTCAGGCCGGAAAACCTATACCATTTCAGACAAATGGTTGTCCAGTCTCTTCTTAAAAACTTCTAGTGTTGGAGCATTCACAGCTTCTGGAGGCAGGTTATTCCACTGATTAATTGTTCTAACTTCAAGTTGGGGCCTGAAAGCTAATTTGGGGCACTAATAATGTCCACAGAATCTTCATTCATTCATTCATTCATTCATTCATTCATTCATTCATTCATTCAATTTCTATAACCGTCCTGATGGGGCTGGCTGCCAAAACAAAGCAAGGTTATGGCATACACTTGAAAAGAGACTGGGAAGCCTATAATTGGGGAATTTGTCTGGCAAGAACAAAGAATGCTTATTCACAGTGAATATGCACATGTAAAACGTGTAACAATTCTTGGTAGTTAGAAAGCTGATAACAGTAGCAAAGAGTCAGGCATCTTGCAGACCTCAGCTAAAAGCTAGGAATAGAGATGGCCTGGAGCAAATAGAATATGTATTAGATAACTCCTGAAGCATTCATTAGCCAAGGCTTAGGAACAGGGAGGGTTAGAGACCAATAGAATAATTGTTAGATCATTATTAAACTGTTTGTTAGACGATATTTCTTACATATCCCACTTTATCCCACCTTTTGCTCTAGAGCAGTGATGGTGAACCTTTTAGAGACCGAGTGCCCAAAAACTGCCCCCGGCCCCCACTCTGCCCCCCACCCCACCCCCAAAGGCCCATTCACCACCTACACGGCCCGCCAATCACCCAGGGGGCTCAGCAGCGCCATGGCGGCCACACCCTCACCTGTGCCCTGCATCATCTGCATGCGACAGGATGTGAGGGCGGAGTCTTGTCCCCGCTGCCTGGCTGCCATTTCCTTGGCTGGGCTGCTTCATGTGGGCTGCGCCCGGGGGCAACTCTCTTCCGGGGGACTGCTGGTGAGGAGGGGGCCACTGGAGGAAGCAGGGAGGCGGGGCTGGGGTGACAGCGCATGCACACAGAGAGAGCTCTGAGTACCCCCTCTGGCACCCGTGCCATAGGTTTGCTACCACTGCTCTATGGAAAATGTATAAAGCTTCCTTAATTCGGTGGTTTAAGGTTAAATGTCAATAAATATTGTAATTACAAATATGACCAGTAGAGGACAACCAACAAACAGTATTTATTTTTTAATATAGAAAATGGCAAAATTCATTGTTACAATCTACTACTTGATCTAGTGTAAAGATCCCTGCGTTCATCAAAAACGTTCATCACATTTTAATTTATTTTGAGTTGGATTTTAGGAAACAAAAAAGAACAAAATGCAATTTTGCAGAAATAGTATACCATAGTTTTTAAAGTTATATAATAGTAACAACATATACAATAAATAAATTTTATTTTGGATTCCTAATAGTCCAATTAAATAAAAGTGATGCATGTGATTATTATTCCAAATAGTCCAGGAAGCAGAATTTGTAGCATATGAAGATATCCAAAATTTGGTACTAGTCAAAAGGAATTAATAATGGTATAATTCAAGATTTAAAAACTGAAATCCCCATCTTTAAGTGACAATTACATCTTTTTAAAAGATATTTTTGGAACTGAAGAATCTATAGAAATCTATGAAAGGGTATACTGAATTATTAGGATTGTGACTGGAAAAGAAAGAGTTACATTCTCCCTCTTACTGCATTGCAGTAGAAATTGTCTTATAACTATGACCTAGCTTTAATACTTCCTTATTGGTTTGTATTTTTACAATTGGGATAACAACAATAACAAGTTGTCATAGTTGCAAAGTCTTAAAATTGAACAATATTTGCTCTATACCAGTGGTTCTCAACCTTTCTAATGCCGCGACCCCATAATACATTTCTCCATGTTGTAGTGATCCCCAACCACTTATACATCACCGGGTGCCAGGGGCGTGGCCAAAGAAAAGGGGAAAAAATGGCGGACAGCCTTGTTTGGCGACCCCCGTGAAATGGTCGTTCAACCCCAAATGGGGTCCCGACCCACAGGTTGAGAACCACTGCTCTATACACAGGGCCACCAGTGCAGGGCCACAGAATTACCTTGCAAACAGTTCAACCACTTTATAATAAATCACTTTTACGACCAAATCAGTTTCATATGGAAATGGCAACCTGGTCTCGGAGGCAGCAAATTATGAGAGCACCTCCAGGATAGGCAAAGTGGGGCAAATGTCCACATGTGCTTGATGATTTCATCACTGAAGTGCAGTGACCAATATAGTTAGATCAGATATCATGATATAAGTATACAATTGTTATATTTTCATGATGACAATTTCCCCTCATAAAATCTTTTAGGTTACATTGCAATTTGTTATGGATGATTTGCTAATGAGTGGGATCTTAGCTAATGAGTTGGCTACACACAGGGATTTCATTGACTTTGTCTATGTGGTCCTTTGAAGCTTACCCAAATCATTAAGAGTAGGATATGTTTATTATTTATGCTTTTCATAACCATAGCCAATGTTCCGTTATTCCACTGACATTTGAACAATGGCAGTTAGAATTTCTTGTAAAGGTAGTATTCTATTAGAATTATCCACTGAAAGTCCCTTTCATTTTCAGTTAAGAAACTGAGCTAGCCCAGTTCCAACACATCTCTCTTAAGGTCTGTTGTTTTGCTTTGTGGCCTAAACCAGGTTTACCCAATAAGAAGAGTATTAACAATACTGATATTGTAAGGAAACTATTCGTGATAAACAATTCAAATAGTGTTTTTTATTCAACTCAGTTTTTGTGATTGCAAAGTATTCTCTCTCTTCAAACCAGGATTATTGTTTTTTTTGCTAATGCCTGTCTCCCACTTATTGTAAACCTGCATGCCAAAGCCCAAACTCCTTTTGAATTTAATGGGAATAGAACTGAGTAGGAGAAACAGGAACCTTCCATTGTAAAAGTAGATTGTTTTCCATTACTGCAGAAGCACATTCAGATATGAGGCTCCTCATTTAAATAATGACTACAGTAAGCTCCATTAGAAATTTTTGTGAATGGTCAAGTCACTGTTGGAAGTCATGGGAGAATTCAGTTTATCTTAAAGTGACTTATTGAATAAAATACTTGAAAATAGCTCTGAAAAATCTGAGAGTCCAACAGAATTTCAAACTGGTGCTTCTCAAATTTTAATTCTGTCTGTACCAAATCTTTTTAATTTCAGAACTATAGTATGAAGATTCCACAAGAAACTAGTCTATCTCTATCTGGCTTAATCTATCAGAAATAGATATTAAAGTGGCCCTGTTCCACATTAATTGGTATTCTACAATTTAATTGTATCTTTAAACTTAGTTTAATTTTGATTTCTGGCTTGCTGTGGAATATATATTATAGTTTTATCTTCTTATTTATCCTATTTTTATAAGCAAAAAATATAGCCTTTGCTCCAAAACACAACCGTTAAGAGTTTGATCTTAATATACATGTAATTTATATATTTTTAAAAATTGTAGTAGTGAGCTGAATATAAAGGTATGTGAAAATATTCAGTTAGATATATATTTCAGTCTATTTATTCAATAATAACACACACATTTCTTATGAACAGAATGTCACTGATTCCTTCCCTTTTTGCAGTTTTCAGTTCCCTTCCATTGAATGATTATATTGATTGAAAAAGGGGTCTGTTGGATTACTGACTGAGTCACATGATACCAACACAAGGAAGTTGTGCATTTGGCTGGGAGAAGGAATGCCCAAACAGCAATGTCATATGAACATGGCTAACATGTATTACTTTCTAGTTTTCTCCTATTCCTCTTAAATAGGACTACAGTAGTAGATTAAGTTTTTAGATTTTTTGCACATGCTTGCACACTGATTGTGGTTTATTTGCACATGAGAAACCGACTTGCTCCTCAAGGCACTCTTGCAAATAAACGTACTTTTCTAATATCTGAATCAGTTCTATTTTTAATTCTTGAAGGATGAATAGCAACATGTCATGCACACATAGTTTAAATATCATAACTCATACCATGCAGGAAATTCATAGGTTTTCCTTGCCTCCTTGATACTAATAGTTATTAATTGTAGCAGGAAATAATGGGTGGAATGTTTTGAGACAGGTGATGCTGAAAATCTGTAAGAGAAATATAAGTAACTTGGAGATTTCTCTGTACCAGTATATTTACAACAGAGAAAAAATTACCAGAAATATGTGTGCATTGTGACATTATATTGCACTGTACTTTTGTAGTATAAGTCTGCTGTTACTGTTTCAATTTGGAGACTAAAACTGAATTTTTCCTTCTTTCAGAATTACAGCAGTTATTTCCTGTTGATATAGAAAATAGCTTATATGGAGTAAATTGTGTCCTAATTTAAAAAGACAGTCTTTAGTCATTCTCTGACTAAAGAATGTAGGATTAAACTGGCATTTCCTGGTTCAGAACACAAATATTTCACTCAAGTCCTTAAAGCACAGATCTCTTTTTATAATTACTGTGTTTTTATTTTTAGAGAGGCAGGAGTAAGAGCAAGCTGCATAAGGTAACTTAAATGATGGGATAGGACGTAATGAGATAGCTACTGTTTGGTGGCATCAAAAACCTTTGCGTTTTCATTGTGTTTTTACCACAGGCTCAGCATGCTCCCCAGCCTGGTCTCTCTTGTTGATATTGCCTTCAGCAATGCTCGGCAGGCTATCGATTCGAATGTTGCCACTTCTGGCTGTCAATGTTATCAAGAAAAAAGACATGGAAGTATGTGAATATAAATGTACTTATATTCTTAATAAATCCTTAGGCAAGTATTGAATTAGAGAAAATAATATGTTTCCTATTATAATAAGCAGATAACTAAACGCACCTCTAGAATCGAGAGTTGGAGGGGGTCATGTGACTCATCTCAGCCAATTCCTTATTCAATGCAAGAATCCAAATTTAGTCTTTCATGACAGATAGATATTCATATTTTCCTGAACACAACCAGTGAAGTGGAGCTCACTATCTCCGAATCCATGGCCAAATTACCCTTAAAGAGCTTAAAGAGCCATGGTGTCGCAGTGGTTAGAATGCAGTACTGCAGGCTAACTAACTACTCACTCCAGGAGTTGGATTCTGACTGACTCAAGGTTGACTCAGCCTTCCATCCTTTTGAAGTCAGTAAAATGAAGACCCTCCCAGATTATTGGGGATAATATGCTGACTCTGTAAACCACTGAGAGAGGGCTGTAAAGCACCGTGAAGCAGTATATAAGTCTAAGTGCTATTGCTGTTGCTAACTACTTTTGTTTACATCTTCACTGTAGCATTTACAGCAGGGCTATCTCTTAGCTGACCTTGGTTTATCTAAGAAACTTAGAATGGTTGGGTCTGGTTAATGGCTGGATAGAAAATACCAATGGTGCAGTGAGAAAAAGCAACGATAAACCATTTCTATATTGTTAACAACCCTACAAATGATGTTTCTGTGACCAAATACCAAACTTTACTATAATAGTACTACTGTACTATTCATACCTAATGAAATTAAGGATTTTCATTGATCTGTTCCGGTATTTTTAACATTATAAAATAAAGAATTTAATTAGCTTAAAGTACCTAGATATAGACCCAGATGTGTTCTGGATATTTTGAACTAGCACTCCCATAGTTCTTTGTCACTGGCCTTGATGAGGGGGAACAGGTCAGAGTTATCTGGAGGATAACTGTAACCAGTAACTATATTAATTAGCATTTGGTTAAAATTGTCTGTTATACTCTTATTTTTACATTTACAGTGTTGTCTCTTATATCCTTCTCCAATCTGGAGCCTTCTAGATGTTATGGGAATGCAACTCTCAGAATTCACAATTAACACAGTAGAGGTTGATCAAAGGGGCTGAAAATTCTAGGAGTCCAGAAGGCTGTCCAACTATATTTCTTGTTTTGCTTAAATTAAAATAAATTATCTATCTTGTTTCAGTTTGAGGTGCATCCTTACTATAATCTCACAGTAAAAATCTTGAGAGCCAGAAACATCCATGGCCTAGATATATGTAAGTAATCTATTTAAATTGGTTGTGGATTACCGTTGTTCAAGATATAAATGTTAATTATGCTTCACAGCAGACCAATTCATTATCTAGTTGGTATCAACTAGATCAGTGGTTCTTAACCTTTTTGAACAAATCACCCCCTTGAGCCAATGAGGAAGTTGTCATCGCCCCCCTCCCCCAACATAACCTCTCAATCACAACATAGGAAATAATTCTTCAATTTATGAAAGCACTTTTTTTGTTTTCTTTAAAATTGTCATCTGGACATATTGATACAAATAATTTATTTCCAGTCTTTTTCCCTTATCTCAACTGTGTGAAAAATTTTGGTGTCACCCATCACTTTATTCCCAAATTTCGTGATACATGTATTTCATTATTATTTTATTTATTCAAGACACTTAAATGTAATGACCACTGAAAACAAAATTCAATTGCAAGAAAGTGAAATGCCCGAAAAGAAAAACAGTAACATTTAATGATTGAATTACAAGTGAAATTTAAGACGCAAAAAGAAATATAAAAAGGTCATAAGAGCAAACTGCAATGCAGGAACTAAGAATTTCAAGACAAAAACTCTGAAACTAAATTAAGATTCGAGGAAAGTATATATAGTCACGCACACTGTAAAAAGGATTAAAAAGATACAAAGAAAATATAATATTGAACTGGAGTGCATGCTAAAAAAGTACAATACAAAGAGACACACAAAATGTTTTACAGAGCACAATAAAAATTCGAAAATGAAGCTGAAAACTCAAACTGGAACGTGAAATCCAATGCAAACAAATACAATGATAAAAGCTCAGACAATTATTAATGAAAAAAAATGTATGTATACAAAAAGCAAAAAAAAAAAAAGAACATCAATGGCTGCCCTGTGCTTGGTGAACTGACGCCAATTTCTTGATGTCTGGAACCATTTTTGTTAATCGCATTCTTAAATCACCGCGCTCAGAGATAAACCTAGTTTCAACAGTTACATTGACATTACAGCTGACGTCACAGGGGACAGCCACTCAGCATACGATGTTTCAAAAGAAGTGCTCCCCCCTCCACCACTGCCCATTCTGGCCAATGGCGCACCACTGTATGGGTAGAGGCTGCTAGGCAACGCGCATGAAGATAAGCGATGTGTATTCACATATGTATGGCGTTCTGTACTGAAGCTAGCTGGAGGAACATTTGAAAACACAATTCAATCCACTAATAGCGAGCAATCTGATGTTTTTGTATGACAGATACACAGCGATTCACTGTACCAAAAAGTCACAAAAGTGTCCCCAAAACTTCTCGCTCCATTGCCCCCATATCGTCCCCTTTTCATTCCTTCACCCCCGCATTACCCCCGGGGGGCGATATTGCCCAGGTTAAGAACCACTGAACTAGATCATAATCTAAAGTATGATACTTGAAACTGGTCATTTGTATCTCAAGTGAGAATTTGAATTGATTTGTGTGATGACTCATTTGTTTGCTTTAGCATCTCAATAGTATTAAGACATGCTGGTTCTAATTATCTTAGGCACCGTGGCATTTAATAATTTGTTTTCCTCTTGACCTTCTCTTGTACATATCTCTGAGGAGAAGACACTCAGTCTAGCAAACGCAGTTATTGGAAAATATGTTTGTGCAATTTTTAGGAAATACATTTTTTGAAGATGCAATACAGAAGTATAAAGGATAGTTGCTGTATGCTTGGAGAAAACAATGGCCCATTAGGCATTCGTACAAGCACATGGCATGCTTCCAAACAAAAGTCCCTGGACTTTTGAAAAAAAAAAGGCACTTAATTATGCAGAAAGGAGAAAGGCTGAAATGGTGAGAAGTGGAATAAATACATGAGGAAAGTCCTATTTAGGCTGTCCAACACCTCCCCTGCCTAGAAATTTTTATACAAACTAATTATGGCATGAAAATTTCAACCTTTATTTTTACAGCAGAATCACTTATATTCAACAGGTGATAGGAAGTTTCTCCATTGTGTTAACAATACTTGCTCAGAAATAAATACTATGGTATTGGTTGTATTGTAATGTAGGATTTTCGCCTTGGTCTCTCTTCATATCTACTAAGCTGAAAGAGGCTACAAAATGCTATTGGCAGATGAAGAAAAATAGCTTTTTTAGGCTTTTTTTATCTTTGCATTTTTTTTCCTGATTACTACAGTGTCTAAATCAGATTGTTATGTGGCCTTGAAACTTCCTACGGCATCTCCATTGATAAAAAGAACTCCGGTTGTCTACAACAGCAGTGATCCTGAATGGAATGAAACTTTCCAATACCGAATCCATAGTGCTGTAAAGGTGAGCTTGTTCTTTACCATTCCCATTATTGATATCAGCCCAGAGGTCTACTCAGCTGTATCATATGACAAAAAGTGGCAGGACTCTTTTTCCCCCAAACTCTTCAAACTCTGCTACAAAGCTATGATGAACAAGATAAACAGCTGAGATTTTCACTTCTGCATAACATTCTGAATGAAAATACAGAAAGCATAACACCGAAAAATTGGATAATATTTAGATTAGAACTAATTCAAAATACCTTTGCTTTAATGACTGATTTGATCACCGGTGTTTAGGGAAATGATAAACTTTCACTGCCCAGTCCATCAAATTTTCCTATGATCACTAACCCAGCTGGATGTATCTTTTGAATAGCTTTCTGTCAGACTATCAGTTATGTGCAGTGGTAGTTGGTCACTATGTGATAATCATGCTTCTCTTCCTTTCACCACTAATAAGGATGTAAGTTTGATATTAATCGAAGGTGTACTTAAAATCATTTTTCTTGAGTTGGAGAAGAATTTTGATGCATTTAGGTCCATGTGTAGGTAAATGTATAGCAAACTGAAAGACAAATGAGCTGATGAACCACCAGCTCTGTCTGCCAATGTCAAAAATGACTAACTGCTAAGTTGAAAGAGTTCAATATACAATGAAACAGCTATGAATAAATGTTACCAGGTGCTTAAACTCATCAAATGTTTCATAGCATATGATTTGGCTCTGTCACTTTTTTACTTTTAAGCAAATTGACTCTTTTTCTGAAAGGTAGATATTGCAAAAGAAAGGCTTTAAAAAGAGTGAAAAAATATGATGTGTAGGCAGTGGTGGGATTCAGATATGTGAACAACCGGTTCTCTGTGTGGATGCCGCTTCCGGAAGTCCATTCTGGGCCTGGGCAACAAAAAAAATTAGCTATCAGTTCTGCTGAACTGCTGCAAACTGGCTGAATCCCACCACTGTGTGTAGGAAAAGGTATCTTTACTGAGAAAATCTCTGTAGCTTGCATGTGTTTGAAGTGTGATAACAACAACACTAACAGAGCCTCTAAGCAAGGAGTACAATAGACAATGGTTTAAACATTAATACATGGGAAAACATTTGTTACTTGTTAAAATAGACTCTCGTTTGCACTTTGCAGAATATTCTGGAGTTATCATTCTACAACAGAGGCATTTTGCTGAGCAGTCTGAACAGTTATGATACTTCCGTTGCTTTTGACTTAGGTAATATTGCCCCAGGACAGGATCTGACACATACATTTGCGCTAAATTCTGAGGTATTTAGCCTTCTCATTTAGTAATGACTTGAGTTTTGTTTTAACGTGATCTTAAAATACTAGAGAGTCTGGTTACCAGGTAATGTCTTCTAAAGCAAAGGTCCCCAACCTTTTGGGCACTGGGGACCGATTACGTGGAGAGAGGTTTTTCCATGGACGGGAGGAGGCGTGGTTTTGTGTGCTGCCTGCATCCTGTGGATGGGGTTTTCCTTGTTTGTGCAGACCGGTTGCTAGCATGCCGCAACACGATACTGGTCCACAGACTGGGGGTTGGGGACCTTGTTCTAAAGTATCTCAGATATACTTTAGTACAGACTTTCCATATACTCCTTCCATATTTCTTCTTGAGATCAGTTACTATCTGTCCATTGTCATTCTTAATATGTTAATTTGAGGTTAGGACCTCCTTCTGAGTGAGGTCAAATAAAAAAGGGTAGTAATGCTACATTTTTCAGACTCCCAGGATCTATGCTTTTATAGATCACAACATGGTAACCCATTTTATACCTACATCACTATAATGAAACATCATTCTAAATAGCTGAACTCTTATTTGTGAGCCAGACAAGTTTAATTTGTAATATAATCAGCTTCAACCTGGTGTTCTTGAGGAGCATTGGATCACATTATTCACTTATTGCAACTTCTGGAAAAACACTCAATATTTTCAATAGAAGATGATGTGATTTTTCTTTTTTTCTTTTTCTTTTAAAATAAGCTGTATGGTATGAATCAGTCACAAGATGCTAATTAAGTAGTGTAGTGTATGACAGCACAAGAAATTAAATTGTAAACAACTACATTGGTAGAATAAATATCTATCTATTTGCTTTAGTTTACACTAATATAGACAGAACTATAGTAAAAATTCATTAAGGAAGCTGTCATGGTTCCGACAGATGAAACTTTTCAAAAGAACTTCGAGGCATTGTTTATCTTAAAGAGTCTTTTATTTGAGAAACAAAGTATTGGCACTACATAGTTAAAGCCAAAAACTGAATTTCCCTCCCCTGGCACAAAGTAGCAAAGCACAATTCCCTCCTCGAATTAACAGTCATAAATCACATTCTCCAATTAGCTTGAAGTGCGGGCTTTCTCCCCAGCTCTCCAGCCCACCAAATCTTTATCAACTCTGGGCACAATAACCTTGGATTCCCAGGGCTGAGTTATTATTGTTATGACTAGCTGGACTCTCATCCACATTCCCCCTCCCAGCATCAACTACCTCTAAAAGCAAAAGAGGAAAATGGCTGCATTTCCATTTATTGTCAAAGCAAGAACATTCAATGTTAGCAGCGTTGACAGAAGCAGAGACATGTACCAGCCTTTGTGTAGCTGTGAATATCTTGGGGCCGACTTGACACTCTTTTAACTTAACTTTTGTCTCACCCTTCAAGGAGAAAAGAGCAGAACTGGATGTTGAATTTTCATTGGAAAAATGGTGAGGTGTTTCCTTTCCTCCATCATGATATAATAATATGCAGACATATTCTTTAATTCATGTTCCATTTAAACCTAAGCTATTATTGGAGCACTGCAATTATTTGTCAGCTCTTCATGATAGCCAGATTGAGAAATAGACATTACAGGAATTTCATGAATGTTTTTTTTTGTAAAGTATATTAACAGAATCTTGAAAACCAATCCAAAGCCTTTCTAATGTAATGCCCTTTATTCCGGCTATTTTTATATTTTTGGACTAATTTTCTTCTAAAACTGCAATTTTTACAGTTTATGTATCTATGGAATGTTATTATTTTCATTGTACTGTTTTTTTATTTATATAATCAGAAAATTAAGCAAGTATTTTTATTTCAACAGCAAGCATCCTTCCTGCAGGATCATTACTAATGGAGTTCTTGTGGTGAGTAAAGGGAATAATAATGATTGTTGAGACTCTTAATAGATAAAATGATTTTTAAATATATTTTTAACTATAAAAATAAAAGAATAATTAACACATTTGCATAGCCATTTTCCCCCCAATTGGATTTTTTGTTTTTTTCATGCAGGCACAACCTTGTCTGTGTATTAAAGGAACTATCAATAAAAGTAAGATGGCCCCATGGATGATAAAGGGTAGGTCCTTTGTTAACCACAGATCTTGGAAAGAAGGCAATCAAGTTCCCCTGTCTCATAAACCCAGTGTTAATATGAGTGGAATAAATATGGTTAATCAAGTACACATTTTTCACATATACTTCTCTGAAGGTACAAATATAAGGTACAGATACACTCTGATATTGCACAAGAATTATTAAGAAAATTTTATCTGTAGAAAGTCAACTATTAAGCTGTGTCTTTGCTCCAGGCCCCATAACTAATGGAAAGCAAACCTGCATGACTTAAACTTGTCTTCTTTCCTTAGGGCTCCTATATCTGGGTGGAAAAAAATTGCTTCTTTGCTGGGATTTTTGCTGCCCTGTTCTGGATTTTTTACTTTGTTGTTTGTGCCACAATGATGTTTCCCAGGCTGGCGTTCTTAGCTATAATTCCGAAAATCCTAAACTAAATTCCCAAAGAGTGTCTTTAGCCAGGAACTTTGTTTCTTCAGAAGAGACTCTACAGATTGTGTTTGATGGGCTGCTACTCTTGTTTCCCCCCCCCCAGTTCTTTGACTTCTAATTTTGTGATTTATTTCATATTATACTAATCAGCCAAAGTCTCTGCTACCTTATAGTTTTGAAAGGGAAAGTATTTGCTTACTGTAACAAGGTACAATTTGCTTAGAATTGTTTCTGGTGATACAGTACAATTTTTCAAGAGAGATAGATTTTCTTTAAAAGTGTTGGAAATAGGCCCATGTATGGGAAAAAATAATAGTCTGGATTTTCTTAATACTCTGCTTTTGCTTAGTATTGTTCAGTTCTTATGTTCAGGTTATTTCAATAAGGAATTATTTCTTCAGCAGAAAATGTATTTGTTTGCTAGAACTTAAATGCCTGTCCAGTCCCCAAAGGTGTCTGAGTACCTTGACTCTTGTTATAACCAATCAAAGCAACATAACAACAAAGCAATAATTTATTAAACTTGCATTACATTGTAAAAACAATACGTCTGGCACTCGAGGAACACTCATTATTTACACACACCCACACACACCCACACACACCCACACCACCACCACCACCACCACCACCACAACCACCACCACCATCTCCTCTATCACCAGACAAGATGGTTGACTTATAAACATTCTGTTTCCAAGTTTCTGTAGAAAAACCATGTTTTTATGTCTACGGAGATTCTTAGTCATTCAGGTCACGGTTGCCCCAAAAGTGCTTTTTCAAGAGGCAACTGGACTTTCTTGTTTCGCTTTGAAGATGTTTTGCTTCTCATCCGAGCAGTCAGAGCTGAAAAAGCTTCTTGGATGGAAAGCGAAATGTCTTCAAAGAAAAATAAGAAAATCCAGTTGCCTCCTGAAAAAGCACCTTTGGGACAACCATGTTTTTATGGTGTTCCTAAAAGCCAGTTGGTTTAAACGCTTCTTTTCACTTTTAGATAATTGCCAAATTAACTTATCGGTACCAGGGTCCTTTGAAAACCAGTTAACAGCATTCTGTGGAGTAAATTTAGAAGAAAACCAGGAGGAGATTCCATTTATTTTTCATGTGAACAAAGAAGTGTCTTCTCACCTGAACCTGAAATTGTTACAAACCATAGCAATACTAGAGGTAAGATGGTACATTTGCTTGCTAGAGCCTCAGTTATTAGAGCAAGCATCCCCATTTCAACAAATAGGCATATATAATGGCTACATAATAATTAAATATAAATTTGATACAGATTCATAAGGGGAAAATAAATAAATTGATGAGCAATGGCCTTTAAAAGATATCAATTAACTCTGCCTTAAACATGCAATTTTATTTCAGAGTCCTGAAAATATTTTTAAATGAACCTATAATAAAGTTAAGCGCTGTAACCCCATAACTGAGCACTAGTTATCATTATTTTTCTGTGGTCCCTGATCCACCTAGAATAATTTTTAAGAAACTAAAAAAATCTCCTGCATCTGTAAAAATTTGGGACGGGCAGTAGAAGCAGTACCTCATGAGAAGAACCAGTGCTTGTGTTCTAGGCATCCCAGGCATTTTGTTGCTGACATTGACCTTCTGCTAAAGTTTGCATTCCCATTTTCCTCTATTTGGATGGACTTCCTGCTGGCATATATGTAGCTTTATAGAATATGATTTACAGCAACTATGCTTGGTTCCTAGGAAGGGTGGAGTGAGGATTTAGAGGTGAAGACTTCAATGGTTGGGAATGCAATTATTCCAGTCTCCGAACTCCCTCTTGGAAAGGAAGTTGAACTGACTGTACCTCTAGGAAGGGTAAATATTTAAGTCTTTGTGTTAAAGTGATAGGCATGATATAAAAGCTGGTGCTGACTCTGTATTGTGCAATGTTGCTGGGGAAAGGACTTTTTTATATCGCATATTCTCAGACTTCAGCATCTCAGAAAGAGGACATTCCTCCATTATATTTCACCTCATTCCAGTAAACAAACTTTGGTTCTTTTACTAAGTATTCTATTCATTTTATATTGATATCTTTGTAATATGTGCAATCAAACTGTTATTCAAGAGGTCTGTATATATTTTCTCTTTCTGTCCATTTCCCACCTTCTATTCAATTATATCTGATTCTCAGAGACCACCTGGATAAGTCCCCAAAGACTTCCTCACAAAGTTTTACAGGAATGGCTTGCTATTGCCTCCTTCCCAGGGTTGAAAGAAAGTGACTGGTCCCAAGGTCACCTAGTTGGCTTTGTGACTCAGATGGGACTAGAACTCACCATCCTGGCTTCTAGCCTGATACCTTAACCACCACGCCAAACTGGCTCTCTATTTTTTCTTATTATTGCATATTTTTATGATTGTCTTACTTTATTAATTGGTAATTAATTGATAGCAAACTTTAATTTTTATTTTTGTTCTATCTCCTTTTTCTCTCTCTACGCACCTTGGAATTCCACATTATTTTTATCACTAGGGTTTTTTTTATCATGCTTTTTATAATTTTGGCCAATTCAAAGCAGCAAACATATTCCTGCCTCTTGCTTTCCCCACAACAATAAGGTGAATTGGGCTGAGAGACAAGAGTGTGATTGGCCCAAGGTCACCCAGCTGCCTTTCAGGCAGAGCTAGAATTCAATCTCTTGGATCCTAGTACTGTGCTTTAACCACTACAACAAACTGGCTCTCTATTATGGTGATGTGTGATTTTCTCTGCAATTTTTTTTATAAAGCTAGCATGGAAAAATATATCTCCAAGACTATGGAAGCTATCATATAGATAATTGCTTCATACCACCTCCTGGCTCCTTAGCATTCTCTTTTCTTTGCTGAGGTATGACACCATGCTGTTGTATACTTTTTTTTACTTATTTGATTAAAATGAACAGAGTTATTTATTTTTACTCTTAATAATTCCTCTACAACTTGAGGCCCAAATGATCCTGCTGATAGAACAATTTCTAGCTGCTTATTTCTATGTGTCTCTATTATATTGGCCAGCTCTTGACCCCGGAATGGTGGTAACTGAGGACAAGTGATTTGTACCAATGATTGTATTATGAGATGTTAAAGAGTCAAAGTGTTTTCTATATGAAAGTCTATAGACCCTTTTAGCAAACAATGTAAAGAAAATGCTTCCTGTTTTAACAAACACATTAGTATGAAGGTTTGGATCATACAGAGTTAGAAAAAGAGCAACGGAGTTTTCTTAATACCAAAATAAAGTTAAACATAATATTTTGCATTAGTAAATTTAGTAGGATTCTACTTCTTCTAGGATCACGTTTTGGATCTGACTCTGAAAGTTGAAGAAAGGTGTGTACAACAGACAATATCTGTGAAAATCAAGATTCACTATTATACATAAGATCAAGTACAAATTAAAATATATGTGTTGAAGAAAGGGATACCAGGGTTGTAAGTTAGAGCGGGAAATTGAAAAAAATATTCCAGAAGAAGGCTGTGGTAAAACATTTCCAAGAAAGCTACATGGATGTATTCATGAAGACACCAGGAGTGAGTTTGACCTGAAGATTTTATATTACCTTAATTTACATTATGTCTAAATAATGGGATAAGCTGACTTTCAATATTATGGATTTAAGGAAAAAATGTGTGTCTGCTGGTTAAAACAAAGAATAATGATGTGCAGTTGATTTTTCACTCTACACTGAAGTCAATTAAATGGAAAGTAGAATCTGGATATTTTTATTCTTTTTTTCCCCTCCTTTCTAGGAACCATCCTATTGATATGGATGTACGTATTGGCTTTAAACTTTCTAAGGGAGAGCAAGAATTTTTGGCAAGGAGAAAGACTATTGTTTCTCGTGCTTTGAAGAACGTATTAAAACTGAGGGTGCCACCCTGGAAAGAAGAGGTACAAAACCCATTTGTCTGAAATGGTATAGGGTTTCCTGCCTGAGCAGGGGGTTGGACTCCTGGTAGATGATCTCCAAGTTCCCTTCCAACTTTATTATTATTATTATTGTTGTTGTTGTTGTTGTTATTGCTTAGTTTTATTCCCTATGATGCAGTTCTTGTTCAGGGGTCAACAAAGCTTTCTTTTTATCTTCTTTAGGGATAAAGTTTAAATTTGAGGAACTGAGAACATGTTCAGTTTTGAAAAAAACAAGCCTGATGTCAATTCCAATTAGCTGGAATTGACATCCTCAGGCAATGTTTGTCAACTTTAAAATGTGTTGATTTCAAAATCCAGGATTCCTCAGGCAGTATTGGGAGCAATGGGAGCACAGAGAGAAACTGAATCCCTCCTTGACTAGTTAAATTAGCTAAGCCCAAGAAATCCTAGCTAAAGTCACAGTTATTTTAACAATGCAAAATTTATTTTTAAGGAAGAAAATGCTGTGGAACAAATGCTTTCTTCTTGTTCTCATTTTATTGTTCCTGTTTTTTCCCTGTAAGATAACATTAGAAAAGATACATCCAGGTAGTCCTTGACTTATCACAATGGGGATTGGTACTTCCATTGCTAAGCCATATGGTCATTAAGTGAGTCACATCTGATTTTATGACTTTTTTGCCACGATTGTTAAGCAAATCACATAGAGGTTTCCCTCGTTGCCTGATGCACAATACCCATGTGATTTGCTTCTCAGAAACCTCCTGGTAGGATCGCAAATGGCAATCACATAATTCTGAGACACTGCAACTGTCATTTATTTATTTATGCCTATCTCATACCCATAAATACATATTAGTTGCCAAGTGCCCAAAGTTTGCTCATGTCATCAAGAGGATGTTACAACAGTAGACAGACTGCAAGAACCAGGCATAAGTCTCTTTTTTCAGCACTGTCATAACTTTGAATGGTTGTTAAATGAATGGTTGTAAATCAAAGACTACTATAAATGTATCATCTAAAGAAAAAAAAGAGAGAAAGGACCACTTCTCCCTGTCTTAAGAACATCTCTTCATTTCTCTAGGTTCCTATAGTGGCTGTATTAGCTTCTGGAGGAGGGATGAGAGCAATGACTAGTTGTTTTGGCAGCCTGTCTGGTCTACAACAGCTGGGCCTCTTAGATATCTTCACATATTTTAGTGGCATTTCAGGGTCTACATGGTATGTAACCCAAAATCTCTATCCCTTCCAACCTGGGTTAAATGTCTGTTTAGATAAGATTTGCTATCATAGTTTGATGTTGATATCTTCATGGTTACAATAAGAAGAGATGACCTTGATTCCTGTCACTTAGTAATTGGCTTAACTGTTATGACATAGCCTGTTGGACATGTATCTGGCAAGTGTGAACAGAATAAGGTTGAACTTGGCAAGAATGCTGCTGAGATGTACAACACCAAAGTAGAATGAGGAAGGGCCCTTTTTGGGCAGAGGTTATAACTGCATGCAGAAACAAATCCTCTCTTAATCACTTTATAAGACCTTGATAAGACTGCACTTGGAATATTGCATCCAGTTTTGGTTGCCACGATATGAAAAAGATGTTAAAACTCTAAAAAGAGTGCAGAGAAGAACAACAAAGATCATCAGGGGGCTAGAGGCTAAAACCTATGAAGAACAGTTGCAGGAATTAAGCATGGCTAGTCTAGTGAAGAAAAGGACCAGGGGTGACATGATAGCAGTGTTCCAATATCTAAGCGGCTGCCACAAAAAAGAGGAGGGAGTCAACCTATTTTCCAAAGCACTAGAAGGCAAGACAAGAAGCAACGGAAGGAAACTAATCAAGGACAGAATCAACATAGAACTTAAGGAGAAATTTCCTGACAGACAGAACAATTAATCAGTGGAACAACTTGCCTCCAGAAATTGTGGGTGCTCCAACACTGGAGATTTTAAAGAAGAGATTGGACAAACATTTATCTGAAATGTTATAGTGTTTCCTGCTGGAGCAGGAGGACGGACTAGAAGACTTTCAAGGTCCCTTCCAACTTTGTTATTCTTTTATTTTGTTAAGTGAGCCATGTGAGTAGGCTTAATCTATGAAGATTTTTTATATGGAATTACAATAACATTGTATAATGGGGAGGAAAACTGCAATTCTTTAAACTGTGAGATTAGGCAGTGTTTCTCAATCTTGGCAAATTTAAGATGTATGAATTTCAACTCCCAGAATTCCCAGCAAGCACGATCCCTAAATCTGGTTTTATTTTTGAAGTATGTGACAGAGGAGTCATAATAAATAGTCCAACTGATCATGAAGTTGTATTTGGTAATTTCACATGGTTTGTATAGCACTGGAAGAAAGAGTTTAAAATATAAACTATACAGAAAAAACAATTATTTTGTTCTTCTCTAGAATTTAGTGAGAATATTTCATTGAAAAAAAACTTTTTATCATAGTAGGTTTAAACCACACTCCTTACTATTACAATGGCTTAGCATTTATCCTAACCCAATTCTTTTCCTAATATATTTCTCTTTTTTGCAGTATAGCACTAAAATCAGAGATGCAGTATTTGACCTTACTCCAGTCATAATGGAATATGTTGTGCAAGAGAAACTATGCCTGACATCCAGGCAATTCACTTACTGCCTATTAAATATTGGAATTATTTGTAGATATTCCATGTCTTATTTTTTTTACTGATATTCAAAATTATGATTTTGGTAGGTGTATGTCCATGCTCTACAAAGATGCTTACTGGTCCCAAAGAAATCTCCAGCATACAATTGACAATGCTCAGAAAATTGTAACAAGTGGAAAAGTTGGGGCATTTTCTGCTGAACAACTAGCATATTATTTTCAGGAGTTAATTGCCTGGGAGAAAACAGGAAGGAAAGCTACCCTTGTGGATTTATGGGGCCTGATCATAGAGTACATCCTAAACAACAAGGTAAAAATTTGAACCCTAAAATTTGTGAAAGAAGAATTACAATATTATGAGGTAGCTTGTTTCTAACTTTAAGACTAGAAATAAATGCAATATTTCAGTAATAAGTAAAATCAGGGCTTTTTTTGTCATAGAACGCCCAGAACGGAGTTCCGGCACCTTTTTTGGATGGAACCTTGTAGGGTGGGCAAGGCGGGTTGTATAACGTGTGTGAGTTCCGGCACCTTCTCCTCCTCTTCCTCCTCCTCCTTCTCCTTCTTCTCCTTCTTTTTTACAAAAAAAGCACTGAGTAAAATGTTTTATTACTAAGAGAGAACCAGTCTGATGTAGTTGTGGTAGTGGTGATAGTGGTGTAGTGATTAAGAACAGCAGGATAAAACAAGGAGATGTGAATTCTAATCCTGCCTTAGGCACAAGGCCAGATGGGTGATTTTGAATCTCTCTCTCTCTCTCTCAGAGGCAATGGCAAACCACTTCTGAAAATCTTGCCAAGAAACTGCCTGAACTAGTCCAGGTAGCTGGCAGATGTCACTAATGACTCAAAGGCACTATAAAAAAAAATACTAAAATATTATTATAAATAGAATAAATATAATGATTATAATTTCTTGACTGAATAATATTTTTTGAATATGTCCCAAGTTGCAGAGAAAACAAATGAAAGTATGTCATTGTGTATTGCTTAATAGGATGATGTTGAAAGTTTAATGTTATAGTATTAATCCTGTATGGTATTGATGGACTAATTATGTGATGTTTGAAGGTTATGATGGCTGAGAACACATTAGCTTTCCAATAAACTAAATGACCAAAATATGAACAGTATTTATTTTCTATAGGAATGGTACGTCTTAGATACTAGTGGGAATTGCTGTTAAAGATGAAGGAGATGTAAATCTAGGTAATTTAAATGGGCAGAACATGGATTAACTTTTAGTGTGGTAACATGATTCTTAATATTTAACAAAAATTAGGGTTTGTTTAATGGGTACTTATTTATTCATTTCTAGACAGGTGCTATTATTCATTCTTAGCATCCCTGAATGCAGTATTTCTCAACTTTGGCAACTTTAAGATGAGGACTTCAATTCCCAGAATTATCCAGCTGGCATGCTGGCTGGGAATTCTGGAAATTGAAGTCCACTCAATTTAAACTTGCCAATGTTGAGAAACACTACCCTAATATGTTGAACCGAAACTTCTGTAATTATCAGAAGGCAGCCAGACTGAGGAAGGTATAGCAGAGTATAACGCTGTTAAGAATTTCACTTGCAAAACCTAAGTGACTGTGATGTTTTACTTTATTGTACCCAGAAGGACCCAACAAAGCTATCTGACCAACAGAAAGCAGTCATAATGGGACAAAATCCCTATCCTATTTATGCAGCTCAAAATGTGAGGATGAATATTAAAACCAGCGAATTTACAGGTCAGAGGATTGGACTGAAAGTGGATTGCAAGGTAGCAAAAATCAAATGCAGTCTGAAACCACGCAAAGGTGATTTTTCTCCATTCTGGAAAGCAAAGGTGGAAATGAAGTCAGAGGCAAAAAGATATTCTCTAAGTTTTTGCTTTGGGGAAAATGGGAGGTGGGAGTACATCAAGTTGAGCTCCTGAACAAAAGGTGGGTATAAATCTAAGAAAGGTATATATGGTCTGGGAGAAGAAAATAGTAGTGTGACTAAGAACTTTAAGAACTAATGTTCTTTCTTTCTTTAGAATGGGTTGAATATACACCCTATGAATTTGGTATTCATAAATATGGGGCTTTTATACGCATGGAAGACTATAGCAGTAAATTTTTCATGGGACTATTGCTTGAGAAACACGAAGAGCCCAGAATCTGTTTCCTCCAAGGTAAGATCAGATGTATAAGCTGGTAATGAGATGATTATTATTTTTTTTTACTAACCAACTGAAAAAAATGTTACCCACGTAACATTTTGTTTACAGGGATTATATGTCTTGTAAATTGTTTAAATTTATTGTAAACTGTTTTCATTTGCTGTTTCTCTACTTTGAGGTTTTTTATTAATAAAAATGGGCTAGACATCTTATAAATGGGGACAGATAGAGGCAATCAAGCGGCTGATTTGCTTGTGTGGTTGCTGCCATGGAGGGCATTTTAATGGGTTCTTATTAGATGGTGGATTTTTTAAATTTTGTAAGTTGCCTGGAATCACCTAGGTGTGAGTTGGGCAGCTGTATAAATTAGCTCAATAAATAAAAGAAATAAATAAAAGTGATTTTTGGATAAAGACCTGTATGAAAGGACACAAATTCTGCATTCTTTAGCTTCCCACTCTTCTCTTAAATCAAACTCACTAGCACTGGTCTTCATCATTGTTGATTTAGAAATCCAGAGTGCATGCTATGATCACCATATCCAACAAGTGGGTTAAAAAATGTTGTGCAGTCATCACTCAGTTGTTAGTCTATAATTTTCACAAATTTATTACTTTATAGCTGAGCCTCTGATGCAAAGTGTTATTCCAATACACTGTTATTAAGTACAGTGAAATTGTGCAGTCAAGATATACCTGATCCACTTCTTTATTTCAAATAATGCTTGTTTTGCTTTTCATTGTGAGTTTGGCTGCTTAGCAATTGGATAACTGATTCAATTCAGTTATCTGAAAATGATTCTATTTTGAAGAGTGTTGTATGGCATGGCTATAACTGTTTGGTCCGTATTACCATTTTTGATCCTGTCATCTGTACTCAAATGTAAAGGAGTGTAAACCCTACATATTCCACAATAAGAAAACTCATACCAGGTATTAATGAATCAAATCAAATCTTCTTAATTTGCTTCATCCTGTGCCTTAAAGTTTGACTATTGACTTTGTTTGTCAGAAGGTCGCAAAAGGTGATCACATGACCCCAGGACACTACAACTATCATAGATATGAATCAATTGCCCAGCATTCAAACTTTGATCATGTAATCATGGGGATGCTGTAATGGTAATAAGTGTGAAAAATGGTCATCAGTCAATTTTTCAGTGCCAGTGTAACTTTGAACAGTCACTAAATGAATGGTTATAAGTTGAGGACTACCTACAGTAGTGGCCAAAATTGTGGAAACCTTTTGGGAAAAGTGTGTTTTTGACGTTTGATGGCTAATAACACCATTTTGTTTGGAGTAGTATCATAAAATTATGTATCAATGGAAAGATAATTTAATCACGAATGTAATGCAACAAAGTTTGTTCAATTATCTGTACTGTATTCTATGAAAAGTTATAGCCAAATAACCAGAAAAAGGAAGCACAACTTGCTTAGGTTGATATCAGGTAGCTTTCCTTCATCTGATTGTAGCCAATGAGCATGAGTGTTTAGAGAGCCAATCAGGTGTCATCTTGTTTTGGCAATAAGCCAATCAGATCACAGTAGGATTCAGTTATTGATGTCATGTATTGAAGCTGAGAGGAGGACATTTGTCAGGATGTTTTTTTTTCTTTCATTTAGTGAGCTTGTAAAACGTAATAAAATTAAAGTAATGGTGCAAAGAGTTGACTGGTTGCCCAGAAAGTGATGTAAAATAGTATTATTAAGTGAACAAGCCTACAGTTATAAAGAAATTAGAAGAAAAATAGGTGGAAACTTAACCAAAGGTGGCATTTCTACTGTACACTTTTCCCAAAAGGTTTCCACAATTTTGGCCACTACTGTATATAGTAGTTGGATCTTGGTATCATTACTGTGAATCAACCTTTGCTGCCTCTTGACTTCACTGATAGTAGTGTGTAGGGATGGGAAAATGCACAAACTAGTAATAATAGGGATCTATAAATGATGCTCAGCTGAATCCTCAGAAAGTAGTGCCAGTCTCTAATGATCTGAAAAATCTCTTTGCTTCATTTCTATTGCAGGAATTTGGGCCAGTGCCTTTGCAGGCAATATAGATGACATGTGGGAAGATGCAGAGATTTCTCAGCTGAAATTCACAGAATCTGTGAAAGATGCCATCAGAATTGTAGGTAAAGGATATTATTTTCAGCATTTTTTAAAAATACGTCTATGAAGCATTTTCCTAATTAGGATTTCTCTCTTTTTACTGACCAAAAAGATACTGCCTGTTGCAATTATTATTTGCTGTTACAAGCTCTTTTCCTGTATTTATATAATATACAATGGAAGCTGTTCCTGTAAACATTTGAGGTTTGTTTCTATCACAGTCAAAAATTGCTCAGGATAAAAGTCCTTTATTTATTTATTTATGAGACTTATATACCGCTTTAAGTGCAAGCACTCTCTAAGCGGTGTACACCAGTAAGCAATGTATATATATATTTTACATTGCCCCCAACCAATCTGGGTCCTCATTTTACCTACCTCGGAAGGATGGAAGGCTGAGTCAACCTTGAGCCGGTGAGATTTGAACCGCTGACCTGCTGAACACAGTCAGCTAAAGTGGCCTGCAGTACTGCACCCTAACTGCTGCGCCACCTCGGCTCTATTCAAAATATACTTATTTATATATTTATTCAAAATATACTGGAAAATGGATCTCTAGGACAATTCTAAATAACATTAGAACTAAAAGTATGCGTTACAAAATGCATTACAATACTGGAATATTTAAAAAAGCATTTATAGAAACTGCTTGCATAAAGCCAATATTTTGCGTTCCAGAAATAATCCAATATTTACTGACATTTAACTAGTTTAATCTAAATGGTGTACATTTTCTAACAGGTCAATGTGATTCTATGATTTTGAAACCAAAAATAACTATAGTTTATCTGCCTGCTATAGATAAACATAGCATGATCTTATTTTGAGGGCACTACCATTTTTGAACTGGTGTGTGATCAATATGAGACAGATACAATGACATGCATATATTAAACATTTCACATATAATTTGGATGTGGTGGTAATTAATGAGATGCAGAAAATCTTGAAGGTTACTTTAAGATGGTTACGTTCTAGTACTTTCTGCAAAATGCATTGTATAGCTATTCCATCTTTCCAGATGGTCTTTGGTAAGAAAAATAGTAGTAGAAACCATTTATTTACAACTAAAACATGATTTCTATAAAAAATGCATGAATGCCGAAAGGAGATTGCTTGGAATATTTTTTTTTCTACAGTTACATTACATTACATTACATTTCTTAATGTTCATTCAAAATAAAAAACCCTGTCATTGAAATTTGTGTAGGTTTCCAGCCCTTTGGTACTGTCCATGGAGTTTTCATGGCAAAGATACTGGAGTGGGTTGCCATTTCCTTCTCCAGTAGATCACATTTTGTCAGAAGGAAGGACTCACTGGAGAAGATGCTGAGAAAGATTGAGGGCAATAGAAGAAAGGGACAACAGAGAATGAGGTGGCTGGATGGAGTCACTGAAGCAGTAGGCGTGAGCTTAAATGGACTCCAGAAGATGGTAGAGGACAGGAAAGCCTAGAGGAACGTTCTTGAAAAAAGAACCATGTTTTCTTGAAAACATATAAATTTCAAATATAACTTCTTAGCATCTCTTTTTTATTAACTTTGGTTCCATGAAGTTAGGCTGGCATATCTGTGCGGTTGGCACAGTTTCAAGCTAATGTAGTTTATTCTACTCACTAGTGGTGAAATTGGCTGTGTAATGGAATAATGTAACAGAGGTGACTTCAACTATGCAGCCTTTTGTCTTCATTTTGCAGATGAACTGTTGGGTTCTCAGTCTCTTGACCCTTCACTGAAACAGTCTCAAGGTATCATGCCAGGAGGAGTCTTTACACATTTATTTAGCAATTTAGTTAAATCACGAATCACCACAGGGGAAAACTTTAACTTTCTTCATGGACTGCATCTTCATCGAAACTATGTGAATGATCAAGAATTTGTAGCATGGAAAGGTAATACTGTGCATATGAATTTTTGTTGTAAACTAACTGACTTTTGGGTCACAGAATTTCAAATATGAAATTTATGCTGCTTTATAAGGGCAAGTAAGGTAGTTTGTATTCTGCAAGCATCGTAGGAAAAATTCTAAGATAGCATCTAAAGAGGATTTAACTTTATTCTACTCTGGGTAGAATGAACTGAAGTAGTAGCAATACAAGAATTCTGATGAATTCTGTTTTCCAACTGAAAAACCTATATATAGACAAATCATGGCATTTTATTATTGAACTGGTTCTTTTGATGTAAGGGGACAGATGTCCACAATCATCACAGTCAGTACAATCTACCTGTGAGTTACTGATGAAATCCTAGAAGGAGAAATACTTCCCTGGCTTTTAGCTGCTCCTAATCAAAAAAGAAAAGGAGTGGAGAATTACAAAACAGGTGGAAATCCAGACAAGGAAGAAAAGGAGATGGAAGCTGTGAGTTTGGAAGTGGGAAGAGTTCAGAAATGGAGAAAGGATGGAAAAGAGAACCAGAAGGAGGGAATGGAAGAAGCACTTGAATGTTCCAGAGAAGAGAGGAAGATACGAAATGGACAAGGTATTGGTGTGAGGGTTAACATGTGAACCAATGATTCCCAGGCCAGAGATGCCCGTTATGTAAACCACCAAACATTGCATCAAGTAGCAGTTAAATGAGAAGAGTGGGCAGAAGAATTAAGTTTAAATCCTTGATGTTTGAAATCCATTTATATCTTCTCACTGGCTGTGGGAAATCAACTGTCAATATGACATAATTCTAGATTAATCACAGTGCAGGTGGCTAGATTCTGTGCAGCAGCATTGGGGATTCACCAGAAACAGAAATAAACATTTTAGATCTTTTAAATAATCTTTTAAAATTAATTTTATTACGTATTTTTATCCAGCATTAGACTATACTCAATGTATTTTTATTGTCAAGTCAGTATGACTCAGTCTCTCTGAAGGTCGCTAGGTTTTGTTATACTCTCTGTAAAACTAGGCAGACCTTGGTCACCCATTGATTACATCATTAATTGTAATATATTGCTATGTCTTGTTGTGTTTGGTTCTGTTTAGTTTTATTTGAATGTTTAATTTATGTGTTGGCCTTTGGCTGTAATAATAAATTGATTGATTCTAGATTAAAGATTCTAATATGGTTTAATTTATGTGTTGGCCTTTGGCTGTAATAATAAATTGATTGATTCTAGATTAAAGATTCTAATATGGTTTAATTTATGTGTTGGCCTTTGGCTATAATAATAAATTGATTCTAGATTAAAGATTCTAATATGGTTGAACCATGCCTAAGGGCTGAGCTAGTTAATTGAACCATGCCTCTTGCCAATCCAGCAGTTCAAAACCATGCAAATGTGAATAAATAAATAGGTACCATTTTGGTGGGAAGGCAACAGCATTCTGTGCACTTTGGCATATAGAATTGTCATGCTAGCCACATGACCACAGAAGTGTCTTTGGAAAGCACTGATTCCCTCGGCTAAGAAACAGAGAGATATACTGCCCCCTAGAGTTGGAAACAAGCGACCTTTCTGTTTTAGGGTTGAACTAATTAGCTGTTCCATACTTTAGGATTGAGCTAAACTGCAACTCAGCAAAGCTGTGATTAACACTTGAATACTGGTTGAGAATCCTAATAACCCCAATCTAACAAGGAGCAGCGTGACTTCAGGGCAATACAATTCTTATTGTTTCCAATCAGTTTTCATTTTTCATATGAACACACAGCATATTGATTTTCTTTTCAAGTTATTCTTTGACAAATCTGTTTCAATAATAATGGTTTTGGGATATTTCAGGGACACATCTGGATGCTGTACCCAATCAACTGACACCTGAAGAAAGCAGTCTGCATCTAGTGGATGGGGGATTTGCTATCAATTCCCCCTTTCCATTGGTGCTTCAGCCAGAGAGAGATGTGGATGTGATCTTCTCATTCAATTACTCTTGGCAAGCTCCTTTTGAAGTGAGCATTATAAATAAACTTAAAAGGAAAGGCTTAGAATCCTCTGAATCTGCTATACCATATGTGAATATTGCTCTTTAATTCTAGTTTATGACAAGGCATTATTATGGGAGCATTGATAATTTCTGGGTCAATGCTCCAGTAACCCAAGTGCAATGACAAATACAGTAATTATTTATTAATTAATTTGTGATGCCAAGGATTGTGCCTGAGACTTTATATATACAAAACAGATATCCACTGAGCTATAGCTTTCTTCTTTTAAAGTTTTTATTAAAGTTGCTTTAGCTTGGCTAGTTAGGTCTTACAATAGTTCCAGTTTGGGGTAACTTTAATAGAATTATAGTGTTGGGAAGGGCTAATTAAGCATCAAGTCTAATATTCTATTCATTGCAAGAATAGGTGAGAGAACTCATACCTTTAATGGTAGTTAATTCCACTGTCAAATGTACGCTTTCTGTTAGGATTTCTTGTTTTTGTTTTAAAAATCAGTCAGAATCTGCCTTCCTGTATGATAATCTGTGTAATATCCTTTTAAAAAAATGCAATTAGATTTCCTTTCAGTCTTCTCAAGGCTAAAAATTCTCAGTTCCTTCAAACTTCAGAGCTTTTAGACTCTTGATTATCCTAAATTCCCCAGATTTTCTGTATTATTATTGAAGTTTTGCACCCTGGATGAATTAATCAGGAGTTTGAAATATAGTGGAATATTATTACTTGTTATTTAGAAACTGTATTTGCTTTGATGCAGTTCAAAATTGCATTTGCCTTTTTTTTGCTACTGTTGAGTGATATTTGGTTTATTTATTTCTTTATATTTATTTTTGAACTGCCCATCTCCTGCAGTGCTATCTGCTATGTCAAGTTCTTTTTCATACTGCCACATCTAACATCCTTCATCACACAGGTAGTCCTCTGTATGATGGCAATTGGGATCACAATTGCCATTGTTAAGTAACAATGTAAAGTGCAATGTCATGTGATTGCACTGCTTAGAAATTACAATTCTAGCACTCTAGGCCAGGAATCTGCAACCTTGATGATTCTGGGAGCTGAAGTCCACAAGTCTTAAAGTTGTCAAGGTTGCAGACCCCTGCATCTAGGCAAAGAAGGTTACAGATGGGGATCACTTGATTGTGTGGACTCTGTGATGGCTGGTTGTTAAGAACCACTTGTTCAGCACTGTTGCATGGTAGCTAAAATAAGTAGTTATTGACTAAAGATCACTTCTGCTCCCTGCAACTGGTTTGTTTCCTAAATAAAGAACTCCACATTTGTTTCTGTTATTTTTGAATCTTTTTTTTGGGGGGGGTATTAGCCATGGTGCTCAATTTTCTCTCATATGAAAAGTTACAGATAAACTGATATTCACTGCTTGGGACTGTACTACACCAAGGCTGTACTACTTATGCTACAGTGTCATATTGAGTCAACACTAGAGTAGTATCTACTTCATTCTCTGAATAGTTCTCAGTTCATTCTCAGTCTTACCTTGGAAATGATCTCTTCGGCAACTCTTTCTGCTGATGCTCATTACCTGAGTTCACTTTCTCAAAGAATTGTGGCAGTTATAAATACTAGGTTAATACAGTACTGGTTCAACATAATGTATTATTTCTTCCACCAACTGGGAGTTTATTGTATTGGAAACTGTCCTGCTAAGATATTCTACTGGGTTAAAACTCAATTGTGTTCATTTTCAAAATGTCAGCATAGCTGATTTTTAATTTAGTATATATTTGGAACTTTTCCTTATCTCATATCAGGTCTTGCATCAAGCACAGAGATATTGTGAAGAAAGAGGCATTCCTTTCCCACACATTGCTGTGACCGATAGTGATAAAAAGCAACCAAAGGAGTGTTACATGTTTTTGAATGCTACAGATCCCAGGGCCCCCATTATTCTTCATTTCCCCTTAGTGAACGAAACATTTAAAAAATACAAAGCACCAGGTAAGTAATACATCGATTGATTGATTGATTATATGCCATCAAATTGCTATCAAATCGTGGTGGCTTCACAAATTGACAGGACGATCTGTCCCCAACCTGCCGGTTCAAGTCTTCCAATGGTACACTCATCACTGCTATAATTGAGTCCATCCACCTTGCTACTGGCTATCCTCTTCTGTTTTTTTCTAGAAAAGTTGGGACTTTGAATAATGTGTTTAAAATATAATTTTAGCCTGGTCACGTGGGCCTTGAATGTGAACTCTAGATTTGTTCTGTGCTCTGTTTGTTTTCTTGGCTATCTATGGTATTCTCAAGTGTCTTTTCTAACACCAATGTTCAAAAGTGTCAATACTTTATCTTGTTTTTTCAAACTGCAAATTTTACTTCCATAGAGTATCACTGGGAAACCATTGCTTGCACAATTCTGTATGATTCTGGTCTTGTAAATTGATTGATTATCTGCTATCAAGTCCTTTTTGATTCCTAGCATCCACATAGTTAGAGATTCACCATGACGATCTAAACTGATCTTTATGGTACACTCATTACTACTGCAAGTGAACCCATCCATCTTGTTGTTGATCATTGTCTTTTTCTGTTTCCTTCCATCTTTCTCACCATTAGAGGTTTTTCCAGAGAACCACGTGTTTGCATAGTGTATCAGAAGTATAATAATTTGAGCCTGGTCATTTGTGCCTTGAATAAGAACTGGTTGATTTATTCAATGACACACAGTATTCTCATGGGTCTTCTGAGTTCAAGTTTAAAAGCGTTAATACTCTTATAGGCCATAGGAGGAACAAAATTACAACGAATGGCACAATTATTTCCAGTTTACTAAAATCATGGAAGGTCCAAGTTATTGATGTATTAAATTACATTGATTAGTTAGAGGTATTAAATAAAATGCCATACTACATTATAAATTAGTTTTCAGTAATTCTAATATCTTTATACATAAAAATACTTTATACATAAAAAATAGGATGGAACTAAAAACACAAGATTATTTTGTGTTGTTTTCATGTTTTGAAAAGTATATGGAATGCTAACTGGTTTCCTTTATCTTTTTTCACAGAATGTGCAAATCCAATTCTATTTTATTTTAAGGGATATTGGTGTACTATATCTATATGTATGTTTGTACAAGTTAGTGTGTATATGCAAGGCCTCCATGAGAGAGGTAAAAAAGTCAGGAATGGCAAATGTAACACTGAAGATTTGTCCCTTGTTATATGTTCCACATGTAAGGTGCAATTAAAAGAAAGGAACACGGCTCTGATTGTACAACAATCAACAATCTTTTTTGACTTCTGTTCATCCCTGTATGAAAAGGTGTGCTATGCATTCCTTTTTCTAAAATACTTTTAGGATCTTGCAACTTTCTTAATTGCTATTTTTCAACTTGTTTCTGAGTTAACAAAAGTAATGATTCAGTGGCAAATCTAGGCAAACTGCTAACTTTTTTCTTCTCTTGTTCAAGGAATAAAACGTGAGACTGAAGAGGAAAAATCTTTTGGTGACTTTCAAATATATACAGAAGATAGTCCTTATAGTTCCATGAACCTCACCTATGACCCAATACAATTTGATAGATTGCTGCAATTAAACTGTTACAATATTATCAACAACAAGGATACGATTTTAAAAGCTCTCACTATGGCCATGATGCGAAAGAAGTTCAAGAAAAAGAGAAAATGACACACACACAAACACATCTAATTAGGCTTGTTGGTAAAAGCACCAAAATGCTTGAGTAGTGAGAAGACATATGGAGCTTATACTTTCCTAAGAAAGTTTAAAATTTGGAGTTTTTGCAGTGATGGCAGAGGCAAGCCAACTGTATAAGCAAGATTGAGCAGGTGCAATTTTAATAGTAGCAATATTAAAATGTATATTAATGTGTATCTACTTTTCTTGTATTCTTCCTATACACTGCATATTCATATGCTAATTTAATGCAACAGGAAGCTAAAGGCTTAACCTAAATATTTAAACAATAAGTATTTTGAAAGGAGAAATGTCATTCCGCCTCCACAATATTAATCACAGCACATTCTGTGTTAAGGTCAACCTGTGACAGTATCTTTACAGGAATTTTGTTTGGCACATACACCCAGGAGAACCTTGGTGGAGAACCTTTCATTTGCAGATAGAACTATTTTACAGGAGTCACAAGTACCTCTCATAAATGGGTGCTTTACTTGCCTTTGCCATTTTGCAAATGGCAAAATTCAGATGTTAATCCAACTGGATTTTGTGTGGAAAATGAGTCCCTCCCTGGCCAGAATCCTAGATGGTTATCTACAAAGTGGAAATGTCTTAATCCAGATAATCTTCATAAGTGGCCTATTCTATTAAAGGTATTGGAATGGTATGGATGCTGTGAAATTTATTTTTCTGCAGTCATTGGGTGCTCAACTTCTGGCAAGTCAATAAGTATCCTGTTCTGACCCCTCAATTTTGTGCCAGACAGAATTCCTTCCTAAAAAAAAAAAAAAAAAAAAAAAAAAGCAAAAGATAGCAGTATTTCTCAAATGTTTGCCATGGTGACATACACCTTGGCATGTTTCTGATTTTGGCACCTATATTGTGCAGTATTACCCAGCTATATTGCCGAAGTAAAGGAGTTGGGAACTGAATGTGCCTGCCATTTGTTCTAGCACTGACGATGTTACCTAGTTTGGTAATGAAATGTCTGCAGGAAAACAACTGAGATCAGAGAGCACAAGGACCCCTCATTTCAATCCTGAGCTACAGATATTCTCTTCTATTTGCTCCAATAGCTGTGTAGGGGATTTGAATTAGTCAGCATTGTGGATTGCTCTTGCTGCATGAGCAACAAGTGCTTGCAAAAGGAGGTTTTCCATCTGCATGAACCCTCCTGACTGCAGCAGAGAGAATGGGTTGAAGCACAATAGTGATAAGTGAGTTCTGGGGCTGACTGGTGTGAGACTCAATGTCTAATAGAGCAGAAGGGTATAGAAGTGTATTATGTAAGTTTACAAAGCTATGAGATTTTATTACCAGTGCCCACACATCATACTGAAGCTGTGCTTTAAAACTCTGGTTTATTGAATACAGGTAGCTCTCAACTTACGACCACAATTGAGCTCACAATTTCTGTTGCTAAGTAACACAGTTGTTAATTGAGTTTTGCTCTAATTAACTAATATAAATATATTCAATCACAAAGGCACAATAGAAGAGCAAGTCCATATTATATATGTCAGTGTCTTCTTTGTAGTGCCATTATTGACTTCTTGTAGTCAATGTGTAACTTGGTAAGGTAGGATGCTAATGCATAAGGAATGACGGAGCAAGTGATAAGACACTTCATGCAAAGGCTTGTTTCAATCATTCAATTATCTACTTTAAAGCATCCTTCTTTCTTCATTTGACTTCTTCCTAAACAATGCTCAAACTTTTTACTGTAATGTAAATGCTATCCATTCTCTGGCAATTCACCAGGGACTTATTGTAGGGCTCTACTTATGGTAGAGACATTTAGTCCATCCTTCTGAGAGTCTAAAAGATTAAAAATTCCTTTGAATGGCAGCATCATAATGAACAACTAGGGCTCATTGTGCAAAAAGTATAGGGATTCTTAAAGCTTTGATATGCAGGTTCTGAGGTTTTGCTTGGTAAAAAATACAGGAAACCAGAAGTTGCCTTCAAGAGTTATGTGTTTATTCAGCTGAACAAAAATGGGCTTCTCTAAAAAGAGAAAAGCCCCAAATAGCGAAAAAGCCTTATTTTTATACCTACTTTGATTACATAAGCAATTCACCCAGCAAAGCTGACACACATAAGATAAAGACTTCGCCCTTTAAGGCTGGCACACTGTAGATAAGAAGGAAGAAAGCAGATATAACTAATATGTTCCCTTTTGGGTGATTTGGGTGTTTTCCCAAGGTACCATATGTTCCTGGGTGGGTTAGAATATTGGGTGTTTCCTTTGCTGTCCTTTCATGACCTTGCATTCATGGTTTTGCAAGTGGCCAGAGAGCGCGGGGCCATCTGCATGTATTCACAATTGCTACTGTCCCCTAAGCCCGGGTCAACATAATACCCCCTTTCATACTTCAAGCTGTGCGCATAAGTATGACCATCAAACTGAAGAGACAGAGGATAAGCTTCTGCAGTATGTTGTCCACATTGTTTAGGACAAGCAGAGGTGATTAGGGGAAAGCAGTGAATGACACAACAGAAAGCAAGAACAAGGAATACTACAAATACTGTAGAAGACCAATGAATAATTCCCTAAACCATCCCCATCCTAGGATCCACCTGGTAAGAAATGAGAATATAACATTGAAGACTCCCCATGCAGTATCAGTAGAAATCTTCAGAGCTTTAGGGTAATTATTAATTCCTTCCTCCATAGGATGGATGATGTGACTAATATTAACTTGATAATCAGTTACAAAAGTGCAGCAATGTGAGTGAAGTAAAGCGCACACCCCACCTTTTGCAGCCAGTACCATATCCAATGCTTGGTGATACCTCCCGTATCTCTCCCTATTCCTTATTGAGTTGTGTAAATGCCAGTATGGTGTGGTTAAACATTTCCTCTGTCCAGTCACCTAATTCTATAATAGAATTATAATTCAAACCAACTCCTATAGCTGGAATTAATGCTCGTGCAATGGCATTTCCCAGGCCATGAGGTACAGGATGGTGTTCAATATGTTCTTCATGCTCAAGGTGGCCCTCGTCCTGCTGATTGTGAATGCAGAAGTTCCAATCATTATGTTGGATAATATGAACAGAGGGAAAGATAATTCCTATGGTACATGTACCAGACCAGTAAGCTGGCAAAAATTTATAGGCAAACTGATCACAAAGGAACCACCAGTCTGGGTGGTTAGCAAGATAAATGCCTGGTTTGCCTTCCAACCCCTCAGGCATATAAGCTCTAACACCAGACATAGAAGCCATAAGTCCCATTGCTGCAAACAGACTACAAAGAGCAGAGGGGTCCTTCTTGTAGTCTAGACCAAAGGACTGATGACATCTACACCAATCATCCCACATGCTGGTACTAACCTTCCATGTGACTGTGCAAGGTGCATAGATCCCTAACTTATATCTGGAAGAAGAATTAAAATGGCTAAGGCAAGGTGCTGCAGGGTGCTGTATACGTGCCCCTAGGCAGCAAATCAGATACCTTGCCTTGGGCTTTATCGTGCAAAGTACCCATTTTAGGTCCAACCTCAGCATTATGGGAAATTTTAGCTGATAACGTAATAGAATTTCTTGGCTGATGTTCATGCAGATCTGTCAAATGTCCTTCATCAGCCGCAATCTTTCTGGCTTTCTGGACTAGTAGGTGGAGGGAGAGGGGATGGGTCTGTGTGAAAAGTGGGCACATGCATGCGCATGCAGCTCCATTTGTACAAGTGGCAGGCATGCACACCTGCTGCTTGTACAAGTGGGGGTGCATGCATGTACTCCCCTGCCACTTCCATGGCCAGTTCCAAACAACTCAAGGCCTAGTAGTGGGCTGTGTCCCGGAGGTTGGGGACACCTGACATGAAGAATGAAACAAAGAATTCTCCTCCAATTTCAATATTGTTAGTGTGTCAGAATTTGTTGGTAGTTGATATCTCAAGCATTAATAGAATCAGAGGTCTAAGGGTAGAATATGGAAGTAATCATCCAGATTGGGCAGTAACTACAGTGGCAGGCAACACAAAGTAGGCTTGTAGTCATATTTCATAGGTAGCAGGCAATGAGAAGATCTGGAGACTGTTTCACTCAGAAGATAACATCCTTGGGATCTAAAAATTGATGGGGGTGTGTTATACACTGCTTAGTAAATACTTCTGGCAGAGGCTTCTGCAGCAAGTCACATTAACATCTAAATAATAAGGTGTACAAAGATGCCATCATTATGTACTTACATACCAAGATAACATAAATCATGGTAGTTTCATGATAATTTCATTACTTGTTTCTTGGAGATGCTGTGGCTCTTGGAAGATATAATTAAGAGTACAGGATCAGCAGGAGAGGTGGCCTAATGACATTAGAGCCTGACTCCCAGGAATCCCAGCCTGAAAACCATAGTAACTTATATGAACACTTTTCAGTGTCAAGAAATGAGATTAAAAGTTAAATTCAAATTCATTATTAACATTCAAATAATACTAAATAAAGCTTTCAATTAACGGAGAAGCTTTTATTCTAGAATGATTTAGAAGATCATACAACTTGAAACTTAGATAAACAATGGCATCTTATTTGTTTTCTTACTCAAGTATCAAGTAAATCTTAGACATATTGTGTTATGAAAAGTATAATTCTCTCCCTTATCCCTCCACAATATTGTTCAAGTTGTTGTTGTGTTAGTTGCGAAGTTGTGTCTGACCCATCACGACCTCATGGACAATGTTCCTCCAGGCCTTCCTGTCCTCTACCATCTTCTGGAGTCCATTAAAGCTCATGCTCACTGCTTCAGTGACTCCATCCAGCCATCTCATTCTCTGTCGTCCCCTTCTTCTATTGCCCCCAATCTTTCCCAGCATTAGGCTCTTCTCCAGTGAGTCCTTCCTTCTCATTAGGTGGCCAAAGTATTTGAGTTTCAACTTCAGGATCTGGCCTTCTAAAAAGCAGTCAGGGTTGATCTCCTCTAGGACTGACCAGTTTGATCGCCTTGCAGTCCAGCATCATAGTTCAAAGGCCTCAATTCTTTTGTGCTCAGCCTTTCTTATGGTCCAACTTTCACAGCCATACATTGCCACTGGGAAAACCATGGCCTTGACTATATGTACTTTTGTTGGCAAAGTGATGTCTCTGCTTTTTAGTATGCTGTCTAGATTTGCCATAGCTTTCCTCCCCAGGAGCAAGCGTCTTTTAATTTCTTGGCTGCAGTCCCCATCTGTGGTGATCTTGGAGCCAGGAAGATAAAATCTGTCACTACCTCCATTTCTTCCCCATCTATTTGCCAGGAATTGAGAGGGCCAGATGCCATGATCTTGGTTTTCTTAATGTTGAGTTTCAAGCCAACTTTTGCACTCTCCTTCTTCACCCACATCAAGAGGCTCTTTAGTTCCTCTTCACTTTCTGCCATTAGAGTGGTATCATCTGCATATCTTAAGTTATTGATATTTCTCCCAGCAATCTTAATTCCAACTTTTGATTCATCTAGCCCTACCTTTCTCAAGTACTGCAGTAGAATTCCTCTACATCTTTGACCCTGCTTTTGACATGATTTTCTGATGGAAAGATGTGAAAATAGTTCTCTCTGCCTCAGAGGTAAGACATTTTATTATGTGAACAGATTATTTAACAAATAGCACTAATTATCCTAAGTATTTACACTACAATTGAATTTGAAAGGAAGAAAGTTGCAATAATATTGAACAAAGCATCCTATAAACATGGGCCTCCAGAAGGGAGGCATGACAACATGATTGCACCATCATGCTAAGCAACATCCCTGCTCTTTGTAAGTCTTCATAGCAATAGCAATAGTACTTAGATTTATATACTGCTTCATAATGCTTTACAACCCTCTCTAAATGGTT